AAGTATGGGCAACTGTATTGCTCATTCATATCGTCATTTCTTCGTATTGCTGTACATACATCCTTGACTGCACAATCACAACACCTGCTTTCTTGATCCAAGTTGTATTTATTTATGACATGCTAATATTAACAGTAGTACACACATTATAACTTCGTGGTCATCGTTTTATCAGAAAAATTGAAAGAACTTTTTACAACCGACGCTTATTCTCCCAACCTGCTTGCCTCTTCTACAACCAATCACCTCGACGGTCATTTGTAAATTTCTTGTGTAAATGAATGAAACTCAATGCACAAATAACAACAACGTTAGTTACGTCCAGAAATGAATACGTTCTCTGAATTCATATTTTTTTAAACCTTGAGTGATCATAAATTAATCTTAATATTCTCTTGTGGTTTATGGCTATCTCAGTCTTTTGTGGGATGAATTTATTGTGACAGGAGTCGCAACTACAATTACAGAAGTTGGTTGAATAATTTTGTCCACATTTTGGTTCGACTTCAACTTTGGCGAAAAAGCTGCGTGTACATATATGTCTTACGTGGTCATACCATATCGAACTTGGTGGTTGATGGTGATGCCAAAGCAGTTGAACTGACTCCAGCTCGAGATTTGAGCACAATGGAGACCATCAAACAGTAATGAGCAAATAGAAGTGGATTGTTGTAATATAATAATGGATGTTACTGTAATGAGAAATTAGCCATCAAAATTTAAAGCCCAAAACATCCCTTACATGCGAGGTGGAGTTTCTTTGTTGTCTAATGGAAATGTCCAAAGCCAACGACTACTTCACTTTGCCAGGTAATGGGATAAATAACTCTCAGGTTTCCTTTATTTGGTCATTGGCTGGCTTTGGAGGGATAGATTCTGCTGGTTGTGTGGGATTATCAGCAGTCTGCATTAAATTTAATGAACTGCAACCACTGAAAAATTTATCACATTTTGCACTTGTTTGAATTGAGACATTTCAATTTGAACATGCGAGCAAGTAGCAAGTATGGATCTATCCTCAATTGTGCTGTTTTTTGCAATTATAATGAATGTGCAAAAAATCGATTGTTTTAATTGCGGTTTAATGAGAGTTTCAATTTATTGTGTGAGCTTGAAGTGCATTTGTTAGATTGGATTTTATAATGATCTATTATGCTTGGTGGATTAAAACTTGCTCAAGAAATAAGAAAATTGTTAAGCTCAGACATTGATTTATTATGGGAGGCGATGATTTGTTCTCAAAGGTTTGATCTAAATACTTGAATATTATAATATTATAATGGATCTACCCAAAACTGCGCTGATTGCAGAATTCGTACATAAAATCCACGTCTCATCCCATTTAATCTCCAATCCGCCCAAGCAGAATATTATTTGACATTATGCTAAACACTTGAGCTGATAATTATTAGCGTAGCTAAAATTTTTATGTTCTGTTATTTAGTAAAAGGATTAGTTATTTCGTTCTGTATAAAAAAAACTATGGGATTGCTCCTTCACAGAATTACCCAACAACCGGATTTCTCACTTGTTTCTAACTTTTTTAAACGGTTGTATCTCATTAGACTGGATCAGCCATTGTTGGATGGAACAACAGCAAGTACAAGACAACGATTAATTCCACGCTTGATAAATGCCTTTCAGTTTTTAACCTTTAGCCCAAAGTGTCAAAATTCTCAGGACTTTTTTAAATGCCTTTTCCTCAATAAATCTCAAATCTGGAAACGAGTTCGTCAAAAAGATTTTATTTTAATAGTTGTCTGCAACTTGGATATTTACAGATAAGTAAATCCTAATGTTGTGATTACTTTTCTTACGATTTCTAACGAGTAATTTATTTTTTCTCTTTCCTTCCAAATAATGAGTAGTGTCTTCAACTTGATTTTAATGTCAAATCAGAATATATGTAGCGAGGTGTTTGCAGTGCTAATTTGTTCATGGGAAACAAGTTGAGAAAGAAGCAATGAATATGATTAACCTGTGACTTTGATCTCCATTTTTTGCACATTATGACTTTCGGATGATCGGAAATGTGAATTTTGCTAGTGAGGTTTTAAATATTTTATTTCTTTGCATGCAAGGAACGCTATTTACGCAATCCATGGAAGGAGTATGTGCTCGTAAACTCAACAGTAATAAATATTTAAAGGGTATCACGTTAATGGTCTCAGCCTGATCCTGTCTGTGGAAATATTTTGCAATGCAGGCGGAGATATACATGTGTGTATCCTAACCGTAAATTAAAATTAAATGACACTTGAGAACAAAACAAAACAAGTTTGACATTATCAAATTCAACTAAAATCCAACCTGTAATCATGTTGATGGCAAAAGTAACACAAACAACTCACGATCCGTGTTATTATCATCGTCATCTTGTACAGTATTTTTTCTTAAATTACAAAATTATCGTTCAAAACCTTATTAAATTACTAATACATATGCCAAATTTCCAAACCTTAATGCGAATGTTGTAACATCAACAGAAGTACAACAACGCGCACAGCTACATAGAACCAAACCATCGAAAGAGATTCTATTGTTTAGCGTCGAGTTCATATTTCGTCAAATTGGAGCAATTTAGTGAAATTGGTTTGCGTTAGATAGCAGCAGACGGTGGTGTGCAAAACTTTATGTAAAGACTCCCACACGACCAACAACCGTTTACAAAATCAGAGTCAACGACGCGTAAACTAAAAGCGTGATCCAGCAAAGAGCTGACTGCCCCCGGCTTCAAACAATAGAAAATTGAGCTGTATATAATTTTACCTGTTCCACACAACATAATTTAGTTCAATTTCGACCCTCCTCATATTTTCGTCTAAAACAAACATGCTGCACTGAATATAAAGAGCTCAGTGATTGCAAATATGCAGTACAGCAAGTTGTGCAGGAAGGTGGAGCGTCTTCTTTTTTGTAACCTTTAAAAGGAAATGGCAAAAACGAAGGCAGAGTGACATAATGACAAGAAGAAAGAGAGAGATCAGACAAAAAAATATGATGCAGGTGCTAAGTATGGATAATTTGTGGTGTTGGTTGGACCAGCATTGCAGAATAAATAAAGAAGTCGTGAGAATAAAAATATTGTACCATGTGGTCAGTTTGATATCTTCATTGTTGACGATTTCGTATTGGAAGGGTACACTCAAAAAATAGATGTGAAGTGTGAAACCTTGATTCTCACATTTCGTCAGTTTTCCTCAATATATGCTCACCTTATTATATGCACAATTAAGTGTCAATCCGTAGTTCCAGTTCCGATTCTTCATTTTTATATCTTTTCATGCAAATTATTCATGATTTGCGGTCAATGAGACAGCTCCTTTAGTATAAATATGTAAACGTTGTTCTTTATATTGTAAGTAATTTATCTTGTAATTTGTTCTTGGAGATGTTGCGTAAATTACGATGTGCATATGTTTCTCTTTTTTTCACACATACATAAATACGTTTTTTAGCTAACCACAAGAAGGGGTAAAAATATTGTAGAAAGTAAATCGTGGGAAAAGGATGGCGTATTAAAAGCAATTGATAAGATACGAGTCACATTTTTCTCAAGTTGTCCAATCGTTCGTTTTCAATTTCCTGTGACAGTGGTAGCAGATGAGATTGAATTTCTTCAATTAAAATTTCTGGCAACATTCTTCCTCTCATCAGGAAGTTTGTTGGTTCAAAGAAACAATATTCAGCAGAAGGGCCTGTTGGAAGTATCAGTCGGTCGGCCGGCACACATTAAGATGAAAAGTCAAGATTCGATACCAAGTGGATTTGTTTGATTGAAGATTTTTGATCTCAAGTGAGATAAGCTGATGCAAAGAATGTGCTTTAAATGATGAACGGCGACAGAATAGCGTAATCAGATTATCGACTTGAACAGATGAGTAATGGACTGTAAAAGAGGATTTGCTTATGCATGCTGTTCAAGTTTGATTGAAGTGAGCTGATGGACTCTTACTGATGGAATGAGCAGTAAATTGCAAAATATCTGACATTGATGCAAACCTCTGGGCGATAGGTAATTTATACAAATAAACCGCAAATACTTTGCCATCATCTTCGAAGGTGCAATTGAATGTTTTTTTTCAGTTGGCAATTTGAATTCATTAGTGGTATCCATCCGCATTCATTGTTGTCTCAATGACAAAGAACAAGGTCAAAGAGTTCAGTGTGTGTTGTGTTATCGTCCATCCATGTGTTTGTGAAAAAATCAAAATCACAGCATACGATTTTTTGACACATGATTCATATGACTTTGTTTGCTTTCGATTCGGTTTTCATCCATTTCTCTTGCGTTGTCCAACTTTTTTTTACGTCACTTTTTGTAATGGAATCATAAAGCGTTAAGCGCATCATTTTTCATTTGTAGTTTCAAAATGAAATATTGCTGAAATCTATCCCATTCCATTCCGTCTCATTCTTTCGGATCGCCCAGCATTGATTGCGGAGGTTATTCAATTCTCGTATCTCAAACATCTCACTGATTACAAAATTCCACAATCATTTTCACCTAGAAATTTTCCATAGATCTCATCGCGTGTGACTTTATTGACAGCGGTCTCTCTTGGAGTGGGGGTGTTGGGATGAATTACGTCAGGTTGCCCGTTAGAAAAGTCGTAATTTTGCTTGTGGCTTTTGGCAATTAAAACGCTAAAACCCTTTCCTTATTTAACTGGTTCTTGATTTAAAAAGGCAATTTGCCGACAACACATATCAATTCTGTTAATAAAACTAGTTCCGACTCGCCAGGGATAATATCGCTCAATAATCAGCCCCATCCAACTCCACGTATACGAGTGCATGCTTATTTCTTGTGTCATAAATCATCAATTTCTTTTGATGCTCTTCCGCGACCCGACCTTTTTACTTTGCGAGGGTATTCCATCAAATGATTATCTAATTATTTTCTCATCTTTTTTTTGCAGATGCGACCAAATTTCGGACATAAAGTTATCAGGAGTACGTTCAACTATATACGAGACGAATAAATTTGTAAGTCTATTTCCAACCATCATTCAGCAAGCACATTTGCATAAATACGTAGAAGCACCTTGTGATTTAGGGAAATTACAAATATTTATAACTCCCGACGAAAAAGAATGAAAATGTCTTAATTCTTATGTGAAGAGTGTAAAATTATTTAAACCCAAACGCAATAAATCGTCGCATCCCAACTTAGATTACACAGACAAGACTCGAAAAGAGCAAATTAATGGAATTAAGAGGTTTGGATAATCTTATCGATAGTACAACTTGACACTGAATGCCGTTCTATAAATTTTGAATTCAAGTCGACTGCAACTGCAATTCAAAACGACAAGGTCATAAATCTGAATAGAAATAAAATGAAAACAACTCCATTTGATGACTCTTCTTCATTCGAAATCTGTAAGAATACAATTAGAATGAAAGTCAAAGGTTTCATCTTCTCAGATTGGACATTTTAAATGTAGATGGAAGAAATAAGCTTATAAACTGGATTTGCAACCCAGTAGTTTGTTGTTATATCGCGCTGGCGTTTTGATAATTTGGAACCAGAAGTTAGAGAGCGTATGTATGTACATACATTCACCTGTAGCTTTATCCTGCTCCTCATTAGGTTTCACAACAATTCTCTTCAACGCACAACACTTTGGAGGTACTGCATCTTCAGGTGACAACTAAAAGTACTTACACATACACATGGCTGCGGACGTTGGACACACAATTTCTTATCCTGCAACATATGCATCGTAAAAAGTGAGGTTGTGAGATCCACAATAAGTCAGCGTCTTGTTTTTAATATGGCAAAACAAGACCAGAGATCATTATCCCTGAAACACTTTTGCGCAAGTATTTATACTACAAGTTCGTCTACCCCTATGATTTGATCACTACTGGTTAAGTGTATAATTAATAGAGACCCCAAATATTAACCTTTTTGCTAAATTATGCACCAAATATGTTGAAACTCTACAATGTTTTTTACATGTTATGTTAATTTAGGGTTCAGCTAATAACCGTGCATATGTATTACTTGTCCCAAGTTTGAAATATTTTAGACGGCATAATTGAAGTTTAGGCCTTCGATTTACAATTAAGTCCAATGTTGCTGCATATATATTTTGTTATTGGAGTATAAATGCAAAACCTATTGATGACAATAGGATCACTGCTGTTCAAAGTTGTCTTAAACTAGGTTGACAAAAGGCAAGGAGTGCATACAAATTTTTATCATGAGAATATCAATATTTTTAGCATTATTAGTGTTTCTTCTCCACATTTGTGTCAATCAGTCTGTCCCATTTGTAAGTCCATTCTGCATAACATCATCCCCTTGAAGTTTGTATTTTATTTGCTATTTCTCGCTGGTCGTGTTTTTAGAAAGGACTTCTGAAAAAAGACGGTGGAAGCTATGGTGGGGGTGGATCTTATGGTGCTAGTAGGGAGGGCAGCTATGGGGGGAAGGGCGGAAGTTATGGTGGTGGGGGGAAGGGGGGCAAAGGAGGTAAAAGTGGGATCAAATCCATCATATCCGAAATTAAGAATTTGAAAAAGCGGCTGAAACAGGAATTATTCTCGAAAAATAAAGGGAGTAAAGGTTCATCTTCTAATTACTAAAGTCTATAATTTAAAAAATTTGTACTTGTATATATCTCAACTTAATTTGCCAGTAAATAAACACAGTGTAAGGCGAAACTCGAAACGTGTTCTTTCTGCGGTCTATAATTTTATGCGGTGCGAAATACAAGTAGGATGGTGATTTGAACGATAAATTGTCGATATATATACACGTAATTGGCACTTGTTCCACTGTTGCACGACCTGTGTCGAACAAATTTTTCAAAATTGACGTTCCGATTAGGTTCACCTCGACAAGTATGAAATAGTGTGGGAAAGTGCGTAAAAGTTCTCACAATCAGTCAGTCAGTAGCAGGAGGGATTTAAAAACAAGTCCATTTCACGTTTGAGCTGGATTAAGTTTTCAATTGGATAAAGCACTGAGATGTTTTATGCATCATTTCCAAAATTCCCAAGAAGAGCATTATTGCTGCTGGAAGTTTCTTGCTTATTGCCACGTTGGTTTAAAAGACGTCTGAATTAAAGGGACCGAAAAGCACATTACCCAGGACCAATTACCACAAGGCGAAAGAAGTCTTGTGGTTATGTTTTTTGACGAAACGACATCAAAAGCTTGCTCAGAATGAACTGTTAGACACGGTATTTAATAATCCAACAACAAAATGAGCTGGAACAAACCATGTCCAAACCAAGTTCCGCTTTATCTGCATTCACTATATCTGCACATCCGGTTCATAAATATTCAAACTTTTTGGAGACTTCCTACATACACAAAAATGCTAATGACTTGTGTTGATTGTCAGAGAGTTTTGCTATCCACTTTGAAATATTACACCATCACGTAAGATTTGTAGTTTTGTTGACCCTTTGCTGAGCTCAAATATTAATACAGAAGCTCAAATATTTATTGTAGGGTGAGACCCTATTATGGGAATGTCTTGTCCGTCCATCTGTCTGTCCGTATCCACTATAACTTGGGAAGGGAAGCCAATTTCGGGATGCGGTCTTCAGCAAAGTATTTTTAATTTGGAGAAAAATTAAGTTGGCATTGTAGGTCATAAGTTGACCTCAACACCAATACGGCGATGCGGAAAATGGTCAGAATTTTTAGTTTCGAACGTTTTAGACGTATATAGTTTGGCTTTCAAAAATCGCTATCATTTCAACATACGTCTACATGTAGACCAGGTTAAACTTATGAAATGCCGAATTTTTAGTTTCTAGCGTTTTGGACATTAGTTAACAGAAGGCCCCGTTTGGTTTCACCCTATTGCTGAATTTCGTTTATTTACACTGAATTGCTGAAAATTCGGAAAAAAATCTGCTCATGATTATATACTTGAGATTTCATAGAGAGACCTTCAATTTGTACTTCATCCTGAGCCATGTCCAACCTAAAATAATAATAATGATAATACTGGTAGAACTGGCAGACTGGGTGAAAAATTATCCACGAGAAGTGAATGATAATGATTATTTTTATAAAAGCGAGTCCGAAGAGAGTGAAATCACGCTTTAATTTATTAACTCGCAAAGTAACGCCCTTTCCCCCACTCGCTCCATCCCTGCGTGGTCGTTTCCTACTTGTGCACTACTTAAATCTAGTGATTTGGCATCTCTGCTTTTCCGTCCACCTCAAGTTTCTAGAAAAGAATAAATAAAATTTGCAGCTTCAGTGTGATTCATATAGTATTTATGTACTTGGTACATTTGTACATAATATGAAATAATAGGGTTACATAATTTCTCCAATGTCTGACGCTGTACATATTGTGTGGTTATCATCACGCAAGGATTGAAAGATAAACATATGAAATACATGCTACATTTTTTTTGCATACTACGTTGTCTGTTGTGTTTATCAGGTGGAAATTGGTTATCCATAATGTTTCTCACACCATAACATAGTGGCAAAACTGGTGTTGCCTGCTCAGCGGATAACTTGATAAGAATTCAATTTGCAAACCTTTTCCTGTAGGGTTTAATGTTCCTGAAAATTTAGTAGACCAGAAACCAATGCGAGTGCTGTATTAAGCAATTTGAAACAATTAATATAACCACTCATTTCGCATGTGAGAAGTTTTCAGAAGATTTAGGATTAGGAATGCATGATCTTGTACACAATTTATACGAATTACTTATTATCAACCTGGGAAAGCAATAATGAAACCAGTGTGATAATTTTGCTAAGAGTACATATGTTAAGAGCAGTACTTTAAGAAGTACTTCGTGTATATGTGTAATTAGTACTGCATATTGTTGTGTTACGTCAGTGTGCCCATACAATTACTGATTTTAATCTATGGGTACATATTCATTAATTCAAAACTGGAACCGTTTGCTTTATACATACAAATTTAGTTTGATTAGGTCGAAAGTCATAATTGCCAGGATTATCACTGCTTATAATTATCAACAATTATCGTCCACTGACTAGCAATTATTATGAATGATTGCATAGCAGATATAAAGATGTTTGGGGGCTATGTATAGGATTTGATATGGAAAGAAATTATTGTATAAAATTGTGTACGAAGAAAAAAATAAGATGCAATGTTCTGCTGATTATGTCTGCAGTCATTTTATTTTTATTTTGATACTCTGATTACAAATATTATACAACTCAGTTAATTTATTCATGGGCGAGCAATTTCCTCTGCCAGGAAAGCACCCACTGTTGGGTGGCTGACATCGGCGAAAACTCCGGGGAAGGCGGCTAACCCACATGGCAAAACAGGGCCCCAGGATACGATCCCAGCCAATTGGGGAGTGACCCCGTCCTCAAAGCAGACGAGAGGACCTAGAATAAAATTAGCCAGATTATTCCCAATTGAGACATGTGCAGTGGTTTTCTAACCTCCAGAATCCCCGCTGCAGGCACCGTGACCATCCTCAAATGGCCATCCCGCACACATCATGCTCTCATCAACGTTCTTATCATCTTGATAAGCTTGTCTACAAAATTCCCACGGATAAGTCACCAATTCTACTTTTTGAAGTACATCGGGCAGAGGGAAGCTGATGCCATCTGGGTGGCTAGATCCCCACCCAGTGTTTACGCATCTTATCATTTCTGGCAGAGGAGTGCCAACTGGTCTGAGGGGGATAGGTTGCACCCACTCGGTCCATTCCAACGGCTCTGCCAGAGTGATCACACCCGCGTCGTGGGAGCTCGTTGTTCTGGAATAATGACATTAATGTAGATGTTTAATACAGTAGCGATACAACGAGCGCCATTATTATTTACGTATGCGTGCCTAATTATGTTCGATTAGTATTACAGAAGGTTACCGATTATACAAGGGGTGCATCACTCCTCTCCTGAGATCTCGATATTGCTGGGTAGACTCGTTAACCTATTTCCATACTAGAAAATTACTTCTGCTTGTAAATAAGATTGACTTTCATCGAAGGAAACTCACTTTCATGTTGCTCGCACCTGCAACAACTTCCATCAGTGTTACCGGAAAATCTCTGAGACAATGGGCCGCGGTGACCACGTGTAATTCGTCAACTATGAAACCCCCACAAAAGTGCATGTTCAAAGAAATGTTGTTGACTTCCCACACTTTGATGGAAACTTGGTATGGAAACTCCCCAACGGTGGCATTGTCACCACCAACAATTAGCGGATTCCCAATCACCAAACCAGTCCCGGACGCTGAAAGTGGAAACTCAAGTATCAAAATGTGTAAAAAGCATGGATACTTTTTAAAAATCGTTTGAATGACCTCCTTGGAATACGAAACCAATCGTAAGAAGAAAGCACGAAAATTCAGCCAATATTTGGAGCCTCATCATGATGTGATGTGTGCACAGGGAAAGCCGATTGAGTTATTGAAACTTAACTAATTTTATACACAGAATATGATCGATTACAAGTTCAACTATTTGTGTATGTTACATAACGATTGACATTGTGCAATAAGTTCGTCACGCCATGTAACATGTATCACATCACTGATAATCAAAAACTTGAGATAATTTTGGAACAGTCAAATCACAAGCGAGTTAGATAACCATAATGTTCATTTGCATTAAAGGGCAGAGGCAGACGCATCATTTTTCTAATTCTAATTTTTGTATGGTAATTAATGAAGGCAAAAATTAGGGTGAACAATGACATTTCAAATATATCATTATATAACGTTCATGCTGCACAGCAAGACCACTTCCGTTACGGCACTCTTGACTGCTTTCTTTCGAATGCAGAAGCCCAGTGTTTGCAAGCAAAGCACTAGATTACATAAGAAGTAAATGTTATGCGTAGTTTCCTTCGCAGAAGAGTGATTTTGTGAGTACCATATTGGACAGTCAAATTATTGCTCCAATTTGTAATAATTCTCAGGAAAAGCCATTTTTTAGCTGCTCGAAATCTATTGAGAAATTTTAGTCGTCTTTCCTTGGCACCTGCTTCCTCTTCTGAGGCAATCACTCGGAACTTCTGAAAGCCAGTAGCACGTCTCTCCTCGACTTTTCTTCCTTTGTTTCCACGTTGCTCCAGTCCGCTGCTTGACATAAAAGAGTGCATCTTGTTCTCTTTATACTTTTGTTGGGAGTAAATAAATTGCACTTGTACAAAGTACCCTGCCATTAGTTCAAGCACTAGCTGACTGGCAGCTGGGCAATTTCGGATTACTGTCTGTGAGACTATAATACATAGTCCTGCCATGTAATCTTACGAATCAAGCAAGTATGAAGCAGTTTAAGTTAACAAGTTATTTTTCACCCTTCTTATTGTTCGTCCATCACAATTCTTGAGTGAAAATATATCAAAATTTTCTATTCTTGCGTTTGCATGTGCATTTAACTTATATTTCATGCAGAATGGGCTAGCAGCATCAGATTTAAATCTTTTTGCACGAGCTGCAGGGTTAAAAATATATTAAATAATCGGAAAACTTGAACCATATCGCCTTGTGTGCACTAACCTCGCGGAAATCATAGTTTGTGGTACCCGTCCAAGTTGCAATAAAAATTTCAGCCGAGGTGAAATGAGCGATACGGTGTCATAGTATTTCGCATCGATATCACCGAATTTAATTCAAGAAATTGCAAAGTGAATTGCCGTTGCAAAGATCAACTTAGCATAACTATTTTTGAATTATACGCAACCACCCCCCCTTAAAAAATTGGGGTAAAAAATTGGGAAAAATGAGAAAACTAATGTACACACCGTAAAAAAAGAATTAGACCTCAAGTTGTATTTGACATTTTAATTCCCCCATGAATACAAACATTTTGACGCAGCAAAAGTTTCAAAATTTGAAAATTGGCGGTTCTTTTGCATACACATAAATCACTAAAAAACTCATTGTTCCGGTCATTTTGAGTCTGACAACCTGATGCCAGATTTTTCTCCTTGACAAAAGCTACATTTTCAGCTTTTGTTGCCCGACTCAAAATGACCGGAACAATGAGTTTTTTGGGGTCAAAGTTTCTGAGGGAGGGGCTTACACAGCAAGAGCCGTAACAAATGTAAGGTTGCTTATGATATACATAATCGTAATTACCGAAGTCATTAAAACAGCCTCAAATCGCCCCAAATTTAAAACATAAGCCTTTCTGAATTTATAATGATGATGTGCATTCGAAAATTAATGCTTTGAGGCTTATCAATCAAGTTATCAATTTTTCAGATAAGCAAATTTAGTTTATCCAAATCGTCCAAAATTTAAAACTTAAGCTTTTCTGAATGTGCAATGGTGACATCCACTCGAAAATTAACGCTTAGAAGCTTGTCAATGAAGTTATCAATTTTTCAGATAAGCAAATTTAGTTTATCCAAATCATAGGATAAACTCATTTGGTTCATAATCCCGGTAAACAATTTGAAGAGAGTGAGAAGTGAGACGGACCACCATACGGCACTGGCAACGACAGTCAGCCGTGGTGGTGGATACCCACCAGAATCCGAGTCTCACTCTGCCTTTCGCTAAATAATGGAAACTGCGTTTGTCGAACGGTTGGGCTGGTTTATCTCAGCCTTCACATATTCTCCTCCTCTTGCATCTCAAATTCCTTCGACGATTTCAACCAGAGTCCAGAAATTTGTACGGGCGGGTTCATGGGTTGGAGCATTCGTTGTTGTAACTTATCATTAAATTCACTTTTAAACTCGACTTTATGGCAAAATTAATTTTAATGTGCCAGACTTGAAGAATGAATGTGTGCAGGAATCGTGAAGTTGTTGTGTGGGAATGATGATGGATTTGTTGAAGCTTTTGATTCTTGTGTTTGGTCCTTTGCGGCCAAAGGTTTTCATTTACGTTAATAAATTGCCCGTCTAGCCGACTGAAGGGTCTCGCCCTTAAACAAAGCAAAACAATTTTAATGAAGAAAAATAATCCAGCCCCAACCGAACCCCTTCTTCTTTACTTCAGTTCACTCCATATTATTTTGTACATGTAGTTTCAGTACCCGTGAAAGTTGGTCAATCCCTGATTCATTATTATTGCTGTACTACTCTTGAAACTCGTATATTGTTTTTTCATATTGGGAATTTTTCCGAGAGGAGAACAACCTTTCTTCTAATCTTCAGCCCAAAGGTTATTATTACTCCTAATTACTCTAAAACTTCAACAAACGAGCACTGATTTGAGAACACGTCTTTTAGTGAAGCTGTTAAAGGGAGCACATATTTATGGTGGCCGTATAGATAGGGTTAGTTGAAGGAATTTATAGGACTAGAAAAACTGGGGCAAGAGTCTCGACCTTGTCTTCTCACATTGTGGTAAGGTTATACATTTAAAGTGCCCTCTTAAGTATGCAACAATGTTTTGGATCTGTTTATACAACAAAAACTGTTAAATTGCTTCATTCGACAACGTATTATACGTACGTGGACGGCTGGACTGGAGTATTATGCAATAAGGATGAATTTAGACGATTGTCGGCTGTACATTGAGAATGAAAATGATCTTTGTTGTCATAAACAGAGGAAAGGTTTAAGAGCTTAGCCCCGTCGTTCATCATGTCATGACCAGGTTCAACTCAACCCAAGGCATTCGAGAATATTTTTTCAATGGTGAGGAGATCGTGGGCACGGTCGTCGAAACTGACTCTGGAACTAGTGAGTGGGTACTTTTTCCTGAGGAACTGGTCGGCCTGGCTGGATTCGTTGGGGGTTGTTGCTGATACAAACCTACATGTTTTTTTAGAAAACTTATACCTCTGTTACTTTTAATGATGCAACATGGTGCATATAAATCCCTTAAATTAGCCAACCCCTTGGCTTATTAAACACACATTTTCTATTTATTAAGCGAAATACATGGCCACAAAATGACCTCGACCCTGTTTATGTTTCCTCCTCCAGGCGTAAAAATTGTTGAAATATTTAATAAATAATTTATGTTTGAATTTATACATATTTTCTAGTCTCGCTTAACGTGAACCCTTTGACCATTAGGCATGTAAAATTTCTTTATATGCTAAAGAGCGTTCCCCAAAAAGAATATTCCGCTGAAATTACAACAAGTGTATTCTTTTCAGACAATATTCAAACAACTTTCTGCACGAAAAACTCTTGCTTATAGAAGTCGGAGTATGTATAATTAGGTAAAAGCACATCGTCGTGGGCTCCCTGTTGTTATCAGAAAAGTCTTTACAAAATTCACCCTTAAAATCTTCCCAATTCTTTCGAGTCTTCCCTGTCCCGTGATAATTTATAGGTTCAGGTGCATAAATAACGCCGCTTTATTCATGCGATTCCCTGTATTTTATGTTTTCATTTTTTTCTTCTTCTTACTTCCAGGCCAGCATCCCATTGTCCAGGCTGAGATTTTAATGCACCTGTTTTTGACGCCAGCCAAGCATCCCATCATTTAATAAGCAGCTTCTTTGATCACCGAGGTAAGAAGAGATACTTTAAATAACCTCCCTCTTTCGATCCCTTTGATGAAAGCCGGCTCCTATCTCCTCTTCCTGACTGGACGCACAAAGACTTGTTATTACCTACATCAGGCTCAACCCATTCCCCAATAGCACTGATAAAAACTAATCTTCAGTCCCAGTTTATTAAGAGCTTATGTATGCATACATAAAAATATGTTCACATGAGCCTATTCGTACGTACCAGCCTACTGGTCTCATATCAAATAGAATAAGAACAAAATCTTTGATAATTACTTATACACAAATGCACGCATGTGTTTAATTTCTAAGTACGCCGATGGACTGTTCAACGTCATAAATGCGTATATATCACCTTCATCAATTCGGTTGGATCATTCTGATTTCTCAACACCCCTTTCTCCAGGCACATGTGTATGTGCATACGTTGCATATATGCATGTGGTAATTTCATGTACAATTTCAGCCCTTGAGGCTTTACACAAAGGAATTAAATTCTTTTGCACGCAGCGCATAAAATCAGTTCAGTACCGTCCTCCTTGCCCTGCTTGGAACGTTCGTGCCACATCATTTTCAAAGGCCAACGGCTAATTCGAAAAGATGCTTACAATCAAAGTTACAATATTATGAATTCATTCCAGTCGTTGACGTGGAGTTTCGAAAAGTCAACATTTTTTGGTACAACCACCAGCAAATGATTGAGATGGGCTGATGCCTGGTACATACTTGCCTTCTTCATACTGGTCCCATAAGTCAAGGGTGGCATGAGGATATCTGTATATAATGTGCGTACCTATGTATGTTCATCATGCATACGTACAACAGCTATAACAGAGGAGGTAAAAGGTAAATAGGCAATTACACTGAATCGTACAGACCTCACAGACAGGATGAGGTTAGTAAATGCCTTGGTAATGATGCAACATAAACACCTTCATAAAGTTCAGAATGCAATACTAATGACAGAATATGGTAATGGCCGAGAGAACGGGCGAGACGAGGTGGGATTTGCACGAATTATCCATGCTTCGTTTCAGAAGAAAGAATGAGCAATTGCAATGCTTAAAATTTATGGAAATTGCACCATAACTTCCACTTGATGTCAAAGGGGTACGCATGAAGGAATTGTGCCTTATGTTTCTTTTAATTTCTATCAATTGGTGCTTTGCATGGAGGAAAACCGATTAAAAATTGTATCCCAAATTCAAACTTAATCCCATCTTTCGAATATTTCTCAATTATCATCCAGAATTTGGGAAAAGGTTGGCTAATGGGTTATTGTTGGCTGCTGCATATTTGGCAGTTGTTGATCCGGAAAGCCAATTGCTGATACTTCCCAAAATAGAAGCCTTGGTCGTGGTTGGTACCAACATATTTATGAGATTTTCAAGAGCCGTGATGGGGTTGCTTGTGGATGGTGGAAGTTTGACCCCGAGGTCAGATGCGAGTTTGTTGACGGCGTCCTTCATTATCTTGTTAATATTGTCACTTGCCTCTTGAACTGTCCTGGACATGCTGTTGACTTTGATGGCCGTCGACAGCATCTCGGTCATGGGTGGCAAGTACTGCGCTAGTGGGGAGTTGTACAGGTTGGAAATGGTGTTATAAATTTCGATTGGTGACATCGGACCCCCAGACACGTTCGGCAAAGTGGGGAGAACCTGAGGGTCAAAGGGAAGCAAATATGTTATTTTTTATACTGCTATTTAAGTTAGTATGTATATGTGCATTCGGAATCTAATTTACCGAAGCTGCATCTGTGAAGTACAATAAACCACAAATTAAGACCCACTTCATTTCTGATACAATGTTTCTTCAGCTCAAAAAAATAAACGTATCCCTTGAAGCAGAACTTTTCTTTCTAATGACGCCGAGTGAATGCTATCAATGATTATACGAGATCTGATTTACGTATTTAAAAAAATGCATGAATATCAAACAAAGTTTCAATGTGAAGCACAAAAGGAGCGCCTGCTCCGGCAGGTGCACCCTTGTTCACTGCACAACAATTTTTTAATCTAGAGAAAATTGATCTATTGTCAATCAATCTACAAGTGCAGAATTGTGTGATGTAACACAATTTAATTGTCCAGTTTCAATTGTATAAATATGTAGAACACGGATTTCAATATTTGCAATGTATAAATTGTGGATAGAAGTATCAAAGCGAATATTTATGAGCTGCGTCCTCGAATTTTGATGATTCTCTGCGGTCTTAGTTTGTCCCCACACTTTAAAATATATAAATGCAACAGATTTAACTTTTTTGATGTCGCAAGTGTGTATAGGCTTATTAGTGCCTACAAGTCTATGCTTAAATAAAAATCGGTGGAAAAAATAAACCATCAAATCGAATAAAACAATAAAAATGTGGCGAGTAAATACTGTCACCAAAGATAAACCTAAACCATCAAACTGCATTATTATAATATTTTCAGCTAAGTACATAACCAGATAGCAACACTTTTGCTGACATGTACAGAATACAAATTCTTGCGTGTGTGTTGTTCCTTGGACTATTTAGCATGTATCTGATGTATCTATGAACTCAACCACGCTGGTAATGATAATGGCAAAGGTTAATAATCAAGAGTTTGTGGGGAGTTGCTTATCGTGCGATAAAGAAATAAAATAAATATTACGTTGATACCTTGAGGAGTAATTTTGAGCTGCAACATTGTTTACACCCGAGGAGATTAGTCATCAGATACATTTTATTGGTTTGATAGGCGGACCAGTGGATCATGAAAGCATAAATTACATTTATTTTATACGCCACGGTGTGGTTGTTGGTGATACAGAATCTTTTTCCTCAGTCTGCTTTCGAAAACACTGTGTGGTTTTGTCACAGCTAAATATTATGATTACATTTTTCCTTCATGATTTCTGAGCATCTTTTAAATTTATGATGTTCTCGTGCACACCCCTGTGCGTGGTGGTAATTTAGTTATAAAATTCAGATCATAAACTTTAACTTTGCCGTAGTAAATAAATGGTACATGTTTTTCGCCTTCCATATTTCATTTTATTTTTCATTGCATATAAATTTTGCAATACACACAACTCTCGTATAAGGAAATGACTATGTATACAAGTACTTGTCACTTCCCACATATTGCGAATACGCATTTCGCAGAAAATGTTGTGTTATAAAGAAATTAGTTCCCAGTTAGTTTCTAAATATCATCCAAGTAGAATTTCGTGTGATGAGACCCCTCTGAGTTTATGTTGAAAGTTTTTTATTATTATCAAAAGTAAGAGAAATTTACTACCCGTAAAAAGTAAAAAGAATCGAGATTAATTATTTCCCTGATCTCTAGCCTTTTAAAACTTGGCTTTCGGGATTCTGTCATCGCAGAAGCAGGATCAGCTAATAAATGCACTTTTCCTCCAGGGTGTAATCCCGCACCCCCGTCCATCCTAATAAACTAAGCGGCCTTTCATGTCATGCCTTCGCAAATTATTATCTTTCTCACAGTTGTTCTTAAATCGTATTGTCAAAAAATAATAATTGCACCAGGCACGATTATGTACGATTACATTGTTTTCGAGCAGGTTGTGCTCGTTTGAAACTGAAACCTGAAATGCATTATGCACACTCAACCCGTCAACTTTCATTGTGATGAAGCATTGTACGTACGTACGTATGAACGGAGGAAGCGTCAACTTGTGTAATCGGAAGGGCAGGTGGTATGGTCGTCATCATCATCAAAGTCTGGAAATCTGTGGTTCCTCATCCGTAAAGCCGCACGATATCATGACTTGTCTTGCTCCTATCGCAGCTGAAATTCCAACTCCGGAAGGATGCCGACCGTAATCTTCGATTTGGTGGGTGAATCCGTCTTAGCAGCTCATTCATGTCAGTTTGTTTCTCTTCTATAGCTATTCCTCACGAGCTTCCAGTCCATAACATCAACAGCTTGGACCATTTATTCTTGTGTATTCTTGAGGAAAACTTGGTTTTCTTTGCGTGAACCAGAACTTTACTTGGAAGTTTGGTTAATATGGCACGTACCACACTTCCACCGATAAGCTCAACCACAACTCTTTCTTCTTGTTCCGCTCTGGAGACTGGACCTCTTCGTTGTTTCGTATGCATTGCATTGTTTTGTCTTCGTCGAGTTAATTGGACCTTCTCGTTTTTCTCCTCGTCATCGTCAGGCTTCGTTGCTTTCGGACGACTCGTCAGCTCGTTAGCTCAACAATATTCGGAATTTTATTTATCCTTATATATACTTTACTCGCATGCAAAAAAACATTCGCATTTTTGGGCAATTCTTTCAAATTTTGTTTGATTTGTTGATTTGTTGATTTTAATTTTTTACCTTATTTAAATACGTGTATAAAGCTTTATAGCCTATACGTAGAGGAAAATAATCCTGCCGAGAAAAGTCATGAGATTAAGATTCATACCTGCCTACCGCAAATTAAATCCCATCTCACGCCCGTAAATAAAGATAATCCTCTTCAAAATCCCATTTTCTTCGAAACAATCTGTGCAAAATCTTTTCAAACCTACACCAAACTGTCACAATCTCTGTTTCCTGATGAAAAATTATGGAGATTTAATTATGAATTTGCGGCTGTCTTTTCTCCCACCGGATTTTGTTTGGATATATTTAATAACGGACAAACACAATCAACCCTTTCATGCGGCATTCCTCCACCTTTAACTAACGTTCATATATAGGGATACATAAATAAAAGTACGTGTAACGTACAGAGATACTTTAAGAAGATAAGCAACATGTTAAAAGTTTGTTAATTTTTTAAACTTTGCCACTGGCCATCATCATTCACTAAATGGCCAAACTTGGTAAGTTAAATCCCAAGTAAGTACTTTGGCTTTTGCAGACAACAAGTGTCGGATTAATTGCCAGGAAGGTGCTACGATTTCTTATCAGGATTTGAATTTAAACGGAATAAAGGCACCACGCACCAGCAAGCAGGTTTTCGAAATAGCAGTTGGCTTTAATCCATTCACAATCGTACAGCAAGTCTTTATCTGACATTGCTATCCTCGTTCGTACGTTACGTGTGCTTGCAGTTTACGCATTGATTTGTTGAGATTTTAAATATTTTCCAACGCCTCGCACAAAATCCAAGGCTTGTGGCCACGATGCTTTTTCAGTCTTGAGAAGCGGGGTTCAATGTAATGAGTAGCCTGAAGGGCTCCTCACTTACATAGTCATTACAGAAAAACTTACTCGTAATACCACCTACAACTTTACAACATGAGATGAACCCCCTGCACTTCAACACAAGCATCCAAAATACCTCATGGCTTGAAACGTGGTGGAAGAGCGTAGTAAAGAGGAACGGAATTATCACAATCTTAATAACTCCCCATTTCTCCACGAAGCCCTGAAACACACGGGTGGCAGGTATAAAGATGGATTTAAAAATACAACGGACAAGGAACAAGTCCACCCAACGAAAAAGGACTAACGACCAAAGGGGCTGAATATATTGGGCATTAAAAAATACAATCTTTTGTTTAAAGTACTGATAGAAACTTATGACTTTAAACTCGTGTCTTTCCACTGTTTCACGTAATTTGGTCCAGCTCCATCCTTCTACGCAAACCCCCATCCAATAAGCTTAGCAACCCACCCAAGCATTACGAAATACGCTGGACCCTGTTGCATCGAGCGGCGTGTGAGCGTTGTTCCTTCGCGTCTTCTTGTGTAAAAAGTAAGTCTCAAAAAGCGAGGTGAATGAGGGAAGGGCACGTGGAAATCCTGCTTAAGCACACGACACCTGAATCCGGTACAACTCACTCGCACCTGTAATCCTAGATCCTCAGCCTCTCTCGTACATACTCCCCAATAAAAAGATTACGTTTTGATGATCCTCTCATTCTGCTCAACGAAATCAGAGCCGACGCTTCTGATCGCTTTCTTCTCAAAAGACAAGAATCATATTCCCATTGTTTTAAAGACTTGCAGGTCTAATTTTTTTTAGTTTAGAATCATTTGCTCTTGCCCCTTTAAGTTCTTACTAAATTACTAAATATATACACGGTACATTCAGTTGTAGAATCGTGTCATCTGTCTCAATAATCGTGACAAATTCAATATTTCCTTAAATCAGTGCTCGTGCCGGGCCGTTAACACTTGTTGAAAGACTGATTACTTGTTGGAGCATCGTCTCAATTCTTCCGTTTTGGCACGTCAACAATTTGACACTTGACAAACAATTTGAAACGTTTTACAGTTACAATAAACCAATAAAATTTACGGGGACAAAACGAAACAAAAAATTACATTCTGCAAAAAGAAAATTCTAAAAGTAATAATTCGTGTAATTGTGTCGTCTTAAATTGATCATGAAGTTGTTGTAAGTGCAGAGATGGAGATAATTCAAGCCAGAAGAGCGACAACAACTGTGCCTAAATTTTAAAATACGATATTAATGTAAGTCGTTAAACACGTTGCAGACTGTGTTTCAACAATGAGTTGTTGGTGGTGTTAGAGGTGGTTCGAGTCCAGTATGTTGGATATGGTTGAAATAAATTAGGAATTTTCATAAGTCACAAGGAAAAGTCACCCAGCTCTCCACGTTCCCATTGTATTTCTCACGTCTACCATGTCCACTCTGTCATAATTGCCAAAAAGACAAGGAATCCGTCAAGAAATAATTTTAATGCAGTCGGCGCAGATGAGGTTCTTCCTCCAAGAGAATGATACACAGAGTCAACCACGAATAATGGATTAAGTTCAAAAATTATTATTAAAGCTTTTTCAACAAACAGCCGACCAAAAGTTGACGACTGTGACAAAGAAGAATTTTTTGTTTGGATAACACTTGCACACTTCAGTACCTCCTTTCAGCTCTTTTAAACTTTAAACTTCACCCGTCCGAGTCATTTTAATCGTGTTGCATTCAGTCGGTCTGAATAAGTTCCGTCATTCAGCAAAACCAACCAAAATCACATTGAAGGCAATTTCTACCAAGCCCAGCAAAACATTTGGAGTTTGCTGATCAAACCAACACCTAATTTCCTCGGAAGACTGAAGAGGAGGAGGAGGTGGGAAGAAGAAGTCTTGTTTTGTAATACGCAAATTGCTCTAAACATAGCGTTGTCGTGCTCGTTTGCCAATTGTTTATTTTATTTTATCATTATTATTTTTGTGAACTATCGCAACATCATCGGTCGTTTGGAGGTGGTTCCTCTTCCACTATTTGCCTCATTTTTTGGACGGGTTTACTCCCAAAGTGTTTGCGCTTGATGTGAACTGTCATTTTGACAGTAGATTGTAATCTCTTGAAAAAATCTACTTGTGGCTTCAAGAAAAGGAACCTGTGAATTCTGCCCAATTCGATTATACTCAAAAGCTTATACACTTCATCTTATTCTCCTTTGCTGATTATTAGCGTCAAGAATTAAGAAAAAAACTTTCCCAAACTCTGTCATTGCGAATGAAACTAAACTGTTCATAAGCATTTTTATAAGAAATCGGATTGTTGTGCACAGTCAGTTGAGGTTGGAACTTGTTTCAAGACGGTATTAAGTGCTTGAAAATAAATAGTGGTTGCGAGACTGTGCGTGAATGTGAAACAACGAAATTTTGTAAATTTATCATGTAAAATTTACCCATCGGCTTACATCAAGGGGTTGATTATACCCTGCTTGTTGTACAAAATTATTATTTGGGTAAAGACCCACTTTGCCACCAAATTATCCCAACAAATCGCTTCTTCAATTGTGCTCTTTTTGTTGCTGTTTGTGTGACGTGAACAAAAGTGTCCCACCCTCAACTTGTGTGAACCCAAGTTGTTATTATCTCATTGTAATTGTGATGCAAATTTCTTTTCTTTATCAAATTGTCTTAACTTGGTTCAGGTGCTCGAGCGAGCGAGAGGTGAGTGTGAGCAGTGTGAAACCAAAAAAGTTGAAACAAACAGCAATCCATTTCCATTTTTATGAGGTTGAGAATACAAACTTTGTATGTGCTCACAAATACTCAAATACTCGTTGTTGGAGTTGTGACCATAACAGAAATAGGCTGTCCAATCCAAATCCAGCATTTGTGGTACTAAATGAGTCCCTATTAAAACAAAGTGATTAACCCACCCAAAGCGAATATAAACTTTTTTTTCCGTAGAGAATTTTAATCAGGTTACGATGCTTAAAAATACAGACAGACTTTACAAGATGGGAAACTGGTCGTTGTCGTCGTCGTCGTCGTACTAGGATAATTATTTACCATTTCCATCAAGATAAACACAAGTCCAACTTGTTTTCTCTGATCTTGTTCTTATAGCATCATTAGCAAGTCTGCTCTGCTTTCATCAATGTTGGTTACTAATCAATTATTGGTTTACTGGAATTTTATATTACCCTTTTTGCATGCCCTTCAATGAAAGGCGTAGATTAGATACGTACAAATATATTGTTCAACATGGTTGAATTCTGGTGGGATTCTTCCTTGGTGCATTTTTTACGAAATTTTATAATGCGTGAATCAGGCTGCATTTAAGTTGTGTGCATATTAGTAAAATAGTGTAATACCCACCAAGCGAGAAACTTGTAATACGTTACTCATGTGGGAGGTATTGACTTTAAGGGAGTTAACGATGACAGGTGCAGAATAATTTAATAAATTAAAGCATACAAATTATCCATCCAATTGTTATCCGAATCTTTTCATTTTATTCGTTTTCTTATTGTTGTTAGCATGCATGCACTCTTCCAATTCGTGGTCGTGTAGTGCATGTATGTAACATAAAGTTCAAGTCCATCCCTGTCTGAAACACATAAATTCAATACCAAAGCCAAACATGGAACAATCGCATGTATTTAAATATACTGACTCGGAAAGCACTTTTGAATGCAATGTACCACGTAAATCTCTCGAATCAAAAAAGCAAACTGGATAATCAAACTGCACGAGGGATCAGCATTAAATATTTTGGATTTATTGCTGCGATTCACCCCACGAGGCGTCGATAATAATTCCGAGGTGATGGATTCATTTACCCGTAGAAATAAAATAAATGCCATGTTTCTCTCACTTTGCCAGTAAGTCCCTCATCATCATAATCATAATCTCCTCGCTTATTCCCATCATTTGCACAAAACATGAAGGAGGCAGTAACAGTGTAAACAGTGTAATAAAATGTAAACTGTAAAAGTAAATATTAGTTTTCTTTCCTGCATAATACCCCAGTAATGAACTTTTGCTAGACAAGAAAACCACACTCAGGTGGACGAATTCACGTTTACCTGCGATTTGTAGCAATTCTTCATGCTTCATGAAAAATTTCCTCGTTGCCTGTGAATAATATGACTTGCTAACTAAATCCCCTTGTGAACTGGTTAAGCCTTTACCTTGCAGAAACTGGTAGGTAGTCGGGTCGGGTGATGGAAACGACGAGCTCGTAGGGAATAAGTAAGTACGTGGACATAAGTGAAGAAGTCTGAGCAAGTTGGTTCAGAAGGGATTTGAGTCATCATCCATCGTTAAAAAGTTTGCATGCGATAGAGGATGCAAACTGCAAAAGTGGATGGAATTGTATCATCCTTCTCTCCTACCAAGCAAGCATATTAGCAGACATGTAACATAGCGAAATAAATGTATAACGCGGTGAACAGATTGCTTTGCTTTCGCATGTGCACGAATTCTCCTTCATTCAGAAGGGATTGTTAAGTTGTAATCTTTTATTCGTCTTACCTCAATTTATTTCATTCCATCGCTGCTCCCTCGTGAGGCTGCAGGTAGTTTTCCTTTATTCGTCGCTGCACATTTTTTGGGGAGAATTTGAGACAGATTTTTAGGTAAAAATGTGCAGTGAAATATACATGCATACTTTTTGCCCTTGTGCGTTTGAGTGATTTTAAAGACAGGAGAGGTGACAGCGTCTTGTTTTCTTCGAATAAAAGGAAATACATAATTTGATCTAATAGCTCAACTCTCTCAAGACGAGGCCTGTGTGACTCAAGTTGTTTAAGATTGAGGAGGATCTCACATTGTCATTTGGATAACGTGGTGCAGTTCAGTTGTGATTACCCATCATTATCTTCATTGTTGTGGGTTATTGTTACAATAATAAGTGACACACTTGTGATAAGTGTTATTATCTATCGGTCTTGGTGCCTGGACTCTGAAGGGGAGAGTATGCAGAAGAAAAGCTCATATTGACTCCTTCAATCTGTTGTTGAGATGACTTGATTGTTACCTTGTGTCCCTCTTGACTTTTGATTGAAGTTTCTATTCACTGCAGAGAAACAACCTTTAAAATGGCTCAAGCACATTAGTAGTTTTATTAAATATTTGTGTAAACAAAAATACTTGAGAACATAAAGTCTGTGCTGGTGAAGGTTGAACTTGAGTTTTTTTTCACCTACAAAGTGCTTTGCTTTGGTTAAGCTAAATAATTTGATAATTTACGATTTAAATGCAGTTCCTCTAACCAAAAGGAGAATATTACTTGTAATATTAGCATTGTCGAGGATTCGAGTTTGTTTGTTCATGATTTCATGAGAGTGGCCTCCTCCCCATTATTATACGAAGCACTAGACACGTGTAGTAGTGCTCGACGTTATTATTATTATTTACTTTTCTCCATCCACCTTACCACCACTATTTTGCTGACAATGAGATGAATGTGATAGGCAGGTTGGATGGATGGATGGGATCAGCATTAAATTATTGGTCTTCTCTCACTCTTTGTTTCCTTCAATCGTGGGATCCATGATTCAGATTCAGATCACTGTCTTTTCTGGGGTGTCAACTGGTTCACATTGTGTGCTGAGATTTGGAGAGGCGAGCACCGAATGCTCTCCTAAATAGAAATGGATTGCTGAATTTAAAAAATGGAAAAGTATTGTGTAGCACCACCCCGTGAAATCTGCAAGTTTGTCTACCAGAGAAACTCTTAAATACAGTTCTGTTAAATAGTCAAGGCGAGACAATAAGGTAAACAAAACCAGCCGTGCTGTTTTGTTTAAACATAAACGATCAAGCAAGAAGAAGAGACATCAATAAAGAAGAATCTTGAAGAAAAAGTGAGTCAAATAACTCGAGACTCTGCGCTGCGCCCAACCAACAGTTTTTGTGTGGTCTTGAGACTTCATCATTATTAAGCGAGTGCAAAAAAAAATATTTTACAACTATATAACTCATCAACGTATAATAAAAACGCCGCTTTTGAATATAATTCGGAAGCAAAACTACTAAGACAAAGGTTTAACACGAGTCTTGGCAAACTTTTGAGATTTTTACCACCGTTGATTCCCAAGTGGTGGTCATTATACGTATTTTATTCATACTTCTCGATCCTCGTGTTGATCAAGTTGCAACTGGGCTTGAACTGATTGGATTTGCATTCTAGTCCTCCTCGAGTGATTGAGCTGCTCCTCATCAGTCCTCATCAATAATCTCCTTCGAAATCTCTCGGTTATCACTCCGTGATCTCAAGATGAAGCCAGGCCACGCCGAGTTCAATTTTGCAGCAGTTAAGGAACAGGAAGTTAATAGGATGCGTGTTATCTTTCTGATTCAATAAGACAACCGCGGATCGGCCGACCAAGTTACGTAAATTCTACAAAGGAAATAAATACAGAAGAAAAAGCCGAAAAGGGTTTGGATTTTTTTGCATGAAGGGATTCAGAAAGAATTCATGCACATATGTACGTATCACCGGAAGTGTAAAATCCCAGAAAGTTATAACAAAAGGAAGATAGTATTCACAACTCTTCTTTTCGGCATCCTTTGTCATACCACAATAAAAAAGATTCTGAAACAAAGTACCACACACCCATGAGATAAACGGATCATTGGTTCTTCGCATTCCATAAAATTGAACCAACAGCCTTGTAGTCATACAAAATTTGTGAAAACGTCAAAAGAGATGCGACACAGCTACTCGCTCGGAATGAGTGATGTTGATGCCTGAAATCAAAACGTGAAGCGACTTCTAATTCAGTCAATTGTTTATCCCATTTGACACCATTGTTATTGTTGGTGGGAGACTGTTAGAAAAAAAAGTGATTCATTCACCCATTGAAATTAACGACATATTACACACTACACCAAGCAGTCGAATCCTGATCTTGTAATGACGAGCGATGCGACAATGAAAAACCACAAATTACTGAAATAAAATACTTGCCACACCATCTCTTTCAATAATGAAATGTGCCCTTAATGGAATAAGTTACAGTTTTATTACGGTCCACTTAACAAAGTCAAGTGCTCGCAGTTAATGAATATTTACATGTCACGGTGTTGGCAAATTGAATATTTTATTGGATCGCATCTCTCCATCACCCATTGTAATTGCTCAAAGGATAAGTTTTGTGTTTTAATGACCAACTTACAAAAGAATTGAAAAATCGAGAAGAAATAAGTAACAAAAGTCAAACCCCGTGGAACTGGTCCAACAACTGAAATATTATCATGCTTCGTATGTGTGCAGGTTTATCCTATGTGTGTGCATACCCTCTAGACTGGTTGGCTGCAATGGTCCCCCAGCCATTTATTTTATTACATATTACAATCAAATTAAATTGAGTGAGTGGCATGTCTCAGAAATCAAAAGGAGGTGATAATGTTATGAGATGTTCTGCAAAATCTGTTCCGTCCACTATTCTTGCATAATAATTCCTGCACGCTAATAAATGCGTGAATTATACATAAAATTGGTCTGGTCAACAATCCACCTACTTTCTGGTTACTTCTACGTACACACTGCCCAACCTGTCCTGTGCGATAAATAATCTCAGTTTGATCGCCATTATCACCAATGAAATATGGGGTCATCGTAAATAACAAATTACAATAATTAACAACAATAATCGAAGGAGACAATTAAAGGTGACTTCTCATCAAAAAAATGTATACCACGCCACGAAAGGTGAAACAGGAGTCGAGGCTGAGAAGATCTCTGTCTTTGACAAATGCGAATCAAAGATTAAATGGTGGGCTTGCACCAACAATGTCGACAGGTAATTATACACATAACGATAATAATAATAGCAGCTACATTGCACTATTGGAAAGCGGATCTGCTCTAAATACACAGCCATTGATTGCTGTGAGATAATTTATGGCCGCATGGTTCTGCATGGTTCTATTTACATATTTACATGTGCAGAGTTCGTTGTTTACGTTTTGTTACGGAAAGTATCCTTATTATGTAATTCATTAAGCGTTATGTTTTAAGTTGTGTGTCAAAGATAGAAGAACATTGTACAATAAAGAGACCATTATATTCTGGCATGCGTCTCAAAAATGGATTGCACAAGCGACTTCATTAAAATGATCCGAGTTTTGCATTTCCAATCAAATTGGGTTGTTGCTTGTCCTTTCTATGAATGTGTGTACTAGTTTTATAAAAAAAGTTCTTACATTTTAGGTTGATTGCGCGCATTTGCCAAAGTTGACCTAGGACTGGACTCGATTCTATGCAAATGAATCATTATATTAACCAAACGTACAACCACAGATTGCCACCAATTTTACATTAGCCTCACAATTATGTAGCAACCGTTAGATCGCAGCCACAAACAAAGTCACAATAAGTCTCCCCCATCAAACAAATTTTGAAAACCGGCTTCCCAAAAGTTTGTCATGTCAATCCCACCATCGTCCCATGTAGGGAAATAAAGTGTGTAAAAGTGTATACAAATCTAGTCGTATGTAGATGACAAACAGGGAATAGAAAATCCCTAAATTTTAATGAGATCTTTTACACGTGTACTCACAGCATCAAATGTCAATCATTTGTAAATTGGACCAGGTGGCATTGCCAAACTAAACCCATTCTCATGCCACTTTTTATACGTATATGTACATGCGTCTCTAGAGATTTCAACACCTTTCCTAAGCTAAAAGCTGCATAATCCTCAAAGCCCTCCAGTAAATAAATAAATAGAGAATCCAGCCTGTCAAAATTAAAATGAGTTCAGCAGAGTCTTGTGCAGTTACTTATATCCTTTATTGTTTAAAAGCAATCAGCGTGGGTGCGATGAAATCAAGTTGTTGAATCTTTTGAGTGGGAGATGTCCAAATATTTTATTGCTGCGAACCCAATCTTACGCTACATTGTTGTTCAATTGTTCAGGATAGCTGATAAATATGTTGGATAGCTCTCCTGTCGTTGGTATTTTGCCCTGCACTAGAGTGAATGACAGACAGGCGACTGAACTGTGATCACTTAATCTGAATTTTCATCAACATTTCCAATTCATCAACACCATGTTATCAATGTTATGAAATCAACCCTTCTTTGTCGCTGACACAGAGAAAATCTTTCGTTCTTCGTGGTAAAACGTGATAGTCAACCACATAATACTCTCTCATAGCTGTCTGTGGAAGTGACGAGACAATTTTGACATGGTTGCACTTATCTACAAGCATACTCGCTACATAACTGAAATGCATTAATAAATTATTTTTTCAATGCGAGTATTTGATTTTCCACGTTAAAAATGGGTAAAAATCGTGTCTCCCGTATTGCCAAAATTTGACGACCTTTCAAAATATCCTCCTATGTTACAATTAAGTTAACTCATTTGCATGTTTAGCACTTATTGATCCCATTGTCAGGTCGTATTATTATATTCACTTTCCTTTTTGATCCTTATTCACTCATTTAAATACAACACAATCCTCGAGCTCTTTCCTCGAAATCGAGTCCTTTGGTCAGTCAAATATTTGCACGCATCACGACAAACTAAGCCCAAATACAATGCAATGTATAAATAGTTGAACAATGGAGATGCAGCTGGTCTCGAGTTAAAATATCGCATGCCACTAATTGTCTGCAACAAGCTTACATAAACGTACCGTCCAAGCACCTTTCCTTCAACAATTATAACCTTCTACGCATTTACTTTTATTTGATATGTTGCGGTCCAATTAAAAAATGCAAATTACTAATTATCTACGTTGTATATTTTATCCAGCGAACGGGGACGACTACTGTTCTGGAGAATATCACCGCCACCTTCACGACATTGAAGAATCCAAAGATTCCAACACGTACTTTCCATTCAACGGTAATTTGAACCTGAACAGCCAGAGAAGTCGGTATTCCTATACGAACGGGGACGCTGAGGAGTTGACCTTTGACTCTGCGGCTATTCCTGACTTGGTCGATTGCTCATCATCAAACTCGGGAGACAACTCAATTGTTGTCAATAATCATAGTTCCTCCAACCATTACCCTCCTCAGCAGAATCCACACTACGCTCCACCACCATACAGAGTTCCCCCACCGGGAGAAATCGGCTTTGGGCAAGCCTCAGAGGATCTGAGGTCCGATCCGCTGCTCGTCGTGACCCCATCCGACCCTCATCACCAAGGGGTGCCCGACTCACCCATTAGCCTAAATTCGCTTCAGATTCACTCGTCAAAGTTCCCCGTGAGTCCATCATCATCTTCATTATTACATTTAACCTTCAACATCACCGCATATATTTAGTATTGGTCGGCATTTACTTGTCTAATACAAATTATGGTGCATTGCGGACCATCGGATTGGGTAGACGGAGGTAAAATCCATTCGTTTATGGGTCCACTTACAAAATATTCCCACGAATGATGCTGCGGCCCTCTTAAACAATTTCCTGTGCACTTTATGTATTTGAGGTAGATTGTGGATTCCGACTCAGACCATGTATGTTGGTTGGAAAAATGTTTAGTTTACTAATGTTTCCAGGATTATCCGTAATGGTATTGATGAGTGAGCAGAACATAAATGTAACAAATTATGGTGGCCATAATTGGTAGAAATTAATCAGTGTTAGCTTCATTAGTGGGTTCGTTGAAAGCCAGTGCTGAAAATCAGACCGCTGTTGCTCACTTTAATGTTGAGCAATTCATTTAACCTTCAACTCTCAATCAGCATTAGGATCAAAAAGTTGTTGAGAGCACCGGAAGCGCAGTAAAACTTTTACACGCCAAATAACCTGATACTTTTCCAAACGAAATCGAAATTTGTTAAAGGCTTGGTCTTTATTTGATTTGGTGTATTTTTTCTAACCATATTTTGGAATTGTACCCTTGCATTCATGCAATCTTGCAAACGTTGTAATTTCCTGGTGGCTGTAAAAGACAAGAATTACGACCAATATTTTTTACTTTAAACCCCAATTGGCACCCACAACACTTGATACCTGCCTGCCCCACATTTCCTCCCTGAATTGATAAGTTGCCTATGTACACATGTATGTCGGGTTGTTCGCTCCCCCTCAGAGTTGCACATTAGATTATTGTGTGGTACATTACTTTTGAACATCGAAGCTCTACTGCACCAGAATGAATAAGTTATACATATGTCGCTCACCCAGTTCCCATTTATTTATTCGCATTGTGTTCCACATCCATAGCCAACTTTTGAAACCAGAGCCTGTACAAAACTGAAACATACATAGGAGTCGTAATTGTATCGTAATGCATGGGTGACTTCACTTTATTTTTCAACTTCCTTTTCAATAAAATGGTCCCACGTATGTACAAGAACACAAGTCCTCCCTCCACAATATCTGCCCCTATTAACTCCTGGGACGATATATGATGTATGTATGTACGTATGCAAATAAGTACGAACCCATCAACAAGTTGTAGGTATTTAATGTCGCTCGGATTGAAATGAGAAAATTCCCATCCTGTCGAAAGCAAAAAGCGTCGTTAGTTGACATTCATCCCTTTCTGTTGCCGCAGCAGAACACCCCTCGTCCCAAGAAAACATTTATTTATTTATTTATTTATTGACCTGCGTATGTACAGAAGTGCAGTGAAAATTGCAGGGTATTTTTTTGTGTAAAAAATCTCGTAAACATTGTTTAAAGAACATATATTAGTTGTTTGTTAGTAAGAGTGAAACAAAAAAGTTGGGTAATTTGCCCCACCCAAAAGATTTAAGATTTCGCCATCATCATCATCATCATCAAGCTCATGTCAAAACTGACATGATTTCATTACTTTTTCAAAATAATTCACGACTCATTCCACTAATTTTAAGAGATGAGTTCAACCTCAGCACTTCTCTGCCCAATATATCCTAACAAGGCGTCGTCGTCGTCAACACCTGTTTTTTCTACCACGACTTACCATCACCATTTTATGTTGTGTGAACAGATTGTTAAAGAAGTGGTCATCTCTACGACTCAACCCGTCAACAGTAATCCAAATAGCAGTTCTAATCAGCAATGGCAACCACGTCACCATTCAACAGGTGACCTCAAGGTTCCCGTCCCTGTCCTCTCTCCAGAGTACATTAAAAAATTCCAGAATAAAAAACTCTCTAAGAAGCAACAAATTGAGTGGACTGACGAAAGAAAAGCTGTAAGTTTGAGCGTATAATTCCAGCTCCACGTACATATTTGCTTCGTATTCTCATATGCACACACTTTTGCAGTGAGTTTACATTTTCACGTCTTTTTTCATATATTCGAAGAATGAAACTTTTAATTTAAACTTGAAAGTATTTCTATATGCTACATTGTCTGACCAGGTCTATTACTGCGAATGCATGTCTTTCCATTCTTCACAAGATTATTATTATACGCACGCACTGGCTATAACTACTTTGAGTTATCTGATTTATTTACTTGCTGTGGCAAAAATGAGAGAATTATATTAGCTCTAGGCGTATAAAATCAGTTAACATTTCAACATATCTTGAGTGACTGGGTGAGATGCCGGTCCAAGTATTTCACAACGCACCGTATTTATAAGGGGACAAAATGGTTCCAGGCTATCTGTTGACTTATCGAAATAAATTTCTGCCAGATCGCCTTAATTTTTATTGAATCATTAACTGACGTTGAGGTCGTTTTGACTTTTATAGAGCATCCAAGTTTGTTGAAATTGGAAAACATGTCAGTTTTTAGGTCTTAATCATTTGACCAATAAATATAAAACTACTCTTCTATGTGTACGGATGGACATCAGAGTCAATTTTACGAGAATATCTCCTCATTTCTTTCAAGTAAAACAGGTTCCATCAATAATTTCTTAATCGTACCGAGCAGCATACGGCACAAGACACGTTTCAATTAAACAATTGTTGTTCTATAAAGTCCTGAATTTGATCCATTCCTACGATTAATAATGCTTTTGACTGGTCCAACGTTACATAGTTGATAATTAATTCTCTTTCTCTCTGTCTCTTTCTATTAAGCCAATAATTCTTTCCTCATGTAGAAATGTGAAGTAATTTATGATTGATTTTGCCTGTCATTGCATATTTATTGCAGTTCACGTTGGATAGTAACACAGCCAAAGATATTCAGCAGAGATTGGCAAGTTATCCAATAACGAAGGCGAGCAGTGCGGATTTGGGAAAGGCGATACAGGTGAGACGACTCGATTGCTATATTTTCTCATGCTCTATTTAACTCTAGTCGGTCATGCAGCCAGCGACTTGTGCCACGACAGGATTATAATAATAGCAGATAAATGTCCAATAATCATGATGTGAATTTTAATGAGTTGTTTTACGTCTCGAGTGAAACCTGACTAAAAAGGACATGTAACCCATTTCTCATCCTTTATCATGATTATGATCTAGCGACTTTGGTCAAACAAAGTGAAGCTGACACTTCTTTTTTTCTCTTTGGCTGGGTTTCTCAAACGACCGTCAAAGTCGATGAAAAATCGTTCATTTCCTGTCTCGAACTTTTTGTTGGTCAATAAAAATTGCACAACAGTCCACACAAATATCACCGCTATCTGTGCTCGGCTCAAGTATTTATCTAGTAGATAAATATGCATGTAGCCTTATGCATTCATGCCAAAGTTGTGCTCAGCTTTTGAATTTCAGCACAACGGTGCAGGGCAACTTTATTTGTTATTAGCAAGGGAGCACGGGATCCTGTGGTTGGCAGAATAAACAAATATCTTGGTTTAGAAATTGGGTGATGATGATGTGTAATCATATGCGAATACATCAATCATAAATTTTTATCTGTGAAATTTTGTGGTTGCGAGCATGTCATTGAGCCCATACATTTCAGAGCAGCTCATGTACATACATATGTACATACGTACACATATTCAGTGATAATTCACAGACAGTCCCCTTTTTCTGTCCTGATGAATAATAAAATCGTCATAAAGGAAGCTACATCACATGGCAATTGTAATTATTGCGGCGCTTCCGAATACTCCGACTTTGAAATTCATTCACTTTTGACTTTGCTGAAGTGGCTTTTATTCAAATGTGAGAAAACTTCAGAGAGGTTGCAATTATCGTTATGAATTGTGTTATGAATTACTGTACGCGTCCCATGCATGCGATTTTATGATAAAAGATGACAGATTTTTTCAGATGGATAAGGTCTACAGAACGTGTTGATAATTGCTCTTGTGTCCTGCAACCGGATATTTGCCACTATGCGCAATTACACAAATTATGATATCATCCTTGTAGGCATAAATTAAATATCAAGACAAAGCACATTGCACTGTCTTTATTATTCTCAAAAGTTTACATGCTGCGGGTGGGAAATTTTTATACCTGCAACTTCAGAAAATTCAGTGCAATTCAAATTCATGCTCCCCTTGTAATGAGGCTCCTTACAAGGTAACGTACGTGCTGTCTGATTTTGGGAAGCAAATATGTCACAAAATTGAAATTTATGGCAGCAAAAAGTATTAAGTGGTCAGGTTAATGTTGGACACGTAGCAGGGAAGAACACAACTCTTCAACCACCGGTGGCACTCTTAATGATGCGCCAACAACGTCAATCTTTTTTTCTGCTTTTCGGTAGAGAACAGAACAAGTAACGACTACGTACGTACGTAAATTCTGAAGAGAAGCCAGATGTATTTTTTTCAGAAAAATTTCAAATTCTTGATGGTAGATGTGCATTTGTAAGCATTCTGTCCGAGAAATATTGCGATGTGTTGGAATATATTTATTAGAATATGCATACTACATACATACATACAAAAGTTGAGGAATTTAATTTTGCATTATTGGATTAAAGTCGTATTTCCACATGCACAGGAAGGGATAAAAAAAGTGCGTAATTAATAACAGTGGGAAGAAGAGAAGATTAGTGCAGGATAAATTCTGCTTGTGACATCCCATTTATCTCAACCTCCATGTCTTACAGTCGTATACACGGCATTTGTTGCAATTGACACTGCATTTAGTTCTGTAAACAGGAAAGCAATGTGGATTGTTGGGAGATTGTTCATTTCAGCAAGATTTTATTACCGACTTGATAATTAATTTTTATGACTGATGTCGCACCGATCCTCTGCTAACGAAAACAATTAGCAGACTGCTATCCTTCATTCAGTACGTGATGACGAAGTTTCACTACTCGTCGTCGTCTCACCGCCGTCGCATTCTTTTTTTTTCTGTGTGTATAAAGTTCAAATGGAATTATTGAACCACTTTCATAAGCTGGATTATATATGCTAATTAAGAGTGCCATTCTAGATCCTCTAATGCATACAATTCTCATGAATTCCACATATTTCCGTCTTTTTGGAATGTAATAATTTGTATACTTTGCTACAAAATTGCAGCAAACAGTTGTTGCAATTCATTATTTTGATCAATAATCGTAAAATATTACGACCCGCATCATAGCAAAGAGCATTAAATAACTTCCGTAGAAGTGAAATGAGTATGCAGAAGACACTATAATTGGCAACCGGTGGCCGGATTGTCGGTTCTAATGGAGCAATAAATGTCTGGTGATGATAACGTGTTAAGTGAAATTTGGTAGACGTGTGGGAGTTTATTTTCATATCATTGATGGCATGAGCTATGTAATTATATAGACAATATGGACATGGTTTTTAAAGTACTAGACATTAATTTATCAGTTTTAAGTTATTCAAAATGATAGAAGCGAAAGTGACGTATGTTTAACCTTTAAAAAGACTATTAAAAATGAGACTATGATTTTAATAGAAAAAGCATTCTGCATTTCACTATTCTCACCTTTTCTAGAAGATTTGCTGGGTTGTGTCAACTTTGCTTCGTCATCTCTTTATTGTGACTCTTGCCCATTTAATTCCACAATTTGAGACAAACTTCCGACCACCCAAGCATGACACGTATGTAGCATGGCATTGTTCCATATGGGCGACTTGACATTGCCGAAATTGAGTCAATTTATTAGACCCATGCTCCTGTTAGCAGCAGTTTGTGTGATTATTTACGTATTTACCAGACCGAAATGACTCTGCTCATTTTAAACCCATTATTCATCTCTTTAAAAGTAAAAGAGACAGGAGTGACTACACAATCATTTAACTGATTGCTGTAAAAAAGGTCGTCAGAGTCAGCAGGCCACAAATCCTCAAACAACTTTTTTCGATTCCACCATATTCACTACTTTACGAAGCATGAACCATTTTCCCCTTTACACATATTGCACCAATACGCGTACGACCCAAATTGGATTTATCTATGAAATTGATGGACATGATTTTTTCAATTAATTTCAGGACTTCAATGCGGAACAGACTCGACTAATGTCATCAATGCAAGGAGCTCGGCGTCTGAACGGCGTAGATAACCCAGCCCTTGATCTAGGAGGATCCAATGGCCAAATCCACCAACAGCACCCATCCTCATCATCTCTAAGTTTTTCTGCTAACGGTGGAAGCAAGATGGCATCGTATAATTATCCGGATTCGTCCACCTCACAAAGTCAAAGTCTTTCCTCGTCAAACACGGACAGCCTCGACACTGTGATTTATAAAGGGTACGTTGCTGCTTGGTTCTTGACACTGACATTGATGAACAATGCAAGTCTTAAATAAGATTAGAATCGGATCAATACAATCTCATCCTCCATCACCCAAGATGTTTGGCGTTATTGAGAGGAGCATTACGAGCTCATATGTAACTATGTACATGAATCGTGTGTATGTGTAAAAAAAGTAACATAATAATGCTCACCGAAACCACAAAGTTACAACAATCAGCCAGGAACGGTGTTAAGCTCAATCAATATAACGGACAAGTAACACGTGTTTTATACACGGCAGCGGTCAGTTAGGTGTTTTTTTGCCCACATATTTGGCAGTAGATTGGATCCAAGCGTGTAAACTCCACATTGTTGATTATGTATCAGAAAGAATGTAATCAAGTACGTATGTATGTTTATTAATGCAAGTGAGTAGGATATAGCTCCATACATATCAGTCATTTGACCATCAAGTTGGTCCAATCATGACTTTCATGACTTTTATTTCATACTCCATTCGTCATACCTGTCATACAAATTAAGTTGGACAACTACATCTTGATCTGATGTCTGACTCATGACATCATAACATGAAATGAATTTAATTTTGATTGACTTTCAACTTGAATGTTTCAAGTTGAAGCTAATGGAGAAAAGTTTGGCTAAAAATCAGCCATCCAAAATATATCTAATAAGTTCCTGTATCGGTTCGAATCGTGGTATTTTTTGTCATGCACAAGTGAATGAGGTGACTTTTACGATTGTAGATGTTTATGATTAGCACAATGAGACCTAGGTGGTCGTCGCTTGTGTAGGTTTTATACAAACTTTTTATTAGTATTAAAAACTTATCTCACGAGCACAAATCTTACTCGGTTTAGAATATGATCTACACACCGATAAAATTCCATCATTCCGTTTATTGTATATTCCCAATGTGCTCTGAGAAACATAATTTATTGATCTCTTCGTGTGCACGACTGTCTGCAAATAAATGAGATCGGCATTCAGCAAGCCAAACGATCAAGGAAATATGTATAAAATCGGACATAATCATTATTTTGTGTGCGTTGGCTGATTTAAATATTATGTATATATGCATGGAATAACTGGTTCATTGAAACTTGCTAATTTTTGCAGACCCCCACAGTCTACACCCTCGATAAGGGATTGGCAAAGATCCATGGAGTCAAATGGAGAGTTTCACAATGCGTACCATCGTGACACCACCGGAATGCACGCTTCGTATCAAATGCAACAGGTACTTTTTATCGATTATGCACTTCAACATCATCAAGTAAATGTATTTTCAAGTTCCTCTTTACTATGCAATATTGCCAAATAAAAAACAATTGCACCACTCAAATCTGTTGCTGTCTTAGTATTTACATACTCAGCCATGTTTTACGGATGATTAACTTGTTTTAATTAATCCTGACTCATCGTAGCTGCTGCTTGCTTTTATTTGGCTTCACTTTTTCCTCAAGTAGTTAGCCTAACTCCTCCACGTATAATAATAACATAGCGTTGCAGCCAGCAGTGATCGTGGCGTGTATAATTGACTTGCTTTGTTTATTGTAGACGACAATAGGTATATCGAGATGAATAAGAATTGCTCATTAAGAGATTATCGGTTTATCAGATATTGCCAATTTGATCCTGTCATCCTCACTCAATCCAATCCTGCCTTATCGCAATCCTTTCTTTCTCAAGCAATTACAATGTAAATTGCTTACTCGCATTAACCAAAGCCTGTTTCAACCGAGAGTTGTGAATCTCTACGTGAATTGGTTGCCAACTTGAGACAAACTGATGAGCTCCTCCTTCTCATAATAATAATCCAACACATTGTTTAATTTTATTTGGTGTTAACTTTCTTGCAGCAGCAACAGCATCCCTCTTCGTCCTACACGACGCAAATGCAACAGCAGAAGCAGCAGTACACGAGCAACAATGGGTTGCAGGGGCCACTTCCAACAGCAACTGGTGGAAGTAATAGCAGTGGGTATGCTATCGAATACCGACACTCTCAGCAGCAACACCAAGTTCAACAAAACTTATCCCAGTTATCAGTTCACTCAATCCCGTCCAGTTCTACCGGAAACGGAGGGGTTCTTCACAATAACGTCAGGTCCGGAAGTGGATCGTACGGGTCCAACCCTCAACTCGCAGCAAAAAGTCCCATGTTAAGTCACAAGCAGTTCTCCACCGCAATAACTGGTCAACAGCAGCAACAGCAACAATTGGACCAGAGAGACCCTGGCAGCAGAGGAGTCACTTTTGGAACTGCAGTGACGACCACTGCCTCAACCGATCCGATGTTGCTTGACAAGTCGAAAGATTCCAAATTATTTCCTTCCAAAACATATAACCACATTAAAGATATGATATCGTCACGATTCGGTGGTGCGACGACGGGTATTAGTAATCCAAATAATCATAGCAGCAACAATAAGGGTCTCAATAATGTGGTGAACGGTGGTGTTAATAATAATACGGTGGTTCCTGGAAGTGATCAAAATACAGCCAATTCTTATATTGATCTTACAATGGGAGTTCCAGCGTCTTATCCGAACAATAACGTAGCTCCCACCGGTAGTGGAATGAACGGACATAGTTCCTACAATGGGATGATGATGAACCGGAACAACAATAACGGACCCTCCTCTGCGCACTACCCTCAGCAGGTTTCAGGAAATAGTTCTGCAAATAATATGCCCCCTCCCAACTCTTATCGAAGTCCGAACATGAACGACAGGAAAAACGTTAACACGAGTTTTCGTAAAGCGATTCAGCAAAGTACGTTGAAGTCCAATTTGACGGAAGACTCGTTACAGCTGAGACCGATACACGAGGCCCAGCAACTAAGTTATAATAGTGGAAATAATAATAATGGGATGCAGCAATTTTCTTCTGGGAACAATGGTGGGAACCAACAACAGAAAGAGATTGTGGTTGTTCAGGAAAGGGCGCAGAGGGCACTAGATCAGTTGATGGAGGGGGGCTCCTCGTCGTCAGGCCTCAATCACTCCCACAACCCCACCGTGTACAACAGAGTGCAACAATTTTCCTCCGCTGCTGGAGTGTATCCAGGTGAAAATCATCAACATGCATCATCAGGTCGTATTCAACAGCAGCAACAAGGAGGATCCCGAGTGCAGTTATTACACCCGCAAGGCCCCATTATGGGACGTTCGTCCTACAACGGTGTCAAACCTGGCCCTGGTAGCTCCAACTCCAATTCTTCTTCCGGCCTACAAATGGTAGAAAGCTCACTGTCATCTCCAGGAAGTTATAATGGGAATCGCGTCCTGTCTGGTGAAAGTCGGAGCAGTGAAGAAGTTCATGCTTCTGGTCTCCATCAGCACCACCCGCAGTGGTCCCATACGCATCATCAGCATCAAAGTTCGAGTGTGATCCACCCCCACAACGACCAACCACCGCCACTGCCCACCTCCAAAAAACCTGGTTCACCGGAAGGATCAATGAACACGATAGGCCTCCCACTACCCTCTGTTCAGAGGGAGAATGGCGATGGCTCATCAGCAACGATGGAGACAAATGCAGGAAGCAGCATCTTGTTGGAAGCGAATTCTACCGCAAACCCATCGTCCTGCTCGAAAGTGAAGAGTGATCAATTGAAACAAATTACTACTGACTTGCAAAACATTGCTCTCTCCGTGGCCGCGGAGCACCATTTACACAATAGTGCTAGCAATAACAGTAATAATAACAAGCACCATCACAGCAGCAGTAGCGAGGAGTGCGAGAAGGGTGGTCCTCAGAGGGTTGGAAGTGGTCAAAGTCACACCACGACGGATTCCGGTTTGGGCACTGTCATGCTTACAAAATCGCCTTTGAATTCCAACTCGGACCCTGGCGATCATGGGCTTGCGGACGGCAGACCAAATGCGGCCGACAGCTTATCCTCAGGTGAGAAAGCACATTTGGCAGTAAGACATGCATACGTACACATGTGTGAAGAGTTCAACGCATTCTTGTTGTAATTGCTGACGTGTTACAAGTTGGTGGGATTACTTTTTTGCGCATTTAATACCTTTGCCGGGCGAAAATAATAGGTTCATTAAAGCACGGAAGGATTGTCACCATGTTGGTGCATGCATGTATGTATTATTGTATTTACTTATGAATGCATAATTCGAATGACCATTTGTTGGGTTGGGTTGGATTGCATTAACTGAAAATCCAGTTCCTTTTCAAAAGAAAGACAACATTTCTCTGCCAACTGCACATTTACTTCCTCCATTATAGTGAGCATATAGGAAACATGAGTAGTTTCCTAGCCGAAGCGTTATGAAAGTGGTGGTAATTCACACTCATCATGTCTCTTTTAATCGCCACTTTTGTTTTTCAAAGCGATTAAATAGTCATTCGCCTCGGCTTAAAATCCCATTTAAACCCGAGGATAATGTCATCCACTTTTTATGCTTTATGATAATATTCATGTTTCCTCTTCTGTTTTTTCTGTAGGAAATGACTCTGAACAATGGGTTGACTTGGTTGAGCCAGAAATTAGGCACATTTTAGAAATTGAAAGAAATTCCAAGTCCGGGAAGCCGGGTGGTGGTCGACCTCCGGTAGGAAACGGATTAATCAGTGGGGTTTCCACATCCACCCCTTCAGTCACAAAGCAATTTCAGCCCGGAGGAGGGAGCAGCAGTGCAACTATTCCGCATCATCCTAGTGGAAATACTAATGGTACAAATACAAATGCGATCACAGGATCAGGCAAATTACCACAAACAGGACACGGAATGGCCGACATTTCTGCTTCTCCTATCGTTCATGCCAAAGCCGTTCATTCTCCGAAACAATCCCCAAAACTGTCCAAAAACTTTGATCTCAATGCGTACAAGTAAGTCGTAAATTTATTGTGTATTAATCCTAGTTAATCATAGTGCAAATTCGTCAATTATTATTTTTTTTTCTTGATTTAAAAGTGCCAAAAAGACGGTTCGACAAAGTCAAGAACTTCTTTCTGGGCCCAGTACAAGTCAAGCAGCGGCAGGAGCAATGGCAAACAAAATTAAGTCACCTCGTGTTCCTGCAAAGGTCCAAAGGTCCAATTCTGGTGCCGGCGGGCAGCAGCGATGGCCGAATAATCGACCACGAGTTCCTGAAAAGAGTCCAAAGGCAGGAGGAAGTCGACCCAAAGAGTTTACGCAAACTCTAAAAGGTGCCAAAATTACAAGGAACGCAATGACCAAATTAGGTATACATTCACAACACTTGGCATAAGGTCTAATCAAGTTCTGAAACTTATCTCTCATTTAAACTTGATTTGACAGGCCAGCTTTTGAACTCTCTTCAAGATGAAACGGGAGAATTAACGTCAACCACAGGGCTGGACTTTGAGACTTTTGATGGTCACACGGAGTTCACCACAGATGACGACGATCTAAGCACTACAATTGACACCACTGATGCTCACGCTATACGCCGGCAATTGGAAAGTTTGGAGTCCATGTATACGGAGGTATGCTATGAAAAGCTCACCTGTCGACAGTGCGATAGTTGCCACATTCCTTATCTTTAATATGTGCAGATGTGTAATTATTTTATTCTTAATTTGTAGGTGCTGAAAGTTTTAGGAGAAAAGAAATTTTCAAGAAACCACAAGTATCCGCCCAACACTGCCGACCTGAGAGCAGCCAAACGGCGTCCTTACGGTAGCATGTCTTCATTGCCTAGTTCGGTTAGCAGCAGGCCTTTTCGCGATAGAAGTCGCAAACTGGAGGACAAGAAGAAAGTCAAGGACTTGAAGGTACAGAATCGCTCTATTTTTTTTGCACATGCAATTCCCTCGAGGAACATTAAGGGTTCCCAACGTGAAAACTTTTCTATAATTAAAATTGTTTGTGTTCAGAGCATCAACCGACGCTTCCAAAGATTAGAGTCACATGTCGTCACTTTGGCAAGGTATGATTTATATTTATTAAAAATCTTGTTATTATCAGTCATGCGAATGGTCATTTTCATTTTGTTTTGTTTAATTCCATGGTCCATGTAGAAGTGTAGCACATTTGTCCTCTGAAATGCGAACTCAACATCTTATGGTGCAGGTATGTATGCGTGGTCAAAATTAGACTTATTCTTATACACACCAATTCTCATAAATCTGTTCTCTGTGTCTCTAGGAAATGGAAAGCATTCGAAACGAATTGGCAACATTGCGGAATCAAGTTGTCAAAAATAGTGCGCAATCAGCATCGCAAAACTTTACAAGAGCTGCCAGTGGACGCCATGGTGGAGGTCCTTGTGCAAACCAAACTGACTGGACGGCGTTCAGAAATGCGCTGCCCTCACTCACAAATCCATGTCGTGTCAGAAAACTGACGCAATTCTTCGGGGATGGTAAATACTAATGCTTAAATTATAATAGGTACTTAGATATTAAACTCACTCTTCTAATTCTCCTTATAGAACCTCCACTCATTCGTATATTTCTTAAAAAATTGGGATACGAAGTGAGTCACCGATTCAACATATCGTTTTTACATTATTCATAACAATTCGTATGATGTGCTTACATATATTATTTGCCATGAATTTGCCAGAAATACGCTTCAGCATTTGAGCAAGAACGAATTGGGATCATGGAGCTACCTTATTTAACAGAGGAGAGGCTCAACAAAATGGGAATTCCTATGGGGTATGTATGCGATACACAGTTCTTAACTATATACAAATCAGCTCTAGTAAATTAAATATGTTAATATATTGCTTATATTTTTGCAGGCCAAGGCTTCGCATCTTGCAAGAAGCTCAAATATGTCTTAAGCCTGGGTATCATGGTCATCATGATTCACACCATCCATCCAATAACCACAATACTGGAAATCTTAGCGTTTACGTAGTATAAAGGATTCATTCTTATTTTTTCAAGTGGTGACGCAAACATAATTCATACATTTGCAGATTGCACGTGTGCATAATAGCACGTAAATCATAATTAAAACTTAAATTATTTTATTGCAAAGTTAGATTTGATACATAATTAATTAAAATATTTGCACAATTAAAGGTGTGGACAGAGCTTTATGAATTCATGTTTACATATTTTTGTAACTTCTTCTCAAACCTGTCATAAATAAATTATTTAGTTTATCTTATCCGGGTTAGCTTTTGTATTAAAGTATATTTTTTCATAGGAAGTTACGTTTTTGGCAAAAATATTTATACAAAAATATATGTATTATTTTTGTTTTGTGTTGAATTTTACGTAAAAATAAACCAATACTATTTATCAAAAATTATAACCTGACTGCTCTCCAAATTTCATAATTTATTGTTGGTTATATCAGAGATTATAAAGTATCACGTCATGATTTCCTTTCGTATGATGTATATTTGTACTGATTTGCAAAATATTTGCAAATAAATTTGTGGATGGGTCAGCATAAGCTATGCACATGTCATGGCAAGTCAATATAATTCTATCCATTAAAATAACTACCACTTAAGAACATCATGTGACAGGAAAACTACAGCCAGTCCAATACTATAAACTTTCTAAAATTACGTTCCTCATCTTGGCATATGTACGGTTCTGTAACTTGGTATGCAAACTGGACACTGCACAACATATAATTTAACTAGTTACCTACTTCATATAAATTAATTACTTACGATAATCAGCCCATTACACTCCTCAAAATTTTGTGTTGAGTAATTTCATTTCATTAATCGACAATTCTACTGGAAGTGCTTACTTAAACGTATACACACTGCATAGTTTCCTTTCATTACTGAATATGTATGCACATACGTAAGCATGTTTACTTCTGCACGGATAATGTGTCCACAACAAGTCTTCCAATTGATCTGTTTTGAGAATATGTGTTTCATAATACTTATTCGTTAATGTTATTGCTCCAAGAGTCGTCCCAAACAGATTCCAAGAAAGTTATCAGCAGCTTAGAGACAGAGGTCAAACTGATTGGTGACAGAACTCACTAAATCAAAATTAATCGGCGTTTATTTATGAGGCAGCTTATTCAATTAGCGAGTCGTCATCTCATCATCAGTTCTCCACTGTGCCCGTCTGGAAGCCTCGTTATTCCATTCACTAATTTTCGCTTTGTCCGTTTAACCAGCGACAAGGATCACGTTGGCTGACTTTCCTCATTTGAAGCCGAAAAGAACATTACAATCTCACCCTTTGCAGAATAAAATATTTTAAAATGTTCAAGTACCTTTGTGCAATCGTGATCCTGCTCACCGTTGCCTACTCGTCAGCAGAGGTGATTGAGAATGCTCGGTGCTCAAGGGGGCCTGATGCACGCAACAGTAAGTGTCGAACATATTTACAAGATCTTGCACAAAAGACACTTTCTGGTGAACTTTCCTCGATACGAAGATATCTAAAATTTTGATTACGTAGTTAAGAGCGAGGTTCACGAAATCCGAGTCATCCCATGTGCAGAGGCTGACGATGGAGAACCATGCAAGATGAGGAAAGGGACCAACGCCACGATAGAGATTGACTTCACTCCGACCGTCAATGTGAGACGTCCGAAGGCTGGGATGTATTGGATGTCAAGAGTGGACATGATTTTCAGGGGTTATTGTTACTTTTCATAATCGATTATTACATAATATCTACTCATCAAATGAGATTATAAAATTATTCGTAGGACTGAAACCCAACGCTTGTCAAGACATGCCATGTCCAATCCAGTCTGGAACTCGCTACACTTACAGCACAACTATTCCCCTTGGAAGGGAACTGCCTGCTGTAAACATTTATTTATTTTAACATTGTATTATTTAATCAGAAACGGTTTTGTAAGTACAATTTTGTTTGGAACACAGGGACAATATCCCATAAAACTGAAAATCTCGGAACGCAGAAACATTATCTTCTGCCAAACACTCAGAATCAAACTTATGGAGCCCGATGATAGCGAGTAGTTTACCTTCTTTGTTTATTATATTCAGAGAAAGCTTATAACCTGTACTAACAATGCACATGTCAGACATGTTTCGCACGGATCTTCTTGAAACCAGCACTAAAATATCAAAGAACCAAACACAAATAACATTTGGTGTGACACTTGAGCACTTCTGCAGAATTCGCGAAATGGCGAAGGTTTTAAGTTGGCAAAATCACGCATTTTCACCATGCGAAACTATACGGAGTTCATCTCTCCGCTTTCCAATTTTCTCCTACGCTTCTCTTCACCAGGTCATCAGTTCACAGTTTTCACCTTGCATGAAAAATTAAGTTTATTAATTTACGAGCCAAGTTCTCAACCGATTTTTCATCTTTGGCTTTTAAATAATTTTTTAACACTTTTTAATATTGAAGATGAAAATTAAATTCTTATCAGTGGAATTTTTAAAAAAATTGGATGAGAATAGTGGATTATTTTTAAAAATTTCTTTCACATTGCTTATTTTTATTTGTATTTGAACAAAAGAAAAACAAATATACCAAGTTTCCTACGTGTAATAAGTTGGTAAGAGCTAACATCTCACTTTGTTTTTAAAGATGTTGCCCTTAAAATCTTTAAAAACATACAACGCTAAAGAAAAAAAATCGAATCCACTTTTGTGAACCAATTTTGAAAAATAATTTCCAGTGATAGGAACTTAATTGGATCCATAAAATATTAAAAATTATTAAAAAATTATTTAAAAGCCAAATATGAAAAATTGGTTGAAAACTTGGTTAGGAAATTAATAAACTCAATTTTGAATGAAAGGCGAAAACCGATGACCTGGTGAAGAGAAGCGCAGGAGAAAATCGGAAAGCGGAGAGATGAACTCCGTATAGTTTCGCATGGTGAAAATTCGTGATTTTGCCAACTTAAAACCTTCGTCATTTCGCGAATTCTGCAGAAGTGCTCAAATGTCATACTAACTATTGTTTGTGTTTAGTTTCTTGATATTTTAGTGCTGGTTTCAAGAAGATCCGTGCGAAACATGTCTGACATGTGCATTGTAAGAAGCACATAAATTATTATGACACACACACACTCTTATATACAAAAAATATCAGACAAATTATGAAAATAAATATTAAAAATATGCAAAATAAATATATTTCCAAACCATCAATACAGAGGAATTAGCATTTCGCTGCGATGGTTCAAGTCACACAAAAGAAAAGCACCGACAGATCCTCAAGTCGATAACATGTCAAACTTCTTCCAGATTTCTGTCAAGGCCAATCTCTATTCATGATCAATTTAACTTACATCAACGAAATTACACGTGCTTTGCTTAATAAGACCAATTCAACAACTGTCCATTCTATAAATTAAATTAACCCCATAATTTTTTCACCCATATCAATCCATATTTTTGTGCAATTGCAATGAGCATAGATACATATCCACACGTCAAGAAACACGACATGAAACATATGTACCACTACTTTTGTGCACTATTATTATGGAGTTTCTCGTCATTATCTTTTTGATATTCTACCTGCTCAACCACCTACAGGAGAACTGTGTATCAGGTTGTATGAAGTCATCCGACCCAACCAAAAATGTGGGGTGTAAGTTTTACAGTTATTAAATATATACAATTATACTTATTCTTCGTCTAAAATTGGCATCACATTACTAACTATCCTAGTTCAATTTTACAGCTTACGATGCTTTCACTCCAAGCCCGAGAAAGGAGGCGTGGTGGTTAGAGAAGCATTTGTCCCACGTGGAACATTCTCAGAAAAACTTTGAAAACATCAAACTATTATTTCTTGGTGATTCCATAACCCACGAATGGAACGAGGACGGAAACTACACATTTCACAAGTATTACGCCAAGTACAACGCTGCGAACTATGGCGTCCCTGCCGATCGAACCCAGCACTTGTTGTGGAGAATTAGGAACGGAGAGATTCATAACTTGAACCCCCTCATGGTCGTTCTTCTCATTGGAACAAACAATTTTGGGCACAACAAAGACATGGAAATTTTTAAGGGAGTGAAAGCAATAGTGATTGAGCTACGGCGTCGATTACCTCACTCCAAGATTTTGCTCCTTGGCATCCTTCCTCGCTCCACTGACACAGCGACCAAGCGAGTCAACGCCATAAACAAGCTGATAATGCAGTTGGTAAAAATTCCACTCCTCATTTTCTTTAAACTCAAGAATCTGCATGCATGTACATACATGCAAAAAATACCGTTTAATTTTGCTCCAAAACAATGACAGGATGACGATCTCATGGTGTGGTTTTTCGATTTGGGTCGATATTTTTATATCGAGGATCATTTGGTCACTGAACTGTATCATCAGGATTTGTTGCATTTGTCATCCAAGGGCTATGAAACTTGGGCCGTAAGTTAAAAAAAATTGCACTCAATAATTCGCGTTCATAAATCATAATTTGTCTCAATCACTTTTAGTTTGCAATGGCTCCGGTGATGAGGGAGATGATGGAAATTATTTTCGAATCAGAGTGACAGTCCGCATTAAGAGAATAATGCACATTTCTTTGATTGTATTGCTACATAAGCTAATCCTAAGTTACATTGACTATTAGTGCATATAATGATGTATGTAACATGTAATATACATGCATATTTATTAGTATTAACGATGTAGTATTTAATAGTGTACGTCTAATTGAAGGTACTTGAATATATTACTGTTGTGTTCACCAAGTTGAACTATTTAGTTGCAGTTAGCTTCGATTAACCAGGATATTGTACACATGTATAACATATGTACGATCAATACGTGTATCAGATATTTACTAATACTTATGTAGGTGATAGGAAATAATAATACGCTACAGTACATATGCACCCATTAAACGACGGCGTCTAAAAATAAACTTTCTCTTTAATCTGGTTTGATCATTACAAGACCCTTTGATGCATAATTGTTGAGGTATGCAAATTAACGGAAACGGCGTACGTACGTATTGCATATGTGTGGGTATTATTTGAAGTACGTTACTTGCATTGGGAAGGTATTGTGTTTCCGTATGAAAAAAGGATAATTTTTTACAGCACAAATCAATTGCTCACATTACAGCATGAAGGTGTCCTTGAGGAAGCATGACATGAAGACAAATTACCCACACTTAGTTTAGGATACTTAGTTTGAAACATGTTTTATTTGAAAGTAATCAGTTCATTTGTCAAAGTGTCGTGACAGCTTTTGTGACTTAAGACCTCAGTAATTTAACAATTAAAAGAAGATTTTGTAAGTTTAGAATATGTACTATGAGAGGGTTTTACTTAGTACTGTCCCCGAGTACCTTGTGGTCTTGGTCTCCTGCCTGCAAAGCTTGGGCTGTGACTTGACCCTTCACCTCCTGGCTGATATTCTTGCGCCGCACCGGGGGCAAAGTCAATAGAAAAGTGACCACTGTTGCCCAAATCAAAGTTGCCATTGTATGGGCCGGATCCCGCGGGCTGGTACGGGTTTGCAGCAGTGAAGCCGCCGCCCCGAGGACTACTGCTTCCAAAAGCTGGTCCACTGCTGTAAGAGGGAGCTCCTGAGGAGTAGGATGGTGATGGCCCCCCTGAGCTGGGTCCACCGAACGAATAACTGGGAGATCTTGGTGCCTGAGAGTGTCGACTTCCTGACGACGGAGCTCGAGCTGGGGCCCCCGCGTAGTTGTTGTGAGAAGGTTGTGGGGAAGCAAACCCTTGATCAAAGTCGCCTCCGAACCCAACAAAACTGCTGCCACCTTCATTTCCACCAGCATAAGAAGGACTAGAATAAGCACTTGGACCGTGATTGTATGAGGATGGACCAGGACCTCCACCGCCTCCTTGGTAGCGACCACTGCTGGATGGGCTGTTATGCTTGTATGGGGCAGGTGCAGGGGCTGCCGGTCGTTTGTATTGTCCGGGTGTGTAGGCACCAGATTGGTGGGGTGGTGGTGGGTTATATTGACCAGAATCTCCACTGCTTTCTTGGCGACCACTATAAGACGGGCGTTGTTTGGGAGAATAATCTTCCTCGTTGTCCTTATCGTTGTGCGCGGCGGCTTGTGGCTGAAGTGGAAGGTGGTCTCCCTCAGCAATAAAACCATTTTTACCTGCGGTGTACTTTACGGTGATGGGTTTACCATCAGCGCCTGGATAGGAATAAAATCCTCCTGTAAATTAAATAAAACAACGCATTTTAAGTTTACTTGAATTGATGCAGTGGTTAGTTCTACAATTACTGCAGGGATCGAATATTTATACAAATCTTTATGGGTTCCTTACGTCGAGTACCGTCAGGGTCAACTGTTTCCCCTTGTTGAAGTCCGTTATCAGCTTGGAAGTTGAAGTTGATGGTTCCATCTTGATTCAGGGTTCGAGTGTCTTGCAGGAGCTGGCTGTATGATGGCTTGTCGTTGTGATGGGTTGGACCATGATGCGTTTTGTGACCTTGATGAGAGCTGTAGGGGGCAGGGGACTCGTATTGGGATTGACCATAATCTCCACCAACATTGCTTGGACCTGATCCACCAGGGGCTGTGGCCAAGTATCCGTTCTTTCCATTTTTCCCAATCTTGCGTGGATTCTGAGCTGTAGCTAGTGCCACAAGGGCACATATCTAAAATTGTCGAAATTTAAGTTGTTAAAAATATAACTGATAAAACCAATGACTAATCCAACCCTACAAATTTATGATGATAAATACTGTACCAAATATATCCTGCTCATTTGAATGAAGTTTTGAAGTATATTTCTGAGCCTGTGACTGACTATTATCTGTCGAACAATAGTTTCCACTCCAGAACTAAAACCTGTCTGAGATGGGGGCACCCAAGGTTCAACTCTTTATAAACAAGGTGGAGAAAACTGCTTCACAGCCTTTGCATACCATTAAACGTAAGATACTATTAACCATAATTATTGTTAAATATTCATGCTGTGCATTTGGGGGTATATGTATCAGACTTAAATAACCTACGTAATGCACATTTTTGTTACGTGAAAATGCAGATCAATCAAGTACCATTGTGTGTGTATGTGTATGCACATGTTGTGTTATGCAGGGAGGGGGTGAAACATGCACTTAACAACATTTATTGGTCGATGCTGAGTTCCTACGTGGATGAAAATGAAAGGATTGCGAGTAATAAACGGTGGGAATGAGACGGTGCTAGTTCTTACCTTTGCTTTGGGGTACTTTGTCAAAGGTATGGATTTGAGACAATCAACAATGTGAATGAACGATAATAATGCTGCTGAATCAGTGCACATTGCAACTTATAATTCTGATAATTATGGTACAGCGTGCAACCACGAATCGTAGCGATCGACCGTTTCAATCAAATCGCTAAACCTCAACGGCTTCGATGTTATAAAATACGCTTTATTATTATTACGCAGACACAGTCAACCGTGTCAATTAGATAATTTTGCTTTCTACAATTTCTTGAAATGGGCGAATTGTCTTAAACCTGGTTTCCTACAGTCGTCCTACATACATGTGTAGTACATATGCACATTACACTACAACGGTGCAGACTTATTATTCATAAGATAGCCATTCATAGAATGGATATAGGTGTTGGTAATTAATAGCATAATATGTATGCGATCTCAAGATAACATCTAACTCACCAGTGAATAATTTTATCCTGCATGTGAATTACAGGCTGTGATGCTTTGCGTATCATACATATATACACATATACCAACATGTATATTTATTTCATTGATTAAATCAATAATAACGTTTAAAATCCTTTGGCGTTCAATACATTTGTATTTAGAAACGTATTACAGCGTACAAGACTATGCTAATCCCAAATTGACGGTATGGTAAGAAAGAGTGAAAGTTTGATCAAAATTCTCGACGACCAAAATTTGTGTCACATTGACAATCTTTGCATTTTATGTGCTGTCGGCCAAATGTCATGTCAATTTTCCATTTACATACAAGAACCTATGCATGTGTGTACGCGTGAGATAGAGTTGCCTCCCATACACCAAGTGCCCAAGCGAGATCACATTGTTGTATGATATAATGATATCAAACGTTGATCTTTGTGTGAAAATGCGTGAAAATTGAACCACTCCATTTTAAAATAACGACTGTTTACAGTTTTTTGTCTCAACAACTTCATTTGTCAAGTGTGCCAGGTATTGAGATTTTTTGCCATGTTTTGCAAGAACAATTAAAGTTTGTTGTAAAGATTGAGCGTTTAATATGAAGTTGCTGCATCTATCTGTTTGGCCTAATAAAATACATGGCAGTTTAATGTTTGGTGTCATTTTATCCACTCATTTTATCGACCGTGTGATGTGCATAAGAAGGTCGTGAAGGTTGCTGTACATACTTCGACGTATGTTTGGTGCGTTACGTACGGACGAATACGTACAGTTCATCCATTATCGACAGTTCGAGATATTGAAGCAGAACCATCCCCACCGAACCAAGAAGTTTAACGCACTTTTGAGATCAGGCGATAAATCATGATAAATGAGTGATACATAAATAAGCATGATTCATCTTGGATTTCGTGGCGTTATAAATATTTATGTAGGCTCAACACAATAATAGTTTTGTGTAAACCAAAATATATTGTAAACATGTTGTAAGTATTAATTGATCGGGGCTGGCAGTAATAAAACCTGATCGTGACCCACACAATGAAAAGACTTGGTTGGTGGTGGTACGCTTCACGGTTCGTTCTCACAGCTCCTTAATTTTGGAACGAGTAAAGCATGATATAATATCCACGATCAACTAACTAAATAGCTAATGAAATACTCACACATTGTTTGTTAATGCTTGGTTTACTTTGGAGAATGCATCTGTATGGAATTCAATTTACCTCAGATTAACAACTTTCCTAATTATACTTCAATTCAAAACTGGTAATGACATTTACTTATTTTCTAAAAGTTTAGCTGCTCACTTCCTGATTTTATTACTGTACAATGTTCTGTTAAATCTTATCAACTACAAATTCTGCGTTTACTTGATATCAGCAGTTGCATCATACAATCATGCATAATAAATATGAGAATACCTAAGTTGTACTGAAATGGTTTATAAATTTTCTCTAATTATCCCAGAGTAATTAAAGTGCAACATGTCTCAAGTATTTCATATAGCCTGTGAGTTTCTCATCATAATTTCTCCAATAGCAAAAATTGTTGTGATTTGTCGTCAAAATATTGACACTTGAGCACAATGAAGGCACGATTAGTTCAGTTCCCATTCCATTTAACATTATTTCATCAGCTTATATACTTACTTTTACATTGTCTGCTGCATTTGTGTCAATTATGTATTCATCATTCCTCTCTCGAGACATAGCAGCACAACCAGAGCTCAGTAATTTGAAATTATTAATCAACATGCCCCTGTCTGCTGCAATTTAAGTATCTGTACAAATATCCATCCTTCTTTGTTTCTGTTTTGCAGCTTAATTATAGCTCATTCTTGTTTATTACTTACTCATTCCAATGAATTGCCGAATTTCTTGTGCATGCATGAATGGTTAAACAATGCCAGAATGTCCTCACACACCAATTAAATTGAGGTTCTTTTGTTGTAAGAGTTTAGGTTGAGGTTGATGATGATTGCCGAGTTCTTGTGGTCTTATAGTGCTTCGACGTGGATCATTGGATTTCTCAAATATTTTGTCCCAAACACAATGCAATGTTTTGCAAAAAAAAAACTGAACAATTCTCCCTTGCAGTAAATAAAAAGTCGACAGTTCCTAATATTGCAGTAGCACTGTATTACATAATAATAATAATAATAATTGAAATATTAATATATTATTAATATTTCATATTTGACTTATTAATAATTAATAAGTCCCTATAATGTTACTAATTGCCTTAGTAGCTCAGAGGTCAGAGCACTTGACATGAATTCAAGGGAGCCGTGGTTCGATTCCCGGCTGGGTAACAATTTTTGGCATTATTCGGGATTTACGTATTTCTAAATAAATTTGGTTTCCACAAGGATAGAAGTAGTGTTAAAATCAAAACAAATTCCTAGTTCGGAATAAAAAAGAACTTTCCATCGTAGGCCAAAAGTGAACTTTCTTTGGTAGGCAACAGTTCGTTACCACCGTAAAAGAAAGTAGAAATTCACAGAAAAAGGCCACAGACAAATATCAGTAAAAGTCCCTATAATGTTACTAATTGCCCTAGTAGCTCAGAGGTCAGAGCACTTGACATGAATTCAAGGGAGCCGTGGTTCGATTCCCGGCTGGGTAACAATTTTTGGCATTATTCGGGATTTACGTATTTGATTTCTAAATAATAATTGAGTTTTATTGCAAATGCTCACTTCACCGAATTCACAGATTCAGAATCGTGAAATCTTGACCCAAACTCAATCTTTGGAACAAAGGGATTGTTAAAAATGTCATAAATATGAATAGTCTCATGCATTCAGAAGTGGCCCTTTTACTAGTTCGACTCGGCCCTCTGGTTGGCTAGAATATGAATAAGGGAATCAAGAATGTACCTCAAAGAAGAAAGTTTATGTACAACCACAAAACAAGGCCGGACCCACCTTTTCCTGGAAATATAAAATATTATGTAATGGATCCAGCAGGTGCAGCACACTACTAAAAAAACCAGTATCAACCATGAAATGATCTCATCTTTCTACTTCCATAAAAAGAGGCGTCTCTTGGCCAGCAATCTCAGGAGTCAGGAAAAGGCTACAAAAAATCAAATCATGTTTGTGACTTGTGAGTGGGAGAAGAAGAGACGAGCGGAGTTGGAGAATTTGACAGCAGCAGCAGCAACACACAATAACAATCGGTTATTTCTCCTCTCCATCCAAGTAAATTATTCCACGAATTGTAATTTTAATTTGCACTTTCGGAAATATATAGTTTTAAATTTTAAACCTTACTTGTCACTTATTGTTATTAGTCCAGTACAATACTTAAATTTTGACAAAAGCAGACAAATATTTACAAACAGCCATACATCGTATTGTATGTATAATTTGAGCCTCAAATTAGGGGAACTATTATTATTAGAATTTACTGAATTTCTGTCTGTATTTATTTTGGTGAAGCCTGTCGTCTGGGAAGACGAATGGAGACCAACCTGAAGAACGGAGGTCTGGAGATTGACGAACCAGAAGCTGTCGTCCTTCTGGGGATGGGGACTGGCGAATCTCACAAAGGTTGTTTAAAGGCTTATTAGACTAATGCATGAGCTAAATATATGGAGGGCCTTTTTTACTATTTTGATGAACAGATTTGATGAGTTCATCCACACCAGATTTCATTGACGAGTTGGAGGAAATTATTGGATCGACGGACAAACTGTTTGTTAGAGAATCGCAACCTGCTATCCCAGGTATTTTTCGTTACTACCCTGGCTTACAAGTCAGGGTAAATTGTTAGTATTGCAATTTTGATTATCAAGAATTGACATATTCCAGATGCTATTTCAAGTTTTGATGTGGCTTCGGTCTACGAAGTGTTGGATGGGCGGGGTGAAAGAGCCTTTCTGCTGGGACAATGTCGAGAGAAAGGGCCTGTTATGAGCTTTGCAATTGTTACAAATACTGGTCATGGTGTTCTTCAATTCACTCGGAGAGGAATTTTTGTAAGAAGTCTATCTATATGAGATCTATTCCGTTATTACTTATAATGATAACTGATCACAGAATCAAAATTGTGACATTGAGGGAGCTGGGATTTTGCGGTTCACCAGTGTCAAACATCTTTATGGAGGTTACACTTTACAAGACAAGTGGAAGAAACTGCTCCGGATAAAAACTAGCTGGGTTCACTTTTGTACGTGTTGCCTCTTCTCACCTTCCAAGACTGCTACATTAGAGTTCATCAATCTCGATGGGTCGCCATCAGGGACCATAACATACAAGAAATGGATCAATCTTGGATTTGATGACAGAACATTGTGCGTTCATTTCATTCCAAATTTAGATAGGAAAGCGAAATACATGATGTTTGCGGCGAGCTTAATCCCCGTGAGTATACAAACCTAGAAATTTTTGCAAAATAATTTGTAAATTTTGAAAGTAGTATTTTGACTGATGTAACATATTTTTCATTACAGTTTACGGCATACCTCGTAGAACCTGGAAGATCAAAAAGTAGCGTGTTGCTCGCCATTTTTTACGCATTTGTATTGTTCGTCATCATTTCCATCATTGTGGGAGTCATCCACACTTAAGTTTTTGTCAAATGCAACGATAACGACGTTGTTTTACAAATCACTCGTTGTAATAGTCGAATTCATTTACTCAAGTAGCATAAGAACCTCCTAGAAGTCAGCATCTATTATTATTTTAATTGTTGCGTAAAGTATTTTAAACTTATAACTACAAACACGAAATTCTCATTGTATTAACCCATCGTTGAAAGGTAGTATTTCACGTATACAAATGGTCTGATTTTTATGTAACCAACCTAATAGACTTGATAATGACTTAAGATTTGATTAAAATATTTTATTGAGATTGAATCAAAGTGTACATATGTTTTACATTTATTTGTTGTTTGTGCAAGCATGAGGTCATTGTATTGTAATGCAATAGCCCCATTACATAAATTAGCATATTGCAGATTCTTAAGATGAAATTCCATGTCGAGGAAATATGTAGTAAAGTGTAGACACGTGCGTTTATACATATTTATATGCACTCCTATTTACTCCAGTCACCGTTTTATGGTGTGTGCTATTTGCACAGGAAGTGAAATTACTTACAAAGTGAAAAACTCGACATGAGTGGAATTTGCATAAATGCTGCATGCATATGAACTTATTTCGTGACCAGTCGATATCTGGTACCCGGTTAATAACCCTTTTCTCTTTCTCCTGCAAAACACTACTTTCACCAGACCAGAGTGGACATTAGACCATTATTGTCACCAAACAAAAGGGCTGCGTGTTTGTTAGCTAAGAGTTTTATTTTGCACTCCTGCCTCAGTTCTACTAGTAGTTTCAAGGTCTATTTGAATACAAATAATTTGTAATTTGAATTTCTATGACGTTGCATGCAAAATTCGCATGCATTATCTTTTCTGCGAAAAGTGGTTGAATTATTTTTAAAAATACGTAGGATCCAAACACCGCGCAAAAGAAAGTTCTGCAGTAGTTTGTACTTTGTTAGAGTGTGTAATTGATTCCTCTAGTTGTTTTGTTCTAATATGGCAGTGGTCACAGTGGTATGCAGTACATGATACATTATTTGCATTATTATACTAAACCAGACACATAAACATAAAATGAAATATCATTAAAGAGCGAGGACGCTGTTGAGAAGGAGAATGGGAAGAAGGAGGACGAGGAGGAGGATGATGCCACAGAATACTTGAATCTTGAACCAGAACCCCTGGAGCCAGGGTCCGCCATGGATCCCGATCGTATTGACTTTGTCCTCGTTTGGAACGGACAGATCGAGACTGCCAATTCGGCAAAGTCCATCGAAAAAAGAAAAGTCTTTGAGACCCACTTGGAAAAGGAAGGTCTTGTTCTGTCCAGAGAGGTCCTCCGTTCCAAAAAGCTGCATTTTCTCAAAATCCATGCTCCTTTGGAGGTTCTTCAACGATACGCAGAGATTTTGAGACTACAAATGCCAATCAAAGAGGTGCTCAATGAGATTTAATATTTAATTACTACTGAATTAAACGTGAAATTGCGCAATTGATTAATCATAGATCCCAGGAACTCTGGATTTGCATCAGAAAAGGAGAACGCTTCTCGACATGCTTCCCATAAAGGCGCTGTGTACGCTATCTTATTTTCAAGTAAACACCGTATTGTTTCCAAAGTTTGAACAAAGAGTTACAGCGCCTTACAACAAGGAGAAACATTACCTGTGAGTCCCATTTTTTAAGAGCATGCGTTTTTAATGTAAAACTGATCCTGAGTTTCAATTTGAATTAAGGTTTGACGTTGATGAGACGAATGAAATTGCATACTTTAACCCTGCAATTCGATCTCGGATTGTGCATTTTATTCTCAAGAGGAAAAGATACAAAGAGGATGATACAGATACGTTGGCCTTTGGTTATGAACGACTTATAGAAAGTGATGTCTACTGTGCAGGGTATCCTCTACACGACGTAAGCAAAATTTCCGATAAGTAAAAGTCAGTTGTAATAAGTAAGTAGAAACGACATATCGAGTTGTTTATTTTCAGGGTGATTACAATGCTGTCAATTGCCAACGAGGACTTTTGTACTATTACTGGGCGAGTTTTCGTAATTGCTTAAAATTTCAACCGTTGGACAGCGTTCGAAGTTATTTTGGGGTGAAAATAGCCGTGTATTATGCTTGGCTTGGGTTCTATACACAAATGCTCATCGTTCCGGCAATTTTGGGAGTAATATCTTTCGTCTACGGGGCAGCGTCTATTTCCACGGACCGATACACGTATGCTAAATAGTACAATCTGAATTCGAAAATAAATTTCTAAAGTTTAGGTCGTGCATATATGAATATAGTAACCCTGATTTACAGACAAGAGATTTGCGATGCTCACAGTGAGACAATAATGTGTCCACTCTGCGACGTAACATGTACTTATTGGAACTTGTCATCGATATGCTTTCATTCGAAATTCACTCAAACCTTTGATAATGACTCTACAGCCATCTTTGCATTTTTTATGTCAATTTGGAGTAAGTAACAGTAATTCACTAGTTGTAATTATATTATTTATTATGTATGCATAACCAACTTTGTGAACTCCATTTAAATGTTTATTATCTTTGTGGGGGAATTGAGCAGCTGTCGTTTTTCTGGAATTTTGGAAACGTTATTCTGCCGAGCTAAATTACCGATGGGATCTCAACAACTTTGATAGCGATCAATTGCCACGCCCAGAGTTTGCAGCACGATTGAAGGATTCGAAAGCCAAGCGTTTCAACTACATCACCAACTCGATCGAACCAGCAGTTCCGTTTTGGCAAATAAAACTACCCTTTACTTTCATCAGTCTAACCGGCGTTATGATCTTAGTAATTCCAAAAATATAAAATTATTTTCCATAATTCAGAGTCAAACAAAGAATGTTATTGTGTGGTTCTTAGATTTTTGTGGCTCTAGCAGCATCAGTCGGAGTAGTAGTGTATCGGATATCGACCTTAGTGGCCGTCAGTAGCTGGCCAAACGCTTTAATGCTGGTCAATTTTACGGCAGCGTTCATTAATTTAATATTCATTCTAGGGTTTAGCTGGGTATTTTTACAATTTTACACTTGTTGATTGTATTCGAGGAAATGATGATATGGAATACGACTAATTAATTGTATTAATTGCTGTCCACAGATCTATAGACCTATTGCCAAATGGTTGACGGATTTGGAAATTCCACGAACATTTCAAGAATATGAAGCCAGTTTTGCATTCAAGCTTTATGCACTGCAATTTATAAATCATTACGCCTCCCTGTTTTACATTGCATACTTCAAAGGAAATTTTGTTGGTTCGCCAAATAAGTATACAAAACTGTTTGGTCGATGGAGGCAGGAAGAGGTAAAAGAATTTTACTATTATTTGGATAAATTCATTTGACTTCGGAATTTATCATTACTTTATGATTAGTGTGGTATAAGTTGTATGCCTGAACTATGCATTCAGTTATCAGTAATACTGGTAGGAAAACAAACACTAAACTCTATAATGGAGATGATAATACCGTGAGCAACTCAATATGAAACACTTCTTGGAATATGCAATTTTATTTTTGTTGATTTTGTTCTTCTGCCCAGTTATTTCCAAAAACTATACAATAACCAACAATTGAAACGGGTCTCTAAAGAAAATGTTGAAGTCATTCAACATCAGATTGTCAAAGACTACAAGTTGCTTGCCTGGGATAGCGACCATTTAACGGAAGAATATTTGGAAATGGGTAAAACACGACCTGAAAACTTACTTGCCTAAGTAGTTAGTACATATGTTGTTCGCTAATTTTAGACTGCTTTCCTTTAGTTATCCAGTACGGCTTTGTGACCATTTTCGTTGCAGCATTTCCACTCGCTCCATTCTTCGCCTTGATCAATAATATTTTTGAGCTACGATTCGATGCTCAGAAATTGTTGAAACATCATCGACGACCCATTTCTATCCGAGTCAAAGGAATTGGGGTGTGGTACCAAATTATAGATACTGTTGCCAAGTTTGCTGTCCTGTCAAATGTGAGGGTTTAACTATATGTACATCAATATTTTGAGCGTGTACATGTATCGTTCATCTTGCCTGTTCAATTTTTCTTAGGCATTCATTATTGCTATCACGTCCAATTTTGTCCCAAAAATTGTTTACCGTTTCTTCATACTGGAGCGAAATGATACGAGGTATGGGACGCTGGTTGGTTTTCTGAACCACACCTTAAGTAAATATGCCATTGAAGACCTTGAGAAGACGCCTGACCCCACCAGAAGTGACGGACTTTCTCCACCTCCCTCCTCTTGCAAGTAATCTCAGTGAGATTATCTTACTCGTATTCAGATAAAATCCTAAATTATAGCTGACAAAAGTTAAATATTTCTGTTTTTGAACTAGTTTTCCAGCATACAGAAATGATTACAGCAGCCCAGGTAAATATGAATATACTGATGAACACTGGAAGGTGTGGTTGGGGAGGGTCATATTCGTGATTGCGTTTGAGGTAAACAAAAGTGCATATTTATATGTATCATTTCACAATGTATAACTCTATTGTATTCTCTATAGAATATTGTGGCAACATGTTTCATGTTTATACGATGGGCGATCCCTGATGTTCCAGAGGAGATAAAGATTGAAATTCAGAGGGAGCAATATTTAACTAACGAGCTAATCATTAAACAAGAACTCCTACGCGCTCGAGGGGTAATTTCTGAAGCGCAATGTTTCCACAAAGTCCATCCCGAAGACCTGGAAAAAGTGGTGAACAAGACAGACTTTGAAATGTATGGTCAATATATAAATACCTTGTAATAAATATGACAAAACTAAATATTATTAAATATTCATCTCCACACGCATGACAGTGATATCTCCACTACCACGTCATCTTCAAACTCGTTCTTGTCTTTTCTAAAAGGAACAGGAAAGCATTAGAAACGGATTCCAAGCAAAAGTTAAATAAGCACTCCTTCAACTCTAGTGAGCTGAGCCAGCCCAACCGTTCGACAAACGCAGTTTCCATTATTTAGCGAAAGGCAGAGTGAGACTCGGATTCTGGTGGGTATCCACCACCACGGCTGACTGTCGTTGCCAGTGCCGTATGGTGGTCCGTCTCACTTCTCACTCTCTTCAAATTGTTTACCGGGATTATGAACCAACTCGTGTTGAGATGCTTTTCATCTCTTACACGAGTTGGTTCAGTTGATAAATCGTTGAGCTTAAGTTTTAAATTTGGGGCGAATTGGACAAACTGAATTTGCTTATCTTAAAAACTGATAAGCGCAGTGATAAGCCCGATAGCGTTTATTTTCGAGTGGATACTACCATTATATATTCAGATAAGCTTAAGTTTTAAATTTGGGGAGATTTGGACAAACTAAATTTGCTTATCTTAAAAACTGATAAGCGCAGTGATAAGCCCGATAGCGTTAATTTTCGAATGCATATCATCATTATAAATTCAGAAAAGCTTAAGTTTTAAGTTTGGGGCGATTTGGATAAACTAAATTTGCTTATCTGAAAAATTGATAACTTCGTTGATAAGCCTCATAGCGTTAATTTTCGAATGCATATCATCATTATAAATTCAGAAAAGCTTAAGTTTTAAATTTGGGGCGATTTGAGGCTGTTTTAATAGCTTCTATGTAATTACCTTTATGTATATCATAAATACCTATACATTGTTACGGCTCCTGCCGTATAAGCCCCTCCCTCAGAAACTTTGACCCCAAAAAAGTCATGGTAGCGGTCATTTCGCAGCGGACAACAAAAGCGGAAAATGTGGCACTTCTGACGAAGAAAAATCTGGCATCAGGTTGTCAGCCGCGAAATGACCGCTAAGGTCACTTTTTTAACGATTTATATGTAGGTCGAAAAACCGCCAATTTTCGAATTTTGAAAGTCTTGATGCATCAAAATGTTCATATTCATGAGGGAAGTCAAATGTCAAATGCAAGTTGGTATCTACTTCTTTCTGTACCGAGTGTACATTGACCTTCTCATTTTTCCCAATTTTCTTCCCCAATTTTTGAAGGGGGTGTGGTTGAATATAATTCAAAAACAGCTATGCTATATTAATCCCCCCACCCAAAACTGAATTTGTAATTTTTTATGTGCAATTTGGTGAAATCGATGCGAAAAAGACTTGCACTTTTGGCTCATTTTGTACCTAGTGTTTTATTTTTTATGACCACCGCTAGTTAAGATTTCCACAATAAAGTTTGATATTCTCAAAACTCTGAAAGTATTTAAAATTCTTGCCATAATTCCAATTATTATGTTTATACATTCATTGGTAAATACCGTATTTAAAATACGACATGCCTTTCATGAAAAATATCTAGCTCGATGAAAGCATATTTATAGCGTCTCGCCACAGAAAGGTTTCTCGTGCAATTCTCACTTTGGAGGCCGCGAACCCCGAAGATCCAGGTTCTCATCGGACTCGGCGAATGAATAAAACCGGATAAATTGTGTCGGTTTCAAGACACGATCACAACAGTCTATCGATAAAGTGATCTCACAATTAGTTGCGTAAAATGGCAACAGGAAGTTTCCTCGTGGATTTATTCGTCTTCCGACAACTCTTGTAAGATATGTTTCTTTAAACAACTTTGAAAATTTATTTATTTACGGGCGTAATCAATTAAGAATTGTTTGCTTAATTTTTAACTAAATTATATTAAATTCCCATTAATTTTCGATTCTTGTAGAGTGCAGAAACGCCATTATGCAAAATCCATTGTATGGACGCCACGTTTGAAAGAAATGCTCGACCCTCCTCCACCTATAACTGCACGACAAAAACCTAAAAATCTCCCTAAATTGGAGGATATTAAAATTCCCAAAAAAATTAATCGCGAGCCAACTGACATTTTAAAGGTATTTACAAGGCAATGTATCAAAGTTTGTGAAAAACTACTAGTGACCAGGCGTATGAATAAATGTGAAATGCTTATGGTTTCCAGGCTCTGGCAAGTACGGTTGGAAGGGACTACACGGCAGCCCACTACAAATTTCACGACGACCCATACTTGATTCCTTACTCAAATATGAACAAGAGAAGCTACGCCCTGTCGAAAGAGGCTGGGAGAAAAGCAGCCAAGTGGGTGAGAGATCAACACGCCGACCTATTTCAACATGAAGTTGCTGAACCACCAATTGAGGTTTCTGAAAAACCTTACACTCTGCGTTCTATATTTTTATATGCAAAATAGAAAAATGTGATTGTTATAATTATATTAAATTCTATTTAGGCCTTCTTCCCGTCCCCAGTTTTTACGGAAGATAGCGTTTTGAGTCAGAATGACTTGAATAAATACATTCAACAAGGACTGCTAGACCAAGCAACAAAAATACATAGTATTTTAAAGTCAAAAGGAACAGGTAGAGCGAAATAGTTTGCATTTTGGTTCAAAATTAAATTTGTTACCGTTTTACTTTTAGAAATCAACGACGAAACAAGACAATCATTTTTAGAAATGTTGTGTTATTTCAATGAAGTTGAGCAAATTGACGAAGATTTAGTGGAAGAGAGGTGGTATAGACAAGCGAATTTTATGCGAGACCGACTAAAGAATACTTGGAAGTAAGATTGCCATAAATTCATTCATCTATGTATGCAAACCTATAAATAAACTATTTTAAAAATTATTTTCAGAGATGGTGGTTTAGCTGAATCTGTATTTAAAGAAATTGAAAATCCATCCGTAGAGGCATATTGTGCCATGATTCGGGGACAGGCCAAATTTTTTAATGTACGTGAGGAGGTCATTTTGTTTTAATTGTATATATAATTGAGAAAATTTATTTTTATTGCAGGCAGAGAAAGCATGGGTTACATACACTGAGGCCCGATCGAAAGGGTTAGTCCTTGATACAGACACCTATAATTGCCTGATTAAGGTCGCTAACTATTTGAGAGAAAATGCTGATCTTCGCTTTGTACTTATAGAGGTAATCAGAATTTATATTCTCAATGTCAGCTAATGAAGTAAATAAATAACCACCAATGAGTTAAAATTGGTACTTATAGGAACTTTTGTCAGAAATGAAGGAACTTGGACTTGAACCGAACCTGGGCACTATGAACGCAATGTTAGATTCGTTCAGTATGATTGGAAACCCTCGTCAAGCTAAGAATATGGCTCTATCGACAATGTCTGAATTTAAACGTATCGGAATTGAGCCATCACTCGCATCCTATTTTTTCCTCTTAACGTTATTTTGTAAAGAGAGTAAGTTATCAAGTACAATCGTCGCACAACCAAAATTTAAAATTCTTCTGCTTATTTCTAATTTCCATCTTTTACAGAGGGACCAATCAGTACTATATTGGTCGATATTCTAAAAACAATCAAGGGCAAAGAATTTACTATACAAGATCCAAAGGACACGTATTTCTTTGTAATGGCGATGGACATTGCCCGAAATCATTTGCAGAATGTTGATCTGGCTTACCAAATTGACGAATTACTTCATGTTGGTGATAACTATAACCTAATCGGGGATTCATACAAAGAATCAGTCTACTAGTAAGTTTCTAAGTGACTAGAATTTAACATTAAGCTAACTTGATTTCGACTTTGGGTTATTGTAACCTTTTCTGTCTGTCTGATTTACAGTCGTCACTATATGGCCCTTCGGTGTAATTTCGAGCCTTTTGACGAGTTCATGAAATTCTATAGTAAAATTGTGCCAAATATTTATACACCAGGTATTTATAATAAAGATAGATACTATTTACGAGTTCGTAAATATCCCGCACAGAGCGAAACTCGTGGAGAATTCGTTACCAGAGACTGGCTAAACGTCCGCCGATTTGTTGCGATTTCATAACGAGTTTCGCTCTGGTCCCATGCGACATAAGAATCCTAATTACTGAATTTCCACTGATATTTTTTTCCTTTATTTCAGAACCAGGAATCACAGAGGTGAAAAACAACTTTCAGTCTACATAAATTTGTTGTAGTAATATGATTGTATGTATTTTAGTTACAAGTTGTCCTATTTTTGTAGGAAATTTTGAAAGCTGTTGAAGTTAATGTAGCCATCTCTTATTTGCCACAATTGTGGTCTGACATAGTAATATTTGACCAAGCTAACCGTGAGAATCTCCTCGAGTTAATGCTTCAGATGATGGCTTCATACTACCCAACTTTAAAAAATACAGACATTGTACAACCAGAAAAATTGGCTGAAGAATTTACAGATATTGGTTGGAAAATCTGGGGGATTGTGGAGGGCCAAGAACGTGATAGAGGAGGACGCCAAATTAATTGGTCCGGAAAAATGTTGGGAGATTTAATAACACTTCAAATAAACGGAGACAAGTTTGACAATGCATGCGAAGTTATCAAGAAGCTCTTATCCCCGTTGGCAGCATCAGAGGTTGTGGGTGTCCCTTCTTTAGACACTCTTAAACTTTTCCTGAATACATCAATCACTAAAAACAATGGATCAATGTGTTTGGTAATTCAGTCTTTATATATTTAGCTAATTTAACGTAATAATAATAAAAATATCCGATTTGATTTATTTCAGGCTTGTCTACAATATATCAACGAGTGTGGATTTCCGGAAATCCTCGAGTTAGGTAAAGAAGTGTTTGAGAAGGTCAAGCTGGATTCTCTACAGACATCCAAGCTTTCCACCATTACAGGACACAATTTTTCATCTTCATTACCAGAAAAAATAGATGTCATGTAAAGTTAGTCATTTAAGTAATTGTTCGGCAATTTGTTATAGATTAAGTACACTCAGTCAGTAGAGTAAACATAAGACTACTTTTTGTATGCTTCTTTTTCGTGTTATAGATATGCAATAATAAATGGATACATTGTGACGTTTTAATTCAGTATTTAATTAATGACGATTTGAAAATTTGCAGCCGAAGCATGTCTTTGACTTGACACGTAGATGATTTATTGCGTTATGTTGATTGTGGTCTTCTTCAACAAAATATTCGCATTCTCATTAAATACTGATATAACTGTCACTGGATCTAACTTGCTAAAACTGCAGGCGTTGTACACACATTGAAATAGATTGAGAGAAGGAAAGGAATGTACAAATGGCTGAATCATCTCTGAAAACATGGTTATTTTCCATGCAACTGGATTTTGGCAATTCACTGCAGAGGAAGAGAGATGAATTTCATTCCATAAACCAAACTGTGGCAGATTTTTGTTGCGGAAGATTCAGAGAAGTGAAATCGAGATTGAGAACTACACACGGGTTAGTTCGTTCATACAATCTTTGCTGTCTCAATTGGTGTACTGGGTTGTTCTCAACACCGATATGCACAGTGAGTATGCCAGAAAAGAGCCATAGTGGTACACGTCTGTGAAACAAGAACAGCATCACATTTCCTTGCTGTACTCCGTTTTGAGAACATCGTCCTATTTTTATTCCTGTTCTTCTATTTTCTCGTGCTAGTACACACACTCATCATTTCATTGTATAATTTATTATATTATTCGCTGTACGTATCAACCACGAATCTCAGCTCAATTGTAGGTTTTTGGGTTCGGTAGGTTCTGAATTGAAACCAAGTCAAAAGTACAAGTTTGTTGACACGACACGTGCATTTCAAAGCTCACACATTACATACGACACACCATTTTCACAATAAATCAATAAATACAAATTTACATTTCATGTGCGTAGAATCAATCCTCAACCACATTGACTGACTGCTTGAGGTGAACTTCCGTGTTGAACAACTTTCACTCGAGTGAGTGGTAGGTAGCATTAAGTACTTAAATTGAACAATTTGCTCACTTATCCATTCTCCACAAAATTTTGTGTCAAAGAAGTCTTTACAACTGGTATGTAGCGTCACTCCTCTCGTCTAATTCTGGGGATGACTACAATAAAAAGGAAGCAGGAATCACACATAAGACGAAAGTGCAGTAGATTGTGAGTCGCAGCAGCCAAACTGGCTGGCACACAGTCGTCATTATTCAGTTGTGTGTAACGATTATTCTCTGTCAATTCGCCAAAAGCGGTAGTTGACCAACCTCTCGAGTTACCAGTTAAACGGACCTTTATATCATTGATATTATGTAAGAGCCAACTTTGGCAATCGTGCCCGTGTTTCAATTTGTACTTCAAATCCGTTTTATATTGGTCTCAAAATACCCTTGGACCTTTGGCCCGATCACTGCATTGTTTCAGAGCACGTACTAAACTCCTCCAATCTCCATTATGCTTTTGTAGATAGTGGTGAAACATAAATTTCGCGTTTGTAACAGCAACGCCTCTCTGAACTCTTCGACAAGGAGGGAGTGAAGTGCAAGAGAAAGTATAAGAAAGTGACTTGATATACTTTAATAATGTCGTTTATGGGGCATACCATCATAATCATAATAATGCCAAAGTCCTTTCCACACTTGGCATTTCAAGAGCTTCTGGGGCTTATACTTTAATGTCAGCGTGCAGCGGGTAGTTCTCCAAAAAACTGAGAAATTCTCATTTTTGCCACAGGACAAGGCAGTCATGTTTTCCTCATGGTTGTGAAAGGTCGTGACACAATTTCGTCGACAAAATGACTTTGGAAAAGTGTATAAAAATAAATGACTCCTTATCCAACACAATGACCAAGCCAGATTGCTCACAAACGACGCCTGACCATCCCATAAAAGCAGCAACAGTAGACGCACTTCCTCCCAAACACGTCCCCTCCACTACTAATGACGCTGATCCAGATTTCATCTGCCCTGTATGCTCGTCCCCTAGCATCAGCTCATGTCGAAATTGCAAGAAAATCAGCTATTGTGGGAAAGCTCACCAACGGCTTCACTGGAGAGTGCACAGGGCAGAGTGTTTTCCTCTGATTCACCAGTATGACCCCCACATCCTGGGAAGCCGGCTTATTGCCACAAGGAACATCAAACCGGGAGAAATAATTTGGACAGAGAAAGCTCTACTCTCCGGCCCGGCTCTTCCCACTGCAATTTCCCGTAGTAGCAGCTACAGACGAGGGGAAGGAGAAGAAGAGAAAGCAGATTCAGCAGCATGTTCCACCAATCCAGCAGAAGAACTTGTTTGTCTAGGATGCTTTCAAGTCGTAAACACGGATTATCGCTGCCCTTGCTGCTCTTTGCCACTGTGTGGTCCAAACTGTGTGGGAGATCATGTTGAGCTGGAGTGCAAAATATTTACATCACTCCGGCATGAACAACAACTGGTGGATGGCTCGTCTCACCTGGCGGAAGGGCCGACGAGGCGTCCGCGGTGGGACGGAAAATGTTACCACGGAGTCATTACAATCATCCGGGGAGTTCTCCTCAAAGAAGTCGATCCTCCCAGATGGAAAAAGCTATTGGAACTTGACGAGATGTGGAATGGGAAAGAATGTGATAATTCTAAAAAAACATCCAGCGCCACTAACTTTGGTCAATTTTGCCATGAATTTATCATGAGCCTCGGTCTACTTAATGTTACGAATGAAGACGTTGCCCTCGTTTTGAGGGTCATATCTTACCGACGCTGTGAAGTTTATGATCCTCCTTCTCGTGACTTATGGGAAAGGTATATAGATACTTGATTAAGAAATACCTTCAGACTTCATCTGCAGAAATGTGTGGTTGAATTTATGCATCTCTGTTTGGTAGAGTAAAATAGCAATTATATACATGTCGTGAATTTCATGGGCGCAATAGTTTTTGGACAAATATAAATTATAAATTATTTACGTATGCATGTTCATTCTTGCAGACATTGCTGGACCTCGAAGCCGCATGCCTTTCACCTATTTTACACTGCGTGCCAAGCCACTCCTAGCTGTGTTCCAAACTCTTCATGGATTATTCAACGAGATTCAACTACTTCAACTCCGACTACCCAAATTCACTTACGAGCTTTATTGCCAATTCAGTTTGGGAGGACGGTTACCTTATCATATGCAAATGCAGAAAAGGGTATAAAAGACCGTCAAGCATTGTTGCCGAGGCATGGTGAAAGCACTGTCTCATGTGAATGTGAAAGATGCAAAGACCCTGAAGAGCTGGCCACTTTCTTCTCTGCGATAAAATGTCCGGGAGACCACCATGAAAATTCCTCCAAGTCACTCACCACCACAGTTCCTATTTCTGAAGCCCCCGGTACTGACATGTGTGCTTCTCCTACTACTTTAACCACCAACTGGTTACTTCCCACCACTGTTCAAGTCCCACTAAAACAGGATGAGAACCATGCAAGTCGGTTCAAGAAGGAGCTGATGTGGCAATGTCACGACTGCGGGTTAACCAAGGATTCCAACTACTACAACCAAGTTGTATCCCATGTAGAAAAAGACTTTTGTGATATTTGTTTTGTTTCTCAAACTAAAGAGGAAAAAGTTGGCCGAGCATGGAGAACTTCACTAATTGAAAACTTGGAAAGTTTAAGTCAAAAATATTCCGACTGTTTCTCCGTGCATCCCAATCACTGTGCGATTTACGAGGTTGAAATGTTCACATTAGAACTCATGTCCTCCCAACTTGCCGACCTGAACGGAACGTTGACGGATGCAAAATGGACGCTGTTGGTGGAACGATTTACCAGCCTTTGCAGAAAATGGTTGGAAGTTGCTGATGTTTTATGGCCTGGCTTATCTCGTCAGAGAGGTGGGCGACAATAAATAAGTGCAAAATTATTCGCCCTATTTTTATATATTTATTCCATGACACAGCCTCATTTTCTTTCAGGCCAACTGCTCTACTACTACCAACAAGCTTTGGTCATTCAACTGATACTTTCGATCTCACGTAGGATGAGAGGAGGAGGAGAGGATGACGACGAGACGATTGGTGAGCAAGAGTTGGGTTCTAGCGAGAAGTTGGAAGATTTCTCAAAAATTCAACAATCTCTTCTAGAGAAGGAATTTCTTAAGATTCTAAATATTCGTAAAGTTGTAGTGAATATTTTCTGCTACGATGATAATGCAACTATTGGAAGAAAATATGCCAACAGTTTAGTACTCAAATGCCCTGAAATTGAAATTCTCAAACATTACGTCTTTCAAACAAACAAAGCCTGACATGACTTGGTAAACCATGAGCAAATTATATTTACTAGCAAAAATATAGTACGTATTGTGTATTTATCTAGTAAAATGTCCTCTAATACCACCGAAGTACATGACTATAATAGGACGCACGTAGTATTTAGTTGTAGAAATAGATGTCAGCAGAATTACATAAGCAATTAAATCTTTCTCAATGGCAGTGTCTTCTTTAAATAAGACATGCAATTTAGATATGTAAATACAATAAACAATTAAAATATGCGCAATAAATCGTGCAGAAGTACGTACTACAAGAAGAATCATATTTTTGCATGGTCTCATTCGTTGTCATCTATTTTAATGCTAACAACACGACTGCAGTGTTTTGTAATCATCAATCCGTTGTTATTTCCGCTTCCCAAATTTTTTAGCTGTGTAGGTCGTCCCTACGCATCCTGGTTCCATGCAGTACAACGCAAGACAATACACAGCCTGTAACACATTCTTTTCTTGTCATCTTTGTAAAAACCCCGTAAAACTTTTTTGACCGTATTTATTATAATGAAGGTAAGCTTCTTGAATGCATTTTAGGACTACTTATTACATATTTCATGAAATAAAGTTACATCGTTTCAGAGTCACTTCTTGTACGATGCAAGCAACTCGGCATGGATTCTTTCTTTGCTCACTTTGGGAAATTTGATATTAGTGACCACAACTGCAGGAAGCGAGGACAGGGACACCAAATCGCACCATCACCTTATAAAACAGTTTTTGGAACCTTGCGACGCAGTTTACACTCAAGTTCACTGCGATGATGACGATGAAGACTATAATGAAGCTTCGGAGGCTGGATGTGCCCCCATCGAGACGGACGATTGCGATAGGTCACTCCAACTCTACTGTCACTCTGGCGTCTGTCTCCCCAACTGTCACCCCACTCTCGAGGATTACGATCCAGTCAGAGGGAAATGCTTCAGAAAGATCGGGGCCAATTGTACCAGGGGCGAGGAGTGTGACCTTAATGCAATTTGTGAACGGAAGCACTGTCGATGTGCGAAGAATCACACTCTTGAGCCCGAATCTGGAAAGTGTGTGCGATCTGCAGAATTTGGAGAATTTTGTGATTCTGACGTCATTTGCGATATGTTGGGAGACGTTGTGTGTCACAACAATACTTGTCAATGCCGTGCCTCGGAATCTCAATTTTATCACATGAAGCGGAAGAGATGCTACCTGCGAGTTGGACAAGATTGCAGCAATAAACATCGGTCCTTCCAATTTTGTCCCGACAATTCTGACTGCATTCGACATTTAGAGAATGGTGAGAGTGAGCGATATATTGGAATACCTGGGGACACTGATGAAGAGAATAAATTTACGTGCCTTTGCGACCCTGGTCATATTTCCACCTCGGATGGGAAAGCGTGCTTGGGAATCTACGGAACGAATTGCAACTCTCTTCGCAAATGCAACACCGAAAGATCATTTAAATGCTACAACAGTGGGACCTGTCAGTGTGCCCGACCCAAAGATCAAGAGTTCCATGAGAAGCTGGCAAGATGTGTAACCCATATCGGCAGTTTGTGTGAAGCAAAAAAGGACATTTGCGTGGATTGGGCAGCATGCAAACCGGATGAGGATAAAAGAGTTAGCACATGTGAATGTATTTCTGGGTACAGTAGCTCTTCCTCTTCTTCGGATGTAGAAACTGACAAAAAAGTTTGCTTAAAAGATCATGGGCTGGATTGTGAAATAGGGGATCCTGACAATACTGATGCTGCTAACCCACGTTGCAATTGGTCGATTGGTTTGGAGTGCTCAAATCACACGGGAACGTGTCAATGCAAGGATTACAACATGTTCTATGATGTCAAGTTGAAACGCTGCAGGAATTTCGACGTTGCACAGAGACGAATTCCTGTCACCCATTATGACACCTCGGACAGGGAATACTTGTTCCACGCCGTCAACAGCCATTCACCAACAATACTTGACGCGAAGTTTGCATTTCTCGCTACAAGCTTTAGTATTATTTTGGTCAGTTTTTATTAGTGAATGTGAAACACATAAAGAAAGTACTTATAATTTTGTATGTAAATAGATTGTGTACATATTTATTTCATTGACTGGCTTGAACCAACCGAATGGCAAACCTCAAAGACTCAAAATTGTATTTTTTGAAAAGTTAATATAAAATAGTTAGTACAGTAAATCAATTATTTTCCGTATCCACCACCTACGAATAAATGTATAGTTAATTTCATTCGCAATTTCATAATATACATCGTAACGCATACGCACCTTTTCCCCCACCCCCACGTCCTCCGCCCCCTCCACGGTGACCTCCACCACCACCACCACCTTTGCTTCGCCCTCCTCCTCCTCCTCCTCCCTTTCCTCCCTTGAGCTTCCTCTTCAACTTTTGCAGAATGCCTCCTCCCTCTGCGAAAGAGCTCATCACCACCAGAACGATTAGAAATATCACCTATACGCACAGCCGAAAAAAAAGTATCTGAATTCCGACCCAATTTCTGACTGTCCGACTTAATGTGACTCACCAATAATTTTTTGCAGTTAACCATTGTACTTATATGGAAATTGGAACAGTAAATAAGCAGTAAGATGAAAAAAAGTAACTCCAACTAAAGTGACGACGACTTCATCCGTATTTATAACATTTCCAAAACAGAAACAAACCAACTCGAATCAAAAGTCTTTATTTCCAGAGTCAATGCAAACCAGACAAAAAGTGTGTACATGGTTCAAGCTAACACATAATTTGTGTGCGTGTATAGGAAGGGCATAAGAAAGGGAAGGATCTTTATTGGTATAAGGCAACCACGACGCTGTATCCTTCCCCATTGTGCTCACTCGTACCAACACCAAATCCCACGCTGGTCACGGAGTCCGACCTGAGAACAAAGTGGTCGACCGAGGCCTGCACCCGGCCTGGCGTCGTGCTCCCAGTGTACCAACAGCGGATGGCGTACTCGAGATCCTTCGCCAGTGGGAGCAGTTCGCCCCGATGGCTCCACAGGTTCTCATCAAACCCAGTCTCCGAAGCCGTCAAATTGTTCCAAGACGCCAACTTCTCTGCATGTGCATGAGCCAACTTGTTGAGCTGTACATCACAGAATCACATGTATGACACACAAATGAATTAGAAAATAAAACGTCAATTAACAAAGGAGATGTGCATAAAAGCCTACACCCATTTATTTATGTGTTCGTACCTCATGATCCAATTTTAGAGGGGACACTTTGTTCAAGGATCGATAATGGTTGTGAAGACGGAGACCTTGTTCTCTAAATCCATTTTTTGGAACAAACACGTTTTCGTCGAAAACCTCAAGTATTATGGCAGCAGAACTGTTTGCATCTTTTGTGAATAAAACCACAATAACAACAACCAGGGTTAAAGTTAAGTGTCTCATTTTGCCTCAAACAACAAACGATGTTACAAATGTACTTGTTCTGCTGTTGATTTCATAAAATTTTGTGAGTAGCCTTTCCCTCCTGAAGCCTTCTGTTCAAAGTTTGAAAAGATAATTAGCCATGCAGTTATAACCGACCAAATCAAACCAAACCAAATGTTAATTGCAATTTTATGACACTCACTTTCAGATTATACGCCTTCATTATCTCAAAACAGAATCACCTGACCGCCCCACCGGTTCACCCGTACAGATGAGATTTACAATAGGTTTCATAATTTCTATATGAATCATTTTACCAATTTCACCTTTAAACGCAGCTAAAATGAGACGAGGCGAGTTGAGACTGAGGCACGGATACCCAAGGTGAGACTGGTCTGCAAGTACAGTGACTGCCCTCCATTGGTAGGGCTGAGAATTGCATTCAACGTGTGTGCCCGGCTTACATTTTCAGTCCATGCTGCTCTCGCCAATTTGCTCACCATTTCATTCCGCATTCATTCCCTTACCTTTTCACAGGCAACTGAACACGGTGCAACTGAAAAATTTCGAAAAAAAGTGGTCGTGTCTTTCGTAGACTCATCCACCACCGAATTCAGAAGCCAAAATGGGTCCCAAATTTGATCCCAATGAAGTTAAAGTTGGTAAGTTTTCGACATTTCGTAAAAGTCGTCAATTTGTGACTGCAATCGCATCTTCGGCGAATCGAGAAATCTCGGGTCACAAAGAATAGTCACAAGAGTGACATAAAATGTCCTCGACCAGTGGATCCTAAAACCTTCTCCCTGGTGGAATCACGAAATCAGGTGGCCCAAAATCCCCTAAATTTTTCTAACTATCGTGTGCTGATTTGTTTTATTCTTATTAACGTTAATAATAATTTTGATGGGAAAAGTTGCAACTTTTTTAAAATTATTATGACCTTACAATTTTACCCTGTGGTTCATTCTAGTCGTTTTGATGTATAAACGACTAAACCAAGTGATACTCTTATCGAGAATTTTTAACATGTGTTTCCTTCATTTTCAACAGTTCACTTGAGATGTGTTGGAGGAGAAGTAGGTGCCACTTCCTCACTGGCTCCAAAGATTGGTCCACTCGGTTTGGTAAGCTATTAAATTGAACTTGCTTATAAAAATAAAATAAGTCCGACAGTTTAGTAATTATTATATTTATGTCTTTGAGAACAGTCCCCAAAGAAGGTGGGTGATGACATCGCAAAAGCTACTGGTGATTGGAAAGGGCTCAAGATCACAGTCCGTTTGACAATTCTGAATCGTCAAGCCACCATCTCTGTTGTCCCTTCTGCAGCCTCCATGATTATCAAGGCATTGAAGGAACCACCACGTGATAGGAAGAAGGTTAAGAACAGTAAGTGCATATACCAATAAATTAATAAGGTGTGTGTAGTGTGTAAAGTGTACTCGCTCATCCGGAATAACATTTTTTTACAGTTAAACACAATGGCAACATCACCTTTAACGACATCTTGACCATTGCTAAAGCCATGAAAGAGCGCTCCATGGCGAAAAAGTTGGAGGGTACCGTGAAGGAAGTGCTAGGAACTGCACAGTCCATCGGTTGCACAATTGATGGCAAAGATCCTCATGATATCATTGATGCTATTAATGATGGCGAAATTGATGTTCCAGAAAATTAAGCTAGATAATTACTTTTTTTAAGTAATAAATAAAGCTGACTATCCAGCTAAACCATAAAATAATGTGCGTAATTGTGTTGATTCTTTTCAATCTGTGTGCTAGATTCTAATATGTCATTGAATGCAAATTTTCATACATGACTGCATATTTTCCGTATTGTTATGTTCACATCTATTTTAGGAATAAGAACGCATCATTCTACATATTATCGAACCAGATTTCAGTGCGTTATATATGTACTAATTCTGCACTGTATTACACGTGCTGTATTACTTTATTACACATGCACAGACGACCCCAAACTGGAGATTACGTATAGCTCACAAGTCTGTGTAATTACACCAAGCACTACTTATGACTTATATGTCATTGTAAAAATGATAATGTGGTTTTCAACAAAAAAATATTTCATTCCTGGAATGAACAAAACCTTCATCTTATTGTGATGACTGCTATGCTAAACAAATAGTTGTTGTCATCCTCTTGTTTTAGGTAAAACCTCGATACTAGTTTTGATCAGGTTATTTTTATTGTGTTATACATGAGACAACTTTTGGCTTGTTTTAATGACATTGTTTGTATTGCCATTGCGTTGATTCTAATAAGATCTTGAGAGCTTCGGGTACCATCAACACCTTCATGACGCGGATGAAGACATGGGTATATCAACCCCACCTCATCAGTTCATGTTTTAACCCCAGTTAGAAAAATATATTCTGAAAGAACCAGTCCACCAACACGACACCTAATTATACATATATTACATTACTTGTCGTTGTCTTCTAAAACTGGTAACAACCGCTACCAAGAAATAATATACTTCGGGTTCATCTAGTGTCATTTCGGCAGTTGACCCCAACCGATTGTCACGTCTGCGGAGAGAACTCATCTTACGTATTCACCTTGAACAAGACTATTATTATATAGTCTTTCCTAATTCAATTTCAAAATGTTACGCCATCTCGTAATCTTGACGTTCCTGACTGTTGTGACCTCTTCCCAAGGGGCAGGAGTTGTCAGATTGGGAGAGTCATTAAAAGGACTCTTAGCTGGCTCAAGACGGGACATTGTCATTGAAATGGAGCCTGTTTTAGGTCAAGTTCTGACAAACCCATCCCTTCTTGGTCTCACTGGTGATGTCAGGAGGTATGCAAATATAAATGTTTTATTTTGGAAAATGAGTTTAGATAATTTTATGCATATAAATGTTCAACAAAAAAACAAAGGAATCAAGTCATTGGCCTTCTCCAAGAACGGTCGCGGATTTCTCAGATTCCAGTAATGAACGCTTTGACCACTTTGGGGCTAGCCGACAGGGCCAAACCATATTGGGTTGCCAACCGAATTGTAGTGAGGGATGTGGATATTGGTGCAATTCAAGCCCTGTCGAAATTCTCCTTCGGTCTCCCCATGGTACAGTATAGGCACAAATAGGATTTAATTATAAATAATAGCATTTCCCAAAAGTATATCATGCAAAACAAAGTAAATTTTAAAGTTTAAGTTTCACTCTTCTTTATATACATATATCTAGCTTATTCGAGAACCAATCAAAGCCAAAATATATCCAGTCGTCACCATTGAAGAAAAAAATGATCAACCCAAAGTCGCATCGACTCGAGCAGGCGACCTCCAATATGGTGTTGCAAAAATTAATGCGAACAAAGTCTGGGACAAGGGTAACAGAGGAGAAGGGATTGTGGTTGGGATTATCGACACAGGAGCCAACACGAGGCACATCGCCCTGAGGGATAACTACAAGAATGACCAGTACAGCTGGAAAGATGCATTTGGCAAGTACGATGACCCTTACGACGGGAACGGTCATGGCACTCATTGTGCGGGCACCATTTGTGGCACAACAAACGGAATTGGAGTTGCTCCGGGAGCCAAGTTCATTGCCTGTCGAGGCCTTGATGACGAAGGAAGTGGAGATGACACCACTTTAATGACGTGTGGTCAATTCATGGCGTGCCCCTCTGGCAATTCTTCCACTGACGGCACCACCAGGGCAACTTGTACCGGTTTTCCCCACGTTATTTCCAACAGTTGGGGTGGACTAGTTGGAGGACAAGATTTTTACAATTCCATCATTAACTGTAATGTATACATGCATGATTAATTAGAGTTCTTTCTTAAGCAATCATTTTTCATTCATTCGTGTACTCATCAAAGTTAATTTATTGTATTATTTTGTGTGCATTTAATAAGCTTGGGTAGCTTTGGGGATCATTCCTGTCTTTGCGCTGGGGAACAGTGGACCAGTTTGCATGACCTCGGGATCACCAGGAGACCAGGACAATTTAATAAGTGTGGGGGCCACTGATGATAAGGACGGTCTGGCAAGTTTCAGCAGTCGAGGTCCAGCTCTGTTTTCAATGAAAACTAAGCCAGAAGTCTCAGCCCCCGGAAATAAAATCCTCTCTGCAACTCATGATTCTAACGATGGCTATCGAGCACTTTCAGGGACATCTATGGCGTATGTTTTCAGTCTTTGTAATTCTATAACAATTACATAATATGCAATACTGATAAATTGCAGATGTCCACATGTTGCAGGGGCAACTGCGCTCCTTTTATCTGCGAGAAAGGATGCTGATTTTGTGACCGTTCGGGATATTTTGCAAAAAACAGCCTTCAAGCCAAAACTTGTTTTTACGGACGTGCACAAGACCTGCACCGTTCCCGGAAATAAGTTCCCGAATAATGGATTTGGATTTGGGAGAATTGACATCGAAGCTGCCGTCGCAGAAATAGCTTCAACTCCCATCGCCACAACCACCACGACTACCACGACTACTACCACCACCACACCCACTACTACTACCAGTGAAGTTACCACGACTACTACCACCACCACACCCACTACTACTACCAGTGAAGCTACCACCACACCTACTACCACTACCAGTGAAGCTACAACTACCGAAACCACCAGCACTACAACGGCCCCCACCACCTCTTGAATTGCAAAAATCTCATCAATTATCAAGCATAGATTCGATTTTTACTAAATTATTAATTTATCCAATGCTATTAATATGATGTGTTTCTACCATTGTATTTATATTTATTTATTCATATCGTTAAATGTTGTCTCATGTTGAAGTCAAATTATTCTTACTCTGAAATAGAATGTTATATTGGTCGTCCGTCGTCATACACAATTCCGGTTTTCAGTAACGCGCATAGCACGTTAATTTTTATTACTACCTTGCTTCTGGCTCGCGCAAACTTGTAATCTAGTTTCTGACTTCATTTCATATTTATTGCGTGAGCAGTGTATGCACAAATACGCATTTATATATTTACCATGCATGCATATGCACATTTAAAAGTGAAAACTTAAACTTCCTGTTGTCAAAATTCGAAGAATGAATGATTGAATATTTTTGGCAAGCAAGCCTAGCCCAAAAGAGTCAATGATTTTGCTTGTTTCACCACGCAGGTATTATGCATTAATTAAATTGGTTCAATCAAAATTGTACTTTAAAAAAATAATGCACTCTTGCACGGTATGATTTTCCTCCTTGACAATTTAGCATATTTCTTCGTCTTCGATTAGTCTCTGCTTGTATTTTTTCTCTCCGTCATCATCAGTCCCAAGATAAGCGTCAATGATGTCGCGTCTCTTGTAAGCCTAAACATATTTTCGTGGATTCAAGTAAAGCGAGTGTTCATCATGACTTACGCTAGTTTCTTCCTTGTGCTTTATGTTTTGGGTAAGCCTTAGTGTAGCAATTGTATTTCGAGATGATATTAATTGGCCAATTTTGAAATTACGTTTCCACTTTAATTTTATAGGGGCAAGTTTTGCGAACCAGCAGCAAAACCAGCAAAGTTATCTGGGTCCTTCTTCCACACAAAATGAACTAGGCCAAATTCACGGATCAACTCGCATGGTACACATTCCACCAGGTATTTAAAAACGATTAAAATTTATGTATTGAACTCAAAACGCAAAGTCTGTTTGTACATCTTACACAAAATGTGATAACAGATAACGAGCCTACTGTCGTTTTTACACGAATTCGAATCCCATCAAACAACCTGCAACATAACTTTATATCAGAAGGGCAGGATAATAATTACCTCATCAAGCCTCAACAACCGACCGTAGATTCTCTCATCCCAACAACGTATCGTCCATCATCACATGAAGTACTCTTCCAAAATGTTGCGAACCCTACAGCAGTGTCCGAACCTTCGCCCCTTCCGGAAGCCACACCCAGACCGTTGATAACCCTCTATGACACTGGGAACCCACATCAACACCAATACTTCACAAGGGGACAACCCCAGATAAATCAACCGGCTAATACGGGAGGATTTTCCCCTATTTCCGGATATCTCATACAGAACGTTCCAGCATCAGTGCATTATTCACCTTCTTCCCCAGTCATCCAACCTCTCAGTAGTTACAATTATCCTGGTGCTACTAAATTCGTTGGGGTGTTATCAAATGCTGCAACCCTGTTAAGATCAACTGCTGACAAAATGACCCGGCTTGGCATCCCCTCTCCATTTCCTTTTGCTCTTCCCGACACTACATTTGTGAAACCAGTACGAATTCCGGGTTACACTGTCAACCCTGCGAGCAGTACTGCACCTCTCGGACAACAACAAGTAGTTGACAATTCAGCAGGACCGGTTTCCAATGCTAATGTCTCACCTTATAAAATACATTTAACGAAAGCTGTGCTGGGAGGAAATTTGCAATATGGTCCTAAAAAACTAAGATACTCGAACGGAAAGTATGCTGGAAGTATGCCACCCCCAGGACCTCAACCAGCCCCTCTTTTTCATAATCCTACACAACACGCCCCACAAATATATCTCGAAAATGCAAGCACCCGAGAACAAATTCAGAACTCGGCGTCGTCGGCGTCAATTCAAAAATCAATCTACTCACAACCACCAAATGGTCACCCAACTCCCAATCATTATTACATCAGAGGACAGCAGGTGCAGCCAATATTGACCTTGTTACGATCATATACGGATTCACTTGTGCATGCATTTAATAAAATGTATTAGGAACTAAATATGCTCATCATGTTACACGAATACATATCTTGTCTTTGTTATTTACAATTAAAATGTAAAATAAAATGTACTAATGTTAAAATGTCGCAGAGTGGCTTCAAACTAGTTTCAAAGTGTCACCTGTCGGCCTGTCACTTTATAGGCTGAGTGATTTCTAGAGAAGTTTTAAAATTAAATTAACAAATCCTTTGTTTCTTTGCTATAAATAGTATGTGACACAACGCAAAAAAAACTTGACATTCAGCCGGGACACTGCTGTCAACCCGTTTAAAGTTTAAATTCCACTTTGTCTATTTAATCGCAACAAAAAGTACACTGTATTTTTGTTCAATGATGAAAACATTTTTTATTGACTCGTGTCTATTTTAACTCTGATCTCGGCAGGAGGCATGAATTCGTTTCATGTGTATTACACTTTTGCATATTAGATTATTTGTAAATCCGAGCTAAGTCTAACGTCGTCACATTACTTGATTAGATCTGTGCTCTTTTCTGCTCACAATGTCATACATTAAAAAACTATTACGGATTGAAACAAAACATGAGACTTCAACAATTTTCCTGCACCAACAACTTGTTTCTCATGCGACTGGCCTGTCAATTAATACCAAAAAGAGAATTAATGGTCAAACAGATGCGCATCTGCAAGTCGTACCACAAACGCAACACTGGTTCTTTCCAGGAATTTTTTTCCAAGATAATTAAATTAATGCTCATTCGGTGTATCGGATTGGAATAAAAAATAAGAGAGGGAACTCCTTAATTAACTGCTACTACTACAGAGCAGTGAACATGCGTTACACTTGTTGCATCTCATCGTCGCCCCCAACTATTTACTACTAAACATGACTTGATGCAGTAGTTGGGAGTAAAAAGTCAAAATGTTTTTCAACACCAGCGACAAACTGAGATCTAATTTCAATTTTACACGACTCATATACTCATCCCATGCATCTCGATGATCAGACGTGTGTAACAGCTAAATTCGGGCATTTAGCCGAATGACGTGAATACGGGTTATGTACTCGGCAGTGTTGGTGCATGACACTAACTTGACTTTGAGAAAGAGATCAAATGACAAGATGTACACGATTTTTTTTTCTTGTGCTTCAAGGCAGTATTGACTGGGTAGAGGAGCTCCCATCATCAGATCCAACTATGTGGCTTTCTCAAGTCGACTCCTCCAACAATAAACTCCGGGACGGATCATTGGCAAAGAGCAACACATGTTTCAAAGTTTTCAACCCTTTTTGACAACCTTAATGACGCGATGGAGAGACTTTTTTATGTTTTATTATTTGCTACCAAAAGACGACGACGGGGATGAGATGATGAGATATATAATTAACAAGCGTGGGACTTTTTCTTGACATTTCTCCGTGAGACTTGCACCCGAAGAAGTAAAGTCAGGCGTCACGTATTGCCCCATATTTTTGACAGTGGGTCGTCTTAATTTTTTACAAAATGATGTGGGGCGAAGTGAGTTTGAAGAATTGGAGTTGGACTTCCTCCGACCTGGAAAATTTGTGCGTCGACGAAAGTGAAAGTCAATTGTGGTCACCAACAGAATCCAGCTCAGTCGTGTCTCAAAATTCGGAATGCGATCCCACTTCGCCAGATGCATTTCACCACCGGTTCTTCAGCTTCAGTGAGCACGAGTTTGTTCCACAAGGGGCTCAAAATTCCTTGCTTGGAGAAGATTTTTGGACAAATGTTGATCAATTTCGCTGTAGAAGCGTGCACAATATCCTCCCATCTTTTCGCATTGGGTTTTCTCCGATCGGTAACCAGGGAGGAGAAGATGGGAAATGTGAGACAGATATCTCATCCATACCAACCTGTCCAACGTCTGGCTCTCCTTCCCTTCAGCATATCGTTATCCCAGGGACTGATAACGACGACGATGACGACGAGTCTTCAGGGGAACACACCTCGATTTCATCTTCAGAAGAGGACCACCAGCCAGTGCAATGCATGTGGATAGACTGCAAGACCATTTTTGATACTCAGGTAATTTTTCACAACTTACGACTGAATCGATTTGACCCCAACCCCAAGTCCCCTGTTCCAATTCACCTTTTTGAATTCAACTGACGTTGGTTTTGACAGAGTTGTCTGGTCCGTCACATTGACCGCACGCATGTTGAGGGGAGAAAAGAAGACTTCCGTTGTTTTTGGCATGGCTGTTCCAGAAGAAACCGGCCGTTCAATGCACGCTACAAGCTGCTTATTCACATGAGAGTTCACACAGGACACAAACCAAATCAATGCAATGTAAATTTATTTAGTTGCTTATTATAGATATGCAGATTTGAAAGATAATTTGTACATTGATAATTGATTGTTGTTTCACTAGGTAATTGGATGTGGAAAGTCTTTCTCACGACTTGAGAATTTGAAAATCCACCTTCGTTCTCATACAGGTGAGTGATAAAATAAAATGCATTTCTTAGTCGCATTCGCATGAAAACTACAAATTATTGCATCGTTAGGAGAACGACCATATGTTTGTCACCGATGCCCAAAGGCATTTTCGAATTCTTCTGACCGAGCAAAGCACCAAAGGACTCACATTGAAAGGTATACTATTTATTCGTGCATAATTATTTAGTAATATTTACCAAAATATATTACAGGAACGCTTTCATTATAAATATTACAGTAAAATAATCGATATAACAATATTTGTTTGATATAATTTTTAGCAAACCGTACCATTGCTCATTTCCTATGTGCAACAAAAAGTACACCGATCCTTCCTCCCTAAGAAAGCATGCCAAAGTCCATTTTCTCCAAGAAGGAGTCACACCAAGCAACATTGTGCATCTGCCAAAAGCACTTGGCTCCCGTAATCGGTCCCGAATATCAAGGAGTCCCAGGAAGAAGCTGAACAAGATTTGTAATCCAGGTGAAAATCAGCCCTCTCACCGAGTCGACTTTTCTGACTCAATCGACAGACTTTCACCATTTCAACGAGCTGACTGGATGGACTCTGATGAGTTGGACGACTTCGTGGAGCCCAAATATGAAATTATGGACGAAAGCTTACTTTCTGACGTCGAGTGGATGTCAACGGGAGAACTCAAAGATATTGATCAAATTTTAAGCTTTTAGTACATTTTCAAAGTTACAAGATTAGCATTATTTATTCATCATAAAAGTAGAATTTAATTTGTATATTTAGATCAAGGGCTTTCAGTTCAGTGTGATAAATATGTATGGTAGTATGGTATATATGTGCATGGTACACATGTACGAGGAAAGGTATGCCAATAATACGTAGTTATTTTAGCAGATAATCTTACGATAAATATAATGTAATGCAAACTGCCAAAGCAAGCTTGTGATAAATACTGGATCTACAGCAAAGTAATTTAAGCTGTGTATCTTCTTGGTTGTAAATACGTATTTATATCCTGACAGAATTTAGAAAGTTGTGCTCATTTTAATTTTATGATGACGATGAAAAATGTTCAAAGTTGTGTGCAATATATACATACTTAAATCAGTATCTCATCAGCAATATTTAGTAATAGTTACAATTATACATAATCTCGTTATGCATTTGTGTCAAATTAATAGTTATTATTGCATAGTACAAAAGTAATTAACATTAAATTTGATATCAAAAATAGAAATTTGTTACTTTAATCAATTTCCTCGATGAATGAGACTATTTCTATATCCAATCTAGAATCATTCATATTCAATCTTCTTCCGGACTAAAACAACAAAAATACGTGACATTCAATTCATGAGCTAGTAGATCAATAACTTGGCATGAAAATATCGCATTACCAAATCAATGTCATCCAGTTTCGAAAATACTCGGGCCGCATGGCGACAACCCATCGCATTCGCTATCTCCTCCAACTCGTCCCACGAAGACTGCGCACGCTTATACTTGATGAGAGCGAGCGGAATTAGAAATTCGTCCACCTGGTAAATGTTGTTTATTTTCTCTCGAATCAATCTGTCCACGGAGGTCGAAGGAAGCTGACTTAATTGCTTAACAAGGTTTAGTACAGGGTCGCTGTTTGGAAACCCCGTTATCACGCTTGGGGCGACTCTGATCTGGATATATTTCATGATGGCAATGACTATCCCATAGTCCTTGGTCACCTTGTTGTACCAGCTATGCAGCAAGTCCAGAACCACCTCCAGCGGTACTGAGGAAGCTTTCAGTGTGTACAAAGCCAAACGATGACGGTTTTCTTTAAAATATTGATCCACAATGTTGAGGTGCTGAGAACGAGGCTGTCTTTCCAGTCCACGTTCAATGCAATGATATGAAATCTGAAAGTATGTCTTCTTGTTCCATTGCGACGCCAAGTCATCATACAACATGGCCTTCTTCGTCCACTGGTTGTGCGAAAAATTGCATTGGTTGTAGCAAAAAAGTGCAAGTTCATCACTGTAATTGCCCAATTTATCCCCAAGTGCTTCCCAACGGGTACGAGAATCCGGGGAGGATTTAGAATTGATCAATTTCAAGCAGGCCAGGGCATATGGATAAAGGTGGGCTCCCTCTCGGCACATTTTGTAAGCCTGGGCTCCCCACTGGAACTCTTTTAATCCTTGATACTGCAGACAGAGTATTTTGATCTTGTAGTCGCTTATTAGTGGTTGGGCAGCAAATTCCTCCAGTTCTTTTATTGCGACGGACACAGGAGACTCGTTCTTGGAGGGAAAGGTCAGTGTTGAGGCGTATTTCGTACCAATCTCAAGAAATAGTCTGGCGGCTGAATTCTCTGCAGAGTTCAAAGCAAACTGTGCACGCTTAATCCACATCACGGCGTTGGACTCAATAGATTTTTCGGAGCAGTTGTAGCACAAGGGTTGCTTAGAGTTGCTTCCCAATTCCAGGACCTGTTTGTGATTGGTACAAAGGTCGCACAGATTGACCCCACAAGAAACGCAATTGATGTTGTATTCCTTCTTGGACAGTTGACATTTGCACTCTCCACAAATATCGCTTTCAAGTGGGGTAGCAGGCTCTTTGATAACATACATTGGTAGCAAATAGTTGTCAATATTTTTTAAAATGTTACAATCAATTGAGGTGACGCGTAGTTGAGATCCTTCTCCGTGGGGCAGAACCTGTCCATAATTTTCTGTAATCTTAAGGCAAATAGTGTCCAAATCGATGGAATTATTGACGACGGGAATTGTAAGGAGGAGATCTTCGTCGAAATTGCCTTTTAAATATCTTGTGTACTCATTTGCACTTTTGGAGTTGAATGCCTCAACGAACCGCTTTGCATTTTCGATTGAATTGACAAGTTCGGTCCAAGCAGCGTCAATATTCCAAAATTCATCATGAGCTTCCTCTTCGACTTGATGAGCCATTTCTTGGAAATCTGCAAATGAAATGCAATTATGGACAATAAAATTATTTTTACGGGGGGATTTGAACAGGTTCAATCGTCAAAAAAAGATTTAAATTAGTTAGAAATATAGCATGAATGAAATGCTAACATGAAAGTACGCACATACCTCTTGTGAAAGTAAAGCCAGTGGGTGTCATTATTATTAGTTATTAGTAATGACGTTTATTACTTATCACGACTAAAGTGTTGTATCGCAGAGTTCAATTAATCAATTACAAAGAAAAATGACTTATTAGCATTTCTTGCTGTAGCAAAATCACTTACGATTAGCTTGTACATATGTATGTTTCGATATTTGAACCTAACTAAATAATGATTTGAGAATTAACGTCAAACGTGAGGAGTATGTATGTGGAGAGTATTCTTGCTTTATTTAACAAATCTTGTGATCCTGCGCTTTGTTAATTTATTAAAGTTCAACTTTTCGCAATTGGTACATTTATGAGAGGGCAGAGTCGACAATGAAATGACCAAGAAAGAACGTTGTGTTATTGAGTCAAGTATTATAAGTAAATGGTATTTGCCAACAGACGGTTAAATGAAATTCGATGAGAAGCCGAGATTGGAAGTACATAATGCTTTTCTTCTCTACTAATAGGAAGCCATCAAAATTATGTTCGGACGAAATATGAGAATTGAATTTGATACTCCGTCTTCTGCTACTGTTCTTGAGTCAGTAAACATTTGTACCATTTTAAAAGCCGATCATTACATTAAAATAAATACCCGATTCAGCAAAACAAATTATTGCTTAGCATACTTAGCACTTTCTCACCCATGTTTTATTTACGTCACAAAGAACATGGCCAAAAAACATCTCAATTTCTACATTTAGATAATGCAAAGGACTCGCATGCTACCCGATACTCTTGATCCTGGAAAAATATAATCAACCCAATGACTCAACTCAAAAAGTTAACCATTAGCAATATAGGTCAAGTTACAGATCGATTTTTAATGCACAACACTGAAGCATGCATGAGTTATATGCATATATCTGGCTATCGAATTGCACAACCTGTCCATGGATTATTATTTATTTTGCATCATTGTTCTTTAATGCCATGCTGAATTCGCCAAATAAGTACGTATGTATCGTGGCAAAAATTATCTTATCTGCAAGCTTATCTGGTATATATTATTTTAAATAGCTTGATGCACATTACAAATATGACTCAGTCATAGTCAGTGTCACCGCTGTTATTGATAAGGCATGTGAAAATAGTGCATTGAAAACAGCAATTTGCGATCAATCTGCGATTTAATTATTTTTCATAATACGGTAGAAAATGGATCGAGAAAATTCATATGAATATGCGGCAAACGTTAAGGACAAGGTCAAGAGACTTGAAGCCAAGGTCAACAAAAGCCCTGGACAAAATTCAGTCAGCAATATGGGTGTTCGGCCTCCACCAACAAAAAATCAGACTAATAAAGCAGAACTGAATAACTCTTCAGAAACATTGAACTTTGTGGGAAGTTCAGCCGCTGCCGTGATGGATGTAGAAATCACCCAGTTGAATTCGCCACATTTTCCAACGGCTGCACCCAAAGTTTCAGTTAACGGATCGAATTTCGAGTCGGACAGCGACACGGACATCGATCCTCCAATCAGTGTCAAAAACCTTCTGAGAAGATTTTCCGCGGGGATGACCCACACCTTTAGAAAAAAGAGTCCAGACCGTGAAAATGGAGAAAGTTCAAATAAAGCTGGTGTCGCAACAAATTCCTTACTTGTGCCTCGTGGGGTGGTTGACTTAGATGATTCGACTGAAAAAAATACTGCGCCAGAAGGAATTGGAATACCTCGAAGCAAATCTGTTTCACATAAACAGAAACCTACAGCCGTCTTGGCGAAGAAATCAGCTCAAAATATAGCAAACGTTCCTAACAAGGATGCAGAAATACTCACGGCCAAAACAACAATACAGAGAAGAGGAAGTGGCACAACCACTCATAAAGTGCCAATAAGCAAGAAAACTCCTTCGTCAACATCATTCGAAGGAACACAGAGTTCATTTGCTTTAAGCAAATTACTGCATTTTCAGAGAAGCTCTAAAAAACAGAATGAAAGTGAACAACAAGAAGATGACCCAGAATCAAAAGTGCCACAACATCAGAACAAAATAATTCAGAATGGCGTTACTGGTTCCATGGCTGTAAATGGACGTGAACTCCAGGATGTAATTTCAACAAATGAACAGTTAAAACCATTTCCACCGAGCAATACTGATGCTCCTGTCGTTACTCCTTTTGAGAATGAAACCAGTGAAAAATCCTTCATAAAGAACGAGAAAGAAGTTAACAATAATTCAAATTCCCAAGTAGTCCCAAAACCAAAGCCACGGGTGGACAAGCAGCCAGTTGAAGATAAAGTCCAGCATGAAAAAGGGGTTCAGGATTCGCTTACAATGCAAACTGAAATAATTTTAGTGGTGGGACCAAGTCGAGCTGGGAAATCTTCCATCGTAAGTCTTGTGATGAAACAATTGGCATTTCTAAAAGTCAAATCTTTATTTTTATCTTCGGTTCCATATTTTTTTTAGATAAACCATATACTACACCAAGATTTGTCAACCATCTACAAATCCCGACCATCTGAACGTGAGATTGTGCAATGCGTTGCTAATAGTAAGTCCAAAACAGGGTCACATCTTCAGGAAGAATTGTCCTCCTCTCTTGTCCTCATCGACACTCCTGGCTTCACTAGTGACAAAATGGGTGCTGCAATGTGGTCTACTTTGCTTCAACATCTTGACAATTCCTCCACACCTCTAGATCCAAAGCCTCCAAGCTTGATTCTTGTCGTGGTTAGTGAAGCTGAAACAACATCTTTTGTCGAATCTGATGAGTTTCAAAATTTTTGCAAAGCACTGTCGCACTACTGCACAAATTCGTTTATGGGGTTTTCAAAAATTGTGTTTGTCGTGACATATTCTGCCCCGTTGGATATTGCAGCTAGTCGACTGGCGATAGAAAGACTTTCCATTCTGGCTCGTCCATATTTTCCAGTCCGAGTTTGCTTTCATAGAATTATGCACACAAAGGAGAAAGACTTGTCATCTAACATATTGACATCAACTCGTCCCGATCTTCTCGCAGGCCTTAGATCATTCTGTACCAATGATAACAAAGGAGATAATACTGTCCCCACAACAGGAATGACCAAACACCACGAGACTCACCCTGTTCTAAAACATGTCTTTGCTACAGACTACCCTAAAACTATCACTGAATGCTTCGTTTCAAAACGAGTTTCGCTTAAATCCATTGAGCACCCAGACACCCTCAAAACCTATAAAATTCTGCAAAATCTGTATCAAAATGTAATTATTGAACCAACGGAAATATCAACTCTGCTTGAGATTGGCTGGGAGAACGTGAACAACAGCTTGAGAAAAAAATATCCATCCGCTCTCCTAGTTATCCAGCAAGTTATGCAAAGATGTAAAATTCGTACATTTTCAGACCTTCCTGAAGACCCCATGAATATATTCCAACTGTTAAAAAATATTCCGCAACACAATCCAGCCATTGCAGATTTATTGATAGAAACGCTCCAGTTGAAAGTACCATCCTGTTACGCTGCTCTATATATTGGGCAAGGATATGATGTTAGCAAGGACGCTGTCACCCATGTATCTCCTTTCCAATTGTCTGGGGCACTGAAAACATCCCCTGTGGGGCTCATCCCCAATGAAATTGGCTGCAAACTCACAGAGGACAGAGAAATAATATTCAAGTTTTTCTGCACTCTGGAAGAATATGCTCTGGATAGATTCAAAGATTTGGCGATAAAACACGTCACATTTCCGAAAAGTGGACCTCCGGTGACGCTGACTGCCAATCAGAAGATTGGTTACAACATTGTCAAACCAAATCAGGAGCCGACCAAAACGACAACTGCCACGTCGAACGTAGAATATCGAGCATTTCAGCTTTCTTTGTCACGAGGAGAGGAGATTGAGTTCAAGCAACAATTCTGGGATACGATTTCCTCTCTGCCAGAATTAAACATAAAAGATCCAGAGACGGTTGACTGTTGGAGTGAATTCTTCAAGTACTGGGGAACGCATATTGTAAAAGCAGCCCACGCAGGAGGATCCATCCAAGTGACCTTTCGGGGGAAAATACTCTCAAAGATTTTCAAGTCAATCTACCAAAAATCCGAAATTCTTACTGATGAACTTGAAACGAGTCGTGTTTTCCAGTGGCTCACGGGGTTAGCTTAGTTTTTTTTAAATTAATGGGTTTTAACTATTTTCTATTTATTAACTAGTATGATTTATTCTCCGTTCTAGAGATGGATTGGATTTTGCACGCCCACAAAATGCCAAAATTGAGTTTATGCAAGGTTGTGATGTGGACACCAGCTTTCACGGTGGTGACATGAGATTTCAGCAAACTGACCTGACAAAACTTGATCATGACAAAGTATCCTCAACTCGAGAAGAATGGATTCAAAGTTTACCTGGAAATCCTCTAATTTTAGAAACTAATTTGGTATTAGTTCCAATTAGTTATTTTGTACGACAGAAATCAGAAGGCATCGCGACTAAAATGGATGTTGCATTCCTTCATTTTTACTCAAATTTTATAGGCTCACAGGCAAAACAAAGCAACTGTTCTATTTTGTAAAATATGTATTGATTCAATCAGCACTTATTCAATATTCAATATTAATTTTTTTTATAGCATCAATAAAGGTTGTTATTAGAGCGAAATGCTATCGGATCGTCTCGAATAAATACCACGTTTTATATGCGTTGTTTTCTTATTACAAATTCCACACCTGCAGAGGCGACGACCTAGAACATTAAATCATTTTGTTACCAAACTTTTGTAATTGCGTCATTGGCTTAGTACTGTATCCAGTAATTTATTCTTACCTTTCTGATTGAAATATAGCCACAATAATGTTTTCGTCTTTTTGTTGCAAACAAAAATTACGAAAACCGTAACACCCCTTAAATTTAGGAACGCTCGATAAAACATAAAGTACCAAGCGGAGGATCGCACTGTTCCGGTGAAGTAGCCGATGATTATCCCAACAAATGTTATTCCACAAATTAAGTACAACTTTATAAAGCAGCTTATCCTACAATCATAATCACGCATATGCAAAATTTTAGACAAATGTGTAGAAAATGTAAGTTTAACCCAAGTATTTCAAATCGTTACGTAGTTTACAATTGGTTCAGTCTCTGATTTGATTGGGTAGATTTGTTGTCAACAGCTAGCATGGCGCATCTTCGGTGACGCAGTATCAAGTACAAGGTACCTCCGAAACAAATGGTGTTGACGACAAGCAACGCCGCTAAAATAATCCGAACTGCCGCAAGGTCTGTGTTTACACAGTAGCCAGTGTTCTTCCTTAAATATAAATCCATCCTAATTTTAGTTCGTCTTATAATTATGCCATATAAAAAGAATAAAAACTCACCAGTAGAAGCTATATGCAAAAGTGCAGCATGTCACTAAAAGTGGGAAGAAATGACCACAAATAGCATTAAAAATGAGACGTTTCACATTCTGCTTACAACCCAGTCCCACCACTGGTCTGAGGTCCCTGAGTAAAAACTCTTATAGTTCAACAGTATACTTAATTGTTACGCTATTGTTTCGAAATTTATCAGTCTTACTTGAAAGCTAAAAATAGTTCCAAACTCAATAAAGTTGCCCATGTAAATACTCCTATTGCAGACACAAAGTATCCGAATACAGCTGAAAATTGGAGTATTTTCAGTAAACTTTTACTTTAACCATGAATAATAGTTTTAAAATCAACGAAACTTACAAAACAAATGATACAAAGAACAAAAGTCCAAGTGATCTTCAGGGAAATTTATATGCAGAATACAAAACACTGCCAAAGAGAGCAGAGAGATCATGTAGAACAATTCAATCCACGTGTGAATGTGACAATGAGTTTGTTTCAGGCGAATTGCATAAACTGCAATACCAGCCAGAAGAAAAACTGCAGATAAAGAAAGGCAGCCACCGTACATTACAGTTTCTACATTCTGAAAAATTCACACGATTCAAAATATATAGAGGTTAAGAAACGTAGAAAAACATGTTTACTAAATTTTTTAATATGGTTTTCTATTTATACATATGTGTAAAACTCACCGTTACTCCAAATTCATTGTATGGCCAACTTTGGCCACAGTAAAATAGAGCAACATTTTTCTGCCAGTCGAATTTCAAGTCATGAGATACTAGAACATCATCAAAGCAAAACGATCCAGGAATCAATTGAGCAATTATTCCATCCAGTTCACTACATATCATCCAAGTTTTGTAAATAAAATAATTTATCACATCGAACTTATTCAGCACACATTCCCCTACTGTTTCTCAACAAGTTGTGATTAATTGACAATTCACCTCTGATTGTACAGGTTTATTGTGGCCGTTTCCACCATTTTGTTTTCGTTGATGCAGTTCAGAGGATGCCAGTAAAATTTGTGACGGCTTTCAGAAATCTTAGATCTCAGAAGCAGATTCTCATTCAGATTCAGATTCTCAGAAGCATTTTCAAACTTTTTGCATAGCTCGGGATGTAGCCATCTAGATAATTTGCCCCACGGACAGCATTTGGGGAGAGCAGGCGCTTCGTCGCATGTGACTATTACGACTTCACTTAAGTCATTGGATAAGCTTTAACATAAAGTTTACGTTAAACTCAAGGCTCCTCAGTGGGGTGCGACAGGTAATTGACAAGCTTACCTGTCCACACAATAGGATTCGGGTGCAAGAAATAAATCCTCGTTTATCGTAACGTATCCGTCATTGGGAAATCCAATCGTATTGAAATTTACAAAGTGTTTTATGAGTTTATCCGAGTCACATTGTAACTCGAAGTGGTTCAACCTAAAGATGGTCACACTGTTAAATAATCCAACTTTAATTATGAGTCTTCATGGTAGATATATGTAAGCGCTTACTTAAGGTGGAAATTCTTAATTTTATCCGAGTTATTACCACCACCGGTCTCAACTGATAAAATTTCTTGAAATTTGCTTAATTTTTCGGCATCTCTGAAACTTTGATTATCAAAAGAGTGCTGCGATTTGCAACAATTAAATATTGTATCTTGTGTAGAGGTAGAAATGCGTATCAAAATCAGAGTACACAAAAATATGACAAGATTACGATGATACATTTTCAAAAATGGTTCATAAAATATGACATTTTGAGAATGCTGTGCAAAATTAAGCGTGACGTATGTAGATATGTATGGATATGTAATTCGTTGTCTGGATTCAGTCAATCAGTCTGATTGATCTGTTGTGAGAGTGACCTGTTGTGAATTTATTTTCATAACCGTCTTCAGTTTCTTAAGGTTTTGGAGTAATTCCAAAATTAACATAGTTTGACGTGAAACTGATTATCTTTTCCTGGGAAGAAGGAAATCTAGCATACCACTAATCTCAACAGGAGCACTCAAACTTGAACTTTCAACATTCTATGCACATTGAATTTAAGAAACACGGCGGTGTCAATACTAGAGGTAAAAAATCGTAACTAATCTGGTGCACTGTTCACTGACTTCACCACTAATCCAAAAAATGCAATGAAGACTGAAGAACATAGATATGCAAATGTGTCATCAGAATCAAAACCAATCATCCTGTCGTTGTGATTTCTGTGACGTAAAGCTTGTTAGTTATGCAGCACCAAATCAATCATCGCATAATCACAAATGGGCGAAGTAATCACATGTGTACTGCAGAACTTTCACATAAATTTTCTTACTAGTTCCTGGAAGGTCCCATTTGTAAGTACACGTATGCAAAGTTTTAAGATGTCATTGATGTCATTCAATTTTGCTATTAATGGATATTTTATTTTTACAAACACACACAGTCAACACTTTAAAAATAGACCAAAAAACTTTTAATCTGAAATGGATTCAGTCTAATTTGAAAACTGTTGCCATCTGTGTCGACATATTTGGATTCGTCTAATGGATTTTCAAGGCCGTCACATTCCTCTATTTTGGTCGCTGAAAATCCTAAATTGACTCTGAGAATGACACGAGAACAATTATTTTAGCCCTAGTCTTTCATCAAATATTTTAAAAGCAGTCCTATATTCATACCGTGCCCTAGCTGATCCACCAAATGACTCATACATTCGAATGCATAATGCTCGATTTACTTGATATGCCACCTTTATCGCTTCCAAAATTACTGCTTCATTGTCAGTTGTCACCATGTTGGTCATGCCACTGAATAATAATTACTATTTTCATTATTATGTCACAAGTATTAGCATATGTACGTAAAAACAAGTAGCTGAGCAAATATCAATCAATCATGATCTGCTCCAACACTTTTGGATATTCGCCACTACTCACCGTTTCCAATAATCTTGATCAACGTTCAAAATGGATACGTCATTGGCTCCAAAAAAATTAAATTCATACGCTTTCCTTATTGATCCAGCCGATTGGAACGTTCCTTTGAGCATTACACACATAGTTAGCACTTGTAATAATAGTTTCGTGCGTATTCTTTAAATAAGATAACCTTCGTGTGGTAAAATTGCATAATGAATATAGTGCTTGTGCATGTCGCAATTTCCATCCGGACTTTTAGGCGACCTGAGAAGAGATAATTGAACCACATTGTCCCTGACATGCCACCCATACTTTGAATCCGTGATGAAAGTCACACCTCGATCAGCTTGGGAGATGTCCATCCATCTTCACATAAAATGAATCGTGAGCACATTCCAATGATTCGAACTATGAATAATTTTAGAACAGACAGTTTTCTCACTTGTGTCCACTGACTTCAAATTTTGCCATGTCCCAAGACGTGTTAATGTGCGTGGGCCGTTGAAGGTGCCCATACTGGATTTCATATGTAGCTTCTCGAGCCAATACATCCACAGGAAATTCAACCTTTAGAAACTTGTGAGATTCTTTCCAGTCAATGATCAGGAAATACTCGAGGATGGGAGAATCAGCTCTCATGATCGTGTACCGAGTAAAATTGCTGGAAGATCCAAAAGTGCAGCTCCATTTGTATGCTGATAAGAGCGGCCCATCAGCAAGGATGATAGGACCACTTGTATCACGACATTCCAATTCTTTTCGTGTCTCGAGGTGGTAATCCATAGCGTCCCAAGAATCCCAAAACAACGGCACGTCATCAAATACATAAAACATGCCTGGTTTCGTGTCTTTCTTAAAAACTTCAACTTCATTATAATCTTGTCGGCTCGAAACTAAGGCTAAGCTCTCAACTGGAATCCCATTTAAAGTTTCGACTTTCAAGTTTAACTTCCCATTCGACATATTGAAGAGGGAAGTATTATTATTGGTAGTTTTTCTGACAGTAACAGGGAGGCTTGGTTCCACTGGGATAACCTGCGAGTACCCGGTCGGTACCATCTTCACAAGTACAGCCACAAACTTGTGTGGAAGTTTACGTCCTTCCTCCTCTTCGTCGAAACACTTGTCGTCTAACACCACTGTCTGGACTGTAGAATTAACTGACTGGGGAATGGCAGAACTGGAACAAATGACCTGCGTAACTTCCCAACATAAGGGATTGAATATAACCGGAACGTTTGCGTTATCAGCCGCCCCAAAAAGTAGCTTGTTGTTGTAAATAGTCTGAAGCTTTGTCAAATCACTCCAAACGCATTTGTAAATTCGCCAGGCGTCGTCCTTCACACGTTCAATGCAAGAACCAGGAATTACATCATGAAATTGGTTGAGTAAGAGTCGCTTCCAACATTTGTCTACCAAATGCAAATCTCTAAACGGACAGTGGCACCCTTGTTTAAGTTTACACATTTTTAAGTACTACGATGTGCATAAATGTATATAATTACTTTCTAAATTCCTCTTCTTGTAGGGCACAATCAGTGGAATATGCAATTGCCATAATCAACTCCACCTCCATCAAGAACTGCTCCAATTTCCGGTTGTACCATTTAATTTTTGCCTGCAAAATTATTATTTTAACTGTACATCCCAATATGGTAACTCTAAAAGGAACTCAGTCAGATAGCCTTTACTTGTGAAGTATAAGTCCCATTGTGCAATTCTAGATATAGCTCTCCCACCCACTTGCAAAGGTTTCGGCTTTCGGAGGCTAACATCTCGAATAGCTTGTCAGGAGTTCCCATTTCAACTCTGTTCCCATTTCAACAGAATAGAAAATTTGCACAATATGAGATATAAAATATTTATTTGCATAAGGAATTAGAAAAAAAAATATTTCCCTGGTTTATTACTTCGGAAGACCGTCTACATTCCGAACCCGTCTGAGCTTCTCGAGCATTTCCATCGTGGGACCACCCCCACCATCTCCATGTCCAAAAAGATACGCTCCACAGTTAACCCTTCCCTTGTCTTGAGAATTTGTAACAGACTTCAAAATCTCCTTCACCCTGGATCAGCAAGCAAAATAAAAATTACAGCAGTGTAAACCCCCACCACTTATTTATTTGCATATCATGGTGAAAAATATTTAACAACTTATTACGATGCTGTCATTGTATAGGAATCCCCTGGAGGAAAGTGTACCAAGACCTGACTCCCATCAATGCCTTCCCAGATAAAGTTATGGTGTGGGAACTTATTTACCATACTCCAAGATAGTTTTTGAGTTAAGAATCGATCAATTCCGACATGCTAAATATATGGACACACAAAAAATACATACTTCACGATGTAAAATTACAATTAATAATAAAATTCGAAATAAAAACCTTCAAAATCTGAGGAATTTGTCCAGAATAGCCAAACGTATCCGGCAACCAAAACTCTTTGCATTTCATCCCAAACTCTTTTTGAAAAAATTGCTGTCCGTAGAAAAATTGGCGAATAAAGGATTCTCCACTGTGACAGAAATATTTATAAGCTATTCATGCATTGTAAATTATCATTATAAATATAACATTTTTGGACCAACCTAGGCAAAAGTCCGTCCAGTTCAACCCACGTGCCCCCAACAGGAATAAAGCGCCCCTGCTTCACCATTTCCTTAATGTTGGTAAATATTTCTGGATAGTATTTCTTGATCCAGTAAAATTGCTGGGCTTGGGAGCACGTGAATACAAACTCTGGATAATCTTTCATTAGTTGGAGCTGAGAATGCCAAGATCTTGCACATTTTCGTATAGTTTCGTCATAAGTCCAAAGCCATGCTGTATCAATATGGCTAAAAATTAAGTAAGTGAACCAAGAATAATTTGGAAATGTAAAAATATGCACTAAAGTGACAGTAATATATATTACCAGTGACCCATTGCTATTAAAGTATGCACTTTGTCGCCATTTTTCTCAGCAAAAAATGCATCTGCAAGTTGGCCGGCTTTCCTAATACAATGAATGTTTTCTTACTAATTAATCCATTTTAAAACGTATGTAAATAAATATATCGAAAGTCTTACTGCGTCTTATTTTCTGTGATGAGATTGATCATTTCGTTAGCAGTGTACATGGCTTGATAACCGCGATGGTCTGTTTCCAGTAACTCAGTAGCCATGCCATACAGAACGTCAACATCATTCAATAATTTGTATGCAACTCGATTAAAAACAGCAATTTCCAGCCGTTGCAAAGTATATTCAAACGCTTCATCCGGTGGGCCTTTTTACAGTGTGTAAACAAAAATTAATACTACATTGATTCACGAATAAAATTAAATCTCAGAATTATTCATAGGCTTATACTAATGTTGAGATTGTCTGCAATCATTCCTCCTCCGAACATCCCGTTACAGGCAATTTCGATAAAATATACAATATCGCTTTCATTCCCTGACCACTCTTTGGAGATGATATACTCGTTTCGAAAATCCGGGGAGAAAGCCTGCAAATTGACAGAAAGGCTTCAAATCTTGCGGCTCTCAATATTTGAAGTTACTAAAAGCTTTCAACCCCTAAAACAGATCCTTGAAAATCTCGAAGAGTAGCTTCGCTCCCAGAACTGAATCGAAGATGAACCTCTTTGCCTTCCAACGTTTTGGGCAGATTGAAATGAACCTGTATTCAAGTTACAAATTCTACGCAAGTTTTTTTCGACTTCACTGCATGATTACATATTAAATACGATGTATTTACTTTAAGCCAATGTGTCGACCAAACGGGTCCAAATTTATCTCCCAAATTGGCAGGAAGAAATACTTCTGACAAAATGTCGTGGACTGGAAATTTCTGCCAACTTCCATTGCCTCCCGGGAGCTTCCACTTTTCAAGCCCTGTGCAAATTATTTCGTCCAATTAGTACAAATTTACTATAGAAGAGAATAAGCTACCGATAATTTTATATGTTGTATAATTATGTATGTATGTACTTGTGAATGGGAGCGTCTCAGTGTACAACTGTGACGCAAAGCTGGGTATTCCATCACACTTTTTATTCAGTTGAGTTGGGTTTTTACTCAAGGGTCCTCTGGAAATGAAACATTTTATTCGGCCTAAAGTGGCAGCCTTATTTTTATGCTGGCTGCCTGTAGTTGACATGACCAAAGTTCCCAACACGAAGATTTATGCACCCAAGTTTGTTCTGAACCGAGGGAATAATATGCCGTCGAATTTTATAATGAGCACAATTTTGCAGTAAAACATATTAGGAGTACTTTGGTTAGATACATTACAGGAGTGCTTATTTTACACGCATTGCAGTTGCTTGCCACATGCGGATTAAGTTTTGAAGACGAATGATCCAGAATCATTAATCATTCATTGCTCAATGTAGGTTTACATTATTTATTCAACACATTTAAATATTATTGGTTGGCTATACAGGAATTATTAGTGATTACAAAGTATCTTCTCCTAATGCGCGAGAAAGTATTTTTCGAATTACTTTAATTTGCAATCCATTTTGCGTACCTAGAAATCAGTCGATTTATAGCACCTTCATGAAATTTATGAGATTGATCTTATTGTGCATACCATATTGCTTTCCAGTGAACCCCATCCAGTCCCAGCACCCGGATAAATTCCGTGGATTGTACACGGAACGCTTTGTTTGAGGAAAGATTACTATTATGTCATTTAGTTCGGCAACTTCCAAGTATCCTGTGGTTCTTGGAAACTTGTCCCCATAAGTTTGTCTGTAACCCCGTTTTCATGCGGATATAGTCAATTCCGGAAATAAGTATGAAAAATGTGCAAATACCTTGTTTGTGTACATCCGTGCAAAGCAATTGCAAGTTTACAGTAAGGTTTATATATAGCTGTTGAATTATCATCAATGACATCTTTTTCCGGGACTGAGCATCTCGATGGAATGTAGGCAAAACCCACGTCGTCCATACCAGCCGATTTCGAAAAGAAACCTTTCTTGTCAAAAAACTCGGACTGGTCGAATTCATAAAAGCGACCTCGCAATGGAACGGTTCCCATGGTTCCATTCGGCTTGACTAGCGCGTCCTCACCGTACAAGTGATTGAACATCTCGTAAACTCCACTGTATTTGCAATTGTTGACGAGATACTGGCCCACGTTCACCATCCCGCATGGTCCCCCAGAATTATCACTTGCCTAGCACAAAGGATAGATTTTCTTATTAATAAAACTGACAAAATTTAATCATGTTTTTACCATTCCATGTTCTGCTGGTAATGCATCTAATTTCGAAATTATTGAGCGACTCAAGTTCGAGTAAATGGTTTCTATCGCTCGACCACAACCTGCATGCAACATTTCGAAATTGATGATCAATATTGCACGTCCATATAAACACAAAGTCTTTATGTCTCAATAGTATACCATGGTACACAGTCGAGTCTTTGGTCCCATGGTAGATGTACACGCGACTATTGTTCAAATGGTGTAGAGGGTCAATGAGGTGTTCTTTCTCATAGTTTTTGGCAAAATCAGTGGCCAAGCTGATATTGAAGTTGCCAGGGTCGGTTACAAAAAAGTCCTCCCGTGACCGATCGTGCCCGTACATGTAGGGAACTGTACATACATATTTATATATATTTGGAAAACATGAAGAATTTATTGTGTTATGCGATGCTAGAAATTGCAAATAATACCTCCGGAAAAAATTCCTACTCCAAGTAATTTAGACGAATGGGCAATATGGAATTGCATTGCTTGTGCAGCTCCAGACGAAAATCCGGAAATCGTTACAAGATTTGGGTTTACATTTAATTTTTCTATAGTTTAAGTATATGTAAATATTTTCTGTAATGTATTTCCAATGACAATCAATTGCAGAGAGGCTCACAATCAATGACTTTCGCTTACCAAGTCTATGAATTTTTGCTCTTCTTGCAGAACAGGAGCGAAAAGCAACAAAAAATATTGTCCAAATTACAACAAAATTTTTGAAATTCATCGTGGCTGATATCATCAATCAATAATTGTTTTGCCAAATTCGACAATTATATATCAAAACTAAACAATCAGAACATGAACTTGATATTGTTGCCTTCATCAGACATTGAATTTGTAATCCCTGAAATTATACAAAAGTTGGTTTGTCCATGACATGAATGCATATGGTTAAGAAGTGCAGAATGTCGTAAAGGCATACATAGATCATCATACATACGTATAATAATCGGTATCATACAGAGCTGTCCTTGCGAAAAAAGGATCGATTCATCCTGGAAAACATGACATGTTTCACATGCATAAATATGCTCCATTAGGAAATGCTGATCATGCTTCTTTCCCATTCGTCTTCTCAGAGAATTCGGAAGTTTTATGTCCCAATAAGCAGTCTATTATTACTCGTCCCAAGCCAAGGGGATGAAATAAGTATGAATGATGATGAGTGAACCATATGCCTAACAATAATATTTATGCCTTATGAATATGGATGGATACAAGTATTTAGCTTATTTTCATAGTTATTTTCCTATCGTAATATTCTTCTCCCTGCTTCACGCATATTTTTGTAAGATAGCTGACCACTGACTAACCACGTAAACCGCAATCGAATATTTGCAAACGAGAACGACCCATGAAATGGATGGATTTTCCTGTGCGCAGTTTGCAAACGTTAGTAATTCCAGGAGAACCTAAATTGTAAAGTAATCAGTTTCACAATTAGTAAATCAACGGAAGACGAACGTTTTAGAACGTCATGATTGGTATCATTTACATCGGAATATCGACATTTAGTAAGATTGTTACATTTAATCCATATTCATAACATGCCATAAACCATAAGCCACATATGCATATATTTAATATGTACATTATTTCGATCTTGCTTAATATGCATTTTTTAGGACCAGGCTCCTTTGGAAAACAAACCTTGTTCAGCAACAACAACTCGTTATCCATCAATCTCCTGCTCCTGCTTATTTTGGGGGTGAACTTATTATCTTGTATTCCTTCAGCATTATCATCTTCATCCACCAAATCTAACGTGACCATCAACAACGTACACCATCGTCATCATTCCAGTGCAGAAGCACCCCACACGGCGACCAACCACACTTCTAACTCGTCTACCCCAATTGGTCAGCCATGTGAACAAGATGCAGAGTGCACAAATTTCAGCATCTGTCAAGATAAGGAGTTTGAGGACAATTTAGTGATACGCATTTGTCAGTGCGATCCCTTGCATGCGAACAGACTCGAAAAATCATGCTTTGTCAAGCCCGGTCACCAGTGCTATTTTCCAAATCTGGACAAACATGGTCGACGGTCGTTGAACTGCATGCCGGAAACGGAGTGTCGTTCAGGCGTTCACAGGACAGCACCGAGTAACGGCTACTGCATGTGCTTGGATCAAAATGAGGATGAACCCTTCAGGCCGCTCAATGTACGCAAGGAAATTGATCGATGTCAAGCTTCCAAAATTTTGTCACATGCTACGAATGGGATTTTAATGCTTGTGGTAGCCTTTTCTAGTTACATCTTTGCCACCTGATTATTTTGTAGACAATAATTTAATTATGCAGAAATTCAGAAATATGTATATGCATACATAAATGTGCAAGGAATAAAACAGGATGGGAAATAATATTTACAGTTATTTTTATTTTAAATAATGTACAAATACTACTAACGTATAAGTAATGAATATGTGCATACATACTTAAATATTACAGAGAACCAAAATATTTTGTTGTTTTACATTTTTTTGAGAATCTTCAATGTTTCCTCTCTCATTCGAAATTTTTGGACTTTTCCTAAAAGAAGAAACAATATTGAATACTGCATATTCAATATTAACAACTAAAATCTGCATTTTAATGTCAAAATACCTAAAGGTGTTCTGGGAAAGTCGTCCCGAAAAAATATATATTTTGGAATTTTGAAGTGGGCGATCTGGCCTTTGCAGAAGGATTTCACCTCTTCGGGTGTCATGATTTCATTTTCATGCAACTGAATCCACACGGATGGCTCCTCGCCCATTCTTTGGTCTGGCATTCCAAAAACATGTGCTTCAACTATTTTGGGGTGCGTTTTTAGGAAATCTTCAACTTCTTTGGGGTACACATTTTCACCTCCTCGGTTAACCATTTCTTTGATACGACCAACTACACGGCCATGACCACTCACAGACATCACAAAGAGATCCCTTTAATTATTGTGGGAATAAAAGAAAATCACAACTTAATACCCCTCCAGTTCTCTCTACTCCATACTTAAATTGGCTTAATTTTGCATTTCATCTACTATACACACGTGTAGAATGTAGCATGTCAAGAACTGGGAAAAACTCAAAAAACGAGATTGATATAAATTGAAATTGACGAACCCAGTGTGAAACCACCTCGATTGTTCTAAAACTTCCAACGTCTTTTCTGGTTCTCCGTAATACCCCAAAGTCACGCCATAGCCTCGAACACAGAGTTCACCTTCTTCCCCAATTGGTACGATTTTTCCATTTTTGTCAACCAATTTCACCTCAGTATTCTCACATGGGAACCCAGCAGTGGATGACGCCAAGAAATCAGAGTCATTCGGGAGTCCCATGTAAGTGCATCTAGTAGGATATCATACTTGCTAATACATGTTTCATTGTACTTGCATCTCTTGTCTTATTTTACCCAATTTCTGTCATTCCATAATTGCTCTGAAATAGTTTATCAGAAAAATGTACTCTGAACTTTTAACGCAGTTTATCACTTAATTTAACCCAACCACACATCATGGTTATGCGCTTACGACAACTTTTGAGAGCGGCATCCGATTCCTTATGTCATTCACCAATTCTGGACTGCATATGGCTCCACCAGTAATTACGGCCTTGAGATTTGAAAAGTCTATCTCCACTCCATCGATTGCCTTCAGCATATCAGAAAACATCGTTGGCGTTCCAGTTATATAAGTGCATCTTAACGTTAAGCAAAGATTTAATTTAAGAGGTGAACCCGTGTATGCAACTTCACATAATTCCATTAAAACCGTACCTTTCACTCGCAGAAATGCATGCTATAGCTTTGGCGTCGTAACCGTAAGACGGAATAACAGTCGTAACGCCATGTATCATAGAAGCAAATATTCCAACTTGACAACCATAGACGTGAAAAAGTGGGACGGAGAGGCATATTCTGTCCTATATACAATTGTTACAGTAATTTAATTATGAATAATCTTTCCAGAATAAGATCCACAAATTGCTATGCAATGCACTTTAATTTTTAAACCAAGCCTTCGTCCGACAAAGTATCCATTATTAACGAGGTTGTGATGAGATAACATTACGGCTTTTGGACTTCCGGTTGTCCCCTGTTTTTCAAAAGAAATTCACGTTAGTATAAATACGAGTAATATGGAGCGGGTATTATTGAATTAGTGCTTACAGAGGTAAAAAATAGCGTGCACACATCATCAAACTGGATTTTATTTGATTCTTGATTTTGAGGGATCAGAATATTGTTGTCCCCAATTTCCAGAACGTCAGAAAAATGTATAGCCCCACTAGAAGATACACAAGCTATAGTTTTAATGCTTCAGGTGTAAATGGTTCACAGAAATGAAATACCAGATACATATTTAGGCTCACAGTAAATCTCTCTCGACCGAAATGACAAACTCCAGTTCAGGTGCATGAGGACTTTTCAAATGGCCTGGATAACATGATTTTTTTATTTCTGGGATGGATTTGGTCAAAATTTCATAGTAATCTTGATTTTTGAACTGTTTGGAGATCACTATGCATCTCACTCCCACTTTATTTAGAGCATAAAGGAGTTCACGACTTTGCAAAGCTGCATTAATGCAAACCTGTTGGGGAGAATAAAGCCACGTTGTGTAGATCAAAATTACTTAACCAATCCTAAGCTGCAACAAATTAACAAAATTCCTACCACAATCAGACCAGCTTTCCATCCAGCTAATTGAGTCAGGTAACATTCATAAGTGTTCGGGCTTGTAAATGACAATTAAAAAACAAAATAAAATTATTAAATTTCTGCCCACGAAATCCGAATGACTAACATTTTCTTGATTTGTTGAACGCCATGCAGAATCTTATGACGATAAACAAAAACTATTTTAGGGTAAAAGACTCACCTCCAAATGGCAATTCTGTCTCCAAATTTTAATCCAAGAGCTGCCAATCCACCCGAAAATTTATCTACCTAATAATTTATTAGAATAAATCCATGTTATGTCCATTCCATATGCGCTAGCTAATTTTAAGATACAATTAAATTCCCATTTACAAAGACTTTTAATTAGTTATTGCGTGTGGAGGATGCATGCCATCTATTTTTATTAAACACTTTATAGTTAATTTCATTCCCATTTGGGATATCACAGTTGCATGTCAAAGCGTTCAACAAAACTACTTCTCAGTTCGTTAAAAAATCAAGTGTTCTGTGTCATTAAGCGTTTTTGGACCTGCCTTTTCCTTGCCCTTCTTGTCGATTAAGGAAAGAAGTAGAAAATACAAGTGCTTACATCACGTTGCAGTTGCCGAAATGAGCGTCGCACATTTTGGAAGGGAGCAACAAAGGCTTCTGCATCTTCGTACTTGGACGCAGCAAAGTCAATCATGTCTCCAACGGTCATCCCCAGCATCGGACATTCTCCAGGAATGTTGAAGTAGCTCAGACCCTGTTTGCGACAAGTACTCGTCCTTGAGTGGTCCAACTCCTCGTTCTCATCACGCAAACTAAAATTAAAAACAGCAACGGTCTGACTCGCAGTATAAGATTTATGCATGTATGAATATGTATGCACGAATATAGAATACGAAATTTGCTTTCATTCACGTATAAATAAATAATGGTACTTGCTGTCGCAGCACATACATACAACGTGTTTAGTAAGGTTAAGAATGCATATACGTTGAAAAAATCTCATAACTAAAAGACAGAGACGACGGTTGCGTCTCCTTGTGTGCCGAGAGATTTTTTGCTAATGAGGGGGGGCGGGGCGAACAGAGCAGCTGATTTTCATGTAAACAATGCAGGCAGTTGCATGTAAAAAGTTGCTTTGGGTTTTGAGAGTGACCGTTCCCACTCTCCAAACGGGGCATCGCGAACCAGAAAAGGAGAAAAATTTCGACTAAAACTTCTAATTTGCAGCTAATACAAAATGGATTGATTTCGTTTTGGTGGCAATAAATTCCCAAGTTTGTGCTTTACAATTGCCATGTTGCATAAATTCCATAATAAATCTCGGTGAAAAGTATTGAACTGAAACATTGACTCATATCATGTTTCAGTCCAATACTTTTCACCGAGATTTATTATGGAATTTATGCTACATGGCAATTGTAAAGCACAAACTTGGGAATTTATTGCCACCAAAACGAAATCAATCCATTTTGTATTAGCTGCAAATTAGAAGTCTTAGTGACAAAAATCATTTACATTACTGGTAAGTGGCGAGGAGAAAAAGTCAACTCGCTCACTAGGATGCCCAGACTGTTCCCTAACTCAAACTTTAAACACCTTTGTAAAATATCTTAAAATCCAAAATTTGGAGTTACACGTTTTTCTTATCAATTATTATTGCATTTCAATAATTATTTCCAACAATTGTATTTGACTTATTATGACATTATTTAGAGGAATTGAAAGTTGTTTCCGCATGAAAATCAGAAAAACTGGTCACGAGCTACTCAATAAAGGTCGAAGGCAAATAAAAAAGTGAAAGCGGAGTTGGGCAGTATTTCCTCATACCTACGTAGACCACAATCCATGCGAAGGTCAAAGGTCAAATAAGCATAAACGTAATAAAGGCAATTAAGTACCCCGGCTGAAGTTCTTCTTGGAATCTTGCAATTTCCAATGTCCGCATGATTTTGGAACGTGACGTTGATCACAGATTTTAAATTTAAGTCCACCTCTGGAAAGTTGTGGAATGAGACGTGCTAGAATATTTCACTGTGATGTGTAGCACAAACAACTCCGCGACAATTCGCACCTTCCACTGAGACGCCTTCGGAGGACACTTTCAGTCTTTATACGAATACCTGATCAGGTTGCAACTTTGATCACTGTGGTCTGCCCCACACTGATCATCTACACTGTCGTGTTGTTTATTGTTTTATCTCCTCCAATCTTGACTCTGTAACTCTGCGTACTATTTCACTCACAAGTTTATCATTCTATAGAAGATTCTTGCCAGTTGTTAGCACCTAACGCTGTTACCAACTTACACATAATATACGTATATGCTGATATCTTAACGATGAATACACTTGATTGATACACATACTTAAATTTCAAGAACCAAAATCAACTTTTGTATGTCTAAAGTCTCCAGAAATTTTTTAGAGAGAATCGAGATATGCGCAGGCCAATCAGACCAAAACCACAAACTTATACGTCGAACAGTGATGCAGAGGCAAAGTCTGGACAAAATTATCCAGCAAGCTATCCTATGGACAATTATTTTATATATTAAACACGACGACAGAGATACCCATGATTGATGAAAAATAAACAATTATCTGAAAATTGTTCAGGTAGTGTAAGAATTAGTGTGTGGTTTCTCAAGAAAAATCTAGATCATAAACCACGAAACAAAAGGAAACAATATTTTCCGATGTATGTAACTGATCGAAAATGATTTCTGTTATCCACAACCATAATTTCTGTCGAAGATTTTGATTTATGTAGAATTCAACTTCCCCGTTGCAATACTCGCTTGTATGTAATACTTATTTTTTATACTGGACGCTCTTTTACTCTGGACTATGGAATGTCGTTTACTTGACTAATGGACAAATTTTGTGGCTTGGCTTTGCGAAAGTAAACCGAACAACGAGGACCTGGTAAATATTTTACATGTAGTCGCTATGATTCAATCCTTATAATTGTTAGATTTCCAATACCTTAAACTAATAGCTACCTGATAAATACAAATATGAGCCGTCTTACGGCATATGATCACTTGCTGCTACTATTGACTATGTACATAAGTACTTGCTCTTCAACTGCGTTAATGAACATGCAGATTACTTGCTAGATGGTCCAACTTCACGGCCCTTTGAAATTATTTTCCACTTCAACCATCAACACAAGCATGAACTCGACTCTACTGAAGTCATTCAAATAATATTAAAGTACATTTTTGAACATGAAATTTAAAGTAAAGGTTGTCATTTATCGTATCGGCCGCCGCATAATAACAAAACAAATGGAAAAAGACACTAATGCAATTATGTACATCACTTTACTTGTTAAGTAACGAACCATAACCGTTTAAATGGCAATATCGTGCATATTTAATCGGTGCTTATGACTCGGGTTTAATTACCGTTTGGTGGTCACTCAAATGGAAATCATTTGCATTTTTGGGTATCTTTAACTTTGGTAATCTTTCTTCAAGGTCAAATTCATTACAAGAATCGAAATTAGCACGTATTAATCTTTTTGTGGTTTGTCTGTGTGTGCCTCAACTGCAAACAATACATACGCGTGAAATATTATATAGTTTACTGATTAAGACAACTTATTAATAATCAGCTCTTTAAAAAGTTCTATTTCTAATCACCAAATCCGTGCTAAGCTTGTAAAGCCTGCAATTTATTCTCCAGAGAAGGTGCGAGTTCTAAACAACAATTTAGCAAAACACTTTCTAGTAAACATATTTAGGAAACCACGCCATGCAAATGGTCACGTCAAACCAAACAACCGTAACATCAAACAAATCACAGTCGAAAAAATCAAGGTTGATTTTCACTTTTACTCTTAATGTAGTACGCCTAATAGTACATATTTTCGGCATGTTCAAAAGTACAGCTTAAATAAAATTATGAAATGTATCAATACTTGTACAGCAACCTCCTGTTAAATAATTGAGCAAACATAGTCATTTATTTAAAAATGGACCGTTTATTTAGCAACAATCTTGGGTTACACACATTATACGTAAGTGGTACACATTTGCAAGATAACACGTGTCATGTCAGTATTCGTATATGTATTCTTTTTGGCAGTTTGGCGAGAGGGTTTGCACTTGGTATGGGAAATTGCAAGTGTTGGTAGACTCATCAAATACGGTTCCTTGTGGGCACATAAACGTAAATTTAATAAGCAAGCGGAGGTCACTGTTAAGTGTTAAATGTTCCGCACACCGGTAGAAAGCCCCACAATTCTTTGTATCGGCAAAAAATCCAGGTTTAATGCAAAGGTCATCATCTTGTTCAGGAGCAAGGGGCAAAGTTGTCGTGATTTCCTCTGTAGTAAGCAAATGCAAAGTGCGACGTAAGTTTATACAGCACGAAAGAATGGGATGAATTAAATACTCCAATGATTTTACCTTTCTGTTTCACCTTCGTATGGAACACTGATGTCAAACCCGTGAGTATCACAAAAGTGGAGAAAGCGCCGAAAGCTTGTAAAACAGAATTTAAGAAAAATATACAATGATTTTAAATAATGACATTAAAATCTAGAAATATATTTATTTTTTCTATAATTTTTATATTATGCAAAATATTTTATTATACCCATTTATAATATGTCTCCACGTATGTATGATTCAAATAAAAAATACTGCACATGCAAAATACTTAAAATACCGAAAAATGCAGAATTCCTTCCTTGGAGTGAATATATAAGTATCATCTGGCAGAAATCTCGTCGAAATTCAGGATTATGTGAACAAAAGCGTATGAAGCGAGAAATGTATAAAACTTCTTGGGATAATTTGACTGATTGCAATCACGCATCATAACTTGCTTTAATTGTTGCCACTCCTTAATTGATAGGTGCAGTTCGTTGAATTCCAAGACTAAAAATTTCATAAATGCGCGTCGTCATTGAAGCTTAAATAGGAAACTACTCAATTTTGTGTGATCAAATATATTATGTTCAATTATTAATTCAATTACTAATATTACTCAATGTGGTGTACAGGTATTTATGTAAGTCATCTATTTTTAATGCAATGTGTCTAGCATTTGCTGAGGTTAGTTTTTATTGCACAATGCCTTATGCCACAGCATTACATAAAAGACGATTATTTAATTGAGGTACATTAGGACTAATCAATGCAGTTTATTTCCATGTGTAGCTAATACATTTACACTTTTTCAAAATGCAAGCTAGTAAAATTCTGATATCCACCTCAGTGACAAAACAACAAGTAGCAAACTGATCATGCAAACTATCGTATCCCTAACATAATTTTATTCCTATTTCGTATTCGTGTACAAATCAAGCACCCGCACATTACTAAGCCTCCGAGTAGGGCAGGGATGCATATAAGTGCTTTTTGTTGACAAGTTCATGAATTTGGAGCTTGAACTTGTCGTGTTATCGGATCACATGAGCCTCTTTGCGAGTTTAATGGATACAAACCTGCGTGACATTTAATGTGAGTATCATCATGACCATTAATTATACGCTGACTGAAGCGATGAGAAAATCTGCTATGGCAGGAGCAACTTTGGAGGTGGTGTATTTTAATTGTGGGGTACAGAATTCAAGTGTTTTTTTGACATGACATAATATAGACATAGCATAGATCTGTCTGACTGCAATGTTAGTTTACTTATTATGAATGATTGCACAATATAGCACCACGGCCTTTACCCCCAAATCAGCCAGTAGTCAGTTGTGTTGTCTGTGTGGTTGTGGTATTATTTATTTGCATTTCCCATAAACACTTTTTCCTTTTGCAGATTTTATTACTTTTTGTTACACGTCCGAAAATGTACTACAAACCCCTAGTTTACCTATTATTTTTCAGCACGCCCTGGATGATCTGGTTCTTTGGTGCTGCCAATTACTACTCAGATTACATTAGCAGCACTTATTTCTCGGATCATGAGGAGCAAAACGTGGTCTATGATTTCATCGTTGGTAAGGATTCATGCAGCGCGTCATGATTATCACGATTAACTTTGGTTTTTGATTGGATTAATCAAACTAATGGTTTCTTGTGCTCAAGTTGGATCGGGGGCTGCGGGTGCCGTGGTTGCTCACAGACTTTCCACTTCAAAAAACATCAAAGTTTTGCTGATTGAAGCCGGAGGCGACCCCTCATTTTTAAACAGTGTTCCTGGAATTTCTGCTGACCTGATTGGATACCCGGAAACTGATTGGATGCATATGACCGTTCCTCAAAAACATGCGTGTTGGGCCATGAAAAACAATGTACATCGTATTAATTGAAACATGCGTAACATTGAATGCGTCCATTTTTACATGTGATAATTATATGTGAAGCATTTTTTCACTTTATAGCAATCCATGTGGAATGCCGGAAAAGTGTTGGGTGGGTCAACGCAACTAAATATGATGTTTTATTTGAGAGGTCATCCAGCAGATTACGACAACTGGGCAAACCTAACCGGGGACGTAAGGTGGTCATATGAAAACGTGCTGCCGTTTTTTAAAAAATCTATAAAATCCTATAACGGAGAATTTTCAGACAACAGTAATTTTTCACATTTTTTCGCTTTATAAGCAAAACATTATCTCAGGTTTTATATTACTATTATTACAGAAAAACATTACTCTGAATCTGATTACGGATTTTTAAATATCGAACAAAGACGTTGGCTGAGCCTTTATGAGGAATTTAAAGAAAGCGGAGAACAAAATGGGTTTCCGACGATCGACGCTAACGGAGGATCGCAACGTACAGGTATTGTACTGTCTCATTGATATCCCCATATTTATCAACAATGAAATATCTAAAGACTTATTGTGTTGTAATATTTAACCACGATTGTAAGGATTTGCAAAAATTGAAGCCACGCAAAAAAATGGGGAACGGTTTGGAACATACTCCGCAATTATCTTACAACTTGAAAATAAGCCAAACGTCAAAATTTTAAGATATTCTCGTGCAATGAAGGTGAAAATACTTCTTAGTTGATTTTACTATTTTCCTATAATGTTTAATGAATGTGTTTAATGTGTTTAATGAATTAAAATTAATTAATAACTAACAGCTAAATATGAATCTGAATATTCAGGTAAAACTTGATAAGAATTTACGAGCTGAAGGGGTTTGGTACATGCAACATGGTGTCAAAAAGTTTGCTCGAGCTAAGAAGGAGGTTATTCTTTCAGCAGGTTCAGTAAACTCGCCTCAAATTCTTATGATGTCAGGAATTGGTCCCAAATCTCATCTTGAATCTGTCGGCGTCAGTGCGACATAATAATACACATGAATTTTATGGTATTATTTCTTATGAAATAACTATGCCGTCCAACAGATCAAAACTAAATTAAACCTTCCTGTTGGCGAAAACCTCCACGACCACATCATGACCATTTTGGCCCCCTTTCTCATCAATCAACCAAAATCTTTTCTTGCCGAAAGGGATTTTTCTCCAGCAGTAATTTATGACTACAGTGTCAATGGAAAAGGTACACAAGACAAGATAAATATCATCGTTTAAGTACTCGGGTGCATTTGGTATTTTGAACCAACAGGACCACTCACTGTGCCGAACGCCCTTCACTCTCAGTTATTCTACTCGTCTGCCTCTGTTCGAAAATCCGGCGTTGATTGGCCTGACATTCAAGGTTTCTTTGCGCCTGCCGGGACTCAAGACGTATTGGCGAAGTCAATTTCCCGAGGTCAGAATATTCGCGAGGAAGTGCTCTACCCACTTTTGGAGCCTCATTTTGGACGGGACAGTTTCGTCATTTTAGTCGGTCTTGTGAGACCAAAGAGTCGTGGGAATGTTCGACTTCAGGATAAAAATCCACTTTCACGTCCTTTGATCGATCCTCACTATTTGGAACACCCAGACGATGTGGCAGCTTTAGTTGACGGTGTGTGCATATATTTCCATTACTTTATGACACAAAACTCTACCTTGTTTACTCATGTATGTATTTATATTATGTGCCAGGGGTCAAAAAGATTGTGGACGTTTTTGAGTCGTCGGAACCGTTTAAAAAACTTGAAACACGTTTACCAAAACAACACACTAAAGGCTGTGAGCAGTATGAGATTCGTAGTTATGCCTATTGGGCATGCCACATCCGCCATTTCACCCTGACTATTTGGTATTTCATTTATTTCGTTACCCATTTAGGCAGATTGGGACTTTGTAATTAATTTCACTCAACTAAATATATTAAGGCATCCTGTTGGCACTTGCCGTATGGGTCGAGTTGACGATAAGATGTCTGTGGTCGATACACGATTAAGGTAAAATAGATTTTAATATATTCACCCATTTGCGAAAGTTTGGAACATGATTTAATTGTTGCAGAGTCCTTGGAGCTAAGGGTCTAAGGGTGATTGATGCGAGTATCATGCCAACAATCGTCAATGCTAACACAGCAGCCCCATCAATGATGATTGGAGAAGCAGGGTCAGACGCAGTCAGAGAATATTGGAGTCAACAATTTCACGTTTCGAATTTATGGGACTACACATTTTCCCTGAAGCCGCAGGCCAAGTGCTACTACTCCCAACTAGTCTGAAATTCTGATTTTATTCCTTAAAATCTTTGTGATATCTCGTTACCTCTTGTTTCCTTATTGTTAAAAGATGGATATAAAGTTGTTCACCGAAAAATGCCATGAAATCACTGTATTACTCCGACGTACGCATATTGAATTTCGAAGCCGGATGTGTAACACTTTAGCACATACGAAGCATTTATCCAGGCTTTGGTTTTGATGTTAATCTTTTCTTGGTAATGCAATGATTGTGTCCTCGTCGTTACTGCCTGATAATTAGCTACCCATACCTACCAATTAATAATCAACGCACAAATGCAAACAGTAATTTACGCGTGTGCATATACTTTTCCAGTATCTGAATGTGTACTGTTGTGTATGTATGTAGCATCACAAACACGGCAGCCTTGCATCAAGGAGATATCATTTCACAAATTACTTTTCTATTTTAAATTGTTTCCCCAAGTTCACGACACTTTTGGATTATACATAAGTATGCTGGATAGTTGGAAATAATTTTCATTCCTATCCTCAAAATCTCTGAAAGTACTATGAAAACTAAGAACAAAACTATTATTCAGATTTATAAAAACTAAAATTGGAGCTTAAATATTTGAAGAACATGACACCTTATCCGTCTATTATAACCACAACCTTTGGTGATGCCGATCAATCCGTTAAGATTGACGCTTCATCACTGAAAGTCAATAGAATTTCTACTGAAAATTTGGGTACATCTGACGGTGACAAAACGCTCCAAATTGGCGTCGAAAATGAATTTAGCAATAAAATTGCGAGTGACACAAAAAAGAGTGAAGAAATCCAAGAGTGGTCATTTTGGAATCTGTACGGAGGAATTAGCATGGCGTTGCTTGCCAGTGTGCTGTTTTCGGCATCTTTCCTCATGATAAAAATGCTGGAACCACACGGAGTGAAAGGGTTCGGAGCATCTCTCCTCCTCAATCTGGGCGTCGTAATTCCGTCGACAATTCTGATAATTTTCAATGAGTTTGGGCCGGGATGGCAAAATAGGTCACGAGTTCTGCAAGGAGTTTGGCCCATAACCAGAGAGACTGCATTAGGGTTTATGCTGGTAAGGCGTATGAATATGTATCATACTTCTACATACTTCAATGAAATGAACCGTGCAAACTGAATTACAACTTTTAGATCCAAGGATTATTTCAAGCAAGTTCGGTAATATTGCGCTCTCTATCGCTGGGATACTTGTCACCGATGGACATGACCGTGATTGTACTCAGCAGTCCAGTGATCACCACCATCCTGGCTCATTTCATGCTTGGGGAAAAATGTGGCGTGATTTTCATTGGCATCGCAATTTTCACTCTTTGCGGCGTCGGCTGTGTGACGAAGCCACCGATATTTATTGGTGCAAAGGAGTTTGATAAATACGCATTGGTACCTAAGCACAAGATATGAAATTACTTTCGATAACATATATGTGCAGATGTATATGTATACGTACATCGGATTCAATAAAATCATTAACTTTTAGATTGGAAGTGCATACGCGTTCGGAGGCATGCTTGCTTTATCCATGAAGTTTGTCGTGACTCGGAAGATAAAGGAAACTCATTATCTGGCCATGACATTTTTCCTCGGATTTACCGGAGTGGTGGTGTCACTGCCACTATTTTTGGCATTCGAATCTCCAAACTCTCTCATCCCTGACTCTGGCACTGGCCTTTGCCTCAGACTGGGATTGTTTTCTGGATTCGGGGCAGTGGCGAGCATTAATATGGCGTTGAAGATGGAAAATGCCGGGGTAGTCTCGTTGGTCCGGTCGTTTGATGTCGTGTGCGCATTTTTTTTCCAGTACATTTTCATGGGACTCGTGCCAGACATGCTCAGGTAGGATAAGTACTTGTCTGTAGTGAGAGAGCTAAGCAGCTCATCGAGTTCATGAATTGATGATTTATTACAATATAACTCTGCTTAAATTACAGTGCTATTGGAGGCGCCATCGTATGGACAGGCGTTCTCGTAGCAGGAATACAAAAATACTGGAGCAATAAAACTGGTAGTAGAAAGAAAAGTGATCCTTTGCAATTATTCGGTTGATGGTGGAACTTAGGATTAGCAAAGTCACATGAAATAATGGAAAATAGCTAGATCTACGAAATATATATATGTCAATGCATCGGTAGTATTTAGAAAGAAATTGTCATTAGATTTTGTCGACAATTATCCCATGATTGCAATTGCATTTGCCATTGCATTTGCATGAACCATATCATTTTAAATAAAAATTGAAATAAAAATTTCGATAAATATATAAAAAATATGCGTATATAAATATAACGAAGCCAGTTGCATAACAGGACATCTTGATACACTTAAATTAACAATTTTTATTAAAGGCGTATCATTTTATCTTCATTTAGTATACATAAGCCTCGCATGTGGTTCCATTTGTTGCATCCCTTTGTAATCCACTACTAAATTAGTATTTAAGGCTTATTTACAATGGTATCAACCAACTTTTGATAAGGTAAGTTATTTACAACGCAGAATTGTTGTTTGTCCTTGACCATTAGATGTATTCATGAATGCCATGCATATGTAGACACATTTAGCCTGGGTTTAACCTTTGACTTGTATTTCCTGTAACGGCTTTGATTAAATCGCTGGATTTTACTTTATTTAAATCTAGATCGTGTAGTTTTTAAAAGAAGATGGAAGAATATGTACACTTATCAGTGTGCTAAAATAATAATAAATTGTATTAATAATATTTACCCGAGTTTACCTTATCTATTAATTAACATACAAGTTGCTTAGTATATGTGATTTATTTCGAAACCTGAATTTCTTTTGTGCAGACAAAAAAGTAGAATACGTAACTACAAAATGTTCCTTGTTCTACTGTGGTTTTTCATAAATTTTACAGCACTGGCACTGCTCGCAATATACCTTTTGTTTCCCATTGTTTAAGAGTATATGAAAATCTGTGGGTTTTGTGCATCTCTCCCTAATCGCATCGGTGTTAAAATTAAAACCTTGCCAAAAAAGAATTAATTTCCCATATTCATTTGTGCAGGAATTCGAAATTGGATCTTCCTCCTCGAAATAATAAAATTTGACCTTCAGCAGACTACACGGCATGTCGTAAAATGGAACCACAAGCAGAGAGCATCTTAACTTGTGACCATGCTGGGAGTTGAGTGCGAAATAGATTTGCAAATAGTTTTAGACGACTCCCCTGATCTAGACTTGCAATGTTATGCACCTTAATAATGTCTGAATAATACAGATACGTCACCGTGATAGACTGGGGAACTTGCATATCGTTGCTGACGATGATTACGATGCGTGGTTTTACTTTGCATGGACAAGGAAATAAGGACAAGGCTGAATGGCTAATTGGAATTGCAAAGATATATAATATCATCACACACAATGTACATATCGCATGCACCAAGTCTCCACAAATTAGCAAAGTACTAGCAACGCAGTAATGTGACCTGTTCAGTGTTCATATGCATACATAAATATGCTATTGTACATACACGGTTGAATTTTATTTCATATGAACGACAATAATATGTCAGTTACACACATGTATTATGTGGATACTTAGCGCATACTGTAGAATGAAATGACTCACGGGGATGTAGCGAACTGAATGTCAAGTCAAAAATTCATGTTATTAGACGGTGTTCAGTTTGTCGTATTAGTTCCAGCAGCAAAATCGCAGAATGATGCGACTTCTACCAAAGTCATGCTAGATGGTAAAGTTCACCTCGTCTGCACGTCTGCATTTACATAGATATATACGTGCAAATGCAAACCTCCTCCTCGCAATAATAATAATGAATTCATTAGTGTAGTAGTGCATGTTTCATAAATGTTGCATAAGGCTTTGTGCCTTCTCGTCTCCCACTTATTTATGGAGGAGGATCTTCTCGACAAATTTTTGGCACAGATCATAACAATTCTTGACTAATTGGTGTCGTATAGGCAGCGAAATCTCCAAAGGCACTCCAGTTAGCTGACTACAAATTATTCTGGATTGACATCTGCTGATTTCATTATTACGTTATAACATCCTTGGTTAATGCAGTTCGAAATACATAATTTGGAATTCTGATCAAATCCATACTATAGCTTCATCACAAAGCAAATTTATCCGCCCTACATGGAGGTGTTATTATTATCATTTTATGCCAAAATATTTGGTTGATTCTATCGCATACTAAGAAGGGAAATGTTATCACAGCTAAATAGTGTACTAGAGAGCTTGGAGTGAGTACGCATACAAAAAAGTGTCAACCCAAGAAACTACAAGTGAAACTGTTAAAATGTTTTCAAAATGCAATCCACTCGTCCTTCTCTCATGCACATCCATTGTAAGTTTTAAATGAAATGTAATTACATAGATAATAGACATAGCAAATTTATAATTGCAAATTGATTTATTTTTATCCCAGCTCTTGGCTGTCATAATTTGGCCAATCCTGTGCTACAATTTTGTCATGAATAGCATGAAATTGATGGTGACCACCCTAACCCTCTCGAGGGGCTCGACAACTTATGGGGATGGAATGGACACGGATCAACTTCCCGACATCGCACTAAACTTTACCATGCTGTCAGGAATCATCATCAGTGAAGGGATCCTGGTCGTGTGCTTGGTCATCCAGTTTATGTCGTCTTTCGATTATCTCACCGGATTTGGAAAGGTAATATTAATTAGATAATTACAGAATATCACTCAAATACAATTCCGTTAAACTACATATATTTACTAATTGAATTAGGAGTATGAAGAAAATTTGTGGAGATGTCATAGAAAGGTGCTCCTTCTCACCTCCATCGTCCTCACCATCAAACTTTCCGTCTCATTCCTCAGCTATTCAACATTTTTCAACGACTCTTTGTTCGAATTGTACGCAATGACCGTCGACTTTATTTTTTTGGTGGTTGTGATGAACATGGCCTTTTTGTCCAACACACAAACGTCGAGTCCAACCCAACGTGCTGTTTCATCCTCGAGTATCATCAGTTCCACCAGCAGTCCCAGCCATGTTATCAACGTCCACAGCTTCTTGGATCGTCCTCCAGCTTACAGTGATTTGGAAAAGTTAGGAAAAGTCCCAACATCTGAAGCGACTGCGTCCACATAAAAAGTTTCGATAGACACCGTCAATATAATAAATCTATATACCAAGTATGCGTATTTGGTGCACTCCCCCCTATAACGTCTTTTTTTTGATACGTCATTATATATAATAAGTAATTAAGCTAAACCGTGTGAAACACTGTAAACATTATTATTATCATTGTCATATATTTGAGGTGATTGTATCTTATTGAAGACAAAGCAATAATAAATTGCGAAAACTGCTAATTATTTTGCCAATTTGTCACCGGAGAGTTATTAAATTCGTTTCATGTTTTGACATGGGCGTCATTTTGGTCTTTGTTCATGGTGTCAGAGTCCCCGTCTCGAGCGGAGGATCGCCTGTTTAACAGCGGCAGATTTCTTCATTCTCATTTCGCTAATTTTATTTATCACCACGAGCGAGCCGAATATCTTCACCTTCTTTACTAACGATTAAGATAATATTACTATTAATTTCTACTTTTGTTGACCCCGAGTTGTGACCAATTCTGTGTTAAGAATAAAATGTTTGGTGGTGGAGATTTTACGCCTGGTGCAGGCCAGCAGCAGCAACTGGGTGCAAATACGGGGTTTGGCTTCTCGTCAGCCCCCCCGAATGCATCCCCCTTCACTCTCGGAAGCCCAGCGACGGCCGCTCCCACCGCGTTGGGCACCGGAGGCTTTTCGGGGTTCGGGACTCCTCAACAGCCACAACAGCAATTAAGTGCACCAACAACTGGATTTTCGTTTGGAGCTCCTGCCGCTACAACCACACCGTACAAACACACATACACAATATGCGGAATTTGCTAAAATAAAACATAATATTTTGTTTTTCAGAGCATCGTCCGGCTTGACCCTTGGGGGAAATCAACCATCTGGATTTTCGTTTGGAACTCCTGCTACAGCAAACACACAGTACAAATATACTATTATAATTATAATGTATAAACACTGTAAATTAAAACCTACAATTATCTTTACAATTCAGAGCACCAACTGGCTTGACCCTTGGAGGCACTCCAACGTCTGGATTCTCGTTCGGAGCTCCTGCTGCTGCAACCACACAGTACAATATGCAATTTAATACCATAGTACAACTTAGGATTAATAAAGTAGCCCACATTTTATTTTTTTAATTTGTATTAGAGCATCGTCTGGTTTAACGCTTGGAGGAACTCAACCGTCTGGATTTTCATTTGGAACTCCTGCTGCAACATCCACACAGTAAGAACACTAAATATTATAACACGGTAAAAGTGTAAATTAATTAAGTTGTTTAATCATTCGAATTCAGGGCACCAACTAGCTTGACCCTTGGGGGCACGCAACCTTCTGGGTTTTCTTTCGGAGCTGCTCCCACAACATCCACACAGTAATTTTCTAACAGACCGGCATATTACACGAATTAATCTACTTAATTCAAATTATTATTACGTAGAATGTCGTCCGGTTTGACTCTGGGGGGTACACAACCATCTGGGTTTTCATTTGGAACTCCAATTTCTACAACCACACAGTACAATGCACAAAATGAATGTATACACTATTATAACTTAAAATGCTTACTATTTAATTGTTCGGCAGGGCATCGTCGGGCTTGACCCTTGGAGGCACTCAGCAATCAGGATTTTCATTTGGAGCCCCTGCTACATCCACCCAGTACATTATATAATATTCTAATCTCTATTTCCGCTATGAATTAACCTAAATGTTTACAGAGCACCATCCGGATTAACTCTGGGAGGCACTCAACCGTCTGCATTTTCATTTGGATCCCAAGCACCTGCAATAAGTTCCACCGGTTTTGGATTAAATTTAGGTGATGCTCTACAGCACTTTCAACGAATATCAAGTAAGAAATGGTTTTGACTAATGGCTGTATTTTGTAGGAGGAACTACGGTGAGTTCGACAGCAACGCAGCCGACCCCTGTGAGTAGTACTACCTTCACTGGTCTGGGGGGTGTTCAGCCATCTGGAGCAGGGGGAATACAAGGAAGTGGTGGATTTGGAGGTTCGGCAAAACCCGAAGGTCGAGCAATCCTTGATCTACCTGTTCCTCAAGAAATATTACAGATTGTTGAAGATTTAAAGTAAGGGAATGAATCAACTTGATCAAATTTGTCTAGATCTAAATTTATCTACAAAAAAAATGCAAATACTAATCCTAAGTATAATTTTCTTTGGTCCTGTAGAACTCATATGAAAAATCAGAAGGTTAAAATGTCAGAAATATGTCGAGCCACTGACAAGAATATTGAAAAGGTTTCAGAAGAAGTTGAGGAGACGCGTTTGGCCGTTTCCAATCTTTCCAATCAAGTTAATCGACAAGTTTTGTTCTGCAACGCCTTAATGAAAGACATTCAAGAGGTATGAAGGGATTTTTATTTAATAAAACAGAATTCTTCCAGGGACACTGACTAATATTCAATGACGACTTTTATGATTTACAGGAAATGAAAAATGTGGAAATGGCATTGATAATAAAAGACACGCCTCTCGCACTTCAGAACGAAATTACAGCCCCTACTAATTATTTTTTTAACCTCGTGTCAAACTACCATGAACGGATGATATCTTATAAACGTGAAATTGAAAGGGCTGAGATTGCTCTTATTTCTTTAGGCCAAAATAACGCATTCTCACCAAAAGGTAAACCTTGATTCAATAAACAAGTTTCCCTTTTTGTACGTGAAGTAATTATATAAAATACGTATTTCTCTTGTTCCTGTTCAGACTTGGTATTAGGATTGAAGGGAACAAAAGACACTGTTATTGCCCTAGCTGCGAAGGTTCAAGATCTGCACGAGCAAATCGTAAATGAGATGGCCGTGAATCGAAATTTAAAACGTTTTCACATTGACGAAGAAGGGGGGTCCGGACGACGGGGAGTGTCCACTGGTGTAGGCTTTCTTGTTGGTCATGATGAGACTCGTCGTATTGGTACCACTTACGATCAGGCTTACAGCAAACTAAATGTCCTGTTTCAAACTCCTCCACGTAAGTTATCAAATAGACCACGTCAATCTTTAAATAAAATTGTTCAACTGGTCTTTGACTTAAAGGATCTGGAGGCAATGAATCGTTCTATAGACCGTCTGCATCCATGTCTACACCGCTGATAAATTCTGGTATGACGTCTCAGCAACCATTACTGTTTCAAACTGCTTCCAGCACAATACTTGGTTCACCAGGAGCACTAAAAAGGACGAAACATTGATTATATTTCGTATGTATTATGAACTTATCACGACTCATCTTTATATATTTTCCATCCCTACAATTCTATCTTTTAATACTAATAAAGAATTGTCTATCAAGTTATAATTCCAGTCCATTACACTATTTTTTATGATAATTACGAGGATTCTTACTGCACACTTATTTGTCATTTTAGACATGTTTTGCTGCAAATATTTCTTTTTAAATAACAAGTACATGTAACAATGTATTATCGACGTCTGCCTCTTACATCCAGCAGTATTGGCAATCCATGCAATGCATCATTGAAGCAGTTGATATCCAGTATTGCTACTACTGCAAATCATTTCTATTTTAAATACTTTTCAACAGTCCATTGTTAGCCACTCTTTCTGACAAGATTGCCTGTCCTGATTTTTTCCCCGATGTTAATCCTACATCTTTCTTGGGTCTCGTTTAAAAGTGCTGTGTCGCTCTCTTTTGGTTTATTGATTCGATGCTGATACGGATTATGATCCCGCATGCAGTCATTATTATTGTTTGTACATCAGTATTCTCATGACAGCCGCATCATCGTTCGTTCGGTTTCGAAATAAATTAGTATGTGTCTGTTATCAGTAAAAAATTTGAGTGTAATAATCGTATGCTCGCCGATTTGGCTATATATGTATGTACATATTGATATATCTAATTGTATGGAAACAGGAAAGGTGGGATAATTCATGTGTATAACGAATTATAATGGTACACAAAATACGAACGTGTTCCTTAATGAGTCCAGTCACACCTACTTGGCTCAAGTACGCGAAACACCTCTGATTATGGCATCATGTAAACCTCATTACTTGATTGTGGTTCATTATTTTCTATTTGTTCGTTAGTTTTCCGTAACGTGAAAACTGCATGGATATGGATGACTAATATTCTGCATATTATGCCTGATTCCAGATCTCGACAACAACTCATGCTGTGATATACTTAAATATGTATGCACATTTATTTTTCTCATTTTTTTTATATATTTCACCCACCCATGCGAAACCAAAACGGCTTCAGTCTGGTATCCGAGTGTGGTTCATACAAGGCAAAAAATTAACTACCCACGCCGGACAAAAGCGCTGCTAAACTTAATATCCCAGCTACAGAACCCTTTCAGGTTTGCAGTTTGAGTGTATTATGCCATTTGTTATGGCGTCTAGACTTTACGATTCCACATCCAACCACACAGATACCGGACGGACGACGAGGGCACCGACTGCTCTCAGATTGCGCGAGGAGAGGGATGAACTTAACAAAATTAGCAAAAGTGTTCATAACTATTTTGCAATTTAATGAATGAGAGCGAGATACAAAAGAGGCTGCTGTGAGGTTGCAAAGTGCTGGGTATCTCTTGGAGGATGAACAACGCTCGCAAACAAAAACCGTGCATAAAGTGGACGACAACAGTATCAACCAGATAGACCAACCGACTACGTAGGTACTGCCCGGTAGGACATATAGGTATGCATAATACGTAAAAATATACCCTCCGAACCAGAAGGTGCATGAAATGGAATACAGGTCTGCATTATAAGAAGAGTTGGTTGTCATTCTTTCTGGCTATCAACGCACAAACAGCTCCACGTTGTTTCTTTGCTAATACCTTTGAGCATAAGCCCCGATTGCAATTGTTGTAGATGAAGCTATGATATCACCATTAATTCTATCCAGCCATCCATCGTACCTGATATACATGCAAGATATCCATACGTGCCTAATGCACACCCTTCGTTTGTCTGCTTTGTATGCACATATGTATTCTGGCTGAGCAACAAACAAGTTTTAAAGGTTAACACTGAAATGAAATTGAAACTGCTCAAGTGAACGGCCACAATGTGGTAATAATGGTTTGTGTCCGAGGGTAATCAGTAATCGCATCTACCTTACAATTTGAAAGCTCTCCATTTTGCATTAACAATCAAAATTACTCTCATACAACTAACAAAACACGGGTTAAGCACTTGAAGTAAAAGCCATAATCAACTTTATTTCAATTTAAAATATGCATAAAAGTTTGGAAGAGTGAAAAGTCTGCCCTCAAAACATGGACACAGAATCAAAGTCGTTGCATACATATCTTTAAAATTCTCATTAAACTGAGAGGGTTGGCTTGTTTTGTGCTGAGTGGAGATTTATATGCACCATCTGAATTCTAAAGCCTTGATTGTTTGCAGTAATAATATAATGGGGTCGTATCCATGATGCAAATCTTTCCCACCCTTAATGTGCATTTGAGAATATACAAAAAACCTGATAAAAATTGCATGTCTAAACCCGTACTACTGGATTTGTTCAAGTGTTAAGTGAGAGTGTTGATTTATTATCTCATCTCTGCAACGTGCACATAAAACAACAGACAAGAAGAAACCAATTTTATTTTTTTTATTAGTCATTGTTATTTTTAAACTGTTCAATTTCTCTCAAAAATAAGATGTCAGGCTGCATACAAATTTAGACGGGAAGCTTCTGACTCAAGGTGGAAGGGGCAGTAAAATATGCTGTAGACAACAAAGTTGACTACATGGTATTTTTCTGTCATGTTTCATAACCAAAGTGTTCAAATATCATAATTTCACTGGTCTCACACTGAATACTTTTGTGTGGTGGTACCCCTCCGAGTTTTAAAAACTTATTCACACACAACCACATTTGTCGGATGTTTTGTACGATAAAATGCATGCATGTGGTTATAATAATATGTCATACCCCTTTTTTATCTTCTTTCACTGAAGCATCCAACATATTATTATTGCTATTATCTAGAAATTGCTCCTGGACAAGTTTGTTTCTGCGACCTATTTCAAAATCTTTCTTGTGCATCAGAAAACGTGTCGTGGCTTGTGTTACGACTTGTATCATGGAATGTCGAATCGTATTCAGTTCAGTTGGTGGAAGGGGCTAAAAAGATGACAGCACATTGGGATCTAAAAACGCTTCCAGGAAGCAGCTCATTTTCTTATAAAGATACCTTGACATTTACTCATTTTTTGGTAAATCTGAAGAATAACTATGCAACTTTTGCTCTTACAAAACCACTCCGATTTTCTTTTACTTCTCTCAGTTTTCTTACATTTATATATTTCGTAAGAAAATCTGAGAAGATGTGCTCTCGATATTTGGGCTTCTTTATGCACAACTGAGGGGTCAACAATGGCTGTGGTAAACCAAGTTTTACATAATATGCATCCTCAACGCTACACACAATTTTTTTAAATAATCACATTCATTGGTGTTAAGCACTCTGTTGGACAACTCGATTTGTGGCCAGGATTAAAAATACATATAAGACTGGAAGTACGCTTTTCACTAATGACTAACAATAATAATCATCGGTGTGACTGTTAGTATGATAAGTACACTGGATTTATTTGTCAGCCAGCAGGTTGCCTTCGAGTTTGAGCTGTCAAAGCGAATGAACACCTTCGTATGCATTCTGTACGACAAGATTAATTCTATTTTTGCGTACGGCTGGCCTGTGCTATTACCATTTACATATTTATGTAAGTATATAATGGGATACACGGAGGCAATAATGAGCATGACCAACTAGACGAATTCATTTCATTATTGTATGCAATGGACGATATGTTACATCACTTAATCCATCAGAAATACTTTTCTATCTCGTTAGTTAGTTGGTTGGGCTGCGTTAATGCTTTGTTAGTACCGAGGCTGGTGAGCAGATACACACAACAAATTCAAATCCAGACAAGAGCACACAGACAACACTTATTCCCTCGGGGTTTATCTCCATCTTACCAACTTTAATGATCACCAACCGACGCTATACACATAATATGCACTCACCTGGCCATGCACCTTTATGCTTTATATATGTACACACAATAAGATGAGCGTAATCCTAAGGATGGTGAGCAGAAAATAAGTGGAACTTGGTTTGTTGGACGGAATGACTAACAAACAGCCAAGATTTTAAAAGAATCGAGTAGAGTGATAGTTATACGTGGAGGCAGGTATGGCGTTAACTTGAAACCAGCCAACAATACTCATGAGCAGCATCTTATATTGCATCCACGTCGTCTGTCTAATACTTTGCAACAACAATGCCGCATTCAATGGAAGCCGAGACCCGATGGTTAAAGTTGAAGGTGGTAATATGAAAATTCAAGTCTTTCAAGATGTTCATGATTTTTTCATGGTAGTAGATTCACACGGAGCGTCGGGCTGTGTTGTGGCAAAGTCGGCTTAACCATGCCATTTACTTATTCCAATAAACGATCCTCCTGCCCACCTCCTGTGATACTCTCTGCGTACTCTCCGGGATGAGATTTTGGGCTGAAAAAGGTAAAAAATGGACCTTCTTATTCTTCTCTCCATTGCCGAAAAGGCCAGCTCTACCTTCAATCAGATGAAATGAGACGAGTTTACTGCCATGTCCAATTGTGATCTCTTTTTCTGACTTGCTATATATTCTGGTAAAGCTCAAATTTCCTCGTGGTTAGTAATTTCCTAGTGAAAAGGTAGTGATTTTGCATGATATGGCTTGAGCACGATCTCGACTACATATTATCTAAAATGAACCTTCAATCACACTCGACGAAAAAAACGAACTGCTCCAGTTGAGGAGGAAGAATGAGCGAAACTTCAGAGTTCAGCCCTACATTTATTGAATACGCTGGGAAAAAATCCTGAGAGATCCCGAGTTGGTTGGATACAGAAAGTTGCATGGTATATAGAACTAACTATTGCTAAACCATGGCTAAATCACACAACGAAAAGGAGAGACTTGCGAGAAGCCCGTTCAATTCCTCTCGGGAAACTCGTGCGAACGCATCTCCACGAATTCACGATCCTCCGTGTAGTAAGTAGGATTTTATTCGTCTCAAATCCAATTCAAATTCGAATTCCAACATCTGGACGACGACCAGGGGCACTTGTTCAATATTTCATTCGTGTTTTTAGAAAGATTTTTGCAAGTCTTCCTTTCTAAACTGAATCGGGGAATTTGACTTGACTCGGCATCACAGACTTACGAACGTCTCGGATTTCCTATATAGACCGCTACGTGAAGAAGTGGTGGTTTCGAAGATGTGAGTTTTGGACCAGTAAAAGTACACAAGTTGAATAATAGCATATTGGACAAAACTAGTTCTCAACACACGGGTGGTGTGTGCGTAGGTACGAGACCGTCTGAAACATGGAAAGGGAAAGGACAGACCACTAATAAATATTACCCAACCAGTTTTTACCCGACTCAGTTAAGACTTGGTCTTCAACCGGACCGGAGCTAGTGAATGAACTGGTTGGTTTAGTTCAAATTCGAAACTTTAAAATCTCATGTGCATACGCGAGGTTCCAGTTTGGTGAACATTTGAAAACTTTCAAATTTGAAAGAACAGTTGTACTCAACCCACCTTTGTCCATGGGTTCAACCCAATTCATTTGTGTCTAAATTGAACCACGGATATAAATACATAAAAAAACTAACGAATGGGTGAAACAGTTGACTGGAACTGCATAATAAATCCATTTATAATCTATTAGAGACAGTTCCATCCTCAAATATCGGAACACGCGTCCCTCCTGCTGTGTCTTGGAAATACTGGTCAAATGGAACTCGAGATCTTGGGACCATTCTTAATATCACTGTTTTTGTCGTAACCCGGCCCATCATCTCTCATGGTGTTTAAACTCACGTCGTAGTACGTTCGTTTCGCTAACTTGAGACTTAAGAAATCCTGAATCTTCAAGAGATGAAGAACAAGTCGTAAAACAAGACTACTGGATGCACACAGTCTCATGTGTGTGTGTGTACAAGGAATGAATAAGCAATTCAACTGTAGTGAGTGCCGATTTGTAGAAAACAGTCGTAGGAGCAAATATCCCACTGCTGCTGCTACCAACTATTTCTTTCATACTTTTTGAAGCCGAGGACGGATAAAGCTATCATAATTTCTTGAATAGATGAGGAGAACAGAGCAGAAAGGAGTGTGAGAGGGGGACCGGCGAATGAAAGTTCTTCTTCTCATGAGACGCGGAGATGATTTATGCCCACATTGGGAAAAAAGTGTTACCGTTTAAATAAAAGGGTGACGTGCGTTTTGGTGTGTATACATTCATACGTTGCGTACATATGCGTAACTCTTTCAGTTTACCTGGAGGGATGAGATGAAAGAATGTGTGTGGTGGAGTATAAATACAAAACCATTTGTGTAAACTTGGCTGATAATAATAACAAAACACCAGATATATTTCCAGCAGCCTTTCTAAAATGTATTCAGCTTAGAGCATTTCAAGCTTTCAAATAGTCCTAGCTCGACTTCTATACACATGCAAACAGAGGAGTTGAGAAATCCGTCATTTCTTTGAGAGGCAACAAATCTCACTTTTCAGCTTAACGTGAACATTATCCTGAAAATCGCCGAATTTGACCTGAACTGTGTTACTCGCTACCTGTATTTATTGCGGGGAAAGTAAAGCGTGTAAAATAATCTACGTATGCAAAAGTGTTGAAGTGAAGTGATAATGTGAGCACATTGTTTGCTTTTAACTCGTATTTACCCAGAGATCAATTAAATTTGTATACTCAGCCAGCAGAAAAAGTGCAATGCTCACAAAAAGTGTATAGGCAGATGGGAATCTGGGATGATTTAACTCACTCTTGAGACTATGCAAGACATTGTTCTCTCTCTTGTTTAACAAGTACTTCTCAATCCCAATTAAGATTTCAAGTGATTAGTCGCCTGTCCAAAGAAACATAGGGAACAAGATTATAAGAAATATATAGGAGTCATGCAGAAGCCTCTGGTTTACTTATGACATCAACTCTTAAATTAATATAGCAAGCTAAATAAAGATGTTGTTGCAACACAACAAACAATTTGTATTTCTGTGTTGGCAGTAATAATGAGGAGATGAGAAGGAGTGGTGGTAATTGCTAACCAAACAGGGAACACCAAAAAGAAATATTGGATTTGTAATTAGAGTTTGACGTGAATTCGACTATGATTTCTTAGTTATCAGTCGACCACAAGAGGTGAGAGACTGAGAAGGTGTGAGGAGAGATGGAGAGTATTTATACCTAATACTGGCTTAAAAGTTAAAGATTGCTAGTTATGCCATCTCAAGTTTCTTGGCCCTTGTGAGACAGATAATAATAAAATTTAATAGTTTTCTTCGTTTCAAATTCCTATACCCAAGCGACGTATTCATCAATTTCTTCTCCTTAACGTCAAAAAGTGACAAACCTAAACTGCGTGGAGTTGTTTTTCCACACTTTCCTTTGGATTCCAAAACAACACCAAACCATGAAAAGAAAATGTGTATGAAGATTCCTCGAAATGTTTGAAACATTCCTTATCACGTTATAAAATAAGTGAGTAAAGAAATCATGCACTGACAATGGAGGCGCAAACCATGTTCAGCCCAGATAATTTTTTGACCTTATTAGTTTGAAAGAGCAAGTCTTTACAAACAACATTTGGTTCGGCACTTGGGCAGATGCGCAAATTTCAGCACGTTATGGGCGCCGCAAGTTCGCAAAAACGCACAAAGTTGAGCTCGCGCTGGGCATTGTTCGAAAAATCATGCGTTTTTGCGAACTTGCGGCACCCATAACGTGCTGAAATTTGCGCATCTGCCCAAGTGCCGAACCAAATGTTGTTTGTAAAGACTTGCTCTTTCAAACTAATAAGGTCAAAAAATTATCTGGGCTGAACATGGTTTGCGCCTCCATTGTGAGTGGATACGAGTGAACGACGAATGTATTGTGCATGTGACAGCTGAAAATTGCTTGGAAATTTTATTTTGACAACAATTGACGTACCGAGTTCGTATAGAACCAATTACATCGTGCCACGAGAAACCTCATAAAAAATCCTGCTTTGAAAAGAAATGGAAAAGTTATTAATATCTTCATAGCTCGCCAATTCTAAACTTATCAGTTGCCACAAGTACAGATGATCATACAGTGTTTTGTTTTATTATCCACTTTATTTGCATTGTGTGCTCCAATCTGAGACAATAATAATCCACTCAACATGGCGAGCATATCTTCAGAAGAAAACACGTTTCCACCCCATCCTTACAATCGTGAGGATGACGATGAAGAAGGCTCGATAGTGTTTCAACCCCAAAATCCATACCCCAGAGAACAATCAGAGGATAAAAAAAAATCGTGCAAATCCAACTGCATAAATGGAAGTCTTCTAGCGCTGAAGTCCTTATTATTCATCTTTTATGGAGGTAACGTCATCACACAAACCTCTCTTTAGACCATCTTTCAAAAATGATTGCATTTTGTGTGTTTGGAAAATGCAACGGCAATTATAGGCTTATCTCAAGTGTTACTCCATTATGTGCGTATTACCCACTTGGGAGCTGCCTGCATCGAGTTTTTGATCCACCGTAATATGACTGGTGATAATAAAATCTCATTTGAACCAAATTATCATGAGCCAGAGGATTTGGGAGGATGCGTCGTCAAAACTCATTTGTTAGAATTGACTTGGAAGGAATATGATTAGAGGGACTTTTGGAACATGAAGTACGATTTTATACGGACAAATTACTACCATTTGTTCACTTTGTGGGTTATAATAATTGCACATTATTCGCTATACCATGCACAGAATCCTCTTCTCAATGATTTCATTGAAAATTACATGTCCGCCACAAGGAGGATTATCGTCCTGAAAGATGCCTTTCACTTACGAGAAGAATGCGTGAAAATGCGTACCAGCTTCTTTACGCAAGGCTCCTTTGTGCATTGCTCATTCATCCAGTAACTCAAATGCATGATGTGATCATGAAAAAGCCATTATCATTAACGGAGTATGTACTTTTGGACTTAACAATTGAAATAGAATCTCAATTGCTCAGATGGATCCACCACCACCAAGTTCTTCATTATATTAGTCATGCTTTGTATTTTGCATTTCTTGCCTTGTCATTCAATGTCCGTCATCGCGTTCATTTATTTATTATGTATTTACATTCTGACATATATGACATGACTTATTCAAAGATTTTCAAATTATCAGCAACGACCCACGCAAAGAAAACGTGCATTTTTGAGGCCATTATACGTACATCTATTAACTATATACTACATACATAAATAATTGTACTCAAAATTATAACACTCACGCTTCTTAATTTCTTTGTCATTTTCCGAGTCTTTTGACGTGGATAAACAGAAATTCCTCTAATTTTTTTTGGAAAATGTGGGGCCCAGGTAATAATCTCTCACAAAAAAGTGATTGGTTAGAATTTCCATCATTTTGTCTTAAACATTACACCTATTTAGCAATGCTCATAGATATTTAACAAAGGTAGCGGGGATGGATAGAATAGTTAATTACCCAAAATTACTCAAACCTTTCACTTGTAATGCCATTGGAAGTAAAATAATGCGGATATTGAAACCGAAAATTTAGATATGATTTTCATTTGTCAAATGTTTTGTATTAACAATTTAACTTTACAACGTTATGTACGAACAAATACTTTTCAATTTTAAAGAAACGTGCGTGGTACATATTTAACTGAAATTTACTTGACACTTATAATTCTATCGCTATCCTATCTCAAAGTCCGAGTAGTGGCTGCAATATAAATTTGTGCAAAATTTGGGAGAAAGTGATGAGGAGTGTTGCACGCCACGGCGTCTTGAAGTCAGCACCCGAAGTCTGCTTGTGCTGGGAACTTTCTTTCGATGTGCACATGTCCAAGGCTTCGTCACAAAATCCAGAGTGGCACGAAATGTGGGAGTTATTGTTTTTAAAGGGGTTGCTCTTGCACGGAAACCCGATGGGTCCAAGACAAACGTTGCTACTATCAGGCTCCAAATTAAGTTCCAGTCTGCCAGAACTGAGTACGATTTCGACAAAATTGCACCCACATATTCTTTGCGTCTGTTCATTGAGTATCCCACATTTCTCAAAATTAGCAGAGTCGCAATCATCTAAAGGACATTTGAGCACATTTATCATACTGAAATTCCAATATTTGTTGCCATCCAAACACTGAGCATTTACCGGAATGGCTGCATTCTTTACCAATTTCACAGTTGATTAAGACAAGGTGATGGAATCCACAGAAAATTGCGATAATTACGAATAACTTTTTCCGTTGATGACCAGGTGACATGTTTCTCGTTTAGAGTAAATATATACACTTTTTTGGTAGGTGTCGATTTGAGACATTTTATTTGCATGGTGAAGATCGTTTCCATCTCACATTTTACTGAAAGCTTTGTGTTGCTGATTTCACATTCGTTTGGTTGATGTTACACCATAGCGATAATGTTACATAATTTTAGGGCAAGTGAATTTAGAAGTCAGATCGAGGCGAGTGATGATGAGACTGAAAAATAAATCTAATGTATGCAACATATTTTTATGCCTTTCAGGGGTTGGAACAATTTCAACGTGGCTGAATCACACGCAAGTTTCCTCAAGATTTAGTGAGAGAGAAAGTTTGCTGATTGTGAGTAAAAATATTCATTAGCTGCTATAATTTCGTAAAAATGTAAAAGAAATAAATTAGCAAAATATGTAAATACCATTATTTTGCCAATGTCATTTTATGACGCATGTTGCTTGTACTCTCTCAACTCTCAACTCTAAATTTATGCAATCGTGTTGTTTTCCTGATTTCACATAACTTGTTTAACTCTTTCACAGTACGGAATTTCTTCGCTTCTGTCCCTGGGCACCCCAGTTATATTTGGACTTATCTCAGACAAGACGGGCTCACCGAGAAAGGCAAGTTTGTTTTGTTATTTCGTCCGTGTGTCGATCTTTCTGTCCACATACACGAATCTCGCACTTACATCCGTATATATTTCCACACGTATGTGCTCTTCTATCCCAAAGAAAGAATTTCTTGGAGAATGAAAAGCTTGCGTCTGCTTCAAAGTGGTTTTGAGTGTCAAAGCTCTTACATTGCAGAGAAATGAAGGAAACGCTGGTATAGAAGCAAAGAGACGATGTTGATTTCACAAGTTTCAGCAAGTCAATTTATCCCAGTCAAGTCATAGGCGTATGTCAATGTCAGCCAGTAACATTGAACTTCTTGCGCTTTTCTCAAATTTGAAATACGAAACAACAGTCAGCATTTCAGTCAGTCGACATCATTCATTTGATTGAAAATGGGTGGGTCCTGGCAAATCAAGCAACCATTAAACTTGACATGAGCAGAGTATTTTAGATGTCTAACAACATTCTGCCGTTTGTCTCTGACTCGGACAGGTGAACAAAAATGAATGATGGACTGACGCAAAGTATAATTGTTATTAATCTACGATTAGCTACGTATATCCGAAAAACGCAAATTAAATCATCACATCAAATCTGGACGCATTACAAGCCATCCATCTCCACAGCTCAAATCAATAGTTTATAAAATGCATCGTCATCAACTTGACCATACACTTAGCAAAATTTCAACCATTTCTGATCAATTAAAAAACAGTGCGTCGGTGTCACGGACATCAAAATTCCATGGCTCGGGCTAAATACTGAGAATAAAAGAATGAATTTTTACACGCCGTTCTGGAAGGGAGCAATTAATTTATCGAAATGTCTTTTATGGAGAATGCAATTCTCCTCTGTACCAATCTATTTAATGGAATTGTGGATGAATAGGGATGAATAGTATGCAATAAAGCTAGATTCATGCCCGAATATACTATTATTTTGCCAGCTTAGTGATTGTGCCATAAAACAATGAGCCACATTTTTAGCATACTTTCTCTTAAAACAGTTTGTCATTGGGAAAAATTTCATCGATTGCAAGCAGTAACAAGGAATTCCTTCTAATTTGACAAATTGTACCTTCGCTTTGTAATGGAATGGAATCTTGGAACTTTCTCTCGCATGATACACAAATAATACCTGCGATGGCAAATTGAAACGTGATTCATTGCTTTTCAGTCGTGAGCTTTAATATTGAGTTCTACTCAACACGAGGTGCATTTCGTTTTAAATCTATTTTTAGTAATGGTTGGTGTGTGCCGACCAACTGAATATTTTACATTATAGTACATGAACATACTAATAAAGGTTTCATGTGTCGGAGCTGTCTCGTGCCAGAGATCGGTGTGGTATTTCCATCAACAAATTCACTTTTACTGTATTCGCAATGATGAAATGGCGTGCACGAAACCGCAATTGACTAACCTAACTAGTGTTCCCGAAGGAAAGGTGGCAGGTAAACATTTTGCAAACGAGTGCATTTTTATCAGGAAAATTTACTTCATGCCACGCCGTTTGTCTGGGTCCCACCAACCAACCCACCCAATATACCACTCATAACAATCGCTATTTCGTCTACTCTACTGTTTTTTACGGCCAATAACAAAAGCGAGTTAAATTTGACTGATGCCATTATTCCCATTAGGAAATACTTCTCATGCATTGTTTCAGCTTATTATGCATTCGCTTTTGTAGTTTATTTGCGGAGCAGTCAGGCAGGCAAGCAGGATGCCCGCAGCTGAACCCAGTTTAAAGCGTTCATAATTCAACCCTGACATTTTTATTCCAATGGCACTCTGCTAATTTCTAGTTGCCTATATGTACATTCAAAACAGCAGCAACAGCTCACTGGCAATCAGAGGAAGGCACGATCACAATTACTACCACTGCTGTGACCATGATGATTGAATCATGCATTTGGATGTCCTTGGTTTAGACGGCGACGGCTGGAACGACGTTGCACTGCTTCAGTTGTTAGAGATGGGAATGTTGTCATTATCATCGTCTGAGTTGGTGATGACATCTTTTAAAATTGCAGAGAGGGATAATCATTTTGGGACGAGAATGATGATGATGGTTGTAAATAATCCGTAATTACTACCTTGTGCATGCAAATCTCTGTGTAGTACTTTTGGCATTTTGTGTGAGAGGCTGGGTGGCCATTTTCACAATATGTACATATGTTACCGACTGGTGAAGTGGGATACATGTAGAATATATATACATATTTATGCAGTGAAGCCAAAACAAGCAGGTGCCGGAGTAGGTGTAAGTAAAAAATAGTGTAATATTATACTGCACATCTACCGATGGGTTGCGATCTGTGAATAATTTTAGCTCCTTTATTATGGTAAACAAAATTTAGTGACAGAGACTACTCTTTTCAGGTGCTTGTTGAAAATTCTGGTAATCTAATGTCGTGTTTGGTTCCTGTTGCAGGTGTTGGGGATATGTCTTTTATTGGCAGGGCTTCTCTACCCGCTGATCATGGCCGTGCCCCCCGCAGAACCCTTCCGATACCGGGATCGGATCCAGTGGTGCAAGGAGACGTTGACGAAGGAGAAGCTCGAGAAGAACGACCCGCTGCTTGGGAACGCCTACACGTCTTCCGCCTCCTGCGTCCCCAATCGCCTCGTCTGCCCCCACACCTCGACCTACTCCGAGCTCATCAGCGACCACGGCGGCTGCAGTGACAGATGTTCTGGCAAACTCCTCATCTCGGGATGTCACTTCAAATGCAATGACTCGGTAAACCATATTATTCGTTCGCATTCTTACGTTACCTCCACAATCGAAGGATCCTCCAACTCGGAAGCTTATTAGAATGACTCAGTGGTCGTTTTTCTGTCCTTTGCCACCACATCTCTACTGGATTTTTAGATCTGAATACTTTTCTTAGCTGTCAACACTTGCCTTCTTCAATTAGTTGGGCAGACCGGATCACAAATCCGTCATCTCTCATATTGTAAACAGAGTGAAAAATACGCTCAGAGGGTGATGACAATAATTAGTTTGACTGCCAAAGTCATTAGTTCTTGTGGTTACAAGCCTGATTCGTGTCAAAGTTGATAAAATCTCAAGACTCTGAGCGAACCAAATGGAGGAGATGAGACGCATGTAGCGACGCGTAAGAAAATGTGTGTAATAAAGCAATGCATCCACCAGTCATTGGCAACCTCGCTACAATCCACTTCACTGCACGCTCTGCACTCGACACTAATGAACGCCATTGTTTTCATGCCACATGATGAATGACTATATTTTATAAGGTGTATGAAATATAGTTGTAGAGTGAACGAATTAAACGCTACGCTGGATGCAAGTAAGACTAAATTAAAAGAGGAATCAATGCAGATACTCCGTTACTTTTCCATCTCCATTTTCAGATCACAACCAACAATCTGTTTGATAATTTCAAGTGATTTCTATGTACTGCGCCAGTGACTTTCTTGAAATAATATGCAAGTTTTTTCATGGTACTAGTACACCATCCTAATAAACTAACCTATAATCGTCATCACCATCAATATCTATCATTCCTTGCGAAGCTAAAAATGACACATCTTGCTTCTTTAACACCAGCAACAAACCCACGCATTAATTGTATAAAATTAGATCCGCACCATCTCCTGTCTCCAATCAGGCTTGCGAGCTATAGTCACTTGGGAACCGACGTCTGTATCGTAATGGACCACTTATCAGAAATGAAAGCTTATATAACCGTTCAGCCCACTTTTATACGTGCATCTTAATAAAATGTTGCACTCAAGTGTTTCCCCAAATATGTCGAGTTGAAAGCCCTTCTCAACCATGAGACACTGCGGACTATTTTGGCACAACAACAAGTAGACCGCCGTCTTATATAACACAGAAAAAAATCCATTTGGCAATGGTCTCAGCCAGTTGAGTAAATTACGTAATACTCTCAATTGCAGATGGACTACGACTATGACGATGGACCCAGTGCCCAAAGACAAACTTCGCCCCGAGAAGACGAACGTGCAGTAAGTTCTTCTTGTTGCTTTGTTATGAAACTAATTATGTCAATTTATTTAGCACTTCTGAGAATTAGTTTGGTTGAGCATACATATTTCCAACATTGTTTGGCCATATTTGAATTTAATTGTTTATTGCCCAGGTTGAGGATGAATCGGATTTTGGCACGTCGCCACATTTGTGTGTAAAGGATGACCCTCACTTCAAATATAAGAATTTGTGTTTCGCCTTTGACAAGTATGTGGCTTATTGAAATTATTATGTATGTATTGTGAGAATTATATTCTCGTAGCGATCATATTGTAACTAAATTAACAGCCTCAGTTCTCGCCTAGCCATTCGTTACGCTATTCAGGAAAATATATCTAGAGCTTTATTTCCATTTTCAGATATATGCATGAAATCCCATTACAAGCGGCTGGGATATCAGGTTATGCAGACACTGATGGAAAATGTCACTACCCTCTCATTGGTAAGTACTATTTCCTATACTCCTACTTGACACATTTACTACACTACTCACACATTCTTTCGACATGTTAAACTCTTTTTTCGACTCTTGTCGGAGAGAAAAAAAGCTCAAATTGCAATACCAACCAAAGCGGCGATTGAACCGTGCTTGTCAAGTATCAAAATATATGGTTATCACATCAGAATCTGCATCTGTTCCGCTCAGCTGTGGGTTGTGTATACAATACACTTTGCCAAGAAGAATTGATCGATAAAGTCAACTCGTGAGATCATTTGCTTTGATTCATGAACCATAAACTTAACATTTTGCTGTTACAATGAGCCCAAAACGGCTCTCGCTTGCAGCCAAACCGAGCGAGCGAGCGAGCGAGATGACAATGATTTTGGTTTGGTCGAAAAGCTCTACGTGCATAGTTTTTTCTGTGAAAACGCTCAAACAATTTTGAGGTTGAACAAATTTGCCATGTCAGAAAACCGATACTATTTACGAACGAGTTGTACAAACACACTCGAGCACAAGGGGACGAAGGTGATGGGGGAGAAAAAATGTTTAACAAGTTCATACATCAGGTTTCTGATTGCTTCCTTCATCCATCACACGGTTAATAGGGCTTTCCCCGAGGAGGTTAATTTACAGGAGCAGCTGCACTCTGCTCTAAATATTAAAATAGGTATACGCACTTGGGATTAATTGTTTCATGGATGTCTCTTTATGCGACGAGGCTGCACCAACTGCTACCAAGTCAAAAGTGCGAGAGAAAGGGTAAGATATGCACTTTCTTGTACAAAATCCAATAAATCTCAAACTGTGGTCGGTTGCATAATTCCCCATAACATAATTTTCTCTCCCATGGCATGTCCGTAATTGCTCGACTTCACGAGATGAGCTGGATAACGTTGGAGAAAGTGAACGAGAGTGTATACTTATTTACACGGAGGAGGGTCGATGATGATGATTCATATTCATTCAGCACAAATTCAAATTGGACTGAATTTGTATATTTCGTAACGTGATTTTAAAAGCAATACAATATGCAACTCTCACACCGCGCATTTGACGTGACGTTGATGGACAGAAAGGGGAAATATCTTTTACTTCCGTCAAGGTTGTTGTATTTTTTATAAAATTAAACAGGGGTACGTAACATACGCAGTTACAATAATCATACTTTTTTTATCGACTTTGAGCTCGTACAGATACTGCCTCCTCAATTTTCAAAACTTTCACTGTCATAAAAAATAGACGGGCGGGTGTTGAATTCAGGTGTTCGATAAAATCTTTTGGAGCCATTGTGTGCTAACTTCTTACACTTGCCTAATCATTGTCATTTCCTGTTAGTCTAAAGTTTGGGAAAACTTTCATTCTTCTTCCTCCAGGCCTCATGTTTAACGGCGCCTGCTGTTTCTGATCAAAAAGGGTTCGTGACTGACTTTGGTGAAAAAAGGGGACACAAGTTTGGGCGATTGAAAGATTGTGCCATACATAATTTGAGTTTCCTCGTTCGGAAATTAACATTTACTCCTTCGGATCCTTGCGAAGAGTGTGCTTCCCAATTTTAGGTTACAAAGATGTTTATTCACAATTCAACTCGATAATTGATTTTTGTATCGATTTTGGTTAAACTGACGTTTTTGAAGCTTAAGAGGTACAAACGAATGTCGAAAATAACAGACTTGGGCTAAAAATTTACGAGAAACAGATGCCGCATTTAAAACAAGAGCTCTTTCATGTTGTGATCATTATACCATTATGTTGCATTTCATTGTAATTCTTTTAGGAAAGCATGCTAAATAGATTACGATAATTACTTGTGTAGTGCAACACAAACACCCCTTTGTGAGCCACTCTTGTCATTTTGCACGTGCCTTCATGTGCTATTCAAACCCAATTCAAATCGGTATTATTTGTAATGGACAAGGAAATTGAGACGAATAATTAATGGCACTGACAGAATGGTAAAATTTTATACTAACATTAGCATCATTAGATAATTTTACAATATTCCTTGCGTTACAATTGTTTTAAATTAAGCCACAGTTCTGCAAACTATTGAATATTCATGTGTCAACACGCTCTTATGTAACTACACATTCACGACATGCCGACGCCGTCAGTCTATAAAAAGTCCAATGTTCTTGTCCTTCTCATGTTCAGGAAACAGTTTCCAGAATCATTTTTTCTCCAGGCAGCCTTCTTATCTACTTACTTACTTATGTGCCTTCTTAATAGATTTACCCTCTGAATACATAAAAATAAATACTCAAAAATTATGTCTGAGTTTTATCGTGCATAGACTGTTTAATGCTTTCACTTTATTTATTGCAAATGTTAGGTATTTGTGTAAATAACTGTGTTGTACTCCAACTTACAACATAATATGTAATGCAGGTTCCCACGTTAAAAACAATTTTAAAAAAGATCGAAGCTCCTATTTTACGTTGATATATACAGAAATATAGGGCCATGGAATAAGACATACTCTGTTATACCATGCTATGTATGCATAGGACTTTTTAAATAATTGTACTATGAATTTTCACACTACGTAGACCAGGTATTGTAGTATAAAATCTACAAAATCAATGCCGTGATTTATTGTCCTGCTGCACACATACATAGTCATTAGAATTGAGCTTGGCAAATATTTATGTATAAACAAACCAAATCAGTGAAAGCTGAATTTGCTTCATATTCACTCGATTACATACTCAATGTAATTTCAATTCCGTGGGTATATTTATCTTTGGCCGATAAATTATCCCATAAAAATGACAGAAAGGTCCAACATTAATATTTATGTGATCTATTTTACTGGAAAGTATCTAGCCTTATTTGCATTCCACTCGTACATCAGTGTATCACTTGGACACTTTAAAGGGTAAATACATAGTATACTTTGGACGTACCTTAAATGTAAGCAGGTGACTTGATTAGGGAGATAATTTAAAATGACCATTTAGCGTATCGCGTCTCAAGTTTAAGCTTATACTATTATAAATTCAAATTCAGGTTATTTGGTTGTGACTACATAATGCATTTTATAAAATCAAAATTGTTAGAAAAATGCGTCAATGCAGAATACTTTTATATTCCGTGTGTGGTTTCCATTCCATCCGTTGCACAAAAGGATGCAATTGATCTTTACAGTAATTTGTACATCAAACCACGACGACCTACACGCGTGACGGGTTAATATATGCTTTGTACTATTACTAAAATGCACGTCCTCTCATATACATACATGGACACATTTCATTGTTTGGGGGATTCTGATTTTGGTTGAATCTGATTGTTGTGGTTTGTTGTCCTCAGGTTCCTCGGAGAGTGGAGAGCAACGGAGCCTTTTGTCCTGTTCTCCTGTGTCTCCACATTGTCATGTTTCCTGCGACCTTCGTTGGGACACCGCCGGGGAGGATGACCAATGGACTTGTCAGGTACCCTTTGACTGACCATATCCCTAGAGCCCCATTTTGTATTATGATACTGCAAACAAAGTTGAACAGCACAATGTTAATTGTTCCCTCTTATGCAGTCCGACTTTGTCCAATGGTTCATCTCATTTATCTGCTTCGTGGGAATCCATACCCTTGGAACGGTAAGTCGTAAATCCGCTTAATCCCTGAAACGCTACTACATTGCATCCTCTGTTTGGTAATGCCGGTCAAAAATCAAAAGTATTGTAAACCAATTCAGCAGCCGTTGAGCATGTCTTTCACTTTCGCTCTCTAGTCTGGGTCGGGAAGTTCATAGAAACGGACAGAAAAAAATTGGGCAATTTAATAGACCAAGTATTTATGGCTGAACCGTAATAGGATTCATTATTGCCTTTTTAAAGGGTTGTAAAAAATGGCTTCAACATGTAACATTCACACATGAGCTTTTCGGTTCCTTTTGGAGAGATTGGTGGGTGGTTGTGTTCCATACAAAATATTATTGGCATTATGTGAATCGGCACATGTTCCAAGTCGACCCAGAGGAGCTGCTGTAGACATCTCTATCTACTTATCCGCCGTGCAGTATATTTGTGAAAAGGCCAAGAACGAGTCCACGAGTCGGAGACGAGATGTTCATATCATTCCCGTTGGCATCACGTACTTGCTAATGGAATATAGACGCACTTCAGTTTGGCAGGAGGAGAGAAAAGAAGAGAAACCCTCATTTTCAGGAGTCTAACAGCGAGAGATCAATAAGCAAATGTGCTCTCCGGAAGGAAATAAGAGGCAGCGTTGTCAGGTGCATCCAAAATTTATTATCAGTTTCCTAAATCCAGGACAAATACACGCAGCTTTCCTGAGAAAAGCAAGTAAATATTATGAATATGAAATGACGTTCGTCCGTCTATGATTGCTCAACTCGCTCGCTCTGATAAGCCAATTTATGATTGAAAGGATGATAACGCGAATATCGAAGGGATAAGGATTTCGTATTAGAACTGTGCTATATCACCAACCACCACTTGTCTCTTAATAAGCGTAGATTGGCCGCTTTATTACTTTCCATGTAAATATATCAAATATGTGGAAGACGAGCGGTGCATAAATATTTGCATATCAAACTCCGAAATAAACCCGCACAATGTTGTATTAAGATTAATGGGTGTATGCATTGCTCGTCCACATTGTGTACCTTTCCTGGATGCAATGCAGGAAAGTAACAACCTACATAAAACTGATGGAATGAAAGCCATGAATTTCAAGTACACTTACATAAATAAAACTTTTATTGGACAACATATGGCGCTACAGTTGTCACTCTTCATTCATATATGTATAAGTAGGTACACATAGGAATACTCCTGATGGGAACATTCAGTCCATTGGTCCAAATTGGTATGAAATTGGGTTGGTTTTAAGTGCTTAGTGCCCGTGGGGTGCGTATGGCTATTACAATAATGGATCGATTACCTATTTCCCGGAGGGATTGAAATTCGATAAATTGAAATCGGATAGGGAAGCAGTTGTTAATTCCACGGTCTTATTCTTTCTCATACAGTCATACGTATTGTACATCGTGACCATTATAGTAAACTCTGACCCACCAATGTCCTAAATATATTACACCACCGCTGTCTACAGGAGTTTTTATCTTAATTGATTTTCTATTGCCCTAAATTTTCTAGAGCCTAATCAAGATCCAAAGTATTTCACACCCCTTTCTCCGCGTATTCCAATTATCCTGCTTAAAACGAACAAGGGCAACGTAACCAATCCACTAATCATGATTATGATGATTTAGCTAAACAATTGGCTCCTCTTGAGATGATTTGTCTTTCTTTAAGGAGTCGAACCCCTGTATGCAGCAGCAGTGTGGGGCATATCGTAAACACCAAAACCCATTTGTATGCTAAGCAGGTAGGCAGGATGCTTAAATTCACACAAAGCCCATCCTGGAAAAGAATTCAAAGTAACAACCAGATTAAACCGAGGTTCTAGAGTGAAATCTACCACCATCCACTCGGTCGTCTCAAGAAAATCAATTTAAGAAAAGTACAGAGAAATTCAGACGAGACAAAACTTCATCTCCACGAATCTTTCTATTCCTTATTGTTATGAATACATTTTGGGGAGGACGAGATGAAGTCACAAAAATGCACTTCTTTTACTTCCTATACAGTTCCATGCAAGGAGCTTTTCTTTCTTGGTGAAAAAGTCAATTTTGAGAAAAATGCGAGGGACAATGCAATTTAATTTATCTTCCATCTTTAGTGCAGTACAAACGACTCTTTTCGACGTCCCCATGGCCATAGCAGAGAGAGAAAGAGAGTTGAGAAATTGTGTGGATTTCCGAACAAGATCATCGCTCCCCATTCCTTCCTTGGTCATACACAGTCTCAACTCCATCCAGCCCAGCAGTTGCACCCATGTCTCATTCTCATCCCCACAGACAAACTGCACCATAGAAGAGAAACTGGCTCTCCTGAGGATAGCTTCGTGGCAGCGAGGATAAATGGCTTTCGTGGTTTTTGGGGAGTTGTGGCATTTGCAGACCCACTAGTCCTGATAAATTTAGAAAGACAAGACTGAGACTTGGGTGCTTTTACCACTTTGTCAATTTATGAGGTTTCATGACACCACGTGCGACCTTCCTTCCGACGATGGGTGCAAGTACATACATACACATAACTACACATACATAGGAAATAGTACTGACCAAAGGAAGCTGTCAAGAATGCGTGCTTATCCATTTTGCGGATACTCTGAAAATGTGTTCAACTCATAATTCATTCCTTCATCATCCCATTTAGAAATGAACCTTGTACATAAAAATAAATGCCGTGACACAACTCGAAATTCATTTACCACGCTACATTTAGAAAACATGTTAATAGAAAGACGTCGGCCTCGGAAGCTTTCAATAATACATAAGTATTGCCGATGCCTCCTACATAATAATGGGTCGTTAATATTTTTACTAAACGCCAATCTTTAAAAATGATTACTGTAACATGTGTCGAAGAAACATTATTGTTACTACTGCCTACATATTTTACACTACAAGCCAACCAGAGTTTTGCCGGTGGCAGAATAGGGCGCACAGCAGCAGCAAAAAGATGAAAATAATTAGTTTTTCTTTATATTTACGATTTCAGATGCTAGTGATCTCTGCAGCTGGACTGTTGAACTCTGCCATTGTGTCCATGTCCCACGAACACAGTGGTTACTTTGGCTGTCAGTACACCTATGCGGCGCTCGGATATGCGCTGGTCCCTCCAGGAACGGTTCTCCTCTTCGACCTCGTCCACTCCATTGTCGAGGTCCCCTGGTACGTGTACTTAAATACTTGCCTCCATGCCTTATGTGCCAGCGAAAATGCAAAAATTACCATTTTTCTCCACTCTCGCACTTGTGTGCTCATTCGGTCAGGAACGAAGAAACATGGAAAGATCCGTGTTTTTTTGTAATTTAACAAATCCGTATAATCAAGGAATCCGGGACAAGGCCCATTATTACGATTATTATTTCAATCTGCTCAATACCCTTAGTCTCATTTTGTCAGTAGTGGTTATGATGCCAGTTATTAGTTGCAATTATCTTCCTGTTCTATGTGTCTGCTCAACCCATCCCATTAATAAAACCCATACATTTGTGTACATGTATTAGTTATAGCTGCAGTTCTAATGCCCCAGCATCCATACATTTAAAACTATTCAACTTCAAAGTTTAACCTTCATGCCCAGCTCATCCTCTCAATTTCCACCCTATTATTTATAATCAGCATAATATTGTGGGCGAAGGATTCTTATGCAACCAGTTCACTTAGATTCGTAATTTCTGGAGTGCTCAGACATCAACCAAGCCGATGACTTCATACACGTTACATATATATTGAATGTTATGCAAATGTTGCATTTTTCAGTCTGTCGGTTGATTAGTGAGACAAGGATTTATTATTTTCATAAAATCTTTCACTTTCTTACACGACAAACTGTGCTCTCTGCTCATGTGACAAGGAATATGCATTGGGTTGGACCACCATTTGTCATCCACATCAGTGGGGGACATCTGTTTGTGCTTTTCCGGCATGAATAACATTATTATGCATGCATTGTGTGCAAATACGATGAGAGTCAACCTCAGTTGTGTCTTGTAGGCTAAACTTTTAAAAATGTTAACGACTTAATAAGCTGTTGAGTGAACGGTAATAGATGAAGGTTATTGTTACTTATGTCCTGATGATGGGTTGGCCGAGGGTTGTCTGGAACAATCAACCCCATTCAGAATTCATATCGCGATATTTACTCATGTTTGGAAGCTTTGTGTGTGCTTTGTATTCTTGGCTCCGCTCTAATGGTGGCTTCCATGAAAGATATGATGAAATACCTTGGTCATCAATCAACGTTAACGATGGTCCAGCCCGTTTCTCGTTCCCATTTTTCTGGGTGGAAAGAAAGGTCACAAAGACATTGATTAAATGTTGACAGAAAAGTTGACTGTTCAAGATCTGTGGTTAATGACAATATTGTACATAGATATATGCATAACTTACTTTTGTAATATCAACTCAGTTTTTCTTTTCCATCCCGCGCTGGTATCCTTCCCATGCTATTAGTGTGGTAGGGATACGAAGCGGGAATCAAATTTTTGGTGAAGTAATTCTGAGTCAGTAGTACTTGTAATAGATTTCCCTATGTGTTTCACACCCTGATTTATTTCTTTTGAAAAACCAAGTGAATTTTGTTCGTGTTAGACAGATTTTATTTCAACACGAATTTCAAGTTACACTTTGTGCCAAAAAATTTCTGTAAAAGAAATCCTGACGAAAAGTTTATTATTTGAGAAGAAATGTATGATTTTCTTCGCGTGTGACTTTTCCTCTTCTACGCTACTCAAGATTTCATTCGTTTTTTTCCTCGGTGTAAGTAAATAGAGATGTACTTTAGATTTATATCCAGCCAGAGCAAACAATGAGCATGCCATAAAACCTCCTCATTGGCGTATTATTACAAAGTTTTTTCTGGCACATGCTGAGTAACTTGAGTAAGAACACTATCGCAGTAAGACTTCCACTATTTTTTATTCTTTCAGTATAATTCAGAATTCATATTCATACTTTATATTTTTTATAAAATTAGTTGTGTGGGATAAAAAACAAAATAAAAGGATTGCACAATTTGGCACAAATTTATTTAATTAATTTATGCATGTATGAATAAACTACAAGTATTGTACAAACTCGACAAGTAGGTCCACCCACAGAGCATAGTATTTTCATTGTGATGGGTTGACAGTACTTTTTTAAGTGGACAATTCAAAAACACACAGAATTCGGAGAGAAAGTCATTTCGTGTCGCGTGTCCCAGTACGGAGGGCTTTATGGCTTTAATGCTTTCACTCACTGTTTGGTGAAAGTTTGCCCCGTTTGTCCGTTCAGTGTGGAACTTTCTCTGAAGAAAAACAATAATTTGTCCTTGTTCGCATAATCAATGTTGTCTGTGGTCTTCCTGCCTCCCAACAGAAGAAACTTTTTTCATCATGATCACGACCATCATTACTACAAATTGAGCACATAAACTTGAGCTTTGCTCACAGACATTACGAGAAGAAGAAGAAGAAACTTCTTCTCTATGGCACAATTGCCTAGATGATTCTACTTAATTGCTCGTATTTATTCCGCTTGCTTTGGCAATCTGTTTTATTATTTGTTGACTAATTCGAGAAGTAATCCGCATGACTTAATTTCAGGAAGTTGGAGTATCTAGCGGCCTACTCAATCTGGCTGTTTGTCTGCGCACTCCTCGTCTTTTGCCTGCCCTACCACGCGGAGTGGGTTCCAAAGGTTGTCATCTATTAAAATAAATAAAATATCTGCAGACAATATAGCTAGTGCTAGATAAGTTTGAGAAAGATTATTATCCTGTTGTTCATTATTTCTAACTTTTGGTATCCCCCTAGCCCAAGACGGTCGGCCCCATGATTCGTCGCTGGTCGGGCCGCGGTCATTCACTAATGTTCTTTTGCATGATTGCAATTTTGGGTTGCTTCCAAATTCTTAATGATGTCTTGTCATTCTACCAAATCAAGTCTGTTGGAGGTTCCCTTCTGCTAATTGCCATTGGTGCTACGGCCACAGTTGCACCAGCCCTCGTCTTCATCTGCAGAGTGGAGAAAGTCATCGACTACTGTGGACATCAAAACATCTTTGCCATCGCGTTGGTCGTTGTGTCTCTACAATTTACAGGTGAGCATACATATATAAAGACTATCTATATTGGACGCATGAATATGTATGTATGAAGGATTTCGTATGCTGCAAAAATGCACAAAAATCATGTGTGATGGATCTTTTGTAAAAAAGTTAGGAAGTCCATTTCCTTTCGGGATAGAGTGTTTCCTTTGCTTCCTGCTCGTTATTATTCCCACATTCTCAATGTTGGTGGCAAGTAAACACTTTTTCTCTATTTGTTTTTCTACGATTCTCAGTTTCTCACACAAAAGTAGTAAGGTTTCAGTGAGAAAGATACTCGATCCTTCTCGCGTACGTAAAACAATCTCATTCGTCTCGGCACACACTAACTGCACGGGGTTAATTTCTCCGCTCTGTGTACGAGGATAATGACTTTTGCCATGTTATCTAAGGAGGAGGCACTCTCCTTACGTGAAATGCCCCGCCGTGATATTCGGCTCAATTTTTGATATGTTGTACATCTCGACATGCTGAACAAAAAATATATTGGTCGCTAAGCCCTAAGTGACCTGGTTCGACCGGAAATAGAGGTCAAAGGTCAGTGCACTTTTTTGCTCCAAAACCCAATAAACCGTATATTTTTGGAAAGCTACGGACCTCACCAGTCCGAATATACACCAAAATGTGGTCAAAGGTAAACCCTTGACCTTTCGAGGTCAACCACTGACCTTTGGAGGTCAACCCTTAACCTTTTAGTGCCCTTTCCCTGTATGGGTGCAGTCATCCGATCAGAAGTATACTCTGGCCACTTCTCCCCAAAAATCTCACCTTAGCCCAAAGACATACTTCACCTTAAAAGGTTAAGGGTTGACCCCCAAAGGTCAAGGGTTTACCTTTGACCACATTTTGGTGTATATTCGGACTGGTGAGGTCCGTAGCTTTCCAAAAATATACGGTTTATTGGGTTTTGGAGCAAAAAAGTGCACTGACCTTTGACCTCTATTTCCGGTCGAACCAGGTCACTTAGGGCTTAGCGACCAATATATTTTTTGTTCAGCATGTCGAGATGTACAACATATCAAAAATTGAGCCGAATATCACGGCGGGGCATTTCACGTAAGGAGAGTGCCTCCTCCTTTCAAGAATAAAAAAAATCACCCTGTACAGGCGAGCGTACTTGTAGTTCATCATCATGCGAATTCAGTACACGTCACATTTCACTCCCAATTCTCGGTTTGTGCTTTTGATGAGAACAAATCCTTTCTTGCCAACGCCTGAGGCAGGATGAGACTGGCGAAAAACTTGTACTTCTCTTTGTTTTACAAAATTATGGAATCCGATGTACAATTTTACAAACAATGACTTGTAGAGTTTGAGTTGAAAAGCTGAAATTAATAAGGCCAACATGTGGTAATGAAATGGATTAGATTGTGTTAATGAGAGGAAATTAGTGACAGCTTAATTATTAATAATATCTCATGTGGAGGTGGGAGTAGGGGAGAGAGCTCGGGAAAGATTCTCATCCTTTTGTTCATTGTTATTAGCGTTTGATATCCCCTCTGCTCTTCAGGTTCAGGTGTTCTTGTTGTTGGGCAAATTAAAAATCATCGTCGTTATCATTACATCAGCGCTTGATGAGTATTGGATAACCATTTGCCTCCTAGCATCACCCAACCAACGCACATTTTCCGCGATCTCCTTGTAGTTCGTGTATATCATGCTCATCTCGTAATTATGGTTATTATCGTTGTTGCTGCACTTGAATTGCTGTTTACACTCGAGCCTGGTTGGGTGGATGGTTGTGGCAAACGATAATTTTAATTTTTGGTTACCAGTCTTTAATCAGCTATTCCGGTTGTCATTAGGTTTTGTAGGCATCTTAATATTTTGGAGCACCTGCGCTCATTTTTGTATGCAGATGTACATACGTTGTAGGAACAAATCAATTTGCAGATTTTTTTTAGACACAACTTCTTTTTCCTGTAACATAAACGTTCGAATAAAATCATTTTCTCTCGTTTTGGAGAAAATGTTATACTTTTTTATTTAACAAGCAGGTGACAACGTGGATGCATAAGTTAAGTTTTCCATGCCGTGAATAGATATGTATAAGCCCCCGCTCCCATTGTCGTGAGGGAAGGTATTATCACACTCACTATGGGATATGCATCTCACGATAGGATGGATGAGTCGCCATTATTTCATAAAAGTTTCGAGAGTGGGGGACATCACATTTCACTCTTCCAACAACATAGCCATTCCATTCTTCTGGGAAAGGTGTCTGGGTACTTTGGTGGTTGGTTGGCTGGGCAAAATATTGGTGTGGGTGTGCTGTCAAGGATGACATGACAAGGCGAAAGGCTACACCTGGACAATTCCTCATTGTTGCGTACACTTTAATTTTTCAGTGTCGAGTTTTTCTCGTGAGCTAGCTGGCTGGCTGGCGAGATGTGCAACACACCACTTGCTGTCACGAACTCCATTGTTGCATGCAAATTCATCCCAAACAAAATCCTGCGATAACAATGGGTGAAAATGAAAATGTGCTTATTGCCACCATTCAATGCATTGGACTGTTCAGTTTGATTTTGCTTCAATGTCTTTCTTTTGTTGTTATGTACTGATCATCGGTTGTAAAAAAAATGCTGGTGATGTTTCAGGTTACGCTTACTTAACGGATGCTGAACCAGAATGGAGCTTTTTATTGAAAGCGATGGAAACTTTTTCCGTTTTGATGGTGTGGATCACTGCCTCTTACACGACGTATGCCGCGTAAGGAATTGTTTTTGTTATGCCAAGAATTTTTTTAAACACTGAATTTGAGTGACTGAGATGCCTAATAATTGTGTTTCTCATAATTTCGCAGCGCCCCCAGAAGTCTAGTTGCCACGTGTCAGACGATTGTTGTGACCATTTATTGTTGCATTGGTCAGTGCTTGTACTTACATGCATATACCTACGTGTATAAAAAGCCTGTTAACATGCGCTAAAATGTCATTTAGGTCGTGGAATTGGGGGCATATTTGGGTTTATCTTCTTAACATTCATCCCCAAAGATCTCCTTTTGAAAATTTTCTCATTGCTCGCCGTGTTCATCTGCGTCCTATTTCTGATGGTGCACTACTGTTGTCTCAAACCACTCCCTTACCACCGACATGACCATGATCGCCCAGGATCGGCAGGTAACTTGATTTATTTGATACTATTTTTAGTTTTGTGGTGTGGTTTTGGTAATCAAAGTTTTTTTAGCTCCTAGCGGAAGATACACCCCATTAAAGTTAATAAATGGGAAGGATAAAAATTTAGCCAAGGATGAAGACCTGGATGAAAAAGAAATCAACGCTCCTGATGACTGATGATGAGATTAATATGTATTAGTTAAGTTAATTACTTACCGTGTGTACATAGATATGAAAGTATTTATACTCGATACTTTGTGTTATCTGGCATTTATACGGCATTGTAATTGCCAGTTTATTAGTAAACAATGGTGTCTTTTACTTTAAAAAACAACTGCTTAATATACTGTACGCTGGAGAATTTATGACCACTACAATTTTTAATTAGAAAATTACTACGAGCTTTTTGTACTTCCAGGCCAGCCTCAGAACAAAATCAAATTATTCAGGAAAACCAACCATTTTGCACATCCAATAATGTTGTTCATATTGTACTCGTAATTAAATGTTGTGGCCTTTTAAACCACATTGATGTTCAATTATATTACGGCTGACTATTTGGTGCAAGCACATTTTACGATAACACAGCAACAAAGTTTCCCATTCTTATTTCAGAATAAGTACAACTTTTCTCTCTTGATTATTTCCTAAAAGTGAGTATGACCTAAAAATATTTATTAACTTTACCTTTGTAAATTCAAATAATAACAAAACCACAGCTTTAATACATGCACATTAAGTAAAGAGTCATGAACTAATTGATATATTATTTTTTGTAAAAAAAAATAAACTCATACCGAAAACGGACGTTAGTTTCAACAGCTTAGAAAGTTTATTGGGCGAAAATACGATACTTATGGATTAATGCACATTTTACATAAATATGATTTGACTTTATTCTACGTATTTTAATATAATCGTACGTAAAGCTAACAACATTTCGTATTATTACGGGTATAGAAAGTAAACTAATAAATAAAACTATATGCGGCGTGTCGTCTCCTGACTGTTCCTTATAATACCCGATATTTGTAAAAGTTGATTAGCGAGGTGGAGATATTCCACCCGAGTAACAAAGTAACAAGATAGACGACAACTAACAAACTCAGGGGATACAAAAATATTCGAGTCGATCGCATGGTCTGTAGGCATGAATATCCCAAAAATGTTATATAATTATAGTAACCCAACGCGATGAGCCACAATGTATTCCCCAAGACCATTGATATGGTCCATTCGTGACTAATAACCGCTAGGAAATAGGAAACATTATAACAATTAAAATTCAATTAAATTATCTGATAACTAAAGATTGAAATTTTTTGTAAAAATTACCGTGGTACAACAATATCATTATGCCATGAAGTAACACTAAAAGTGGGAACAAAGCATTCAAGTGGACATCGAAGCAGTATCCCCACTCCACTTTACTGTCTTCTGGAACTCCTGGTTTCAATAAGTACTTGTTTGAAAGAAACCTAAATAATATAATATTTTCAGTTATATTTTTAACACTTGCCACTGATCTTATTTATTAATATATTAATTTACCAAACTAGCGAAGCTATTGCAATTCCCACCATTATGCAGTCCACGATTACAATATACGCAAACAAACGGACAAATTCAAGGAATGTCAGTCTCAAAACTAGTGCGAATCCAGCTGACGACACTACAAGGAACATGTTTCCACATTATTAATCTCAATTTAAAATTTGTTACCTTCATTCAATATATATATCGTTACCGAGTAAGAATACACCTAGCAAGACTAAAAAGGCAGGATCATCACTATATAACATAAAATTACGCGTTTATATAAATGGTCTATTATTAGGTTATAACATCGAGTTTCGTAACACGACAAAATTTGTGTTCATGTCACTTCAAGTTTAATATGTATGTACGAACAGTAAAAAATCTAACTCACCGAGCGAACTGGGCCTTCGTTTCTACAAAGATAAAAATATGTTCTTAACATTGATGCAATCTTCTCGTGTATTTTCAACGTATTGACATTATTGACAGCTTACGTTTTCGATATTGAAAGTTTCTGTACACTTTTTGCGGTGAAATGAACAAGTACACCATCTGCCACGCAGCAAATTCAAAGTCCATTTGGTGGCATTTGAAGAGCCTTCGGAGATACTTGTATCTTTTGGCCGCAGCACTCATACAGCCGTGTCTGAAAATAATTCATACAGTTTTTACTATGTCTGATGTTATAAATGGATTGATTGATTTCAAAATAATATATTGATCATTGAATATTAACTTATTATTGTACCTATGTGTCGCTGGTGATGGTAAGGAGCCGGGACCGTAGTTTGAAAAACTGATTGGCGATTGAGTTCTACTTGAATTGGACGAATACATGTTTCACACGGCTACCAACTTGTTACACCATTTCAGAATGTTCTTCTGAAATCCTAAAATTGGATGTGCAAACTGGAAATGTAGAACTAATCAAAAACCAACAATTCTAATTTGAGCCAATAACTTGTCTTCCACTTGGTTCTTTCCAACTTGAATTATTATTCTGGTTATATTACTGGAGATTTTAGTCAATAAAGTATTTTTTTACAAACGATGCGAAAATGAATAAAAATCAAAAAATTCTTGACGAGTGACGACTCATACAATAAACTCCAAATGTGGATTTGTAGTTTGGCGGAGTGGATGGCATATCCAGTTGCCCTGCACCAAATACACAAAAATCTGCCAAAAATTGACAGCAACAAACCAAAATACGGTACTTTTGCACACTTTGCAGAAGGAGCTCACGTAAATCATAAATTAATAAACTTCATACATCATACACATTAATTACAATTAGGGTTTGACTTCTTGTTTAGATAGTTAAGAGTACATTAGTTCGAAACATTTAAGAACAGAAAGAAAGGCAAATTCAGGAATATGAAACTGAACGGTGTATTGAATTTAGGAAATATGTTTATTTAAAAAATGACTATCGAACCAATAAAAAGTTACATTTACAAATTTTAAATGGTAAAAGCATCGCTAAACACAAACTATTATTTTTTGTTGAATGAGTAAAATAACCTGCATTTATGTATTTGTTGTTTAAAGTTGGAATCTTGACCAAAGGTAAAAAAATACGGCCGAACTTGAACAGTCACGACGTTGTATGTACTTCCAAATGTCATTCGAAACTCTACGCGTGGATCTATTAAATACTCGGCAGCTTGAGAGGTCCATAAGTTTATAACAGGTTCGGTTTTGCACTTCGTCAACCGACTATTGTTGTACGCAGTAGCAATGGAAGACGAAGACGACCTAATTTATGAGTGTTAAAGTCATAGTTCGACAGGGAGGAAACCCAAACATTTTTGTCAAGAAGAAAAATGATATAATTTTAAATTCAGGCGTATCAAGCTCAATTATATACAACGAAAATGTTTAGTCGCCAAAAAGCCCAGACAGATGTGAAAAAGTCGACCGTCAAATTCCTTGACGGAAAGAAAGACGTTCAAACAAGGCTTAAACATCTGAAGCTGATTTTGGGTAGGTAGCACATTTTAGTTAAGTTTGTTATTCATTTCATTCATATAAAGAACACAAATATTCTTATGTTTTAGAATCTGTGGACATTAGCGAAGCCAAAGCATTATTTGCCACCAACTATTCACACATATACCACTTGGTGTACGAGGGCATTGTTTGTGCGGAAAGTTCCCTTAAGGTTAAAGGAGGTACGAAACTACCAGATTCTTGTAGTATTATGATTAGTATGATTCAACTATTTATCACTCAGTAACATCATTTACCTTATGAAGATTGGATATTTACGCACGCGAGATTCATTTAGTTCATTAGTTGACGAAAGTACTTTTGACTATTATATTAATGCTTCATTAATATTTTTCAAAATTCTCATTTTCTTATTGATTTGGTCTGCGTGGTTATGGTCTTACGGTGATGGTGTCATGGTGTAGAGTTTGTGGATTGACATTCCTCGTTTACAGGTTTTCTGTCTCCCTCTTCCCTGTCTTTCACATTATCTGAAAATCTACCATTTTATCTTGGTGAGTGCCGTTAGTATGCTGTAAAGCTATGTAGATAATAGAGGAATGAAGCTAGGATGTAATATTGCATAATTACTGAACTAAACGTCTATCATAATTTGCACGGTAATAAATAATTTAGCGACGTTGCTTCTACGCGTGTCACCTTGGCCAAATCACCCAATAAACAAACCCTGCATGATTTTCCATTTTACGTGACGCTGCATTTTTAGTGGTATTAAATGCATAATCGTGCATATAATAATAACCATCCTTTTATGTATCTTTTAAATATTTAGGAGGTAGTCGGTCTTTGCTTTTGTATACCTTCTTTTCTTCTTATTATTATATGAATGTGAATATTATGGTGCTACAATATATTTGTAAATAATGATTTTTATTGCCATAAAACATGCATTTAAAATATACCAATGTTTTAGTTCATCGAGCACAGCGAGAAGAGCTGGAAAGTGTGTTGCAGCTATTGGAAAGAATTATAATGCTCCTGCCCGACCTACTCCACTGTCGCTGGCAATTACATTCGATTTCTAGATTAATGGCCAAACTAAATCATCCAGCAAATTCGATGGCACTGCGAAAACAAGCTATTAGGTAGTGATAATTTATATGTTTGACCCTTATGATCGCTATGCTTAGCATATCTAACCCTATCTTAATATATAATTATGTCAAAAAAGGTTGTTCATCATGTACTACCAGTGCCTTGGAACTGCAGGTTAGTATGTGAATGTGCAACCACTGGAGGCATTTTTGTTTACACATAATGGACCTCATCATTTGTTCAATTTTGTGAATAGGTCCAGCGTATGTCCATACCATGTTTGCTTCTCTTGTTCCTGGGTAATTAATTATAACTTTATGAAATGTTCTACATGAAAATACACAAGACAGCAGTCATCAATATTAGTCGCGGTTATTGTACCATTAATCTTTTTAACTCGAAGCTTACCTGGTGCTGAATCATGGCCGCCACCAAGCGATCCTTCGTTTGAAGCGTCTCCTTATGAAATAACGCCCGTGTTACCAGCCAGTTCTGGGGACCGGCAATTGCTGCCTGAAGATCCAACATCATATTTTCTTGAACTACTTTTAGACTGCATGGTGTCTCAAGCTCCAAAAATTCATTGGAACGATGGAAGCCAGATGTGGTCGAGAAGCATTGAATTTTTATACGAGAAATTTAAGGTATTTGTGTTTTTTGTAAATTTGTGAATAACGTTTTACTTGAAAGTTTTTTTGTTAATAGGAGCTTTATTTGCCAAGAATCTTTAGTGATTTTAACGTCACGACAGACATTTACAAACCATCCTTAGGTACGTTAAACTTAAATATTTAACTTAACTGTATCTTTACTTGTGCTTTTCCGATGCAGTCGTTAATTATAAATATATACACATATTTCGTGCGTAGATCTACCTGAACCGAGAAAAAGTGCCGATCTCTCAAACAATGTCATAACAGCATGCCAGGTTGTATTCGTAAAATGGATAGGTATGATGGATATGTATTTTTTCGTTTTTACCTGGGGACAAAAATAATTTAAACATAATTTAAACATCATCTTACCGATAGCCAACTATGCTCATTCAGTCTACCGATCTATGGAATCTTCAATTCCGGGACAAATGGCATCGTAAGCATTTGTTATTTTGCAGATTTTGCAAATATTAAAATAATCTTGAAATAAAACAGGTGGAGTTCACAAAATGCTCATTCTCATCATGATGATCCGAAAATATCAACACCGCCGTCCTCTTTGGGTGACAGAGATTCCATCGCCTCATATTCCAGCATCAATAAGTAAGGGTTTTATTCGTTTGCAGTTTTTATTTAATTAAAAAACTGCAATTTTGTAAGTTATTAAATATTCTCAGCGACGTGGACGCAAATGTGATAGCAAAGGACGTTATTCTGGGAAGCAGATCCAATATTAATTTCCTTCATGAAGTGTTCAGACGAGCCTTGCTGATGAATTTTGTCCACACTGTTGCTATTCGAAGAGTAATTTGTGTTTACAAAGACTGGATACAAATGAACGTACGATCACCCAATGGGATAATTGCTTAAATTTATAACATTAAAAATATAGTTATTTATACATATTTAACTGATTTGCATTATGCACAGGTACCTGAATTGCCTGTATTTATGTTGGAACCTGAGGAAGGAGATTCAGAAGCCGTAGTTGCTGGAAACCTAGATTCTCCCAAAAATAGATTACGCACAGATTCATATTACGGTGCCGTTGGGATCAACGCAAATAACAATCGAGAAGAGTATTTATCACATCTAAGATCTGGTGCTCAAAAAGTTCTTCAAGTCTTCTTTTGTAATTCAGCCTCAGTATTTTTACTTTTTCAAATCCCCAAACATGGTAAGTAACAATAATACTGCAAGTGTACTCATTTCGTAATTTACATGTTTCTAAATGATGCATCTAATAATTTTTGAATGGATAGAAGCAGCAATGGCATTTTTGGAGGAACAAGTTGATATTTGCAAACGAGTCTTAAACATATATCGCTACGCCGTAATGAATACCCGAATGAATTGTGACACATGGTACAGTTGTTATTTGTCTAAAGATAACTAACTAACGGTTTGCTCAATAAATTGTTTCATGCTTACAGGGAACAACTTTTAGTAGTTCTGTTACATGTTACTTCAAAAGTGTTAGATACGAAGCAATCTCATTTTGGAGTAAAAAATCCAGACTCTCTTGGTTCCAAATTAGCTTCGGCTTTATTCCAAACACTAATCGTAAGGTAAGCAAGTAGACCGTTCTGTGATATATCTACTTAAGAGCTTAATACTGCATGCTGTATTTATTCAAGGAAAGGTTAATGTTGCATAATTGTTTATTGCATATAGTTGGGTAAAAGCAAGTTTGAACGTACCTTTGTCGACTGAATTATGGAACAGACTTCATCAGGTTTTATCTCAACTTACATTTTGTGACGATTTAGTTACTGAGTGGTCGGTAAGTCTCGAAATTCAAAAGCATTTGAAGGGATCATTATATATAATCTATAATATAATTAATCTTCCTGTCATTGTTATCTTGTAGAAAACAATGGAAACTTTAACGAGGGTGCTGTCCCGCCACGTATACAACCTGGATTTGGCCAACCTTCCACTGGACCGAGTTTCTGACCGCAGAAATAAAAAGAAGCACGGTGCCTTAGCAAATAATCAACCGATAGTTTCCGTTACTAGTGAGCACGAGGCAAAGAGAATAATTTCTGATGCTCCAGATGGTAAGTGTGTGAAAAACCGGAAACTATGTGTAATATATAGTTAATTGGCTCTGATTTCTTTTCAATGGTATATTCCATTGGCAATTAAATGTGTCTACAAATGTGTGCATTTATTTTCCTAGGTAAACGAGATAGATATCCAAGTACTGGGACTGGGTCGGACAGGAAATCTTTAGTTTATTCAGCCACGGCAACAACCACTCCTACTACAAAACGAAAACTGAAGAGAAGTTTAAGTGATGGAAATCTTGCTACACCGAGAAAAGTTGAAAACGAAACTTCTACGGATGGAGATTTTCATTCACATTCACTTGTAATTTCGTCCAATCGAGAACATGAAACACCAGAGAATTATATTTCCTCATCACCAGAAGTTACACGACAGAGAAAGAAATCGCATTCGATGGATTCACTAAGGACGCTTAAGATTGCGTCACACTTTGGACATATAGGACAACCAGGCTGTCTGAATTCCGATTGGGCGGAAATATCTTCCTCGACCACAAGCTTGGAAAATGCTTCAACCATTCATATCGACGATTCTGGTAGCATTGGTGAGCTAGCATAATAACTTGAAAACAAATAATACACATCAATACGCATTTAATACATTGTTCTTCTTGTGCTTGTATTTAGATTGTCACGGTGGACAAGCTAAACACGAAGTAAAGGGTGTTATATCTGGTGGTACGGTGAAAGGTTGGCTGCCAAGCGTAGCCGCTATTTTATGGAGACGTATGCTTGGGATTCTAGGGAATGTTAATGAATTTACAAGTCCCAAAACCCACGCTCACTTTTTTCAAGTCTTAACGGAAATATGGGGGACTTTGTACAAGGTTTTTCACTATCTATATCTATCCATCTTATGACATAATTGTATGATTTTTTGTTTGGTGTTCTATCTAGTTGCGTTTGAATCAAGGAGTTAGTTTGGACAATTTGTCTACCCCTCCGCCATCCGAACTGTGTCCCCCATTAACTTGTTTTTCTTCCTGGTGTTTGCAGGTTGACACATTTCCTAATCTGAATTGAATTCAAATTCAAACTTGTACTCAAAAATTGAAATATAATTAAACAATCTACGATTATTTTCAGGCTCTTGATTTAACGGACGATTATTATCGCGGAAAAGTACTTGCATGTGCCTTGTTGTGTGATGCTACTATTGCGAATCAGGATATTCCTCTTTCTCAAGAGTACCTAACTAAATTCTATTCTGCGATTCATAAAACTATAATTGCCAACCAACCTGTAAGCCATGAAATTATTACTTTTAGATACTTCTAATTTAAGGCGGAATTGATTTAACTTTATATTTTTGCAGGAAATGGTGAATGAAATTGTCAAAAGATGTGGATATAAACTTGTTTCTAAAATGCTTCCCGGTTATTCCTTGTTGTTACTCGATCTAAGCCAAGCTGCGCATTCTATCTTAACCTCCGATGATTTGAAAAAAGTATGCGTGTCCAACTTTCATGACGATATATATTGTCTGTTGTTAATGATGTCTGTTTTAAAGGCACCAAGAGTAGCTGCTGCCTCAGTCCTTGGTTCAGTATTAACGGTTGCCGATGTATGTAAGGAGCTGCCCATTTTAAAACCGAATTCTAAGCAATTTCAACCCGTTACCTCTCATGCTACCAACGTAAGCAATAAATAGTTGATCTACCCATGCACATATATATCCATGTGCTACTGTTGTTATAAATGTAATAACTTATCATTATTGCCACTATCAGAACGTCGTTTTGTCATGTCTATTGCAATTTTCAAAAAGCGAACAAACTTCACAAGCTAGGTGAGGCTAATATTAAATACATTAATTATAGTTTAATTTTTACACAAAGTTTTTGTTTGCGTAAGTATTCTGCAATTCAAGGATTATACCAAAAAAATATGTATAGAAGCTGCCAATTGTCTATTTTAGTTACTCTAAAATGCATCATGATTTCCACAAATTATAATGCGTTTTTGTTATACATTTTATTTTCAGAGCTATTTGCCTACAATCCCTAACAATCTACTTGTGCAAAGAGTTAACCAATATTCGCTACATTGGATTTAGACAGTCTGAAAAGGATCGAATTTCTACAGTTAACACAATTATTTCTGTCCTGTTGGCTTCGGTGAAGGTGAGTAGCACGTCATAAAAGTTTATCCTTGTCTAATAAACAGTGAAACGTATTTTGACAATAATAATAATTGATAACTAGGTGGCAAATAGAAGTGTTGCTTTAGTCGCATCCGATCTGTTGCTCTTGCTTTCGGATTTTGCATCAGAGATTTGTGTTAATTTTTTGCCAATGATTGAACAAATAATTCAGGTAATTAAAACCATATGGATCTAGATAATATCGCATAAGAATCTTATATTTTACAGTTATACAGTAGCAGTAAGTAATGTATTTTTTGCAGGGTTTAAAATGGAGTCTTCAACAAGCATTGCCATTAAAGAATTCATCTTGGAAAACTGGAAAGCCTGTGGAAACTGAGAAACGGCTTTTAATTTCACTCATCACAACAATTGGGGAATGGTGCATGAAGCTTCCTTTAAATGTCTTACTAACTCCGCTGGAACATAATAAGCCAATTCTAATTTCGTCTGTATTTGAGGCAAGGGCAAATAATTTCAAGCTTTATGCATGCGGCAAAAGAAAATAGGTTTAACGTAAATATTTTAAATAGGTGTTGCATATGGCTGCCAAAGGGTTTCAAATCCCTAGTACATGTGACGGAAGCCTTCATATTTTGGAAGATTTTGATCCAAGCATCCCATTTGATGACTTGCAGGTAACAGTATTGCATACATTATTAAATGCGCATGTTGAGCTAATTTATTTATTGAATGGAATAATTTGAATTTGTACTTTACTCGGTTTATCAGATCACCAGTGGTTCTGTTTCAAATCTCAAAGCCGGTGGCGATAAAGAATCATTTTTGACTAAATCAGATGGATTGCATTCTCCTTCTCAAGATTTAGAAACTGTGAAACTTGCGGCACGAACTGTATGGACATATATATAGATGCTTTCCTGATGAAACTTTCTTTATCACTATCAATTCATGAATTTATTTATGATCGTAGGTAATATCGCATCTTCTAACGCAACTGGGTCATTTTCCAATGGCGAACGGGTCCTCCAAGTGTGGCTCTGTTGTGTCAGAAAATGACGATTTGCCTGGTTTGAATTCAGAATTGGATGAGCTGAGTACTTATATTTTCTCTCTCCCAAATGTTCAGGTAAATCTGTAGATTATAATTACAAGTTAGTAGCAACTAGTAGGAAGTTACCAAGTTAATTTTGTTTATTGTTCATTCAGATGTTTGCTCTGAACGAAAATACATTATTGTCAATTGTCGAGCTTCCAGAAGACCTTTCTTCGTCAGGTACAAGAGTTTCCTCTGGCTTTGTGACTTCATTGTCACAAGTTCGAATCATTATGCGTGACCTGAGTGGCAAAGGTACCTGGGATGCCGCCCAGCTTTATTCACCAAACCCACACGATGATCACCAACAGCATGGTACATATATATAATATCAGATTATTGCATGCATTCCTTATTTGAATAAATCATTAATATTTACATGTATTACATAATAGATTTTCTATATGTTTACTTACACGTTTGTTGTAGATCCAAGTCTTGTATCTAGAACTACACCTAACCAATCGGAGGAATTATTTTATTTGTCAACAATCACTGGAAATTTTTTACCTCAGCTGGGTCCGCGGCTAACAGTGAGAAGAAGAGGAGTTGGAGTTCTCCCAACGGTTGCAAACTCTGCAGACGATCTAGACAACCTTGATGATGTAAGGGATTTTGTAGCGTTCAAAAGATTTTTATTTTTATACAATGCAATGGTACATCAGGTTAACAATTGTGTACTAAATATTATACCGCCATAGCTTTTGAGTTACATTGGGCACACAAGTGAAGAAGTGCTTCAAAAAGTTGGGGAACCATTAAATGTTCCGTGGAAACCCCCTTCAGCTATTACTCAGGAAAATGAAGACGATGTTGTTGCAGCCGTTGTAAACCAAAGGAATGCAGAACTAGAATTTCTCATGAAGTTTGACATGGACTTGACGTGCGTTGTTTTTTTAAACAGATTCGTACATATTATACATCTGCACATGCATGAAGACATATGAAATTCAATTTTTGTTATTCCATCCATAGAATGAAGGCTCGTCCGGTTTCATACTCTCAGCCTGAAACAGACTTTAACAGCGAACAAGGAGATTTGCCTTCTTTAACAAGAAGTGTGACAAATATCGGATCTAGCTTTATGTTAAGCCGGAGGTATGCAACCAGTTTCTAGTATTCGAATATTATTATCAGTCAAGAGAACTCGCGAGTTTATTAATATTAAAAAACTGCTTCGGTCTAAACTCCGTATCATGTTACTTGATTTCATCACATGGAGTAAGTTAGCCGAATGAGCCGAATCATTTTATTATTTAACACAAGTTATTTTTATTTTGGCGTAAAAATCATACTAAAATGATTAATTCAAACGCCAAAATAAAAATAAATGTTGTCAAATAATAAAATTATTCGGCTCGTTCGGCTAACTTACTCAAGGCGGGGAACTCAAGTAACTTGAAACGGAGTTTAGAGCGTAAGAGGCGGACAAGAATGAGTATTTCTTTTGACTAACTGTTTCTTTCCAGGTTCTTTAGTCAGTTGGGGCTGATGGGATGGGATAAACGAGACACCATTGACGGTACGAACAGTATACCTGCAATTTATTTTATTTCTTAAATCACACTTATCTATTTATTTAATTTTACCAGTTCTGAACAAAGATGAAAGACTATTGCGTGAACTAAAGCATTTAGACTCTCAGGTTAAATGTTTGGTTTGGTTAATTTCTAGATATTTCAAAGATTACTCATTATTAATATTTCTAATATTTGGATATATGTTTGGGTTTTAGAAATGCAGAGAAACTCACAAAATAGCCGTCATTTATGTCGCAGAAGGGCAAGAAGACAAACAGTCAATATTATCAAATACCGGTGGCAGTGAAGTTTATGAAGATTTTGTGGCCGGTACGATATTTTAAATGTCATAGATCATTAATTATCAACGAATCTAAAAGATGAGTCAAATGATGTGTTTTTAGGACTTGGTTGGGAAATTGATCTTGAGACTCATACTGGATTTATGGGTGGACTTCAAAGAAATAAAAGTACTGGTCTCACTGCACCTTACTTTGCAACCTCATTCACTGAGGTTATTTTCCACGTTGCCACAAGAATGCCTTCTACCACAGAAGACTGTCTACTACAAAAAGTGCTTTGACAAAAATTAATCATTATTTGTGATCAGAGATGATTAATATAATTCCATTCTTAGACGAGACATCTCGGGAATGATGAGATACACATAGGTACGTATTTCAAATGCAGTTAGAAAATATGGAGGAAATCGGTATGATTTCATATTATGAACTCTTGTATAATTAGACTAACGACTAACAACAGCACCGAATAAGCAAAACTTGATTACCGTTGATTAATATTTTATTTACTTTCGCAAAAATTTTCAGACCCATTTAAAACAACTAAGTTTTCAAAAACATTGTACAATTTTAATCATATGACATACAATTTTTTTTGTTCTCATGATTTTTTCTAGAGCTATACGATGAAAATGGGACACGACATTTTGAACATTCAATTTTTAATTCATGCAATTTTTCGTGTCTCAGTTTCGATTGTACGGAGTTAGTAACTACATTACAGATTTTACAAGAATTATCGCAGTCGGGATGAGCATAACTTACATGTCTCGCTAATGTATGGTTATCGTATTCAACTCCACAAATGAGACACTCATGTTTATTGACTTTTACGGTTGTAGAACGTCTTTGGGGGGTTACATTTAATGCGTCAAATGTGGTACAGAATTCAGTTATAGATTGTCTAGTGCATTTTAAATCATGGTCTGGGTACATTGCACTAAAATGCATATTAACTGTATCGAATAGACTATTTAAATTCGCATCGAAATTTATGTTAAAACTGTCGCAGTTAACGTACCTTTTCATTAGTATTTCAAAATCTAAGTGTTCCCAGTACCGTGCATGATAATTGGTCGAAGAATTATTAGCTGCAGTATACAGAGGAAGGTATTTGGCAGGATCGTGTATGTTTTGGTATTGCCATAATTTTGACATAAAGTGGGACAAAGCTTCTACAGCATGACATGAACTATTAATTGGACTATTATGTCTTTCCTGGAACGTAATATCGAACAGTAATATGAACTCTACTTGTGGGTCTGTAGCATATTTGTAGGTGTAGACACCAGGTTTCCCATCAACTGGTATGTAAGTTGGACACACTTTGTAACTTTGATCCATGACGGTTGATACCCTTAATGATACGATGGGTTTTGTCACACACCAGAATTGGCATCTGTATCCTCGTCGTACTTGACACATAGCATTATGTTCGTTGATAATGTCTTCTTTGGTTTTCGTTGGTAAAGTGTAGGGGAGTATTTGTTTGGCTTCCTTTGGGAGATCGGAATTTTTGAGGGGGCGACGAGGAACGTTGGTGAGTTCGTCAAGACCATTGCGACGGTGACTGAGTGATGCCGGACTTGTTACGCTTGACTCGTTCTGCGTTTCGCCATATATTTTCAACCGAGGGGTGACATTAGTCAAATGTGAGTCCTGTCAATAAAACACGACTTCATAAATACGACCACCTCTATTCAAATTTTTAAAAATTACTCCCTCACCTTGAGTTTCATATTCGCCCGAAAGATTGAATGGTTGATGTGACCTCCTCCATTGAATCGGAGTGCGGGTGCGATCACGGCAGAAGTGTCGCCTTTCGCCTTCGCCTCGGCTAATTTTTCTTCCGCCACGTTCAGATTGGTCACATAGGTCGCGTGATGCTTGGCATGATGGAGTTTCATAATGTCGCCGGAAATGGTGGGTTCGAGAGCGCCATAATCGTAGGGGAGGTCAGGCAGAGTATGCTTACTCCTTCGGGTGGTCGAAACAGGTGATGATGATGTCGACAAGGCTCCTCCTCCTCCTCCTCCCCCTCCCCCGGTGAGAAATGTTCTGATGAAGAATTACACATTAAGATCAAATATAATTAATTTTGTTCATTTCATCAATCACAAATTTTTAATAACTTCTTGATTTAAGAATCTGTTTCAAGTTGAAGACGAGATTACTTAATCTTTTCGAGTTAATTTACCTGACTGGAGACGAAATGCACCTCAGCATCTTGTCTTCTTCTTGATAACCTGAGAAGAGAAAATTTTGGCCATTGTCGCCCATGGGATCGCGCTGGCTTTTCTTAGTCGTTTTGGTTGAGGAACTAATAGTTGAGCTGTGTTTATTTTCAATCTCTATGAGACCTACTCTACAATATCTTTCGTGATTGTAATATAAGTCATCCCAACTACACCGTTTTTCTTGGCACCCATTTTTCGAGTTTTTACACTCGTACATTTCAGTCAGAAAAATATATAATTTTTTTCGACTTCTCACCACCACGTATTTGTTACGACTGCTCCGGTAAAAGCCCAGGTTGTTGGCGGGATGTGTGTTCGCTGAAATTGGGGTAATACAATCGAGGGTGGACATAACGTAACATACGAGGAATTTCGTGAGATTACGGGGAGTTAATTAAACCTTTATTTTATTGGTTTATCTAGTTTGGTCTGAACATTCGAGGGACTACAGAAGAGATATTATACCAACAGAATTTTGTGATGTTTTGATAGGTAAATACTACTACTCGGGATAAGAATATATATCTATCTATCTCTCTTTATTTATTCATGATAAAAATTAATTTATTTACAGTTATTTACCCATTAAAATTTGGATTGTTCAGAATTCAAATCTCTAGAAAAGCCGAGGTACGTAATAGTAATTTACTACATATATGTAATGCTCTTTGGTATGAAGATGCACCATAAAAAACCTACAAGAACACTTTTGCTAGGTCCCATATTTCGGCCCTTTATACAATGAAGCTGTAGTTGAACGTGACGTCTTAGCGTTATTGGTTCGCGCGACAGCTATAAATGCTTCTCGTGCAAAGGTAATAATGAATTGATATATGGGCGAGGGTATAAATGGTATAATATCAAAACTAAGGATCTAATATTTTTTCTCGTACAAAGCAATCGTCCCTGGAATTATTTGAGCATCAGTAAGCGTAAATTATATTTAACTTCATAACCATATACAAAGGTAGTATATTTGCCTAATTTATTTAATTTATGTTCAAAGTTTTGAGGTACGAGCAAAGGCTTTAGCGAAAATTATCAAAAACCACAAGTGTCGGTCAACGTTCGAACAATTCGCATCAAGCGTATTTTGCCCAGTTTTGCCACCTCCCACATTTTCATCTGGAGTTTCAAATAGAGCTTCAGGTTAGCCAGTCATAAGTATTATCTCTTGGTAATTAAGGTCACTGTATGATTAGTATTACAATATCATTTGGTTTAATTAACAGTTGCAAGTTTCTCAGCCTCTTCTCGAGTCTCGGGAAATTCAGCTACTACACTAACAGCAAACTCGAGTTCCTCCTCTAACCAGTTATCAACTGCTTTATTAGACTCAACAATTCCTATTTCAAGCAGACGAACGTATGACATTCCATTTACTCCACCGGGTAAGATTAACCTTCAGTTCCAAATGACCCGTATTTCATCACTTTAGAATCACAGATATTGCAGTCATTAGGCCAATGTACGCGGCCGTAAATGACATATCGGGTAGGAATTTATAATGCAATGTAATTGGGAGCTTTAACAGCTTTCCCTTTCAGGAAGGAGACGAATTTTACAAAAAAGGATGCAAAAGTACAAAACATTAGAATCAAAAACGACTTACAAAACAAATTATAAACACCTCTGTTTATTCTAGTCATGTTTTATACATAAAATACTGAACTTTGATAGTATTAATTATCATGTTGTATCTAGAAGGTATATACTTATTGTGTATATGTTGTTTTCTGCTTACATGTTTTGCCTCTGTGTTGCTCTTGGGCCAACTTCGCCAATGCTATCCTTTGAACAAAAATCAATAATGTGGCGCTACGCTTCCGGCTCGTGTTATAGAAATAAGATCTGGGAGATCTAGTGGATTTGGTGGGGAATCGTCTCCATCTTCCATTCCAGAGTCCCCCATCCCACCAATACCTCCTAAAAAGTTATCAATTAGGCTGGGGTCAGCTTTAAGTAAACCTAAACTTCACACCCCGCCTGGCAGTCCGGTGCCTCCGTCAAAACCTCCTGGAACCACAAATTCTTCAGGACGTAATAATTAAAATACGAAATATATTATATCCAGCCAAAGACAATTTTGTATATTAGATTAGTAGCATTTTGTGGTAGACTAAACATGTATTCGTTGATGTATTATTTGACAAGGGACTTTCCAGTTTTTGACGTATGTTTTTTGTCTCAGTTTTAAATTATCATGAAACCGGTGTCGGGTTGTTATACTTTATATTACCGTTTGAGCTGTTAAAAGACTTGTAGTCTTTCATAATGTAAAACATATTTACACAAAGTGAAACAATTGGTTTACTAAGTATGGTACTGGACTTTCGTATTTTTATCAATAAGTAGTGATATGTGATATCATAAAGTACAATGCTATTATATTATTATGCAACATCCTATATAATTGGTGCTTAGTGCTTTTCAAGCATTTCAAAGCTCCGTTGTTTCCAACTTTGTTGGAATTATTTCATTGGCCTGCGCGAAAAAGTTTTGACGGTTTACTCAGATATTTTCAAAACCATCCAGTGGATTGTGCAATATTATGTAAAATGGGTGAGTGTGGTGTGGCTTACAACGCATCTTCCTCCACCACAAAGGTGGAGGAAAGAAGATGCCATTAACAATGGAGCAATATTAGTACCGAAATAATGACAGTGTGGTCGTCATGAGCTATTATACACTACGAAAGTGTTCATGTTTTGTGAAAACTTTAATATGCATAAAACGTGCTTTTTAAAACTATGCAACATTCCATCCAACTATTTATTAAGTAATTGTGTTTTTTATTTGTGTTAAGAGTATTGCCCATGTTTAAAATCATTTAAGTCTGCCTTTCACCTTAAAGTTTACTTTGTACTCTAAACATGTCATTATTTGTTCTAGTTTTGTACCCGTGAAGTATTGTATTGTAACTATAATGCATCTCTGTTTTTAAGTACTGTTCATGTACACATGCACATGATGCAAACGAAAAAGTACACAACGCACAATAATAAATCAAAACTTTGTATCTTTCAAAATCTGAATGAGAAAGAAATCTCAACTAATTTCATATAATTTTACATTCATTCTTAAGAAATATATGACTAAACGTCTGACTTTAGTCTTCATGACTTGAGTATATTACATGACATAATGATTTCCAAGTTTCTGGTAAGAAATTTTTCCAGATTCCATGGTCAAGTTGGACTTGAGTAGTTTGAGCACACACATATAATATTCCAATGCTCTGCCCAATGAAAGAATTAAATAGTTGATGATTATTATTGTTACTACTCCCGAGTAAAAGTTGGGTCAATAATGTTTGCGTCTGGGCCATGTATGGTGTGAAGTATGTGCGGAGAAAGTGCTGTGGGGCTGAGGAGTTGATATGCTACTGTAGCCACACTTTCTCCATAAACTTTTCTCAGTACCATACCACCAACAGTTATGCCGTTCAGCAGCTCTCTCCAGCACCGGTGTAGTTGCTTCTTTGGTTTTGTAGGCCAGGAACGGTCTGCCAAGACTCAGTTGGATTTGACAAGCCAAGAGAAACCAACAGTTCAAAGCGACCAAACTTGCTTTCTCTCCTCTTTGTGGTCAAACTAGCATTTCCTGCTCGTCACAACAAGAAACACTGAATTTCCATTGTACCTTATGAACAAATTCCACATTTCCTACAAAGTGAAAGTTGCTTCCAATTTTATAAATTTACAAATTCTCAGTAACGGATTGGCATGAAATTAAACTGAAAAGTTATGCGTAAATTAGTGTGATTTCATCCAAATTGGATACTCAAGTATAAAGCTGGCAATACCTCAGATATACGGGAGAAAGTTGCTTGTCCTTGGTGTGAACTAAAGGGTGTATATTTTGTGGAGGAAATCAGTGATTAAAATTTGAGACTTACAAAATTTACAGGTAATCTTAAGATTTTATTTTTACGTTTAATAGTAATGATATCATATAAATAGTTCCTCAACCAACCTGGTTAACTACTTACTATGTCTGTCTGTATAGTTTAGTTACAATAATGTAACTTAACTACTTACTATCGTCACATTACAATGTTAACCTCGCAGACACTATAACAATTCTATTTTTGACTGAAACCCAATATCCGTGAAATAATCTTAGAATCAATCTTATTTATTTTCCTGTCGTCTCATGTTACTAATCTCAACGCACTGATACGTATTACTTACATTCTCATGTATGTACAAACTTGTCTTTCATTAACTAATGACACAATACAGATAGTTACCTGTCTGTCATTAACAAATTGGCAATTAATGGAGGTTAACTTACAAGTGGAGTAATTTTCCCCCTAATAAACCAACAGAGGAAATCAGAAATACGATAATAACACAAAAGAAATTACTCCCAATTAGAGGAAAAGAAACACAATGAATATTTGGGTTACGAGACACTTTATACAATGAGGGGCAAATAGTCTTCCTTCTGACCCAACAATTGCATAGCTACCTAACTTCCGAAAATACGCAATACAACTTTCTTTCAGGCACAAATGCTCCATTACCAATTTTCGATTCCAGGTAATCGATTGCATTCCTCAGTGGCTCCTTGCTTGCATCGAGAAGGCGTCCTTCTCGTCGTTCACAAAACAGCGCAGCCTACCTGACTGAGTTAGTTGGTTAGTTGATGGACTGCAGGTACAGAGGTTTATGCGAAAGAAATACAGGACACATTCCCTGTCAAATAATAGCACGCGAAAACGACCGGATTCTGTTTAACTGTCCTGCAAGAACTTTCACTCCAATTTAATATTTAATGCACATACGGTTTAGATAATGGCAAAGGTTGACCAAGTTAGGACATACATATGTATGCATTGCCCAGTTAAATACTTTTGGATATTTTAATTCTAAAAACTGTTCGATTTTTTTTGCTCACATACGTAACATAATTCTTGTTTTAGGGCTTATGTTTTTGTAACAGGCATAACTAATAAAGATGAAGGGTTCATATTCTTATGGCATCTACTTACATTACTCGGAAAAAATAGCAACGACAATTACATCATAACTATTATGTTACTATTTCGACGTTAGAAATTGTGTCAACCGTTTTGAACAAATTTGGTGAAAGCACATATTTACATGCAAGCAAAATACAGACAACTGATCAATATATCAATCGTCAAGTTAAGCATTAGTGACTGACCAGTAAAATTTGTATTGTAGATCCGAGTGTTGTAAAAAATATGTGAACATTATCATTATCGTAGCTGCTGCTCCGTGTGTAAACTATGCCCTTTGAAATTGGGTCAGACTATGTATTTCAATATTTTTCACATTGAGTTTGAATCGATATAATAGGTGGTGACAATGGCTGGCTGCACTTATTTGTATTTTTGAATCCAACACAAACTGCATTCTATATCCAATCAATCTCACTTTTCATTGAAGTGAGGCCACGGTCACAGAAGCAGTTGAATTTTGGTTAAGTTTGCCAATGCCACCCCAGGCAGAGGGTGTTGCAGTACATATGTACAAAAGTATTTAGAGCACCTTACATCTGCAAAGGGTTTAGAATCAACATTTAATCCTTCAGATACGATATTATTATGTATGGCCAGCTTTTCCTACATTTCGCATGGCTCCTTAGCTGCCAGTATCACAGGCTGCATTCGTAGTCCCCCCTCATGTAATTTCCGTTACTCACTATTTTGCAGTTCGATCAAGAAGTCTACTTTTCTGCGAGTCAACCGACACGCGAAACGCCGATTCATTCTACTTTTAATAGCTTTACTAGCACACGCCTCAAGGACCGAGGAGTCATATGAGCAAGGAAAAGTAGTATTATATGTGTAAATATGTGGGCAAAATTATTTTTATAATCTTCACTAGGTACCACACGGTACTGTTTCTACTTCTCTTTCTCGAGACCCAAATTGCATCTGATTTGCTTGCCCCGTCATTCATTCATTTGCTTTACCTTCATTTTTCTTGAAACGGTCGTCGACTTTATAGTCCATGCAAGCAAAACAAAACATCAGAAAACAGCCCGTTGGGGAATATCACAGATTTCCTGCGTGTTGTTCTTAAAAAAGTTATTGATGTCAGAACGAATCGTTACATAGTTTGACCTATTTCTGGAGAAAGCCAAACATCCACTTCCCTCATTCACTCGCGTTTTGGGAGGATCGAGCTAGGTCGTATTTTGATCTTGATGAATTTGTGTCGACTGCAGAAAGTCGAACAGCTCAATTCTAGAAAAGTGCTCGGAAACAAATTGAATTATGCTTTTCGCCAAATTAAAGAGCCCCCTGTTGCATGTTTGTCCCAGTTTCATCAAACTCTTCAAATGGCACTTGCAACATATGTACATATTTGTACTTGTAGTGTGGGCTTATTTGTATCTGTAGTACGTACATATCTGTAATAGAGTAATAAGTATATAAATACACACGCTTTCTCATATATTGTGCACTAGATAGAAAACATGACTTATTCTTGTTGTCATTTTCATACTGGAAAAGGCCAAAGAAATGTTAGAATATTAAAAGCTGTATAATACATTAGCAGTATTTATAATATTATCGTAACCCAATGACCTCAATCTACCAAACTCCGACCACGGCGTTCTTCTGTTTCACTTGAAACGAAACGGTGGAAGAGGAGGATCGCCTTTTAATTGCATCAGGATTCAATCTTTACTGTATTTCCTGTTTCCATTCATTTAAAGCGATTATGCTTATGCTACATTTATGCAGCGAACGAATAATAGTCAACTGTCGACTCGGGTGAAAGTAAATAAATAGGTATGCAGTGTATGCCATGCAATCACAATATTCATGCTTAATAAATTTTGCAGCTCAAATTCGCACCCAAATACACTGGTTTTGTTTTATAATTACGGTTTTCAATACATTTTCCCTTGTAACATTTAATAAATACGTACATACACACCTTTACTTCGTTCAGTTGTTTATGTTAATTTATTTTTTCTGCACGTTTATTTTATCAAATTTTATGGTGCTGGATAACCTGGCCCATTGTGAAAGCCGGTTAAAGGACAAGTTTTAGTGTGATTGGCTTCATGACAGTCTTCCTTTATTTGTCTCACAATGGAGCAGCAATCCTCTCTGAATAGAGAAAGGATAAAAATGCATCCACCTGGTGATGATAGACCAATAAATCAAAACCCACTGACCTGACGCATTAATATTACAACAATCAGACTTGGGATTACCTAGCTTTATGCATTTCTATACAAATTTTAGTCCACTGAACTGAATGCAAGGTTTATCCAACTGAAATATTTATGTATTGTAGAAACTCAGGGAAAACTGTCTGGAAGGGAAGAAATCTAATGACACCCAATGACGTTCGTGAACTAATTGATTATCGTGCCCAAAGAGCAAAAGAAAAAAATGCGGATTTTTTAGAACATGGCAGCAGTCGCAGTTTATCGTTCCGAGTCAACCAGTCCTGCTCCAAAAATAATGTCGTCAGCGGTAGCGGCAGGAACACGTCATTCCAATAAAATGACCACTACTCCCAAGACAGCAAACTCTCCTGGGCTTTCCAATGGCAATAATGACCCTGCAGGTCCGATTCCCAGCCCTGTACGGAGCAACAATTTTGACGGAATCACAGCTCTAATGGTAGCATGTCAACAAGGCCATCCTGACGATGTACAAAAAATTATTAAGAAAAAGGTAATCTTTATCCTAAAGTTTTGGCCTTAAATATTTTTAACATGAGATTTGCAACCTCGGATGAAACATAAAATTAGTTAATCACCCATAAAATAAATGAACATGGCAAAGCTTGTATGGAAGCATTTGTTCCGTAAATGTCACGAAATTTAAGCATTCCATCTCATATAAGTATTTCTCCGTACCGCTAAATATTTATTGCATGCATTTCATATGAGGAAATAATAAAAATAAGCAAACAATAATGTTTTATAGGCATCTGCGGTAAAAGAACGAACCCGAAGTGGAAAAGTGGCTCTACATTTTTGTGCAGAGTCTGGAAACCTTTCTTGCCTGGACCAAATTCTTGCTGCTGACCCTACCCTGAAGAACGCTCAGGACGAAGAAGGTTACACTCCTCTTCACTTGGCAGTAATTAATGGGAACAAGGACGTTGTCCGGAAACTGATTACTTTTGGGGCGGACCTTAATTGCTTGGACTATGAGAACCACTCCCTTGTTCATTGGGCCACAGGTAATTCGTATAAGGAAAAAAATAAAAATTACCCTTTGCACTGCGCAAAGCTTTTTTTAGAGAGATATTTTATTAGACTTTAACAAATTTCGACCAATGCGATCTCTCTACGTCATTGTTGCGACATTTTTATGTGCTCGCTGTCATATAAATTTTCTGTTGTGTATCCAGTTTGTGGGGAGGTGGACATTTTGGACTTGCTGTTATCTAGCGGAGCACCAGCCTCGACGCCGGACATTCATCTGGCCCACCCCATCCACTACTCGGCTCAAATGTGCGGCAGTGTGAATGGGGTGGGCTCCGTATCGCGTGCTGCTAGAGTTCAAAGCACTATTTACGGCGTGAGTCCGAAGAAGGGGCTGCAAATTCTAAAGAGACTGATTCAACACGGATGTCCCATCGACGTTCGCGACCAGGACGGGCGTCAACCTCTCCTTTGGGCCGCCAGTGCAGGTAACAAATTAAATACTGCAGCAAATACATGAAAGCTTGTCGTTTCCGGTTCATGTCAACACACGCCAGTGCTCGAATAAGGCTGTAGAAAAGGTGGTGAGGATAGAAATAAGTTTTGGTAATTATTTCTGGCCCAAATGCTGCTAATGAGTAGAGTGCTAATGCAGGAGGAGTCCACTTTCACCGAAGAAAGTACGAGAAGATGAAACAAGTTCATAAGGCGCAGTATTTCGTGGGTGGGTAAAAAGTTTTCAAATTAGTCCAGTCCTTAAGTGCATCTCTTTTTCCTACGCGATTCAAAGTGCACGGTTGTACTAATTTTAATCTGCAATGATTTTATATTTACATATACTTTCACTCAAGGAATGTATTTTTGCTACTCTGCTCACTGATTGGCTGGATTGGTTTGAACACTTTTTAAAGTCACTCCCAAGAAAGCAAAGCATGCCATCGACGACACAAAAATCTGTCTTGATTTTTATAAGCCCGATGAGGATGAAGCGAGCTAATGAAGGGCTGGTTTATTTAACAGGAAGTGGAGACGCAATATTACTGCTGGTGAATGCTGGAGGAAAAGTGGATGCTGAAGACAAGGACGGTTTAACAAGTTAGTTAAAAAATGCCTCCATCATGTACAGAACTGAAGCCATAACCTGAGTTACATAGATATTAATATTTTAATTAATTCTGAAATCTATACAACGATCAAGCTATACCTTCGTCATTCGTAGAATCCAATCTCATGAATGAATTAGTGTGTACTACCACTGCGAGAAAACAATCCTGTCAGTCATTGATTATCGGGCATCTACTATAGTCTTTGTTCGTGTTAAGAAACTGACAGCCAGACTGAATATCTATGAGGTATAAGTCAGCCGAAGACACCAACATACACATCTGCATGAAGCAATGAAAATGAAAAAAAAATCTTTAGAAAATTAAGCAGTCTCTTGACACATATGTACTTATGTACACCGACCGATACATATGTATATATAGCATAAAACGTATTTCCCTATGGCATTTGCAGAATTTGGGCAAAAATTGTGCACTTGACGTATGTTCTGCTGCTGGTTTCTCCAATTTTTGGGAAAATTTGGTTAAAATCGTATACCTTACACTTCCTGGAGTTTGGTATTATCGATCGTATTGATTTTTAGATTAGTGATTACTGGTTAGCATGAAAGTAAAACTCTTCAAGTTGAAGTCAAGTATGTGCCTTCCTACGTACCAATTCCAAATCGGTCATTGCACAATTCGGTATATTCACGAAAGTTCTCACGAATTTTCGTGCAATTGACCAAGCTGCACTACTGATTTATGCAGTTCTAACCGATATTACGTATTTACTACGTAATACATATTTGCTAGATTAACACGTTTGTTACTTCCTGGAATTTTTAAAAACACACCTCACGGCCTATGACTTCTCAGCTTTCTGAGTAAGATAGTAGGTTTTATATGGATGCGCTTTCTTCTCAATTATGGCAACCAAAGCAAACCGAAGTAGTAACAAAATTCTGTTTCCTCCTTTAACCAGCCATACACTGCGCAGCCAGCCGCGGTCATACCGACTGCTTGGAAACCCTCATTGGGCTTTGTGGCGCAGAAGTTGATGTGATCGACAGTAAGGTTTTTTATAGCACTTATCTGACTTTCATTAGGCCTCACGGTTCATCAAGCAAGAAATATGGCATTGAATTGTTTATCTTTCAGACAATGGATGCACGGCCTTGTTTTATTCCGTCACGCTGGGCCACGCTGACTGCACGGAGCTGTTGCTGAACTATGGGGCAGAGCCAAACCGACAGGACAGGAAAGGTAGGACGCCTGGTCACTGTGGGGCGGCCAAGGGGCAGCTGGAAACACTCAAACTACTCACAAAACATGGTGCTAATCTGTGGCTACGAAACGTTCGTGGCGATCTTCCACTTCATGAGGCTGGTAAGGCGACAAGGCGCAAATACAGTTTTCAGTAGTACTTTTCACACCAAGCCGTCTCGAGCCAGCCAAAAGCTCGCTCAGCTCGGCGCATGAAGAGCACTAGTTTTCAGTACCCTAACTAAGGATAAACTGGATATGCTGATTTTATGTAAAGGGTACTTTGTAATTTGCTCATACATTTTTTTATTACTTGCAGTGCTTTCTCGTAGGAAAGATTTGGTGATGTGGCTCCTCAGTCTGCGCAATGAATCCGTCAATACTCCAAATAACGATGGCAAATGTCCAATTCACTTGGCTGCCATTTCCAATAATGTGGAAATGGTCAAGGTGCGTATCCCAGACTTTTCATTCACTAGCATGAATCATGATGAAAATTCGATCGATTATATATTACTCACGTTCGCCAAGGTGCGTACTGCGTATGATGAACATCATTAAAGAATTACATATATACACAACGTGTCAAGTTACTACACTTTCATCAGAAGCACGCTTTATATATAAGCCAATGATATCTTGTATATAATCAATTCTGGCAACCATCAGAACATCAAACGAAGATTTTCTCAAAAGTACATATTGAGCTAGGTATTTGTCATTCTCAAGTTCAATGTTCCTTCCTGCTGTTTTTGGCAAACATGTTTTCTTACCTCGTGTTGAAACGAGATAACAGCAAGGATAGCGATAAAATGGTCAGGAAATGACAATTTTTTAAGGCAGGCAGTGTGTCCAAAAATAAATTGCCTATGCATGTGATACCTACATATTTACTCATACGTGCATATGCATACATCGTGCACACCAATAATGCCATGTGCCTATAACATAAACACAGGTTTGCACATTTGTTATTTGATGGTTTTCAAATAATGCATAGAATGATCACTGTGTTGCAGATACTAATCGATCATCGTGCCGATGTCAACCTCCTCATGCGAAGCGGAAAAGGGACAGCAATGACGCCGCTGGATGCCGCACTAGTTAGTACAAAGATTTACGAACATTTTATCCCTACCACAATCCCTACTTCACAACGACGTATTACGTATTTCTTTTATGTATCATGCAAAATAAATCTGTCTCTGTTTTCTCCAGTTATGCAATTAATTTAATTTGGTTGTTCCAAATTCCAAACGCATTTTTCCTATTTTATAACCAGACTAGAATGCGATTTTTAAATATATCTAAAAGACATAATGGATTTATCTAATTTGACTTATTTATTAGCCTAATGGTTGTTTTGTGATGGTCTGTTTTAGGTCAAAGGCAACAGTGCTGTCGCCAAGTTCCTTCAACTGCACGGAGGGCTTCCATCCAACTCTCTGAACAACGCTGCATTGCATAGAAGACTAAACAGGTTTGAACTCAAAGTCTTGCCACGAGTCGAAGGATAATCTATTAATAAAAAATACCTGATGTGACAGATCCATCGAAGGCCAAATAAGTCCTGCAAGCAGTCACCTCGGGTCCCATCACCATCCTTCACCAGACGACCATCACCAACGAACATTCGTTTCCCCTGATGTTTTCGACCACTCCATCTCCGCCACCCCATTTCCTCGTAGTAACGAGTTCTCCAAAGCTGGCAGTCACCGGCCACCTTTCGCCACGTCGACGCCAATCATGGACGATGGGGTGCAAACAGACGAAAAGTATCTTCGGGACATTGAAGTCCAAGTTTCTGACTCGTTTGAAGAAAAGGGTGGAAAAAGTGGTGAAAGTTCTACCGGACACAGAATATCTGAACGGAGAAGGCACAGAAAGTCTAGATCACAGGTACATCATGACCGCCCAAATTCGGGGTCTACAAGCAATGCCAGCAGTCCTGACCGATCGAGCAATCAACTAACCTCCAGGACGAGTAGGAAATCATCTAGAAAGTCGTTGAAGGGAAGTGGATCGAAATCAGACTCGCGTTCTCGCACTTCTAATGGCAAGGCTGCTAAGGATAATGAGGAAACAATTAGAAACCAGGAACAGCAGAGTAGTGAAGGAGAAAAAGTTACTCAACAAAGTCCAACCCCTCAAAGAGAACCTCCTCCAATGACACCGCAAGAAAGCAGTGACACCCCTTTAGATCATGACAATACATTGATGAGCGAAAAATTTTCAGAATTGGATAATGGTGGGGTGCATAGCTCGGAGACTGACGCCAGAGAAGAAGAACTGGACCAGCCGAATAATGCTGAGGTTGAGGCTGTAGAATTCACAGCAAAGACATCAGATCTTGACACGGAAAATCAGAGTCGGGAAGATGTTGAGAGAAAATCTAAATCTCCAGAAAGAGTTGACGTCAGTCGTTCTTCTAGATCAAAATCAAAATCTAGAGAGAAATCAGGGTCACCACCCCAAAAACCTCTTCGCAATCGGAGTGCGTCAGCAAAGTCTGCACACGAGGGACAGCCCACCTCGAACCAGAGCTTAGACAACAAGGACAGGTCACGCAGTGCATCTGCAAACTCTGACGCTTCCTCCTCACGACGGCGACAGGCCTCTGCGGTGACTAACGAAGTAGAAGCAGCAGTTCCTCTAGAAAAATCAAGTGCAGTTTCTTGGAATGATAAAGAGCAAGGAAAGAGAGCTCATCTCCGAAATAGATCAAAGTCTGCCACGGATCGGGAAAGAAGATCGAGATCAAAATCAAAGGGGAAAGACGGGAAAGTTAGAGATCGGTCCAAATCAGCGCTTGAAAGGGGAGAAAAGTCAAACTCCAAAAGTGGTGCTGCCAAAGTCGCCAAGCCAAAAGTTTCTATAAAAAAAGACGAAACCATTGAACGAAAGGCGTCACCTCAAACGAAACATGAGAAAATACCTCCCCAACCCAATGTTGACGTTAAGGAAGCAGAAGAGTCCAATAGTAAATCTGAAGCGACGATTTCCAACACCCAACCTGAGACGGAGGAAAATCCCATTTATGACGAAATCGAAGCAGGCAAACGCATAAACTTACAAGAAGCTGCTCGTCGTCGTAGCGAGTCACTAGCCAGCGATCCTTCTAGATCCAGATCTGTCTCCATCCCCCGCCACACCTGCGAGCCCAACATTAAGGGAATAGTTCATGGCTCCTCCAAATACAACCGGGTCACTAAAATTCGGCGGAATGGAAAAGTCACCACAACCTCTGAGGAGCGAGAGATTCAACTTCAGGAGGCATTACTTGCCTCTTCCAACAAGCTCAGACCAAATAAGAAAAAAGCCCCCTCGTCCACTTTAGAAGATAAAGGTAAACGTTCCATCCCCCAGCGTCAAAGCTTAGCCAAATCTCGAGCAGTAGTTCGTAAATCAAGTGAAGAACATGAGCTCCGAAGTAATTCCACTGTAATTGATTCAGGATTCAGTGATCACCGGGGAATGACCTCCGAAGAGCTCAGAACGCGACCTTCTCCACAAGGAAAACCTTCTGTCAGTGTTAAACGACGCGTCGTTACGAGACGTCCCGGCTCTGGGCAAAGCCAGCAAAGAAAGTCCATCTTCAGTTCATCTCCGAAACAATATCGAAATCCAAACTCGAAAAATAGTAGATTTGATACTCTCATTGTGCACCAGATGAGCATTGAGAATGGAGTGTTAGAGGATGAAATGTATTCCACATCAACGAGAGGTTCTGTCACTAGTGAAGATACCCAAGAACAATTTAGTCCCAGGCGAAAGAAGACCAATTACTCGAGGCCAAGATCAAGGCTGACTTTTAGCCGAAATGATAACGTTCGCGATCCTGCCATTAGCCCACGACTTAAAAAAGGAGTTGATGTCGAGACTCCTATTTCAGTTACTCAAGCGATGCAAGCCAGTATGAGAAAGTGAGTCAAAGTCAGAGTCACGATGAGTAGCACCTACTTTTGCCATTATCTAAGTACACGCTTTTAACATTATTGAGTTAATTTTGTAACGCAGGTACAATTTGGAACGAATGATATTCCACGAGCTTCTAGAACTTAAGAGGGTTCAAATGCGAGCTGGGAAAGCAAACGAACAACTACTGGTGAAACGTCTAGCCGAAAACTATAAACGAGCTGGGTTTAGTGTCAACTTTCGAGATTTCGAAGGACCCTTTACGTTCAGAAATTTCGAAAAATATCTTTATGGTAAAAATTTCTAAAAATTAATACTGAAAAATAATTCCACGTAAAAACTCAATCCTAATTGAATCACAGATCAATTGAGATTGTTGCAAAATAACCGGAAAGTCCTTCCACGTTTTGCACGTAACGAGAAATTTAATTAAAAATTATCATTGAAAAATTATCAATTTATCATCATATTTTTTGATAAATTTTTAATTTCGGATTTATGTAGCATCGGACGATGTTGCAAGATTGAGTACTGCGCTAAAGAAAATGAATTCGGCCAAGTTGCCGTATTTGGACGATGCGGAAAGATCAGAGAGCGTGTGCGACAACATCCAATGTTCGCACACGACTCACCGCTGTCATCATGCCGCCCATGCTTACACTGGCGTACCCTGTGTGGCTTATAGTGAGTGAAAGCAAACTTTCTCCTCAAATTATTATTTTTTAATATTTTTAACGCTTAAAAATGTACGTAATTAATTTGTTTACAGTTGGAAATAGAAAACCTACATTTTTACCCCGAGTCAATCCTCTAAAGGCACCCGGCCCCACACAAAAAGACAAAAATGCTACAATGGGAGGGAGTCGATTAGGCGCAGACGCCATGAACTTGAACTCGCCTGTGCAAATCTCCATCTCTCCAAGAACGGACACGCAATCTCCGATTACTCTCGAGGTGCAACAAGGGTCAAATACTCAAGTGTTTACTTTGCCCACAAAAACTCTCGACCCGTCCAAAAATTATTATGTCAGTTTGTCAATAAAACCGAATCCCATCTCGACATCTCCCACCCCTCCCTCCTCAGAAAACTTCTTTCATCGTCCAACTCCAGACGTGGTGGACGACGGTTCAATCTCTGCTCCCCCTCCGCCCGTCTTCGAGGTACAGCCAGATGTAGAAAGAGAGAAACATAATCGGAGTATGTGAATAATTATGGGATGCAATCTTTTTATTTTTGGAATACTTGCCTCATCAAAATCATGTCTATATTAAATTTTATTCTAGAAATAAAAATTAAGTACCTTCCATATTATTATTGTGGACATAATTTAATTTATAAATATACATAAGTTGTCCAGACTGATACATAATTTATTTGAAGCATATCTTTTTAAGACCACTTGGCACTGAGCACACTCGACTCGTCATATTTTGAAATTGTAATTCTGATCTTTAAATCTTTGGGCCATGCCACGCTTGGGTATAATTATTTTTTACATTATCTGGGACGTTCTGTTTCCTGATGGATCAATCAGATCACCACTTATGCACACTTACAAATGTACTTAATTTGATGTCACACAGATATTTGGATCTAATGAATGCATGAAGAAACCTCACTTATCATTTGATTAGACAATTATCCGGCTAGCTTTAACCTGTTATTTGTTATCACACCCTCTTCGTGACATAAGCCGAAGTTTCAGTGATTGCGCAAGATAAACAAATTGTCAAAGTAGGAAAAGTGTGAAAATTATTTAAATTTGTTTGCATTGCCAATAATCTGCAAATGTAAATTTTTCTTCAAGATTTCACTTAGGATTAGATCTCTAGATGACGAGGTCTCCACCTTTGTTGACTCTTTGTTTCAGGCGTCACCATCTTCCATTGTAGGATTGCTGTGGATGGAATGAATCTAAATGTCACGCTGAACCAAATCAGTATCATAACCATGATATGCTGTTCGGTGTCATATAATAATTCGACTCGTAAATCAAAACAGACGACATTTCACTTTGTTAATTTTAAGCTTTAATCATTAAAATTTAAAATCACAATGTTTAAATCCACTAGATTAAATATTTTACTTAACCTAGCGATAACGAACCGTTGAACATTATGAAAGAAACAATGATAATGACACATAATATAAATTAAAATACTTTGTATTTAAAGTCTACAAATTAGTGCGACACATTCACATCGATGCACAACAGAAAGCAACTCATGTAAGGTTTTTTGTAAGTTCTCACACTCATATCATGATAAGATCATTAATTAAGTTATTAAGACTGCATCCAACACTCTCATGACTCATGAGCGTACAACCGAAAATAAAGAACAACGGTTTTGATAATAATAATAATAATAATAAATAGTGGACAGGATGACAGGGTATGTGATGTATACTATATATATTACCATATGATATACGTATATAGTAAAAGTAACATTATATGAAACCGAGGTTGTTGGGTGTGTTCAGGTGGTGGGGCTCCAAACAATTAATCTGACTGATATTTTTATATTCCATTATCCTACCATGCCAAATGAACATCTGCAATTCATTACAGACCCTCCAAATCCATAATAATTTTCGTTCAGGTTAAAGTTTACATGCATAGTACGACGTGATTCGCTTAATTAGTCAGGTTGATTAAAAGTATCCATCAATACAGAAAGATAATGACAATAATAATGCTACAATACAACCAAAATACCGCATATATGTTATATGAGTTAACTTTTGTATTATACACGGGCAACTGACTTAAGATTTCATTAAACCTCTTCTTCTTGTTCCATCAGTCGGCTACACACACTTTTGGTATATAACAATAGTAATAACAATGATAATAATAATGATAATAATATGGATTAAAGGTACTATAGCGAATTGTCAGTCCTAGTGCTACGATAGACTTTAATATTTACATTGTAACTCTTGGCGTAACTAAATACCCTGCTGACTACTTAATCCAACCCACTTAATAAGTTAATTAAATTGCAATTGATCCTATTTATGTTAATTAAAATATTTTAGTAAGTCAGCATCTTTTCTACGCAATTTTCTTCGTTTTCATTTTTACTCAACAAAGTCGCTTTCGTGTTTGTGTAGGTAGGTATGTAGGTATTTAGACAGTAGTTCAAATTGTATAAGTTTTTTTAGAGATGGAAGATACAGCAAGTGATTGAATTTTACTCGTACACATTTCTTCGAACAACGTACGCAAAATAGAGACATAAATTATGACTCAGTTCATTCCTACCAACCGTTATTGTTGAAGGAAGGAGGAATTACACCAGATTAACAAGAGTAGTAGTTTTTTGTCTCCACTCTCAATTTCAAAATGTTCAAAGTGAAACTGCAGTTCTAGTCGACTCTGATTTCGCACGCAGTAGTGGGAGATGAGGTACTAGAAAGAGTTACATTTCAAACTTATTACTTTTGAATGTGCTTTTATATATGTATTATTATTAGCATAGATCATCGTCATCGTCAGTCACTAATTTAATATCCTATTGGCCGTAGTAGGTAGTAAAGGTTAATTTTTGGGGCTCTTAAATAGTCGAGTGAGTGAGCATTCCATTCCTTATAAAATTATAGTTATCTTGACCCAAGAAAGTCATCCAAGTAAGTATCCCCCAGTAATTTCCCAGCCAGCCATCAGATAGATGTATGTATGCGTCACAATTATTATTGAAATAGTTTGTAAGTACTAATTTAACTAAGGACAATTTTGTTCTATGCTTTTAAAGTATACAAGTGCTCCTGAATCAAAAGAATGTTGCAAATCACCCAACACCCGCTTCCGTCACAGACTAAAACCTACTTGCTGGGACGACCAAGAACGTGGGTTATCTAATCCATCCCAACGACGACGACTCTTACGTAAGACCAACCAAGTAGCATAACAAGTAGTGACAAATTCCGATGTAGCGCAACGTGTTTATTACAAAAACATTTCTCAAAATAAGTATGCAACCTTTCCATCCTAAACACATTTGGCCAATTTCCAAGTTGACTGCAAAAGCATATGTAATAGCAGTAACAGTATTTAAAGTAATAAGGAAAAAACATTGATTTTCAACAACTTGAAGCCACCCCAATAATGTTGTGGATTATGGCACTAGAAAACAGAAAAGTCTGCAAGAGGAACAAACAATAATATGTACGAAGTTGCAGATCATACAAGAGTAATATATGTATCAACCTTTCTTTGAATAATAATAATATGTACTTTCAGATTGAAATTTTGCGGTTTTAACAAAATACAGTTTATGTAAATATGGGAATTGCATAGATGATTGTTACTCGGGCAGTTCATATTTTTTCAATTTTGTCATAACTTATAAAAAGCTGTGAGCCGTATGGACACTCTCTTAAGTATCAATAACATTCGTCGTAGAAACACTATCGTCGTCGAGAAGATGTCGTCGTTTTTCGTTCGATCTAATTTCTTCTTTAAAAACTACAAACTGGTAACGCCGCTTGATTTTCATTCCATGTTTTGACAATAATTAATTGTAGATGGAGCAGATCCAAATGGGTTATTTCGACGTCGAATTTGGGAGGTCAGATGTTGAAATGGCATTACCCGAACTATTTAAATTTCCTACATTATTTGCATTTTGATAACTTAATTCTAGGTCTCCCAGCTTCTTCCACAGTTCGTCTCTTTCCTTTTCACGTTTTTTCTCTCTATAAACAAAAATGCAAATGTTATACACATAACAAGTACCCAAATGTAATTACACTGTGAACGACCTACTTTTGACGTTCGGCTTTATATGATGTGGTCAAGCTGTTGAACAGATCAGGATTCATCTGAAAATAGAATTACATCAATAAATGTTATTGACGCTAGACCGCAAATAAGGTGTGCATCCTACAACTAATGGTTATATAGTGTCATTAGTGCTGGGTTATAGCTCAAGTCAAGTGGTCAATTGTGAGTATTCCGGTGACATTTCTGTGTAATAGCTAAAGACTGAGTAATGGGAAATTGATTACACTAACAATTTTGTCGTTCAATTCATTTGGTTCAAGCCAACACAAAATAAGCGTAAATGGCTATCAAGAAAAGATTATGCAATTAACTTTTTATTTTCTAAATTGCACAAGAGGTGTGCAATTATGCAACTAAGCCAGAATTAGAAAGGGAGAAAACAACAAGTTACTGGCTAATATCTACATGATCTATTTTAGAGTACAAAAATATTTAATTGATTTTAATCACTTAAAATTAAAATATTAATTTTTCTGAGAGGTTACGTGTCAGAGATAAGGTTATTAGCATTAAAAAACATAAATTATGGGATGAAACTATCATTCGAACTTGGGAAATAAGTAACACTGAATTTGTGATATTACTTTGTAATACGTGGGTATGTGGGCACTTAAAGAAACTAATTGTCACATTGTCATGTCAAAACGCGTCCTTTGACACCCCCAATATTTCTCCTTGCAGTACATACCTCCATGAAGGTTTTCAGTACATTGTATACTAATGAGACTATCGTTTGATTCCAGTGCTCCTTCGAAATTCGATATAATGCAGCGAACATTATTGGCATGATGACCCTGAGAATGAAAAAATACAAGCACATGAGGTGAAACAGTTCTTCTATGTATTTCATTTTAATTGTTCTCCTTACCCATTATTTTCTTCTATAAGCGACATTATGTATTCATTATTCTGAAACGTTCAAAAAAGTTAAATTAATGACTAATGTTTTTTGTTTTCAAATAATAATGTATATTACTTACCCAGAAATATAATGCACGCTCAGCCACCTAGTATAGCAAATACATGAGTATTTAAATTGAATGACGTACAATTAAAGAAAAATCTATTATGGCTCAGTTCAACTGGATTACCTGGAAATGAGGACTTGAAACGCACCGGGCGATTTGGCGAAACAAGTGCTCTTGAATTTTTACAAACTGCGTGGGTTCTATTACATCTAGTATTTCCTCAATTTCGCCAAGAAACATAACCTGAAATGATCAACATATTTTTCATACATAACTTTTCAAATCAGTATACAGTCGCTGTTTCTCATGATTGAAAATTGGTCATTCTGGTTTTAAAAGGGTGAAATCAAGGACAAGACGAGTAAAATTTAAAGGAAATATAGTTCCAACAATTATGGCAACATTAAAAAAATGTCTACAAAAATTACAACTCTAACAAATTGACCTTATCTGATAGAACAATGTCAAAATGTAAAATCTTAATTGTACAAGAAATCTGTAGATTGTAGAACCATCTACTGTCGAATGACCTGCCAAGATCTTTGAATGTATAACAAATGAGTTTTACAATTTTTAAATTGAAAGCAACAAAAATTAGAAGAAATGAGGAATTTCTATACTATTAAACATTAAGCTATATAACTCCTTAGTTAATATAGAATAGTTGTTTTTAAGTGTGTGGTATATTGACATTTGTCGCCACTGGTACATCACTGTTGTTGTACGTGTGCAATGTATGCGATAAATTGGGAAAGACACAGTAATAAAGATACACATAAAATAAAATTGACTAAATTTCATCATGAATTAAAACCGCGTGTATAAAATTAGCTCGAGTCATAAAACTTTCAGTTTTCCTCAAATTTACCTCCTTTTGAGAACAAGTTTTCGGCCAAAACTTTAAAAGACCCAAGACCACAGGTTCGGTAAGACCTGCAAAAATTAGACAGCTCAGCTTTAAGCACAAATCAACAGCACATACATAAATCTGAATTTTGGAAATATCTCAATTCAGTTATGAAGTGATTCTTGCATTGAGTATATCATACTTACTTGCATCCTTTTCCAGAAACTGTACCACGCAATAGGCTGAATGAAAGAATACCACAAATTAATTAGAACAGATGCTCACTACTTTCTCGAATTTTATATTTGGCAATGTCAATATTGCTTGGATTATTAATTTGTAATGTACTTCAACAAATCATTAAGTGATATTCATAAGGCAATTTAATGTACTTACCCAGCTGAGCGTGGTAAAGTGCTAAACACCGAACCTATGCAAAGTGAAAGATGTCATTAAACTTCAAATTATTTTCGCGAACGATTTTAAAAGTGGATCAAGTGTTGTGTGAAATCCTCACTCAAATAAATAGCATGCTAATAATTATTCTGAAATAAATAAACGTAACATTTGAACGAGGAGGTAGGCAGCAATTTTTCTTGGAGTTTTGTAGATCGGCCAATAGTTGAAGTACATAACACAAGTTCCAAAATGAAATTGCATGTCCATTTATCATTGAATTGAATAACAATAAAAGTAGCAAGCTATTCATGTGCAGGCCATTTATTTAACCAGAGGAGACACACGCGCACGTGAACAGCAGAGAAAAAGAACGAAAGAGACAACATAAATAGATATGATTACACTTTCCCAATTTGTACAGCCACTACTCTCGTAACAAAGGAATATAGCAGCAGCGGTTTACTAATGATAAAAATGGACATGGAAGAAAAACAAACAAATTCTGAAAATGGCAAAAAATTCCGAATGACTAAACAAATTAGTCAGAAAGCTAGTTTTGAACCACACACAAAGGACAATTACTGTGCAGGCAGAAAGTCAATGCATATAAACATGTAGATACATACACAAAAGGTAGAATATAAAATTTCTAGTATTTAGATACACATATATCATTATGCAATATATTATCGAGTTTTTGAATTCTTATTATTAGTCCCTTTGAAAAGTAAGTCAGGCCACATGCAAATCGAGTAGGTACAAATACAGGGAAAGTATGTCCAGAAAAATAATAATTTCAAGGAGAAAGGAGAAGAGAAAGCAAAGTGAAAGTATAATAAATATTGAATTCGCGAGGCACACACAACCTACGATTTCGGACTCTTACCATCCTCACCTTGTGAAGTGGTATGAGAACCTTGACAAGAAATTGTTTGTGTTCCATTTTCAAAGGTAATGCAAAGCCATTAATGATGCTCCCCAATATCTCCAACAGTTCACCCACTCCGTTGAAATGTTCCGTCTCGTAGATGAATCGAAGGAAGATGTTATTGATTTGTTTCCTTATGAATGCACGCAGTCCAAGAAACTTTCCATATATTCGATGTAACACTGTTTTCAGGAAATCTCGCTCCCTTGGATCTTCACTATCGAACAGTTCTAACAGCTGCAAATACAATAAAAATGCGTCGTACAAGGAAATCGTCTTTTCAGAGAGCTCGCAACTTCACAGTCAAACTCAAGAATGAATTGACGTTACATAAATCGATACAAATTCGTATTGGGAATTAGACAAATAATAGTTAAACTTTCGGCTTAAATTCACTTTAATCACAACAAATATTTATCAATATTTATCTTACAAATCTAAATTTTGTACTTGATACCATCGTAAAAGAACAAAGATGACAGACTAGCAATACATGAGATATATAGAGATCGGGCTTCTTACCTGTAACACAAACTTTTGGTCGATGACTTTTTTCCCAATACTAGGTTGAAAATCTGGAGATTCCAGGAAACGCAAAAAGAATTCGTACACCAACTGCAAATATTTGTTATACAGTAAAAGTCTAGTAACAAATAAATAGTCCAAGAGCAACAGCAACAGCAACAATAATTGAATCAGGAGGCTTTCATAATTTGAAAATGTCGCAAGAGCTAAAATATTCACCAACAACTTACCTGTAAATGGGGCCAAGAAGCTTCGAACTGAAAAAATAAATGAGCTTACTTAGCAGAGTATTGGATAATCACTTCATAGTGTATTTATATATATGCTTTGAATTATTTTTTGATGAAGTGACAAATTTTTCCAAGTTACACTTACTGTTGGGTCGTCTTCTTCAGGATCAAAGTCGGGGGATTGGAGACTAAAACAAGGCAGGAAAAGAATAAGATTAAATACTCCCAAATAAGCAGTAATCCCAATGTGAATATAAATAAATTGACTTACGGCGGTAATGCTCGGAATAGGTTGCGAGCAATCTAAAATACAGTGGAAACAATGCATAAAACGCTATCACAATTAAGTTCATATTGTATTGCTTTTATTTAGGTTCTCGGTATGTTTAAAGATGAATAACAAATCATTAACAACTTCGATGCTAGTTGTATTTCCATTTCAGATTTGTATTATGCACTGTGCATATTTACAAACTATTTATATCCTACAGCTAAGCGCATCTGAAAGTACAAGAAACACTCGGGCACTAAACTGCTGTAAATCCGATGTCAAAATGTCCATGAAGTACATAATTTCGGTGAAATAGGGATTTTCTATTTGATTTGTGAAAGCTGCTTTCACTTATGCAAAGCACGGAGGAGTCCTGAGTCCTGGGTTATTCTAATAGTCATAATGCTGGTTGTGCAAAAGCAAAGCACTACAAATTTGGTGGCAAAACATGGATACCGTTGGATGATTTATAACTTATGGTGTATTGCATCGTTGTTTTCATCAATTAAATGGAACTATCAACCAATAAAACGGCCAAGCGATCAAGTAAACAGAAGAAAGATGTCTGGATTTTGGGTTCTCAATGTATGTTTATCCCTGTGGCTGTAGATGTTTCTAGTAGTGTATAGTCCTCTCTTTATACTCGTGAGTATATATTTATCTGGTGACTTTGGGTGGTGATATGCTGTCACATTCATCCTTTCCTACTACTTTCACCCGAAGAAGCATTTGGTTCACGACGAATATCCGCCAGCAGAGACTTTCCTTGACTACTCGTCGGTCGTAAAACGAGGTTTTCTTTCTCTACTTTCCGACCCTTGACCCTACTTCACTGAAGTGAGCGTTGTTTCATCTGGAGACCAACTTTCTCCTACTTTTCCTCCTTTCTCCACGAGTCTTCTTTTCTATTGAGCTGGATGTTTAAGGAATCTGTCCATCAATAAACCTAGTTCTCAGAATTTATCGTCCAGTATTCAGTACGGTTATCCAGCAAACACCTCATTCAAACCCAATCTATCCCATTCATACATATCTGTATCGCGATTAGTGGTGGCAAGAACTTTCACTAAGAACTGCGGGCATTGTTGTTATGAATTAATGAGCATGAATTGATGTGTCACACAATGCGCACGTTTTCGTCCTCCAATGGGAAATTGCATACCAGTTCAGGCATTGGCTGAAATTATATTTTTCATTCTTGTGATTTATGATTGCTAATGAAGAAACATTTGAATTACAGGTCATACGTCAAACTATGAAGACTTTTTTTTAAGTCTCTGAGGTACAGTAAAAACATTGAATTGTATTCTTGACGTGACGATATATCTTGTATGTGAACCCATAAAAGAGAGGGCACCCTGCCATTATAGTTCCACCCGTGTCAGCCCTAAGTTTCCACTTATGTAAGTCCACTTCTTCCAATGACAAAAAGCAAGTCTGTGTAGAGTAAGCAACTTCTACTCAAAACATACGCTCAAGAAACCAGGGCATGTAGCTATACATACTATTATACACGTACATGTACGTAGATATACCAGATATTAATCCATCAGCACCACAGCCAAGCCACCAACCAAATGCGTGAGGACTTAGGCCGATCCAAAACTTGTTCCTTAACCTACGATTACGACTTAAAAGCTTTCACCTCCTAGTCCCCTCCCCATCACTTTTACTCCCATTAGCTTTCACTGATTTCTGCGTCATTGGATGCACGATCTGCCACTGGTCGGTTCATGGTTTTCAACAATACACCTTTTGTTGTACGACCACATTAATAACTATGAAAGAAAACCAGTACATATAGGACGATGGAATGAACCTACACAATACTGTTCAACAATGACGTACACCAATTCCACGGACAACTTTTTCTAAACATTTCCATTGTTTATTATATTACTTCCTCGCATGAGTCAAACGTCAAGTTGAGATATTTTTACTTTTAAGAAACTTTTAAGAGAGCAAGGAATTAGATGATCATGTTTATCTGAATCGCGATTCTAAATTGCAATATTTATTGCAGTGTCCACACATTTGTACCCTGCATTCGTCTGACGTTTAGCCATGGATAAAAAGAAATTCGCGTCTTTCTTTTAGATGTATGTATTAGCAAAGGCTAAACTTCAAAAGAATGAAAGAGTGCATCTACGGTTTCATCGAAAGTAGTCGACTAATGCAATGCGATGAGGGGCATGCTTTCCTTAATTTCATCAAGAATGCATAATCTGATATTGTAATTGCTTTTTTTTAGGCAAAGTGCTTACCATTTGAATGATTTCTGGATACACGGGCTCTGTGAGGACACCCCGATTGGCTGTGATGTAGTCAACCAGCTCGTTCAATGCCCCCCTCTTTATTTCTTTGCCCTTCAAGTCCGCAACGGGGTCGAGGAAGTCAAATGCTATACAACATTGGCGTAGTTTTCTGACAAATAAGTCTTCATGCTCCGCAGGTGGTACATCTAGAAATATTTATTTAAAAAATCAATTACTTTTAAATTACAAAATTTTTAAATGCATGTCATAAGATGTTAGCTCCAACAATTTCGTTCCATTTATCCGTTTATATTTTATAGTTTTTAAAGCAGATTTACACCATTTGATTCTTATAAATAAATGTCACACAGTTTCTACCTAAAAACATGATTGTTTAGTTCCTCGTTTTCGATTTTCCAGATGGCGATTTTTTTCTAAATGTTACAAACGGTAACGAACGATAGGTATTGCAAGTCACCGTAACACCTCTAAAATGCGTGCTCCATTTCAGGTGCTTATGTAGAACTTGTCTGTGAGTTCACACGTTGGTTTTATGCGTCATTACAATGTATGAAATTGATTTCAGAGTCTATTTATATATACTATATTGTTTTATGAACCCATTTAAGCGTGCAACAACATTGGCAGGGAAGATCCCTTCGTCATAAACATCACCTCCTCTGAGTTGAAAGCGAAAGCTTTGGCAGATTGCGAAACGATTTATGAAGCACGATGAAGGTCCAATCTTCGACTTTCACCAATTCGAGTTATGCCCTTGCAGTCATAAAAAAATCACTGCCCATCTCTCTCTCTCTTTCGCAGACAATAGAAACTCTCACCAGTCAGCAGTTGCGCTGCCAAACATGATAAACTGACGGCAATAAGAGAGTAGAGTTGAGTAAGGAAGACATAGACATAGACACGGACGTAAATGACGTGAAAATGAATATCAGCGTTTTTTTTAATTTCTACACCATCTTGTCTAAAAACCTTTCTCTGGCAACAAAGTTCCAACTCACTTCCTAATAGGCGAGAAATGAACCAATATCGTCAATGCTACTGTATGCACAATATGCACAATAATAAAAGTCAAGTCAAGTGGAAATTTATCTAATTCAGTTCGGCCTCACCCAGAAAATAATTTTCTCCCATCACTACGGCCCTGGACTAAACATATTCCTTGTTCCTGATACTTCTGTAATGTTTTTTATGTCAAACTACGGTGCAAAGAATTTGAGACGAGGGGAAAAACTGTCCAGCAGATTCGTTTCAGGTCTGAAATTTGAACTGGAGAAAGAGAACATTGATTTTTATCCAGAGAAAGTAAAGTGAGCAAGATCTTCCAGATTCAATTTTTGAGGCTTTAGTTCGTTCCCACTCAATAACTTGCTTTCTAAGCACTAAGCGAGTTGGACCCTTCATCTATTTTCTAACGTAGCTAAATAAATAGCTTTCAAATAATACAAATAATTGAAATAATACAAACACGTCGCATTACATGTATGCCTGTAGATCATGTCATATCATTCAAAGCCCATAATATTTTCTGCTCAACTCATTCCCTCCAAACAAATGCATAATATAAATATAAATAATTTACCATATATTTAAGAACCACTAGTTCTGTGTACAAAACGAAGCACGAAGTATGAAATGTTCTTGGGATATGCCAGGATTCGGACTCATTCGTCATTTAAATGTATTGTACGAGTAGGCTAGCTGATCAATTTACTGTGGGAAAGGACGAGAAAGAGAGAGAAATAAGCCAGCCAAACACTAATGTAACTAGAGACCCAAAAAGAGACGATGAGACACGTAACGAAGAAGAAGACCTCCACTTCCTCTAACGAACCAACTTCACAGCAAACAAACTGGGGAAATCTTTCTCTCGCTCTATCGAGATCGAGGTAACTTTGTGTTTTGCTTCTACAAGGCAAGGAGCTTTCACTTCCCACTAATCAATGTACTACTCTTATGAGTAGGTCGTCAGTTGGGTGGTGTTTACTTTACACAACCAGCGTGTAGCTGGAAATAATTATAGCCAATCTACTACATATATAGCAAAATGTGCACTGGCCCCGCATATGCATACCCTTGCTACGAGACAACCACCTTCAGCTCCCATTATCCCATTTTCAATGCCAGACACTTACGATCTTGAATGTGAGCTGGAACGTGTTTATACATACAATCTGCAAAATCGGGTCTTGTTGAAACTTTTCCCCTGCAGCCAATAATACGTACATACATTAGGAGTCTATGGAGCATAACTAAAGACTGCACTACTAAACATGACCCGCATCATACACTTTGTATATACTTTTTGGTAAAATATTTGCATTTTAATGAAATTATGTGGTTAGCGGTGGAGACAGGTAAAGGTAATTTCATCCATGCAAGATTGCATGGATGAAAGGATGAGTGCTGTCGCTTCTCTTTAAACGTGCCTTGACTTTCTTGATGCAGGATTGATTCGCTCGTTTCACTACCCTCACTACCCGCTTTGTCAGTTTTATATCACAACGAGGTGTGGCTGGAGTGTGGTTGGATGTTGTAGGCCAAAGAAGAAAAACGTGGACGAAACGAAATGTTCACCCGTAGCTTATCATCATCGTACCGTCTTGTTCTTGTCTCAACTCTTCAACTCAATTTTCTCCCACACAAATTCCACTTTTATATTACGCTTTAGCGAGACAACCAACCCGACTGCCCGAAATAACAGGAAAATGTCACGGCTCTGCGCTTCATCATGGTAAAGAAGATGACACGATTCGCATTTTCCTGCTTAACTTCATCATCATTCCATAAGTTCATATTTTCGTCGCATCACATAGTAGAATTATATTCCTTCCGCCATGTTAGGTACACGTACTTGTGTTCACTCTTTTTTTCTCAAGTTTCGTATCACTCCAGTCTCATCACTTGCAAAGTCCATTTAAAACGGTGCAATTACAGTAATTGAACTGGTAGAATGCCACCAATTTTTTTGGTAAATGAATTCGTGTCTCTATCTTCCTTTCTATTTCTTGTCTAGTATACGCAGTAGCATATAAGTAGAATTTCGTGGTTTCTAACATGAAACTACGTATACTAAAACCACACATAGTTCATAAGGAATTTCCTATGATATAGCTTAGCTTACGACAAACTCCTACATACACATATATGTTTCAGTGATAGTAAAATAAATTGGGGTTTCACTGTACTACCAAATATGGTGGCTTTATTGGTTGGCTGGTGGTTACGGACAAGAGACATCGAATTGTTGTTAGAGTTTCAATTATACATTCGGACACGGTTCGATACAAAATTGACGTGAGAGCGAAGACCGCACCCGTTTCAACAAACCAGACCGCCCGTCGTCATCATACGAGATGCAGCATCATAATATTCATCGCATTCTGTAGGCTGTTCTGACTGTCATTGAGGACATTGTCATCTCTGATACATAAATCCAGTTACATGTTGCATCTTACAACAATAACAAAAGAATTATTGGTATTTGCACACTTTGTGTTTTCCAGGTGCAATGCACCATTAGTACACATTTAGCTCTGCATATTCAAATCTAAATCCTATATATTCACAAATATTTATGTACTGAGAAGGCATTTATACTTTGGTCAACGGTTACTGTCAAGGCAAACGAACCACATTTGCAATCCATCATCCAAATAGAAATAAGTAAGTACATATGTACATCAGTAGATCAAAGTGGGTCAATTTACACCAATTTGCCAAGAATTTACACCATTATCAGCTCCGTCTCGCCTGGTTGACCTTTTATCTCATCCAGCTCTTGGATTTTAAATAATAAAAATGTTATTTGTAATACACATTATGTATATCAGTCCATATAAAATACCAAAGTTTAAATTTTAGTGTAAAATCATAACCAAAGCCGCAATACGTTATACCTTCAGCGTGTCACATCACTTAAGACTAAATATAAAATAATCAATACTTATTGAAATTTGAAAATGACAATATCGATCTGGGGGAATAGTCAGCAATTTAAAATAATCAATGAAAACCTCACAGGAATCGCACGACATGACAAAAGAAAAGATTATTTTAAACTGATCTTTGCAAGCTTTCTTACACATTATGGTGCCGTTGTCAAAACAGCTTCGTCCCTCACACGTGTCCAACTTTCTCTCCAAACCATGAATATACCCGTAACTTTCACATTTGACAATTCCAATATATCGATTGGTCATGCACTAGTCCACCAAAAGGAAAGGAAAGGTCACATCATGCAATAATTGCATTCATTTAGGATATTTTGCTCCAACTTTCTGTTACCCGCTACTACATATTCACTACGCCTCACATTATCGGTATATGTATGCTTTACGCAAATCACATAATTTACCTAATTTTGTTTTTTAACACGGAGATTGGATAAATAGCGTCGCTCGACATTGATATCGTGTCGTGCCATTCCACTCATCATTTCAAGTACGGCACGGGTCAAAAGCATCATCATAGCTAACATCTAGAAGGGTAGTAGGATTGATGTTGCATGTCACAAAATACATAATACATCTACATTTAGCATTGAAGTAAGGAAAGGAGGTTATATCTTTAAGACAGCTACGACAGACCACCACCGATGAGCTCAGATCATCATCAGTAAGTGAATGAAATGAGACGAGAAGGCATGAACTAAAATTCCCCGTGCGATCTCAATAGCGTTTTCAGATCAGATATTTGCCAAGTCGTACAAGGACACGCGAGCCAGTGAATTTTTTTACTAGAGAAATGGAATTCGCATGTACCAACTTCATCTTTCGCACAGACTAAGGTGCAGGCGGATACTCGCATTTTATTTAATACTATCGTGCCGTGCAGTGAGTTCCGATCGACAAGAAGTATTTTCGCTGGCGAATTTTCCTCAAATGCTAGGTAAATTTACAATAGTTTGCAAACCACGATACAAGACTGCCAACCGTACACAAATACACAATCATGCAATAAACCAATATTATTTGTAATCCATGTCATATGATTAATTTTTGCGAAAACCTGAGAAAGTAAAGTCAGAGGATCAATCAAAAAATTCATTTGAAAGAACAGTCAAATGGGGAACCACATTTTCAATCCAATTCGACCTTGCTTTTCAATGTGGTCGTGACTTCCAACTTGCTTCATGCGGCATAAAGGGAAGGAAAGTGCAAAACCTCATTTCACAACCTACAAGTTTTGAGCTTTTGCCGATCTTCATCCAACGCGAACGCGACATTGATGTGACAGACAGTCACCAGAGACCTGCCTCGAAATGAGAAACTTGGAATGCAAAAGGAACAAAACAGCACTGCATTAAAATTAAGAGGAACTGGGATGAAATATGAAATGAGCCCTCCGAGTCAACCAAATGACCTCATTTCATTCTGCACTTTGCATTTGTATCATGATCGAATAGATTGAGCTTGTTGAAATCAAATTTGACATGTAGGATCTGCCTGGATATATGTGCAAATCTCCAGCCCTTCTCTGCTGGTATCATGTTATGACAAAGTCAAGTTGATTAATCAGAAACAAAGAGTCGTCAGTCGTGCGGACTACAGAACACAGAAATCCTAGGGTGAAAGTTAAAATCACAAAATGGGCGGTATGCTATCTCGTATCTGGCTAGATTCCACTTTCATCTTGAGCAAAACAACGTTAATAATCCATCCTCTGTCTCTGCCTGCAACATATCAGAAATGCTCACCCACTACTGCATTTAATGTAATAACAGATACGTATGACAACGATGGGGTCCCAAAATTCAACAGCAAATGGTTATAGGTGTTGCAATCATCTTGTCCTGAACATTCTAACATTGCTTGCATAGTAGAGTACGTGCAGCGAAAAACACAAATAGTTACATCAGGTTATCTCCGTTATCTGCCTCGGTTTCTTATAATTTTTCCTAACCTTTACAATGCAATGGGAACGAGGAGAGAAGAAAGGATTTATTTCTTATTTGCCTCTCTCTCACTCGCTCATGGTCAATAAACGAGACCCAGTGTTGCCTCCTCAGTTAGGTATCCGGCACTTGAAGTAAACTTTAAAAAATGTGTTAGGACTTTTACATTTTCGCGAAACATATTAGGATATTGGTGGTATTTAAGCAAGTTAACCTGTTTAAATTATAAAAGTATTGAACATTTGACAACTTCTTCAGTTCAACTTATCCAATTTTGTAACGTTTCCCTATTTCCCAGTAGCGATTCAAACTGGGGAACAAGTAGAACTGGCTGGACCAGCATTCAACCATTTAAGTACAGCACAACTTAAAAGTGAAAGTTGAGCGAGGTGTAAAAGGGTTTGAGGAGTGTTGGGCGGAGGGGATTCGAGCTGGTGGCTCAGTCGAGTGGACGGGGAAAACCACCAAATTCTCTCTCTTCCGAAACAAGGCTAAAGTTATTTGCTCCACGAAGCCCAGATAGGAGAAGAAGCGTAGCATAATCACGCACGACTTTCTCTGACCTTGACAAAAACCAGTAGTAGTGAGGGGCGAGGGAGTGAAAGTGGTCCACCTTGGAGGGATCAGCATTGGACAACAGTCAAAATTGTATGACATAAACGCATTAGGTCACGCTTATTACATAATTAATACAGTAAAGTTCAACCAGAATCGGATATCGGGTTTGAAAGGGAAAATCCAAGGGAGCAATTGTACCACAAATAGAGAAATAAAATGGACACAGATTCATACTTGTAAAAAAGAATTGTGAACTTTTTGGACATTGTTAGAAAGCTTAGATTATATCGACAAAGGAAAGCCGAGATTAGGTAAAAGGCAACAAATGCAGTCTTTTGGTTTCCTTTGTGAAAATCTGAATGCATGCATGTATGTAAATACTTGCATATTTTATACACAAACACTGGAGCGAGGATAGTTCATACATTCTAATGGGGATTATTGCTGAGGTAGTTATAAGTTGGAGAGTCACAAGAGTCCTCACGTTATGTGCTTTCTCTTTATTTGCATTGCTGCTGGGTTGACAAACTTGCCAAAATGTTCACGAAACGTGGGGCGAGGGCCAATAAGATGAGATTTTGGTACCACGTCGGCAGTGAATGAATGAATCTCGCTATTTCCATCACATAACAGCCCGAATCGGAGAATGACGTCATTGCCCAGCTTTCTGAATCCGATTAGGTTAGGTGATACGTACGTAAGTTTTGTCTCTCATGCCAGAACAGTTTCCCATCCACTCCTCTCGTTCACAAACTCTTCCATCCACACCAACTTCTACTTCAAATAAGTTACGTATACATATTACATTACCTACACGTTTGTATGTAGAAAATCAGCCGAAACCGTTCACACTCACAAATGGGAACCTCTCAGATACTAACCTCCAAAAATATCGTCTCAATTTTGATGTGATTAAGGTCCTGCGGTTCAATAAGCACTTTTCCCTGACTTTCACTTTTCTTAAAAGTTCTTTCCACCTTTTTTCACTCATTGCCTAAAGTCATAGCTAAAGGTCATCTCTGCCTTCACGCTTTTAAAACACTATTAGATTATGATTATGACCAGAAATAGATCTTATCGCCACCGTGACCGGCACTGTGATTCAATAATAATCTGCAACGACGATGACAAAATGTTGTTATAAACATAGAAAAGAACGGCGGTCGTACCTTTGAAGGATGGAAGAGGTACGAGGTCGGCTTCATTAGTTTGATGATATCGTGATGACCCTTGGGACTTTTTCTGCTTCTTCTTCAGCGACCTTTTGGCAAAGGGGTCGATCCGGTCGACAAATGTGTTGGTGGTGGTCGCAGCCATGGTGGGAGTGATGTTGGGGTTATCCGTGTCACCTCTGCTTTGGATTCGAGGTCTCCGGTTGTCTTGATAGAGTTCTTCCGTCAACTCCTTCCCAACTTCGTCCGCATCACCATCTTTACTCAAAAAAACAATAATCCAGTTAAGCATATTGATAAGATGTGGCCAAATATACAGACAAAAACCCCCAAGCCAAATCAACAGCTTGGTGCTACCCTCATAATATTAGTAACCTTTTACACCCGAATGATGCCCCATGTAATTTAAAGTAACATTTGAAGAGCAAGCAAAATTGATAAGCCGTTAATAAAATAGTCGATAAGCACTCGATGAGAGACGTCGTTTGCTTGCTCTGCATCATATTTGTCATCATAGTGAATACTACCGTTTCCTCCTTAATTCATATATCGATATACAGTCAGTCAATACCGCACAAAACAATCCTCTCAGGACACAGAAGCAGCACGCAAAGAGGGTACGTCACCAACAAATGTAAGTTTATAGTAGTAATTGAAAATCAATATTATTATTGGTTCTGGAGCTGCCTTCTTGTCGTTCTTGTCACATTTGGTTGTACACACGTTTAACGTTTACTTTGCGATGGAGAGATTATGGACACAATTCTACTTGTCCGGTCAAATCAAATTTGTAAGTTTGTAGATTAGAATGATGGTCATATAAATGTCTAGCTTAATTTAACCATTGTGTTGACTTGTGGGTGTAGAATGATTCAGACTAGATTTGATAGTGAACACGCATATGTTCATAACCATACGAGTACAAACAAGCTGATAATGCAGAAGCAGAGGTTAATTATACTGCAGCGTCTTTGTGCTTTAGTATTAAGTTCTAAGGCCTAACTTCTGCATGTAGATACAGGTTTTAAGCTGCTTAATGTATTTCGGAAATGACATAACCCGACGGTTCACACTGTTTAGTTTAGAAAACTTGTTGTTAAAAAATCTCCCGATTGTTATTTTTTACATTCATTACGCCATGTTCAAACACGCCTTTTGACACCTTCAATAACCACACTACTAAAATCAAAATATGAGAATAATGAACAATATTGGCAACTTAGTTAGTTGGTTGAAGCGGATTTGGATTTGACAGCGCAATCCGCGTTCGGAAGTTACCATACATAGATGACACATGTCCTTTATACACGCGGTTCTCATTATGAAATGGAACCTGTGAAGAACTATATATGGATAAACATTTATGTTTCAATTATGATTCGGTCAACGGTCACGTGTGAATTAGCTAATGGGGGTGGAAGTGAGACGATCATTTATTATTACAAAGCTTAATGTTCTTCTGACAAGAGCTTATTCACATGTTTATTTCTATAAAAAAAAACTTTCTTTTTAGCCATTAATGTGCTACCGCCGCTGGACTGGCTGTCTCATTAATGAGTGTCTAGCCATCAAAAGTACATATGTAAATACTTTACAAACTTCAGCATTTGTCAAATTAAACAAACTCTCAAAAGAATGTGTACAGAAGAGCAAGAAGAAAACAGGAGTACGTATTTTACTACAATTGTTATGTGTAGTATTGCGTAGCACAGTACAGATATATGTTTTTTAGGATCGTTTGACCAAGACAGGATGTCGATCATCCGTTGATGCTAATAATAATGCAAAGTTATGTGAAACCAGGAGTAATGTGAAAACAGTATGGTCGTCGTCGTCAGTGATAGAATTCATAATAGCTTTGTTATTTTTATTTACATATGTTTATCGCTTATCACAATCTCAATTTGCTCATTATTACTCGCCTCATTGTTTCATATAATTACAAAATAAGCCCTATCGCCCAGTCAGGTTGAGCTATTAAAGGAAAAACTGTAAGAAGACTACCACAGAGTAACCAATCAATGTTCACATCTCATTCATTCATTCATTTGCTGTATTATATTTGAAGTAAAATGGAACTATAGTAAGTCATACGTTTAGTCGTAGTACTTGTATGCATAATATATTGAATGTTTAAATACATCCTGGCACTATTATATTGTCGCATATTTTTAGCGAGTTTATGCGAAGAGATTACTAAGCTCATTATTCATGCAGAATTCATAATAGTGTGTTACTAACAATTAATTAGAAGATAACTAAAAGCGTTTCTATTATAGTCACAGTAGTATAAAAGCGGTGCTGTGTGTGTTTCCTTGCACGAAGGCAGAGGAGAGAATAGAACGGAAATACAGACACATTTTAATTGATGTCATAAATTAAACGAGTTAGCTTGGAATTATTACTACCTGACAATTTTATGCTGACAATCTAAGTATGTACTTTGTTTATTTTAAACGTCAAGTTCAAGAAGTGCGATTAGATCCCAATGCAGTCAGCCACTCTCAACGTTCTTTTATAGATCATTTCAAATTAGTACTAATAAACCGGAAGATCCGTTAAACTAAATTGTACTCGGCATAATTATTAACACACTTCGTCCCTCTAATCGTCTTGTATGACTTTATGTGCTGTAGTATGAACGGCGTATGTGTTGACCATCACGTCCATCACCACATTTCAAATAATTTTAATATGGAGTTTAAACCACACACTTGAGTATACGTATGTAGTGAAAATTTGAATATGATGTGCTAATTTCAGCCCACACAGTTTAAAGCCATGTGAGGTGTGACTTTCTTATCTTTCATTGTCAATCTGATGTGCGTGCGTGCTATGTGCGAAAGAACAGGAATGAAATTAAACCCACATCAAACAAGTTGCTCGTTTCACGCCTATATCACGCACCTGATAATTAACTGAGGATGACGATAAATTAAATTAGTGTGTGTGGGAGGGTTGTGTTTAAAGACAGAAATACTTGATTGGTTTGTTAAACCAATTTATATAGGCTGCTAATGACCTGAAATGTTTAAACCGTATGGCACACAATAATGAGTGTACTTTGACCCGATATTACAAAAGTAAAGCCGTCTCTTTCGTTCTCATGAATAGATATGTTATGTGCTTCTTAAACTAAACAGCACACTGAAAATGCAAATCAATTCTGTTAATAATATTTAAGCATTTACTGCGAATGGCGAATTTGAGAATGGACCACAACTGGTTAAAGCAGCTTTGAGTAAGAAAAGTCAGATGAGATGAGAGAAAGAGATGACGACAACAGGACGGCTGGCCCATGTATTGAAAGGAGCTGATAAAAACTATGCGAATGCGATATCCTGCATAATACAGCTGCTGTTTGCAAAGCTTGCAATTTCTCGAATCTTCAATAATAACGTGATTATTATTCGTGCACACCACCACTTCAGCGTATAACCGAATAAAGATAGACATGATGGTAATGTGTGTGTTGTATGGATGGGTGTGTATGTCACAGCCTAGTGAAAAAACAGACGTCGAATTCATTATATTACAAGTTTGTTGCAATGCAGACATCATTTGTGATGATGATAGCTTGATCTTTACACAATAAATGAACAGAACCAGACTAATATTTAGTACCATAGTAGTTCATGCCCAATAACTGTCAGACCGTCGTCAACTGTAACACTTGACTTGAATCAAAATCAAATCAAATTGATATGACATTCTTTTTTACGAATACAACGCAGAATTGCTACATAATGTTTTAACGCAGCGCGATCTCATCTTGTCATGGACTTATAATTTAGACTTGCATATGCATTCCTAGAGTAGAATTTCTTCAAACAGATACTAATCCAAATAATTGATGTCGCCTTTCACCACTAATCCTAAATCATTAGATGGCAACTTTCTTTCCGGTTCAGACATCTCAGTAATTTATCACTATCATATTTAGCAGGTGAAACCATCTAGTTATCAGAACCACTTTTTCTAAACCTATTTTTTAATTCTAAATCTTTAAGGTCATATTCAAAATTATAAACGATAATTATGAAAAGCGTTAATGTCACCCCTAATTATATAATTAAAGCGGAGATTTATATTTTATAAAAATGTTAGGTAGGTTATTAATAATGCAAGCTTGAATGATCGGAAATCACAAAAATGGGACCAAACGGAAAACAGTGGGTGGCGACAGTGACAGTAATTAAATAAAAATAATGCAAACGTAAATTAATACAATAATGTAATGTAAATTAATAAAAGCACGAAATAAAACAAAACAAAAATGTAACCAACCATCAATACTGCCGGACTTCATCGTGGCGTCAGTTACTTGAAAATCAATTGGAACACCGGGTAAAACTTTTACGATCAAATAAACAACAACGGTAGGTTGATGTGAAATGCAAATCAACACAGTATAATTAAGATAATGCAGTAAAAAAGAAAATCTCTTGCAAACAAAATAATTAGATTATTAAATCATAAAAAACAATAAAAACTACACATCCGAAAACAATCATTGATAGCTCTTCACTTACAAAAGTAGGAAATCCGTCAAATTACAGTTAATGTTGCTTCGTTGTCACTTTTTTATGGTTTCGAACTAACCAAAACACTTTCACTCTTTCGAATCAATGTAACTTATTATATGAAGCACTTGGAGAATTATATAATTTATGGAACACAAAACCACCGGCACAAGTGATGATAATAAATGAATTTCTTAACATCACCACATCACAGTTGGTGATAAATCAGAAGGTAACAACAATTCGGTCTATCGTCCTCGGTCCTCGCCATATAGCTTAACTGCATTAATTGTGATGTGAGGTTGGAAGAACAAAGTAACTTCGGAGTGGAGATTGCAACTGCTGCTGGGGTCACGCAGGGTCCACTACAAAGAATAAACATGCAATAGTTTAAACTTCAAATTAACACCAACTACTCCGATTGTTTTGTTTTAGTTTAAAGTAAAATTTGCCAGAGTCTGCCATCCAAAACTAAAACCTAGCTAGACATGAACAATTACAAATTACTAGATACATATTTGATTTGAACTATAAATTTGAGAAGAAAGTGAATGAATAACTGATATATTAAATGCTAAATTAGCATTGCTAATATTCAATAATCAATACTTTTGTTACACTTGCTGGGTTGGCATATTAATGTCTGAGTTCTAATTTTGTAATAAGAGAAGGTATTGTCATTCCTATTAAAATTTTGTTTAAATAAACAAAAAATAAATGTTTGTGTTCAAATTCTAATCTCATCTCAAATTAGTTGCGTCTGTTCAACTTACAGTTGTCGTTTAACTATCGACTACTAGATTGTGAATTATCACTGACAATTCTTGTCGACCGGCCCATATTTCATTCTAAAACTGTACCTCTTTACAAATATATGTACGTCTGACCACTCCTCTGTCTCTCTCACCTCCTTCTTTCTTTCCAAATTGACGACAAACAAATATTAACGCCACATCCGCAAAAACTGGGACTGACACGACGACGTCACCCACATCACTTCATTAAAGACTTTTTCTTGATCCGATGCATCCGATCCGCAGTACTGGCTGACACTTATTGATAGTTCACATTCTTTCTTTATTCGCAAACTTCCTTTCCCCAAGACCGAGTCAATTATCGTCCCGTGTCAGAATAGTGTTCACGATTGAACTTTCTCTCCGTTATTTATTTTTTAACAAAACCGAAGATGAGAGTAAGTACGAGAATTCTTTTGGTCATCCTTCTCGAAATGGTTTCTGTCTCTTGGGTATGAATATTATATCACTTTTAGTTCTTTTAGTTTGGTGGTGGATGATATTATTAACATTGCTCTCTTCCTTCAATGGTTGTTGGTTGGTTGGTTTGGTGGATGGAGCAATTTCGGATTGGCAAAGAAATGAATTAAATTTCTTTCGTTCGTCGTCGTCGTCGTAGCATCATCCGTCTACAAGTTTCCCCCGCCGCCCTCCAGGTGTCGGCTCAACCTCAACCTACACCTTTCTTTGTTCACCAATGCTCATTATATGCTAGGAGATTTTCATGTATTTCGTGTAACAATTCATGTATTTATTGCGTAATAGGTACCACACAAAGTTAATATATATTTTCTTTGGCGTAATAATAATTTAAACGGTACAAGGATCACAGTCGGGAGTTGTATACGTATCACCAAGCTGCAACTGGCTGCATAATCATAAATTGTGTATGCATAATAATTAAATTCGAAAATTTGAACTGAAAGTCATGAAAATATCATAAAACTAGCACCCTGCTAGGACGAATTTGATTCCTCTTGGTCCTCTTGATTATTGGTTGCGAATTGGAGAAAAACGTTATCTAACGTTGTCTGACTAAAATTATATTCTTCAATGTCGTATTCTCCTTTTACTATAAAAGAATTACTTTTTAGAATTAGATAAAATCAAGTAAAGTAACTCTGTATAATAAAAAATTACGTGTTTCAAGTAGTGAAAAGGTTTGTGCTATTGAAGAGATGGTGGCCTTTGGAATGGAGTAAACGGCTCGGTTCTCAAAAAATATTTGGGTTTGTGTAGCTCCTGGAAAATGAGTATCTACAAATGCAAACCTTTCCTTGGCGTGTGCAAGTTTTTCTTCGTGGGTTGTAGGCTCGGTTGAATATGAAGTATATTCAATCTTTAACTTAATTTCCAAGTTATAGCCAGCACCGAACTTGCTCTTTAGGTGTTGTGGTGACCCTATACAAACTATTGATCCTTTGTTCATGATCCCAATCCGGGTACATAATGCATCTGCTTCCTCCATTGAATGCGTTGTCAAAATCGCACCGCGGTTGTCTATAATTTATTATTAAGTACTTACAATGCGATGACGCCAGTGGTCTCGGTCCGATTTTGATGAAACATCGATAATTATGTAGGCTTAGATAAATAATTGAACACATGTTTCGGGATTTTTCATAATGCTCAGTTTAAACAAAGTTATGATGGTATAAGTGGCCGAAAATTCGCACTTTTCTCCCTCAAAAACAAAAAAAAATAAAACTTCACGAGAAAAATGCGAATTTTCGGCCACTTAAACTATCATAACATTGTTTAAACTGAGCATTATGAAAAATCCCGAAACATGTGTTCAATTATTTATCTAAGCCTACATAATTATCGATGTTTCATCAAAATCGGAGCGAGACCGCTGGCGTCATCGCATTGTTAATAAAAATGGTTTAATGACATTTTCTCAATAATATGTACCCTTAAATGTTCCGATTATTGTGTTCCAGAGAAATCGTTTCGACATAATATCCATCCCTGTAGAGGGCTCATCTGAATTTCCATTTTATTAATTAATTAAGTTATCACTAGCAATATTTTGTTGAGTGCTGTAAGGAGTTTTATGTACCTAACAAAACGATGCGTGGGGAACCCAGTATACTCATGCAATAACTTAATTTTCTTTTCGTTCCGCCACTCAAAGTATTGGATTTTTTCTCTGAATGTTCCTCAATTTGCAACCCCTTGATAAAATGCTTGACCAAACTGGAAAACATGCAGAGATTATTACATTACTATTAATCTTAACTATGACTCAACTTGAATATTTGTTAAGCATTTGGTACTTTGTACCCACTTGTTGCGAATATTGGGTTTGACGCCACGCACAATTGCATATAATTCAATATGTTCCCGTAGTGTTATGTTATCCCACAACGCATCATGTTGAGGACAGTATCCGAGAGATTGAAAAGCTTCTGATAAATTTGATTCGATATCATAATCACAGAGCCGAATCTGTAATTCAAATCAGTCTCACTTATTGCTCGTCACATTAGAAAAATATTTTGACTGCAAATTGGTTATGTACTCTTCCTGAATCTGCATCTTCTTCGGCAATTATGAGTTTAATTGTTGTTGTTTTTCCAGCACCTAAATTAAGAAGAATAATACATTCCAAATATTAACCTGCGTTATTTGGTAATTGATTGTTACTTAAATTTGTATTTGTATTAGTTTAATTCAAACCCGCCCTAATCTGACAACTTACCATTATGACCTAGTAGTCCAAAAACCTCTCCCTCTTCAACCATGAGATCGATTCCATGAAGAACTTTTCTATTTATGTACTTTGACTTAGATTTCTCCTTTTTGTCTCTTTTGAGTCGGTATACTTTGTGAATGTCCTTAAATAAAAAACAAGCAATCCAAATGTACATGTGATACAACTATTTCAACCATATTTTACGCCTGTATCTATCTTAGTAACTGGACTTACTTGCACTGCTACTACACATTTTGAGTTATGACTCGGAGGTTGTGAGAAATAGTCGTCAACTCGACTCTTCTCATTTTGTACATCCTCATCATTGTCACTGATATTTTGAAGAACGGATGGATCAGAAGAATCACAAATTTTTGATCCACTACTGCTTATCCAGGGTACCCGAACGTTCTATAAATCAGTAGATTATTTATATGAAAAAAAACATACATATATATATTTTAAACATTTCGAATACCAGAAATTTGAAGACTCCTGACATTCTCCCACCATTCTTGACAACATCCGCAACCAGCAGCCAGAAGGAATATATTGGAATTTGTACCAACATTGCAACAGCCATGACGGTGAATTCATGACCAGTATAATCCTTAAACGAGAGGCTATCGCAAGTATTTGCAAAAGTACACTTGAAATATTGTTTTTGTGTAAAATAAAAAATCCCAAATGGAATGTAGAAAATATCCAAGAATGAAAAAATGACATGCATTAACATGGCCGAATCTGGAGCCAAGTTGTCGATCAAAATCATCTATGCAAATCAATTAATAATAATAATTTAAGGTATAGTACGACATAAAAAGTAAGGCATCAAATAAATATAGGAACAAACCGCAATTCCAACAATCATTCCCATCCAACTGCATAGCTGAGAAAATACTGATTGTGCAGTTTCCATCCGATCAAAAACGTACGAAAAAGCTGCGCTGAACAGTAAACAGGGGAATATAAACAGGATCAACAACCCCAGCGTAACTATAACAGAAGAATCAAAAAATCGTTTTAGAATATGAGGTATATATACACACAAGATGCATGCATGCACATACGTATTTGGTACAAAATGAGCCAAAAGTGCAAGTCTTTTTCGCATCGATTTCACCAAATTGCACATAAAAAATTACAAATTCAGTTTTGGGTGGGGGGATTAATATAGCATAGCTGTTTTTGAATTATATTCAACCACACCCCCTTCAAAAATTGGGGAAGAAAATTGGGAAAAATGAGAAGGTCAATGTACACTCGGTACAGAAAGAAGTAGATACCAACTTGCATTTGACATTTGACTTCCCTCATGAATATGAACATTTTGATGCATCAAGACTTTCAAAATTCGAAAATTGGCGGTTTTTCGACCTACATATAAATCGTTAAAAAAGTGACCTTAGCGGTCATTTCGCGGCTGACAACCTGATGCCAGATTTTTCTTCGTCAGAAGTGCCACATTTTCCGCTTTTGTTGTCCGCTGCGAAATGACCGCTACCATGACTTTTTTGGGGTCAAAGTTTCTGAGGGAGGGGCTTATACGGCAGGAGCCGTAACAATGTATAGGTATTTATGATATACATAAAGGTAATTACATAGAAGCTATTAAAACAGCCTCAAATCGCCCCAAATTTAAAACTTAAGCTTTTCTGAATTTATAATGATGATATGCATTCGAAAATTAACGCTATGAGGCTTATCAACGAAGTTATCAATTTTTCAGATAAGCAAATTTAGTTTATCCAAATCGCCCCAAACTTAAAACTTAAGCTTTTCTGAATTTATAATGATGATATGCATTCGAAAATTAACGCTATCGGGCTTATCACTGCGCTTATCAGTTTTTAAGATAAGCAAATTTAGTTTGTCCAAATCTCCCCAAATTTAAAACTTAAGCTTATCTGAATATATAATGGTAGTATCCACTCGAAAATAAACGCTATCGGGCTTATCACTGCGCTTATCAGTTTTTAAGATAAGCAAATTCAGTTTGTCCAATTCGCCCCAAATTTAAAACTTAAGCTTATCTGAATATATAATGGTAGTATCCACTCGAAAATAAACGCTATCGGGCTTATCACTGCGCTTATCAGTTTTTAAGATAAGCAAATTCAGTTTGTCCAATTCGCCCCAAATTTAAAACTTAAGCTCAACGATTTATCAACTGAACCAACTCGTGTAAGAGATGAAAAGCATCTCAACACGAGTTGGTTCATAATCCCGGTAAACAATTTGAAGAGAGTGAGAAGTGAGACGGACCACCATACGGCACTGGCAACGACAGTCAGCCGTGGTGGTGGATACCCACCAGAATCCGAGTCTCACTCTGCCTTTCGCTAAATAATGGAAACTGCGTTTGTGAAACGGTTGGGCTGGTTCAGCTCATTTATATTTATATGGGATGCTTGATTATTTATTTTTTAAAAATTGACGACATAATAACGTACTTGTTATTGCATAAGGATTTGTGAATGCTGTTAGATTGAAGGCCAAAATCACGACAATCTCCATCAGGGTGATAAGCAAAGAAAGCATCCCATATACGAAGAACATGGATGTGAAGTACATTGAAAACGAAACTCCATTCACTCGTAGATGATTGCGCGTGTGTTTCTGAAATAAAAAGCATCATGATGCAGATATTTCCAGTTAATTTCATGTTTCAAATCCTAAAATAAAATCAATATCGCAATTAATACGATCACGCTCACCTCACGATCATTCACAATTTCCATTACCATTCCAACCTAATAACAAGCACATACGTTTTAATTTTTCAATTTTTTCAACTTCTTAATAAAATAATAACAAATATTAAATAACTTTCTCACGGCAGAAAAAGTAAATGCTGGTCCAATAAGGAACGCAGCATAGACTGTGCTGGCGTCAAAGCTAATTGGATTTTTGGTAGGGAATGGCTGGTTGGCTGTCCTGATCTTGGCAGACGTGGAACTAATAATGTAAATAAGCAATATTTTCGCACATTTCTTTTAAAAACATCATTTCAACTTATCTAAAAAAAATATGAATGATTACTTGAAAAAATATTGATTGATTGCATTTAGTGCAATTCCAGGGACATGTTGAAATGTGCCATTCTGTCGTATGCTTGCCACCTTAAACTGAGGATCAGTCATTACAGCCGTCAGGGTTCCAATGTCACCATTAAGATGAAGTAAATCAGTGAAATTCCCAGTGTACGGAAACACATTTATTCCAAATTGCTGTATGAACGAACCAAAGGAGGAATCGTTATGGGCGGATGATGACACGGCTAGATTCATTTCAGCTTTAGGATAAACGCTGAAATCTTGGATTACAAAATTCGAACAATTATTATGAAACCATTGAATATTTCATTGGAACGAGAACTTGTAATATTTATATACCATTTTCAAAAGAGAAAATGAACGTTTCATCTACTTGGTTGATGCTCTGAGATTTTACGATAATGAATCCAATAATTACCAATAGCACAGGCATAACGACCATGAAAAATAGCGAAGCTGGATTTCTAATCAAACGACGAAGCCGTAAAGCACACATCACTTTAAATATTGAGGCAGTGTTGGTATCAAAGTCGCCAATATTGGGAATTAAATTGTCGCCTTGATTCTCTGTCGTCAGACTTGAATTTATGGCATCGTTGACATCAGAGCCTTGCTGGGACGAGCTACTCATTCTTCGATGTGGCATGATTTCTGTAGCAGTTTTCTTTGGGTCAGAAATTTCCATATCATTCGATATCTTCAAAAATACCTGCAAATGAATACGTAAAATAGTTGGGTCATTTAAGCAAGCTTTTATCAATTTCATGTATCAAATAAATTTAATAATTTGCACACCATACACGTACCTCTGACAATGTGGTCATTGAAACGCCATAGCTAATAATAGTCGACAATTCTGCTCCAATAGATTTTTCGAAATCTCCAAACATTTCTGGAAACTTGGACACTTGTGAATGAGGCAACGTGTATTTGATCTCATTAGCAATGATTTTGCGAGATTGAATTGCCTCAGGAATCCAATTTGTAATTATGTTATCGCTTTCTAAGCTATTAATTAGCTTTGTTTCATCAAGTTCAACACTATTTCATCAAAAAGAAAGACGACAAAACATTAAGGTTAAATTTGTAGTTGTGGATGCAGTTAATTAGGTACGTTTCTTACGTTAATTGATATCCCACACCGAATCGGCTTTTAAGAAACAGGGAGGAACCAACACACTTCAAAATTCCATTATGGATGATAGCTTTTGAATCGGCTAGGACGTCAGCCTCGTCCATAAAATGCGTCGTGAGTAAAATAACCTAAAATTAAGGCACATCAAAATAATTTACGTTAGGAGTTTCAACCAGTATTTATAATTCGAACTGACAATCGTTAAACTTTTTTCGTACCCGACCCTGCTTCTTTTTCTGTAATAACGACCACAATTGTCTTCTAGAGACAGGATCAACGCCGGCACTGGGTTCATGTAAATTCATGTAGGTTCAAAATCTCTCTTTCTATATACCTATTATACATATTAATATTTCTATACCTTGGTTCATCTAGCAGAATTATCTGTCGAAAACAAACAAATCGTAAATTATCCATTCATGTCCTTGGAAGCACGAAATATTAATTTTAGTATGTTTGACTTACTTTTGGTGACCCAATCAAGGCGATCGCAACCTATTTATTACACATATATATACTGCCAATAATGCCAATAATGAGTAAATTTATTTAATGAAGCACATGTGCGTACTGATAACTTACCGATAACTTGCGTTTTTGCCCACCACTCAGTTTTGCAGCTCGAACTGTGCGTTGCTGCGTTAGTTCCAGCTCTTGTAAAAGTTCGTCAATCTCGGCCTCAAGTTCCAGTTTCGGAACACCCTGAAATTAATTAAAGAAGAGTTACATTTTCAAACAAATTTTATAAAGTATTTGCATTGCTTGGCAAGCAAGACAATTTTACCCGAAGTTCTCCGTAAAATACTAAATGTTCAGTCACGGTCATTGAAGAAAAATGCAAATCTTGCTGCATACAGACCCCGGTCATTTTGCGTAGTCTCATCATGTCGTGTGGTTTCCTACACATTATTTTATTGGTTTAAAGAATTTAATATTTAATAGCATAAGCAACACGATCATAGATATGCATGTTGATTTACGCTATATCAAGTCCAAACACCACGCAACGGCCACTCGTGGGCATAACCAACCCAGTCATAATGTTAATCAAAGTTGATTTCCCAGCACCATTTCTGAAAGAAAATTATACAACAATTCAACGCTGTGGTTAACAACTCGAGATACGAATATAAAAATGCTAACCTGCCAATCAAGGCCGTGATTTGATTTTCATAAATATCTAGCGAAATCTCTTTCACTGCTTCTGTTGTTTCGTTGCTGAACCACGATGTATATGTCTTACACAGTTTCCTAATTCTGAATGATTCTTTTCCAATCATGGAAGGATGCACTTTCTCCACGTCATCGGAAATATTTTCTTCTAATCCTTCCAGCTCGTCAATATATTGTGTATTCTGCAATACATGGGAATTATTTTACTTGTTTTGACAAAGAGTAGCCTCATACGTATTTACACGTATTACGTGCTACATAATATATAAATAGCATTTAATAATAAACAGCATTTAACTCACTGCCTCAGCCCTGGTCGACCCAATCCAATAAGATGGCAGCAAAAAGTAAAACGGATTCTTCTTGACCCCATACTCATCTGTTTGATATAAATTACCACAAGTGTTAATGCGTAACAAATAACCATGTAAGGATGTGAGAAACTTACTTGGGATTACATTATCCAGGTAAACAGCAATGAAGCCATAAAAGAAAGTATCAAAGACTAAGAAGATTAAGGAGTACAAAATTCCCGATCCTTTCTCTCCAGGTAGGAGGTCTTTTAGTGCAATTCCTCCACTATACTCATAGGCACATGCCTATTTAAATATATAAAAAGAAATGGTATAAATTGTCAATTAGATAAGATCAACAAACATAAATAATTCGATAAGTCATAAATCTTAACCGTATCTAAAGCTGTAGTAAATGCCACAGAGCTGATTAAACGCAATGGCATGATAATTGGGTTGGATGGATCCAATAAAAATGTTTGCAGCATAAATAGCATCCCAGTAAACTGCATCACAAGAGTTCCAACTGCACCCGCCGTCTGCAATTATCCAATTATTTTTTTCAGTGTGGAGCAACAATTATATTATTATATATCGATATCAAAGTATAAATTACATTTTGTAGCTATGAAATAATTAAATAGTACCTTCGGTTTGTGGAAAAATGGAGTCAATGCAAACGCAAAAGTAATGATTGAGAATCCGAAAAACATGAATAGGAGAAATATTATCACTGGGTTGATGTTTTTGAGCACACTCATAAAATGCATGACTACAGTGAACATCCCAGCAAAGATAATAGTCATACCACCATAAATTGCAAACCACGAACACCTAGGACCATCATAACCACATAATTGATACATAATTATTACGCCACATGTTAACGTAAAAAATTAAGGTTCGGTTTTGATCGATACATATAGATAAATCGATCCGGTGTTTTTTCACAGTACCTCAAAAAATTATTAATTCATTATATTTTCTAACCAGTATGCCACATCTGAAATCCCAATCATTTTGAGACCGTCTTTGATTTTGTTCTCCTTCTCAGTAACGACCAAGATTAGTAAAGTATTGATAAGCTGAGCAAGTGGTATGATGCAGTATAACGGGATTATCACCCTTAAAAATGTTGGCATTCCTATTAGGTAGAGAAAGAGAGATAAGGCTATGTAAATATGCACTTCAAAATTTTCAGGTTTATCAATATTGTTGCTTGTATTAATACCTGCTGAATATTCCTTTTTTGGGTAATTTTCGACTGTTACATTAATGACTTTGTACGTTTCATAGCTTCCTTCAGCTTTCTAAGAAAATAATTGGAAATACATAACAAACATTAAGAAAATATGCATACTGTTAAAACTGTGGAAAATAAGGTTACCATAATTAATGAGTTGTCGACCAAATGCTGGATAGCTAAAAAGTTTGAGTAGTAATAACCGTTCACTGGGCACGAAGTTGTTGATTCAAGCTCTTTACTCAGAGCAGACAAGCCCCGGCAGGTTTCCAAACCTACCTTTTTAATGGATAGCAAAGGAAGTAATTTTGTGTCTGGATCAATTCGAATAGTATACGAAAAAGGGTCGGACTCTGAGAGCACCACGGCGATATATATTTCAGAAGAGGTCCAAAACACGTTCATTAATTCATCAGAACTATTCAAGTATTTGAAAGACATGACATCAGTTGCAGGAATATCCGGATGACTATTATTCCAAACAATGCTCATCAATTTCTCCAATTCTATGGCACGAGCTTGGGAAGAGTGGACGATATGAATTAAATGAGGCTGTGGTACTTGCTGGGAGGCAATTTGGTTTCGTAAACTGTCGAGTACATTTTGTGGGGTTTCTAATTCATTCGCCACTTCTGGGTACACTGTGTGTTTATTTAACTTCACCAAAAAGCTCAAAAACATGAGGTAGAATACAGGAAGTAGTAGTTCCTGCAGAAAATAGTAATACATACATGAATAATTGCAAGCTTACACTATTCTATTACTATTCTACCCTTCTATTCTACCCTTCTGGACCAATCTTTTTTTCGCATTTTTTGCACGTTTCAGAACATTCTAAGACTTTTATTTTTTCACTAAAAAAACTCAGAAAAATTTTCGAAATATTTTTTCGTCGAAATTCTACCCTCCGTATTGGGGTATAGTTCTTTTTTAGCGAGCGAAGCGAGCAGGTTAGGTTAGGTTAAATTTGCGTGCCCGTGTGTCCTAGAAATTTGCGTACCGTGTGTCCTAGAAATTTGCAGAAAGTCTTAGAATGTTCTGAAATGTGCAAAAATGCAATAAAAAAAGTGGTCTAGGAGGATAGAATCGTTAAGGATTCTACCCTTCTGGACCACAAAAAAGGTGGTCCAGAAGGATAGACCTCAACCCTTATTTTCAAGATAATTGCTTTTTTAAGCTAATGGTGGAACCTACTCCGATAAGCTTTTTTAATTCGGTTCGCCTCTTAGTTGTCCAATTCTTCCGAGTAAGAATTTTCGTCTGGGTAAAAATATTCACATTTCTCCCATGGTCAAACTGGCCAGAGTCGTTCAGTCCTTCACGAGAACCTTCCATCATCATGCTCGATCGACAACCGGGACCCCCTTCTTTTTAGATTTTTTTAATTAAAAATAGAAGTTGAAGTACAAACTAGCACGCCATGATTTGCTTCTACCGTCTCCTTGCTGTGAATCACAGAAAACATGCTTACAATGATACAAGTATAAAGCCATTGCAATTTGCACTATTGAATATAATTACCATCTGAATCTTTTCAGTTGCTAATCGCGTCGCGCTGGTAGGCCAGCTAAATTGTATTACGCAAATCCCACTCACAATCTTGGGTACAGAATCATAAATTATCAATATGCACTTCCTATTAATAATGATAACAAGTACTAAAAGATTAACAAATATAACAGCAAACAGAGCAAAAACGACTAATCGATATGTGTTTGTTGTTGAAATTTGAACCCGTTTGCCGCAGCAGATGCGAGTGTGTCTATCGGGAAAATTGATCCTGAGGGAACATGACAATTATTGAACTCGAATTATTAGGATAACCCCAAAATGCTCAACTTAACTGATGGCAAGAAATATTTGGGTGCGTCGGGATAAATGTAACTTCATTCAAATTATTATTACATGTACTTTATTTGATGGCATGGTATAAATAAAACGCCTAGTATTAAACTTTTGTAACAAAAGTAATATCCTGCGATGTACATGTGTACAATCCATCCATCTGTGCATTTTATCATATGAATAAATAATAACAATGTAGACACGCAATCAATTATTCTAATACGGCTCCAGCACGAAGAGTAATTTTCAACATGTGGAATACTATCGATCAGAACAAATTGGTACTGCGCTTGCATGACATATGAACATGCCCAGTACACAATTTTCTGACGATGACAACTTGTTATGGACAAGTAGATTAGCTGCATGACTTTTGCGGATAGCAGCGTCACCATGAATGTCAGTGCAGATCAATCTGCTTGTTTATTTTCTGCACTGTCATGTCATGAAAATGAAATGACACGTCTCGTTTTCTTTTTTTGCACAAAAAAATGCAATAATGCCCAGTCAGGTTTGGCAATCCGGGTATATAAAGGACGGGTAAAAGGTGCAACAGTTTTATTTTACCAGTTCATATGAATGAACGCTTCTGTAAATAATAATAATCGATTGTGGGTACATATATAGACTCACAGCATTACATGAGACATAGTATTTACTACACGAGGATTAGTGACCTTGGTGGTGAGAGCATTTGTAAGTTGAAGTTCTGACGGTTCTGACAACTCGTCAGCGTTAGCGTGTCTCTCTACTTATTGACCATCGACAAAAAAAACTAAAAAAAAAACTTCAATTCTTCCAGATGTGCGTGGAACGGGACGAGGTTTTCACACTCAGAGTTATTTTGCTTGGGTGTGAATGAAGGTGAACATTTAACTTGCTAATAATATTAATTTGTCATAAAATGTAATACGGAGAATTTAAACGTTGTAGTAATTTTTAAAATTGTGTGTATCTAATTTTTACTACTTAGGTCAGAATGGGCTCAAAAACTGCAGTGGTTCTGGGTGGAACTGGGTCCATTGGGAAAGGCATTGTCCGCGCATTGGCAAAATGTCCACAGTATGAAAAAGTTACCCTCATTTTACGCAAAACAATGGATTTGCCTGCCTCAGATGGAGACAGTAACTATTCAAAATTTGAACAAAAGAGCATGGATTTTGAAAAAATTCCAGAGCATGCAGACCTCTTTAAAGATTTTGATGTTGGATTTTACGCAATTGGAGTCAGCAGTGCTTCTGTTTCTGAAACCATGTATCGAAAGATCGAGCTGGATAATGCTCTAGCTTTGGCCAAGATGATGAAGGATGGGGACTGCAAAGACGTTCACTGGGTGACGGGTCGAGGCACAAACAAATCAAGCTGGTTTTTATTTGGGAAGGTGAAGGGTCAAGTTGAAGAGTCGGTGGGACAAATGGGATTCAAAAGATGTTCATTCTATCGACCAGGAGGGGTTATGACGTCGGATAACTCTGGACACCTCGGCCCAAAGATTGCATTCGTCATGAAGGCAATCGATTTTCGAAATACTTTGACAATTCAAGCCGACCTGTTGGGCGAGGTGATTGTGGCGAATTCACTCAACAATGAGGCCAAGAAACCAGTGGAAATATTGGAAAACCCGGAAATGATTAAAATTGGAAAGGCGTTATCTAAGTAATTATTTTTACATCAATGTTGATGCAGTATAAATAATAAATACGTTCAATATTACTACGCATCTACATACATATGTAAATAATTACTATCTATTGGTATGAATATAAGGAATGTAAATGTTTCTCGATATGATTTGTGTAGTGAATTGATGATTTTCGACACTTGAATAAACGTCAATAAAGGGCAATAATTAACAGAGGTGTATGTATGTGTTCCCAATACCATTTTAATATAGCTAATTTAGTAACAGAACAAACAGATTATTTTACAAAACCACCCTGAACAAGATTTAGAAATTTTGATTTCAATGGAAAAGTTCAGTTACATATTGTAACATGTTCAACATAGAGAAAAATCAGTAACGGTAATGTTCTGGCTTGTAGGGTCCATCCACATCCAACCCCAAATAGGTTGCCTGTTCTGGAGTCAACTTGCTCAACTTGGCTCCAATATGATCCAAATGTAAACGAGCAACTTCTTCGTCGAGCTAAATGCAAAAATAAAGTGTTCGGAATCAAGTAACAACTTAATTTATAAAATGCATTGTTTATTGATTGATTACATACCTTCTTTGGGAGCATGAAAACCCCAATGGCATACTTGTCGGTCCAAAGTGCAATTTGGGCCAATACTTGGTTGGTAAAGGAGTTACTCATGACGAAAGAAGGATGACCCCTAAAAATTGGTTAGATACAAATATACATTTTTATAATAGTCAGCCATGCCGTCGTATAATCGTATTTGACATGATTATGATATTTACGTACATCGCACATCCCAAGTTAACAAGACGACCTGCTGCCAAGAGGATAATGTGACGTCCATTGCTGAGCTCGTATCGGTCTACCTGAGGTTTGATGTTGATTTTGGTGGCATTTTTATCTAACCACGCAGCATCAATCTCGCAATCAAAGTGACCAATGTTTGCCTAAAAAATGTCCACAGTGTATTTGAGTACGAAAATACGTATCGACCAAAGAAATTTTGTAGCAAATTTAATCAAGTACATTTGCTACACTGTACAACAACCAATACTTGACGAATTTACATAGTGCTTACCAAAATGACTTCATCTCTCATTTTCACAAAGTGTTCGGGGCGAACGATATCCTTACATCCCGTGGTTGTGACAATGATATGAGCTTCATGAACGACTGTTTAAAAATTTCCGAATACACAGTTAGGTTTTAGCATCAAGATCAAAAAACTAGAAAGCAACTGAGAAATCGAAGCGCATTTGAACGGTTGACTTATTTACTTACCATCTTCCATTGCACTAACCTATTACAAAGACAAACAATTACGTGAGTCAATGAGTCATGGCTGATAATTATTATGTTATGATGCTGATTGATAAGACAAGTGCGTGCATACTTGATATCCTTCCATGGCAGCTTGAAGTGCATTAATTGGATCAATCTCGGTGATAATCACTCTTGCTCCAAAAGCTCTCAGAGATTGCGCAGATCCCTTGCCAACGTCACCATACCCCGCTACAATGCAGGTCTTTCCAGCGACCATGATGTCAGTGGCACGCTTAAGACCGTCAATAAGAGATTCTCGGCATCCATAAAGATTGTCAAACTTGCTCTTTGTAACAGAATCGTTGACATTAATAGCAGGAAACTTTAGTTGACCATTCTTGAGTAGCTTGTAAAGGTTGTGGACACCGGTTGTAGTTTCCTAAAATCACAAGAAACTTGAGAAATACACAAACTTTAACAAAATAAACAATGGGTTCAGCAAACTTAACTAACCTCAGAGACTCCCTTGATCCCTTCGGCATATTTGGGATATTTGGTTAAAACGTGTGTCGTCAAGTCACCACCATCGTCCAAGATCATATTGAGTGGCTGGCCATCATCGAACACCAAAGTTTGTTCGATACACCAAATGTACTCTTCCTCGGTTTCCCCCTTCCATGCGAAGACGGGGACACCGGTCACAGCGATGGCCGCGGCGGCATGATCTTGAGTACTGAATATGTTGCAACTACTCCACTGAACACGGGCACCCAGCTCAGTCAAGGTCTCAATCAGCACCGCAGTTTGCACAGTCATGTGAAGGCATCCCGCAATTCGAGCTAGACGGATTAAAAATATAGATTACGATATTAAAATAACCCATTAAATTGTTTTTTTAACAAAAATCTACCAACCTCCCGTCAAGGGCTTGGTGAGTCCATATTTTTTACGAATGGACATCAAACCGGGCATCTCCTTTTCCGCAAGCATGATCTCCTTCCGTCCCCATTCCGCCAACTTGATGTCAGCTACAATTTACAAACATAATATTCATTCTTAAATAAAAAGCATTTTGACTACTCAAAGAAGGAAACGATTCATATTAGAACAAAGCAAAGGAAGGAAGAAGTCTGGTTCTGCATATTCGCCTCCGGCAACTACTGGATAATTATGTACGTAACAGGGTATAATAGACAATCTTGGGGTGCTGAACCCGCTGGCCTTGGAAGAAGAAGCACGAGAATCATGAACCATGAACTTGAATCTGATATCTTATACATAAGTCTTGGTAATACTTCCAGTATGAGTGGTGGTGTGACTGCTAGTGATGAAATGATTTTAAGCTGGATGCCTGGGTGGTATTACTGACACGCTTTCAATAAAATAAATGTATGCATAATTTGAAGGACGTTAAAAGGAAGTCAGGCAATTGTTTTTTTTTCAGAAACCCGAATCGAAGTCATCGTTTGGATTGTTCAATTCATTTTATCTCAGAAATATTTAATTATAAAATTAGTTATCCCATTTTGCGCATTACAAACAGCACACGACATGAATATTGATCATGTCTCAATAATTTCTAAAGAGAAAGTAAATCCAGGTAAAATAGCTGTAGGTATTAAATATGCTTTGCTATTTGTTATTGAAGTGGTTCTTCATTACAGCAATATCTAATTTTAGAAACTTTCTAAACCTACTAGAACGACTGTACAATTTTCTAGTGTCAGTCTATGTTCAATAGCTTCTAGCATGCAGTAGTTATTCTGAATTATTTGTCGTTCGTGTGGAAAGAAAATAAACCAAGTCCACATTTCAGAATTGTTTTGTCTCGTTAATTTTTCAAAAATGTCAGCGGCTGGTAAACTTTTGCAGCAATTTTTTCAATAATTTTTAATCAATGCAGTTATGGGGGATGTGGATGTACACGTTGGCTCAATTGTATTATACAGTTATACAGTTATTTGTTCAGCTATATTTGTTCTTGCTAGAATCATCTATGTATTTGACGTACTAATTTACACAACAAGTTTGCTATTCATAAATGGTTGTTGAATCCGAATCGCATCAATATCATAGCGCATTATCCTCAACTACCTGACAAGCGACTATAAGCGTTCGATGAAATGATGGATCAAAATAATGAAAGAACAATTCCCTTTTATGCAATTCCAACCAACGCTGGTGAATTTAGATTACACAAGCACACAATATGCACTCGTGTAAACTTTTAACCGTCAACAACCGTACATATGTCATGATGAGATGATGATTAGAGATCATAAACCTGAATAGTGAATGCTAGGCTTGTTCGACGGCGAAATAATTGCGAATTTCGACTTGCTTGGCAAACCATTAAAAAATTTATCGATTCAATAATTGAATTTCAATTCCAAATCATGCTCATGCAACGACGTGTGCGTTCACACCAATCAATCGATCGGTAAATTGCTTCCTATGGAATTATAAACTATGAACATATGAACCTAGCTGAATATAAAAAATATTGATTTAAAGTGAAAAACACTTATACACATATGATCATTTACGGCCTTAATGGGATCGAAAATATGAACACTTGCAATATCCAGAGAAAATAAGTGAAAAAATAAATATAATAAAAAATAATGCGATAAAAAATGCTTACCGACTTTGTACGTTTTGGTGTGATTAGCAGTCATCGTGTCCGTTTTTTCGAAAGTTTTAGCTTCGGAGAGAGAGCAATGTCAGGCAACGTGTGATCAGCACGAGGAGAAGTCGGCAAAGAGGCTTTTTTAATGGTGCGCTCTGGTTTTGTTCGGCTTCTCCATATTACCTTTAGCTCCTCTCCACTGGGGCATTCCAACCCCGTCCAATGGATAAGATGAGTTATCATAGGTTATCATAGAGAACTAAACTGATGATGCTATTTAACTTGTACGAGATGCGTCATTTCACATTTGTCAGTAACGAAAGTGCGGAAACATTTATGAACCCTGCAAACATGTATTAAATCAAACGAGATGAGACGAGACAAAATAGGAAAGTCATCCATGAGTCGTCATACATTTTTTTTCTGGCGGATTCCGTCCAGTGAGAATTTCACTTTTCATAGAGATTTTCACCTGCTACACAGCAAGTGAGTGTGAAGTGGTTTTCAGATTTTAAAAATCTGGAATAAAATAATTCTGGAAACTTGCCAATTTAATCCAGCCGGTTTCTTGGTTTTAGGTAAGTTTAATTTAATTTTCCTTATTCGACCAAATAATTTTATTTAATTTAGGAGCTCTCTGTCGATGACTGACTTTTTAAAATGTGTTCTGTCTGTTAAAAAATACAGTTAGCGGTCGGATTAACCCCGAGGACCTTATCATAACAATATGTCTGCAGGGGACGATTGTAAGCAGTTTGTAGCTGTCACTATTACCAGCAATTTGAACTCATTCCACACAGATCGCCGTTTTCCTGGCGATGTCAACATAGCAAATCTAAAGGTGCAAAAGCGTAAACGATACATATTTATTTAGTTATTGAGGAGCGACGAGTTTTTACGTGTCATGTACAAACAAATAGGGAAAGTTGGAATTGCTAACGGGCTGTATGATGTCTACCATGAAATTGGAACTGCGGGACAATGACGATGAGTTAATTCAATACTTATCAGATGATACATTGACCTTGGCGCAACTGGGCGTACAGAATGGAATGAAGATTCATGTGATAGATACTTCAAATAAAGAACCGGAAGACGAAGAGGCTGCAGATGTTTCATACAAACTCAGTACCGAAGAGTATGAGCAACGGGAAGGTTTGTGCACACGTCATTAAAAAATATTTATTTTGTGAGTTGTATATCGTTGTGTAAAGCAGTAAACTATTTTAATTGCAGAGTCAATGCGAAAATTTATGGAAAGGAATAAACTTGGTCGTTTTGATGAGGAAAAGGCTAAACGAAAAGAGGAAGAGGAGGAAAATGAAACCAAGTTGTCTGCATCCATAAAAGTTGGGGATCGGTGTGAAGTTCGCATTCCAGGAAATCCAGTTCGTCGCGGTCAGGTGAAATTTGTTGGAAAGGTTCATTTCAAAGAAGGGGCGTGGGTTGGGATCCAGTACGACGAGCCCATGGGGAAAAATGACGGAGCCGTTGGGGGGAAGAGGTACTTTGAGTGCAAACAAAAGTACGGCAGTTTCATTCGGCCTTCAAATCTTACTGTGGGAGATTTTCCGGAACTTGATGATGAGCTTGATGAGATATGAAAACCTACCTAAGACCTGTTGTTATAAGTATGGCTTTACAGTAAACCAGAAATCTGTCTAATAATTGTAATTATATATTTTTTCCCTGTTACGTAACAAACGATCTCTAATTGTATCATGTATATGTATGTATGTGGCAACGTTAGTAATTCATATTGAACAGGAGGTTTTTTTTGTATAATTCCATGCCTGTCAATAGTAATAATAATACTTCAATCCCAATCGTACGTTATTGCACACATATAGCTCTACTCATGCTATAACTAGTTTATTATCATTATATTACTTCAATAATGTGCACAAAAGCCTTTTGGAACAAATAAAGTTTTACATATTTATGAATATCCCAAATAGTTTCCTCAATTGAAATACAAGTATAAGGAAGTTATCGTAAATTAAGTAAGTACATCGGTATATATATGTATACATGTACGTGATGATATGCATTATGCAGGCTTCTGATGTGACGATTAATTCCCAATAATAGGTCCATTATACAATGGGACCACACCTGTGGGGTTAATCTGCAAGTGAGAACTGAAGTAGTGCTTCTTAATGTGTTCCATGTTGACCGTCTCCTTGATTTCGCCATGTTCATACATCCGTTTCAGCCACAGGGACAGATTCGGAAGGTCCTTCACGGCCGTCAGGTTGCACTTGAAGTGGAAATAGTAAACGGGGTCGTGGCGGATGAGAGACGTAAAAAGGCGAATGTCCGTCTCCGTCAACGCCTCTCCAAAAAGGAATGGTCCCGGCCCCTTTGCTACCAAGTCCTCTACTTTAAGCATGGTTTCATACACCAACTTTGCATTTGGTTCGTAGGCCTCTTGAGTCAAGGCAAACCCAGCCTTGTACACCCCATTGTTTATCCCGTGATAAATGACATCATTCCATGAGTCAATTTGAGATCGCAATGCTTCGGGGTATAAGTCCAGCTCGGGCGATTTTGAGAACTCGTTGAATTCCGAGTTAAACATCCTCACGATTTCGGAACTTTCATTGTTGACAATTTTCTTGGTTTTTGTGTCGTAAAGAACTGGGACAGTGAATCGGCCAGAGTAGCTTGGGTCGCTTTGAAAGTAGAGCTCCCGAATGAACTTGAAGTTGTTGACCGTGTCGGGGATGCAGCCGGGCCCATCTGTAAACTCCCAACCATTCTCCAACATGAGATAGTGGACGACGGAGAGGCCGACCACGTCTTCTAGGCCCTTCAACTTCCGGACAATCAGAGTTCTGTATAGCGTACATACGTAATCAAGCACAATTCTTACTACTTAAGAACAGTAATATGCAAGTGTATGCATAAATCAACCCATTCTTCGTATTTACGAATAAACTGACCTATGCGCCCAAGGGCACGCGAGGCTGATGTACAAGTGGTAGCGGTTCTTCTCAGGCGGAAATTCTCCGTCTCCCTTCTTCACAAAGTTTCGAAATAGGGAATCCTTCCGGATAAACTCCCCGTTCTTGGTCAGGTCATCGGCAACTCCCATTGTCCTGCTGGTGGGTGTTGCTAGATAAATAGTCAATAATATAAAGTAAAAAGGTGTCAAAAATGATCATTCTGAAATCAATAACTATATTAAAACGGTGCATTTCTTACAAAATAAATAAGTGGCTGGTCGGATGGAAATTCGGGTTTTGAGCTGGGTCTGGGTTCTTTCAACAGAATGAGACGTCTGGAAAGGTGGACAAACGAGTATTTTCCATTTACCTACATAATATGTCCTTGACGAGAGTAATTGTGGGCCGATCCTCCCTGGTATCACAAACTGACGGATTAGCATACTGAGCACGGTTCGTGGAATTAAGCATTAGTACTTATATTGGAGTCATTTGATTGCATCATCTGAATTAACTTTACCGGCGTCATGCATAATGAGAAAACTTTGTCCGATTATAAGGTCAACCTACAAATTGTTAGTACTGTTGACTGTTGTCGATGAAACAAGTTTAAAATATTTGTTACAAATTATTTGAATATCAACGTGTATTCGTAAATTTACATCATGCAAAAATATCATCCATCAGAAGAAATTCCACCATGTTTGGTGGGCACGTACATACTTTCACGGAAAGTTATTGTTGGATGTCCTTGTCCAGTCCAGTTATGTTTTCCTAATTTACCTCAAATTAAGTCATAACGTAATCAGGCGAATATCTGCCTGCAACTGTAACTCCATTACTTGAACTCAAGGGCACTATTAGCTCTCATAATAATAATAATTCTCGAATATAATTTGGAAGTCGTATCATATTTCCATACCCAATATGCTATACTTATGTACGTACGAATGTGTGGCTTATTATGAGCACGGAATGACATGAAAATTTCAGGTCTCACAAGAGTAGAATATGCATGTTTGATTCTCTGCGTTCATGTGCATTATCGTATATTCGTATATTTATTATAGGAAGTAGAATTGGGTCACATGAAGTGCCTGACAGTGACACATTAATAGCAGTCTGTGCATAAGTTAATTCTTCGTGGTCAATTAGGAATCGGTGGTAACATTCAAGCAGTTCTGCATGCATAATAATCAGCAAAGTTCTTCATGGAAAGATTTCATTCGGATCGGTTATTGGGTGGTGGGTGCTCAGTCAGAAGCAATAAAACTAATCGTAAGCATAATAATAATGAAAAGGTCGACGTTCTTCCGAAACAGGTACGAAAGTAGATTTCCCCTCCACTTGCCCCGCACGATTGCTTGACATTTAGTATCTCTTGTGTCTTTTAACGGTTGCGACAAATGGTGGAGTTACAAATAAAATAATTATTTTTTAAATCGTTGGTACACGTCCCATGGTCGTGTGTACCAACGACTTTGACCTTTAATAACTTTTGAATGGGCAGACATAGAGATTTAATTCGTTAAGATGAAATCATCGTAATTTTTAGCTTGATTTTTTAAGATCAAAATCTCGAGGGTACTATTTCGAAAATTAAATTTGAAATCCCAGTGTGCAGCGTTTGTTTAGCCCGAGTCAGGGTCAGTGTCAGCTTCTAAACTTTAGTCAGACGACCTGCACCAACTACTATTCGTAATCGGCAAAAATGTTCCCACAATCCAGCATGCAAAATTTCAGCTCCTTGACCAATTTTAAAACCAGTACGGGTCTCAGTCTTCTGGGCTGGGCCCACAAAAATATTCATATTCGATGAATATGAACATTATTCATATTCTTTAGTCTGATGTGCCCTTACCCATGATACCGAATTTTATTTTTATTCTACCAATATAAAAAGCAGCGTGGGTCACCTTGTTAAATCTCTGTGGAAAAAATCTTAATATTTAGTTCATATTTTTCAATCTGGTCTACCCCCACGGGGTCGTGCCAAATTTCAGTCTTCTACGAGTGTCTAATTTCATCTTTTTAATACAATTTTTGAAAATCGATATGGGTCACCCCCTTAAAGGTCCCTCCACATAAAAATGGTACCAATTTCAATTCATATTCTTTCATCAGGGGCCATTAGCAATCTCTGCACTAATTTCAGCTCGATGGATAATTTTCAAAAATCGGTATGGTATCGGGTCCCTCCAGTCGGAAATTTTCCCAATTTAAATTCATATTCTTCAATTAGACACCATTAGCAATCTCAATGCCAGTTTACAGCTTTCAACGAGGATTTTGAAATACTCCACCCACCCAGATGACCACCACAGGTCGACCACTTAATTGATTTCGCCCATCTTCAAACTTAACTCCTCATTTGTCACATACTACATGTATACCAAATTTAAAGTCGCTAGGCCGAGTTTAACGAAAGTTATCGTAAAATGATCGGACGGACAGACAGACGGACAGACAGACGGACATGACGGTTACAAAATTACATTTCCAAAACTGTAACCAATGGCATATTTTCAACAATTTTTAGTTTTCTAAAAATGAAAATTTATTTTGTAACTCGGCCATTTGTCGTAACCTTATAGATTGATAAAGTGTCAAATAATCTTGCTTGCCCCGTCATGTTTGTTGTCGTGCGTTCCCTGGACGATATTGACATATCGATGTACTGGTGGCGTGCTGCTGATTTGCATGTTTGGTGCGTATCAAATTGGACTAGCATGGAGAGTCATTATATTTTATATATGGGGATGAACCCCATGATATATTTGGCTATTCCTACTTCCAAACAGCCTCGGCTACTGGCCCCCTTCATTCGTTGACAAGGGGAAAGTACGGCAAATGTATTTCGAAGAAGCCAGGAAGTAATATCACATCGTGACTCATTTTGTGAACCCGACAATAAGTTATTACTTTGGCATAAGAAAACTTTGTTGAAGAGTGAAAGTTCTCAAGCACATACATATTTTCATATATTACTCTGAATGTGACACCTGACTGGCTCGTCTTTTTACTTCCGGTGAAAGTCATCGTTCTCTTTAGTTTGGTAAAGTTTTAAATCCTCATTCGCAATATATTTCTTCGCACCTGCCTTTCTGCCACTCCGAATAAAGCATTCGATGTTACGAAACCTCTCTTGAAACCGATTTTCAACGAATTTAGGTTTATTTCTCAAAACCACGATAAGCTTTTATTTTACTGCGGAACGATATACATAAATCTGAATTGATCAATTAAGTGAGCAGCCAGACCATTTAAAAATACCGAATATGTACCTTCACATACATACTGCAATATCTAAATAGCCCAGTTAACCTTTATTTTATTGCAATTCTGGGTCTGTAATGCACTAATTTAATTGCTCTATAAAACAAAAATAAACCGGGGTACTAAAAATTATACATATTTTACAGGATCATGTGGAGTGATCGAGTGACGTTAACAAATTTTAAAGGTAGTTTCTGGAACAAAATTGTTCTGGACAAAATTCTGGAATCCACACTTTGAGCAAACAGATCTACGACTCTTAAAGATATTCAATCACAAATTCTGGACAATTTCAACATGAAGGTGAGACAATGCCTTAACTTATTTCTTGTTATGTAGTTTGCAATTAATCTGCATCCTGTTTTCGAAGAAGTTGTTAATGTCTTGCTGGAGCATTTTAAAAACTTGCTTGATATTTATTGGCAACCAACAACCTGAACCTGGTGCATGGGAAAATGATTCATAAAACAAGTGCATACAGTGTCGGACAGATGTCTACGTCCACATAGTCGCGTCAATTTCATTTTCAAATTGTCACTGAACTACTGAACCAATTTTCATCATTGATATATCAAATTCTCACAAATTTAACGTAATTTCATAGCACATTATTAGTTTTCCGCTAAAAAATTTATTTTAGGCCAGAGATGTATTTTAATTCAAAATGAAAACAATTGGATGGACAAAAATCAACGTCCAGTCAGAGAAAACATACAAAAAAAACTGTAATTTATAAGGAATGTTATAACAATTAATTTTTAATATTTGGTTGGGCCTCCGTTCGCTTTAAGGACGGCTTCAAGGCGTCGAGTCATAGAGTTTACCAAATTCTTGGTCACATCTTCAGAAATGGTTTCCCAAACTTCACGAATTCTGGATTTTAGGCCCGGAATTCCTGAAAAAGATTTTTTTCTTATTTCTCTTTCAATGTGGTCCCACAGATGCTCAATGGGATTCAAGTCTGGAGATTGGGGAGGCCATTCTAGCTTCGGAATTTTTTTTTCTTGAAGTATTCCATGGTGGACGTGGCAGAGTGTTTCGGATCGTTGTCTTGTTGGAAGGCAAATCGTCGTCCAAGTCCAAGTTTTCGAACAGATTCCTGGATATTACGGTCAAGTATTCCCTGGTACTTGTATTGGTCCATAATTCCGTCAACAAATTCCATTTTTCCTGCCCCACTTGAAGCCATGCATCCCCACACCATTACCGACCCGCCGCCGTGCTTAACTGTGGGGTTGAGATTTTTTGGATTCAAAGCTTCTTTTGGATATCTCCACACTCTACGACGCCCATCTGACCCAAAGACATTGAACTTTGACTCGTCAGTCCATAAAATATGTCCCAGAATGTTTGTGGCTTGGAAATGTGGTCTCTGGCAAACTTCACTCGTTTGGTTGCATTCCTCGGTACAATAAGAGGCTTCCGGACTGCTCTGTGGGATTTCAAATTTCCCTTATTCAGTGTTCTTTGGATGGTCATAGGACTAACCTGTTTGCCGAACATCTCCTTGATCTCGGTAGATAGCTTTGGAGCACTAAGTGAGGGTGTAACGTTGACTTTGTTGAGCACGTGGCGTACTTCTCGGTGAGCCAAAATCGGTTTTCGACCACTTCTGACCTTGTTTTGGACTGAACCATTAGCTCTAAAGTTCTTAATGATTGTCTGGATGGTTGTCCTTGCTAATTTATACTTGGTCCCTATTTGTCTCTGCGACAGCCCCCCTTTTTGTCCACCCTTCCAGTCCTGAATGACAAGATCTCGAATAGCGATAGGAATTTCCTTGCGTGTCGACGCCATCATATTTTTCTGGAAGAAAATTATTTAAAAATTAATGCGGCATATGTTATTGATAGATTTATTAAGTTACCTGATTTTATAAATTGGAGAGATTTTTGTTGTTGACAATTAAAGTGAAGTGGACGTAGACTTTTGTCCGCTCAAATTTCATCCTCTCTCGCTCTGCACTATGATTCTCAGTTTTCCCAAAATTTTCAGAAATAACTCATATGTTTTATGAAATTACGTTAAATTTGTGAGAATTTGATATCTCAATGATGAAAATTGGTTCAGTAGTTCAGTGACAATTTGAAAATGAAATTGACGCGACTATGTGGACGTAGACATCTGTCCGACACTGTAGTATGCACTGCATGCATACATACAAAATACATATATGAACATACTACAAATTATGACTATGCACTGTAGGCATACTGTATTTTAATAATAGAATGCCTACAAATCGAGTTTGGAAGATTTAGTACGAATCCTAAGTATGAGTGTATGTATTTCCCGGATGTATATATTTAAGTGAAAGTTGTCAGTCCAGCTTTTATTCTCACGATAGTTAAAGTCAAGAGTACTTCATGAGGAGTGCACACTTTTTTATGTTCACACGCATACAAGTTGTCATCTCAAATGTAAAAGTATGTATGCATATTATGAAAACTTTTCAAAATTGTCAATGGCGTGGCGTCTGGTGTTGATTGTGGTTAGAGATGCAGGTCATCCTTATAAATTCTTGTATCATCATAATCCATATTTTACTTATTGAACTCCATATTGTGCATTTATAGATTAAACATCGCATTGGATCCTGCATGACAAACTTTTGCTCCTTGCAAAACCATTTAATCGAGATTGAGCCGCAGCACCGGAAATGGCGTCGGATTCACGGAATGGAGCTGCCACTCCACCCCCAGCAGATTCTTGTCTGGGTCTTGATGACCCTTTTCCTCATCTTCACATATGTATTCCTAATCCCCGACCTTCCTCCAGCCTACGCGCTTCCAGTCTACATTGCCACCAGCATTACTTATGCCACGATGATGATTTCCTACTTTGCTGCCACCCTCATTGACCCCGGTCATCCCGCCGTAAGGTCAGCAAAGCTAAGAAAACCCGTTCCTGAATTCGACCGAACCAAACACGCCCACGTCATCGAGAATGGGCGCTGTCACTTGTGTAATATTACCGTGTTTCATCAAAGGACAAAACATTGCAGCATTTGTAATAAATGCGTGGATAATTTTGGTAAGTACCTCCTCAGTTCTTCTGTTTCACATGTATGCATAATTAAAATAAAAATTGAATGTATTCATAATACGATACATATTTTTTTAGACCATCACTGCCGCTGGCTGAATCAATGTGTGGGAGGACGAAATTACAAGTTTTTCGTGATTACAGTAGTGTCTAGCATTTTGGCTTGCGCCTTGATTATTTCGTTCAGCGTTATAGTTCTTGTTCGAATCTTTACGACAAATGGAATTTCCAACGAACCCCTCCGCCTGGATTATAACGGTGATAATAACACTGTTGGGAACTTCAGCATCAGCAATAATCACTCCCGCATCGCCCAAAAACCAGAGTCCAGAGAGCTACCAAAAAAATTGAACATCAGCGACCTCGCCGACCACGATGGTTTGTCCGTTCTAAACGAGAAAAACACGGCAATTTCCAATAATAGCATTAATAATACTAATAATAACTCCAGAATAACCAAGTCATATCTGATCGACGAGTATCGAGTGCCAAAAACAGTGATGTACATCTTTGTATCAGTCATATGTATCGTAGCTGTAGGAATGCTGATTCATCTCCTCGTGTTTCACATTTACATTGGGTGCAAAGGTCTCACCACGTACGAGTATTTGAAACCAACCCCCATCGTATTCAAGCCACCTGATGAGGAGATAAAGGACTTGGACGGCATTGAGGAGACACGTCACAACGGCAAAAACGGGTTCTCTCGGAGACAAACCATCGAAAGTGTCAAAGATAGTCACGAGAGGATTAATATTGAGAACAAAAGTTCAATTGAGCAACAGTCTGAGGACGACATTTGGTCGACAATGACGGAGATTGACCTAAACGCTCCAGAAGGAGCGACATTACCACGAGTAGCAAATACTAATCATCGTCCTTCGAGCGGTCAAGAAACTAACCTCGTAAGATCGAACAATTTGAAAAATTCTAACGGAACGGATGAAACACTTCACAAAAAATATTTTAAAAGCATTTCCAAACCATATCGAGGTTTAACTGGATTGCTTGGAAAAAATTCCAATAAAATTAATCCAAGAGCTAGTATACACAATGATGAGACAAATACTACATAATGCAATGCGGAAGTTTGGTTACCATTCCGGCAACCCATTTTATAATTTGATATGAGATAAGTAATTCTTAATATTTTTGATTTCTTCTAATTTGCTCATAAACTCATCTTTTTATTATGTTCAACGTTTTTCATATTTTTCTTTTTGACATGTACATAACGCTACACTCAATTTTATTTATAACAGTCAATTATTGTAATCATTATTTCTCAATTCAATTTTAGATGAATTTTATCTCTGAGAGAAATGCATATTGTTTTGTAAAATAATCTAAATAATATTTAGATTAAATTAATTTGAAATATTATGCAAGATTTCACAAGATAAGCTGCATGCATTCAAAATTACGGTTATTAATATTGAGGACTATGTTCTATATATATTTTCACACTGATGATAAATATGGATTGTGTCAGTCAAAATTATATAATTATGTTGTGTGCATATGTGAATATATTTATGTAAAGTTTGTAGTTCTTTAAACATTTTTCATTATCATGTAGTTTTCGTTGTATATTATTATTGTATATTGTGTATTTTGTTGCAAAGTTGTATGTACATATGTATGTAGGTATGTATGTAATATAAAGTGAGCTGTAGAAATGTCGGTTAACTTCTCAGGGAAATAATTAATTTTGGTGTATTAATTAATGTTAAAATTAATGTAATTGTGTACAAATGTCTGCATTATCTGTTTTATTAGAGATTTTTTGCAATATATTTTTGCTTGTCAGGAGGACACCAAGATATAATGAAGGCAATGATCAAATTTAATGAGGGTGAAGAGTATGTATTTTGTGTACAATTCTGTCAAATAAACTACTCAAAAATAAATATACTTATCTCAAAATCATTGATTTTCTCGTGGTAAGGCCTATTTGATGAACAAGAATTTCAAATGTGTAGTCAATTATCCCGACCACACACTTACTTATTTTATGAATAAGCATACAAGCTAGATAGTTTTTACTTAAATAAAACTATTAATTTAGTGTAGGAGTTGGCATTCTCGAAGAATAGTCCAATTACACCATATAGATTAATTTTTCCGTTTTTCGAAATTCGAATTTTACACTAACAGTACACACGCTTTAGGTATTTTTCCCGAAGAACTCCCTTTGTGAGCCACGTAATAGTCAGAATCTTTGGACTCGGTCACATTGAAGGTCTAAACAAACAAACTTATCAGAATTCTCATCTCCATCCAATATTATTTCCAAAAAGTCTCATTTTACCTCATTTGCGAACACACTTATTTCATCCGGGTTTCTCGCTACGTAGTCGTACATCACTTTCACCTTCATCTGAATCCCATTTGTGCCAAGAGAATCGTCCAACATGGAATCATCAATTGAAAAGGACTGGGCCAGATTCACACTGCTCAGAGGCATTCTGAAATAAATTGCAACTTTCACTTGTTTTTTCTTCGTCTCACGATCCACCTGACTAATTATATAGCTTCGTTAAAGTTGTATCGTTATTTACGTCACGAGATCTTTATTGAGATCCAACATTAGTTGATGACACCTTGCAAAATATGTGGTTTGAGCTTGGACAAAAGACTTTAAATTTTCCACAAGTCGATCTCGGGAGGCCATTAAAACTTCGAGCTGAACTTTGGTAATTTCGCCCTGTTGATTGAATTCAGCTTGAGCTTGGATCACCTCTTGCTCTGCCTGGAGTCCAAATATTATGCTTCATGGTGTGAAATATTATTGCAAATGTTGATGTGAAATTTGATCAGTTAGTACCTGCTGGATTAGCACACGAGGATCTGTTCCGTCTTTCTGCATTACAAAATATAGATGAGGCAGTGAAAGTCTTACAACTTTACTTATCACTTATATGTATTTGTATTGAACTCACTGTGGGCATACTGCTCATACTCCTAGCTTTCCTTAATTTGTTTTTCGCTGCGTCTAAATCTAACCTACACATTTTCATACATCAGTTATAAAAATAATACCAAACTATGTAGTAAGTACAACTCGACTTAGCCCGAGTCAGTGCATGGTTTCGCCCAGTCTGTTTAAAATTGCTCAGAAATTAGTGTGGGTCACAACGTAGACAACGTAAAGGCATTTCCACATTTAATTTCATATTTAGTACGTCATGGTCATATGCAAAATTCATGCACAAAATTAACTTATTACGAAAGATAAAAAACCGTATGTATAACTGGGTGGGTCACTCAAACTGAATTTGTTTTACGAATATCTCAAGGCAATGTGGTAATGCCCATAAATGCAATAGAAAATTTGAAAAGTTTCACACCCATTGATGATGGAGGGGTCCTGGATATATATTGCTTCTTATCGGTATGATAAATCGGACAGACAGACGTGACAGTTCCAAAAGGTCTGACTCGAGCTAAAACTACTCAAATTTCGTTTACATAGAATATAGATAGACAAACCTCTTCATTTCTAATGTTTTTCGCTCTTTGGTTGCATTTTTCACTTCATTGTCCAGGAATCTATTGAGAGGGTCGACAAATGAATCAACAGCCACGTTAATAAATTCTCTCTCAGTTTGTCCCAATTTGAGCTCTGATGTCCCAACTTTTATGAGCATGCTGCCTATAAATGTCGTCACAAATTAGCATTTCATTTTATTCAGATGTGGGAGTGTGTATCTAAAACGGATCCAGTCCGTCTCACCGTATGCTGCGGTGGGACCAAAGTCATTTCCTGCTTCAAGCATGCCTTGGCCCAAGACTTCCATGTTGCTCATCCGCGGAGGACGTTTCTTGTCAATTTTCTCCAACACAAAGTCTTCAACTCTTTGACCTATATGCCCGACCAATTTAATATAAAATGATGTCCAGGGAGATAAGATTCAGGGAGAGGCGTAGAATGAAAATTACAATAAATGAGCCATACGTTTGTCATATATAGGCATTTATACTTAATTCTGTGAAGACCATCGTTTTATGCACATCATACTGCTTACCCGGATTTGGTGTCAAAACAGACTCGGTGTCTTTTACAATTTTCTGGGTCCAATTCCGAGCCTCATCTGCTTGCTTACACAAAGCTTCGAGCTGGGGATCCAGGTTTGTTTTCTCTGACGAGTAGATCACCTCAGAGGACATCTAAAAAACAGAACATGATGCTCATCTGCCTCTGTTAACCAAACTCAGGACACGACTTTCTCCTTCTTCTTTATTGGATTCTCCTCTAATGCAAGTAGTAAGTAATCCCCTGGTCTTATCCTACGTAATGGTGCACCCAGGTGCATTTCCACTAACGTAAATAATACCCACGAGAGCGAAGAAGCAGATTGCTTTGTTTCTTTCTCTTTATTCTATCGAATTGTGTGCTACATAATGAAATTGAATCTCTCCATCGCGAAATGTAATTCCATAATATAGAAATGCGTGCAACGTTACCTGTTTTGCTCGATTAATGAAAGCGCCTGCTGCCTGCTGAGCGTCCCCCACAAATTTCCCTATATTGAACTCCATTATAATTCCTTTTATGATTAGACCTAAACAAAAGACGGGTCGGTATCGGTTTCACAAAGGGAGACTGTGTACAGCAATATGTATCTTCCTGCTGCGTCTAGCAAAGAAGTGAGAGCCAAATCTATGGTTGAAGTATTTTAAAGAAATTCTTCTAAGGAACGTTTATTGCTGTCAAGAGTTGATAATTCAATTTTGAAATGGCACAATAATCGACTATGTTCCTGAGGCTATTCTTCTGCTTGCTAGGAAATTGTTAAAATATCCAGCAGAGTTTTAGCGTGGCGGATTAAACTACTGGAATTCTGTGCATGCATGGATGACGCACAGGTTGAGGAAACATGCTCCCATGTCGTTAAAACAACTGCTGTGACAAAATAGGAGAGATAATTGGATAAAATGAAGGGCTGCCTCACAATGAGGGAGATTAGTGGGATGAGAATGTTGTCTAACGAACGAGGAACAGCACAAGCACGGGTTTTCCTTCTCAACCACGAGAGAAAGTGGCTGAGGAAGGAATCGTGCTGGAGAAAGTCTTCTTCGGAGCCAGTGAATGGTGCAGTTCTGGAAAAGTGTGCAAAATACTACTAAAAGGAAAGTTTGCCTATGAACGAGCTTTCTCCGACCAGTCGTGGTGATGGTGTATGTATACAACTGCATGGGTGGTGTAAGCTGAATGCCTGAAAATATTTGGATTACAAAAGCTCGGAAGCTTGCCTACGAGGAGTGGGATCGATACAGTCTCAATGTGCCACACTACTACCGAGAAAAGCAGTAGAAAAGTTACGAAAATGTGCAACTCAAGTACTCAACTCGTGCATGGAACTGGATATTATGATCTTTCGCATCCTCCCAATTTAGAATCTTATATCAAATTCTCAATTTAACGGTAAATTGTGTACTCTATATGTAAATATACTTCGTCTTTTTTATTTAATTTGTGGGTGCATAAATATGAAAATCAAGAAACATTTACACGTGATGATGTAATGTTATAAGAATGTACTACAAGCTCAATTTATTTTCAACAAAAACGAACTTGACGACAATAAGCACCGATTTTGATTTTCACTTAAAACAATAAGACGCGACGATACGAATTGGAATTTTAGACGGTTAGATGAAATGACGAAGCTATTACAACGAATATTATTGTAACTTTGACACTTTGCAAATCATATTTGCGAGCTTTCTATAATTCTACTTCTAGTTAATTATTGTTACGAAATATTACGATTTACGATTAAAACGCATGGATTTAGAACAGTGTGATGGTCTGTGTATGTATAACTGTCACTTTTATACCGACTAATTAATTACTAATTGAATACAGTATTTATAGTAATAATGCTATGCAAGAACGCGCTGCATGCATATAACTTTGAACTTGTGGGATTACTTTTCTCGAGGAACAACAGGACGATATTTAAACGCAAGTTATCTTCGCTACACGTTTTTAAATATTTTCTACGTTATTTAACCGGTAGAAAGTAAAGCAAAAGGAATTCATATAAAATATTATCGTACCCGAAATACTAAAGACTGGACAAATAGGCAGATACATACAACATACATGTATAGATCAAATTTTAAATTGCTTGCATCTTTGCTGTCTCACATTTTGTTCATAACAATGTTGGACACTGTTAAGAAGAATGCTGATTGATTGCAATCATGCTGATTAATTTAATACGCAACAATTTAATGTGAATGCTTTATGAATCTCAATAATTTTGAATAATTTTGAAATCGTAATTATGGCCAAATGAAAACTCGTGAAGGACTGGAAAATTCCTACATATTTCTGAATATTTTTTGTTTGAACGCTATAATGTATGCTACGTCAAATAAGGTTAGTTTGTTCAAATTATTTGCAACGTAAATTTCTACGGCTAGTACATATAAGTAGTACATATATATGTACGTGTAGTGCGTACGTATTCTACCAACCAAACGCGTACTCAAGTATTCAATTACATATGAAACATGTTAACATAGATATCTTTGGTTGGAGTGGTTGATCGAGGAAAGATCAAATTATAATTGATTCACAAAAAAAGTATCCGGAGATCACAGAAATGCGTAATGGCGATGGATTGATAAAACTTACTGCGATATAACGATATCGAACGGCAGAAAAAGATATACTCTCGTTCTTTTCTTTCGTTTTTACATTTATACACTCATTTGCTGTCTCTTTCAAAATAGGTGGTAGTGTCGGTAGCTGCTGCTGTCGAAGATGTAGAGTAGAGTATATATATTTAAATATACATAGTTGAGTGGAGACGGAGTTTGGATTTATTTGTGGTTTTCCGTCAAGCTTTAATCGTCTATCGCAACCACACGCAAGAACCCTCCTTGGCCAGCTACGTTTAACTGAGGTGGATTATTCCCCCCACCTTCGTTTTCACCATTGTTATTAAACATGTCAGCATCCCCCTGGTCAGAATCACTGTCGCTGATCTCCGCTTGAGGCTCAGGCCTTGGTGGTGAAGAACTGCGGAGGGGTGATGGAACCCTGTTGATTTGCTGGTAGAGTCCCCCACGACCACGGACAAAACTTTGGTTGGTACACAAAAAAAATAACATGGTAATCAATGAGTCGCTTGTACATGCACCAAAGTCGGTTAAGCATTGCATACCTTCGGAGGTTGGTTCGGCAAATTCGACAGAAATTGTCAGTTGGTCGAATATAATGGGTGCAATTGGGACACGAATTTTCATCGATTGGCAGTGGTTTACCACACAAAGAGGTATTGGGGCATCTCACTAAATTATAAATATGCAAAAATTAGTATGCGGACTTTTTAACTTGTCAAAAAATATGATTATTATGTAAAATACTACTAACCCAATCGTCGTGGTGCTAAAGCCCTTATGTCCTAAAATCAATTCATACAATTTCATAAATTTCATTAAAATCATTTGAATTGAATAAAATCAGTAAAATTACTCACAGTAGCACAATATGGGCAATACGAATCCACGACTTTTCTCGTAGTTTCGCCAGAAATGGTGACCTCCATTCCAGGTTGGCGAATATATTGGACTCTAAGCCAACGACTCCTTCCTCTTCGGGCCCTTCGTTGTGGGGCCATCCTCAATTGTCCACTGTACGTAAAGCTTCTGAGAACAGAATAAAGCAAAATTTAGATACAAGTTCTCACCACGCCCACAACACCACTCACACACAATATTTCTGGATTCTCTGATCACGCCAACAGAAGAACACAGCAGTAAAAGTACCACTAAGGATCAGGACTCCTGATTCAGGAGTCCAAACGTGTAGCAGAATTTAGAAATCCCTTAAACAACAATCTCTCGACTCAAGTGCTCCTCCCCTTTACGAATTGCATCAAGTTATTAATTATCCTACCATCACACCTTGTGACAATAATTTGGTGTTTTCTACAACCAGCTGAATCAGAACAGAAAGTTTTAGTGTGCTTTGTGTTTGTCGTGTTACTCGTGTGATATAGAATGTTTTGGTTCCCAACAAGTTTTTACAAAGGCACATTGCATGCTCATATACGAACCCCATCATATCATCACCAATTCACCATATTCATCCTCATTGCGTCATCGCCATCAAAAACTGACAATCTGGTAGGTTCACGCGTCACGTCCCCAGCGAATTGATGCCTCGAATGTGGTATTGAGACTGCGGAAATGATAACTTTTGATGTGTGCTTGGTCCCAAATCAAGGATACAGCTTTGCAGCTGACTTTAACCAACGTTCACTATTCGAACTTTTACGTATATAGCAGCCTGTTTGTTTGTATTGATCTTTCTTTTGCGTCTTCCCCACTCCGTTCGTTGGGGGACACGACTTTTGCAAAATTTGTGCCCTACTTATCTCACAACATAGTGGAATGGAAGTGGAAGCGCCAGTGTTGAATTTACAGAACTGGTAGACTTTACAAAAGAAATGGAAGAATGGAAATGGAAAGAAAATATAAATAAGTCATTGACGAAAAGTTACACATTAAATAATTGCTAGAGTTTAAAATGTCAAGATAATTTTAAAGTGTTGAATTAATGCTGGAAGCACTGGGAAAACCTCGCTCAGGGGTGAGATTATTTTCTTTCTTTCACGGATACAAGTTTGGGTACTTTGTAATTTGTAATATATTTCATGTTATTTTTTGGTGACAGAACAGAATAATAACGGACAAGAGCAGAGCATGGAATAGGAATTACCTTGAATGTGTCAATATTTGTGGGGTCACTTCCTTCGTATCAAGAGAGACTGGAAGGACTGCGTCACAGGAAGGATAAGGTCTAGCAGATTTCTCCCTACAGAGAAGTTACCAACATAGGAGGACAATTAAGAATATTTTTGGAAATTTGGAGCTTTCAGCTCCCCTTCGGTCACAACGGAGAATTTGTTAAAACCCTTCGAGCACGCATTCCCCCATCAGTTCCCTAAAATTATGCAGCTCAGTGCGATTGGCGACCTTCGGTAATACACTTCATAGAGCAACAAAGAACATTGTTTGTTTCTTAAATAATTTATGGCAAATCAATTGATTATTTATTAATGCATTGTTTTTGTTTAATTCTAGGTATGAGTACGTATCTGGAGTGTCGACCATCTTGTCAGCATGTCCTGGAATTTACTGTGGAAGGATAAAGTTACCAGACGGAAAGTGAGTGTTTGTTAATATTTCATTAAAAAATCATAATCATGTCTAAAGTTATTTTCTATAATTTATGTAGCTGGAGCTCATGTGGTAGCTGTCCTAGAGGTTTTCGAAGAGAATCAACTTTCGAATGTGCCCCTTGTGATCAAGAACTCTCATTATATGACTGGCTATATCTGGGATTTATGGCCTTGTTGCCAATTTTACTACACTTTTCGTCCATCGACTCAAAGTTATTAAGGTAAATTATTATAATTTATCGTCCTACAATATATAGTGCAAGAGTTAATTATAATCCTGTATGTAGGCACAGTAAGACAACGATTGGACTTGTCATTTGTGCAATTCTCGAAGTAGTTATTGCAGGATCTATAACGCTATTAATTTGGGATCCAATTGGTAGTTTTAAAATTCACGCATGTGGTGTTAACGACCTGTCGGATTGGTACCCCATATTCTACAATCCTCATCCAAACTATGAGGAAACGCTTCACTGTGCTCATGAAGCTGTATATCCTCTGTAAGTGTGCTAAATTGGCTTTTACCGACTTGAAATTATCTGACTAAGTCTTACATTATTTCCAGATACACAATTGTTCTAGTCTTCTTGGCAATGGCCGATGGATTCATGATACTTACCAGATTTATTGGTAATTTCATAAATATGCATCATGCAAATTAAATATATACAAATGCAAGATTAATATTGATGTAGTAAAATTTTATTTTGAAATTACAGCTTACTTTTTGGGAATAAAAGTTGCCAAATCTATATATTCCGGATTATATTTCTATCCTATTTTAGCACTAAGTCATTTAACGTTAGGTGGAATAATATGTACGTTACATGACGCTTATTTATTATTATCCGGAAACGAAAGCTAACTATCTTGCACTTGCACTTTTTTTGGCAGATTACGTATTCCCCTACATAACTATTGTAACATCTGTGGTGTCTTGTGCATACCATTTTGCCAAACGAACAAATCAGGTCAGGTTCTCATTTATGTGTTTTGAAGTAGTGTTTTCTAATTTGTTTATGGAAATAGGGCACTATCATCTTAATTTTGGAGAGCTTAAAAGACTGGCGTAATGTTGGGTAAGTACAAACATAATTCAGTATCAAAAGCTTAAGTATATATGGAAGAAATTATATATTATTTTGAAATTGTGTAGGATAATTTTGTGCCATTGGTTTCTGCATGCATACGGAATAATCTCCATCACTCAGTTGGAAAATTTGCACCGGGACCTATATCTCCTTGTCCTAGTTCCTGTTCCAGCCTTGTTGTACGTCTTCACGTCACACTTCACAGATCCGGACAAGATTGGAGAATAATGCTGAATTTCTATCAATGAAAATAAGACTGAACTGACCGAACAATTATTTAATTTAAAGCTGTTTAACAGATATGCTTTATTTATTCGCATTCGCAGTATTGTTCAAAACGTTTCAAAATAAATATTTATATCTCATTCTCATTTGCTGATTCCCACCCATCTACTGTACATTAGTTAGAAACCAATTGTTCACAAATTTAGGCACTATATTTATGTACATATTCATTGTGATGGATGATGCTAGTTTATAGACACAGGCACAAGTATAATAGGTTTCTTATTTATTTTAAATATATCGAATGATGATAAGTACAAGAATTATCACACGTCATTTCACTAACATTACCTAAGAAAATATATGGGTACTAGTACTACTAGTAGTATATAATTTTACAATGCAGTGATAGATAGGCGTAATGGAATACATTACAAAAGGTAACATCATATTATAATAATATTATTAACAACACAACAGATCATCACCGCCTATGTACTTTACCTTTTACTTATTCTTCTCTGAACTTGTACACTCTAAAGATAGACACAGTCACATTGCCAAATGCAATTAGAATTGCTATGTAAGACTTTTCCGTTAGTAAAGACATAAGTATTTAATTCAGGAAACGAATCGACATTTTTTGTTCAACCAAACTGCGGTCTGAAAAAATTAAAAGAACCAAATAATTTGATATACATGACATGGCTGGGGATAATTAAGTAAGGTTCAGTTGGGCTCTAATGTTAAAGGTGGTGAAAATAGACGCGTTCATAATTTTCAAATAAATTAAACGTAGTATTTAACTTACCCAAAACTTTGCAAAATTCCTCAAATCCGATCATGCCATCACCATCACTGTCTGCTTCCAAGATGGTTCTCTCAGCAATGCTCATTAATTGATCCTCACTGGAATTTATAAAATGGTAAAAGAGGGGAAAATGGTTAATTAATGCATCATGAGAATTTTTTATCAACCTTATATTTTCCCCAACCATCATTTGCAACACAGCCAGTAGTTCTTCTTTCGTGATGCGGTCATCATCGTCCAAATCGTACAACTTGAAGGCGAATTTTAATTTCCCTTCTCGAGAGTTGAGCGCATTTGCTCGGCTCTTCTTTAAAGGTCGGAAATGAGCCAAAACTCGCACGAATTGACGAAAATTAACACGATCTTCGTCACTGTGCCTGAAAAACGCCATCACAATCCTTTCCCCCAACGGATTTATAGCTAATTCCGGTATTCGTAAGAAGTCCTCTCTGCTTAACGCCCCCGTCGCAGTTTTATCCAATGCTGTGAATCTACTGTACAAACGTTCAATTTGGTTCGCCGTAACTGTGTAATTAAAGAATTAGGTTTTAAGCATTAAAATTTATTATAAACAAGTTGTATTAGTTATTATATGTACGGTATTCTTACATCCTGTTTCTTTTTGAATCTCGGCAAGTTCTTCATCTCGAAGTAGAAGGGATGGCCTGCTGCCCATTGCGAATAAATATTATCTGAAAATATAAAGAAATACTTTATAAATTGAGGAATTGTTTGAAAAAATTAAGGAGCTTGATGTCAAATTAATGGTACTCTGAAGATATTGGACACAGATATACGACTTTAAAATATTGGGTCATTAAAGTAATTCTCACTGGAGAAATGTGTTGTTTAATTAAGACCTGTGTATCTACGTACGTTATAATAATATGACGCTGTGTAATGCCCGGATTAATTTCTTGCACGTATACACTTATCTCCACTTTAACAATCCACGTAAGGAATACGAAATAGGAAGGAGGTACCCTAAAATAAAAGCGTGAGTGATCTTGAGACAAGATTCATTAACTCTCAGCACACAAGAAAAAGACCAATGTGTATTTTAGTCAGTTAATAAATTTCTTAGATAATTCCTGCTGCAACCAAATCACACGAGGATAAAGTTTGTACTATGTACTCTGCACTCGTCCACTATATGTGATGTCCTTTAGTCATTTCTGATTAATCACCAACCATATTCATTCATTTACTTGGTATAATGCTATAGCAGAGTAGCAGTAGTCCAACCACAACCCTTTCTATACAATTTTACGAGGCATTACTTCTTTTTAGTAACATCATATAACGAAACGCTATCCCGAAACGCTAACGAAAGCTAAGCCAGTATAAATCTCAACCATACAATAATTTTGGGGTTCTCTTTCGCCTCAATCATTATTATTTGGTTATCCCCTAAGGCCACAAGCACGTAATAATAATCGTAATAAATACATATCTGCACAAGGGAACTACTTGGTCATGTAGTTAATTTTTTGCAAATGACGATGATTGACTTGATGGAGAAGTAAAGATTTGCCATTGCATGAGCCATGATACTGCATAAGTGAGCCACCATTGTCACTATTAATCCTTGAACATTTTTAGTTCCATCTAACTTTACAACAACCTACGTATAACTAACCACCAAGATTCGGCGATAAAGGATAGCAACTCACTCACAGCGGTATGCAAATATTTAAAGGTCGTTAGATAATTGTTGAGATGGGACTTTGGTAGTAGAATCCAGTAGTCTCGAGGTAATCGTAATAGTGAAATGAAATCTAAAATGAGATCACATCTCAATCTATGGCGTAGATAATAATTTGATGTCAAATAGATGAAGTGTTCCATCTCTCTCTCACTCTCGTGGAGAGGACTGTTACCACCAGCAGGTGATAACAGTTGAACCCGTCAACTAGATGTCAAATGTAGGGATAAATTCTGTCACAAAATATAACAAAAATTTTGGGTTGCTACTTTGGTACCATTGCTATACATATTTAAAATATAGCTTATATGTACTTTATCACATTTTATGACCTGTCGCAAAGTTGCAACTGAATTTTGATACGGTACGGAATCCAAAAGAAATGCATTATCAGGATTTCAAGGTCTATTAGATAGAGCTGTGCATGATGAAATTCGGGACTAATATAAAATTATTCATCGTCATGAAATAAAATTACTTTCATACCTAAAATACTTCAGTTATGGAATTAAATATATTGTTAAGGTCCGGTCCGATGTATATGCAAATGCGTAACACTAAAACTCACACTTGAAATGAAAATTCAACCTGAATCCAATGATACAAAGCAAAACTGGAATGTGTGCAGCAAATGATACTTCAAACTTGACACTGCTGGTGATTTTAAATGTGGGGTCACTAATAATACATAGCATGCCACTTTAGAATTTTTATGTTTGAACCACCGAGAAATCAGCAGGCACCGTACACATGGAGAAAGCACAACGTAATGTTTTTTATTTGTAAAACCGACCATCCATCCGACGCTCCATTGCCCCAAAGCAAGCCGCGAGGAGTCTCAGATTTGTCGGCCAATATTTTTGTAGGCTATTATTGTACAACTTTTTTCGGGTTTTTTGAACATAAATAACTTTTGAACTATTTGCTCCATACATTGTCCAGTCATAAATTTAGTGTTGGCCCGGATTTACCAGGCATTACTCAAGTTATCATGTCGAAAATGGCGTCGAAACAGCAGTTGAAGGGGATGAAGAAAGTCATACAAAAGGTGGTACATGGAAACCTCGTCAAAATTTATATTCCCGCAGGCATGGCCTCAACAGGACCTCCGCTCGGACCACAGCTTGGACAAGTCAGTTAATTTAATTAACTTCAGCATGATCATTATTGATCATACACTACTATAGATATGCGCATTATTTTGCAATATGCAATGATATCAATTTGTTGTTGGTTTTAGAGAGGCATTAATATTGCTGCCTTTTGCAAGGACTTTAATGAGAGGACGAAGGATATGAAAGAAGGGATTCCTTTGCCTTGTCGAATCACAGTCAACTCTGATAGATCGTACGAGCTAGTAATTCACAATCCTCCAGTGACATTTTTTTTAAAACAAGCAGCCGGCGTTCAGAGAGGGGTAATGAAAATGGGTAAGTTAGTATCAGGGGTGGGCAAGATACTTTGGTCGTAAGATACAAGATAAGATACTTTCTAGGATAAGATATAAGATACAAGATAAAAGATACATCTTGTTCAAGTACACAAGATACAAGATACTTTCCTAAAGATTGAGTAGTCAAGATACAAGATACAAGATATGTATCTTAAGATACTTTTATACTAGATAAGATACTTTCTTTTTTTAGCTTGGTATTCATGCCCAGTTGGTCATGTTTAATAATTTAAATGAAAAAATCTAGTGAGTACAAAATTTAAAATCATTCTATAATCATCTTACAAATTTTGTAGCCAGTGCTTAATACTTCGAAAAATTTCGAAAAACTAGAACTCTACCTAACATACATATTTTTAAGAAGTTGGTATTATTTTTAAAATATTCCCTGCTTATCTAAACCCTATAAGATATATACACTAGTTCAGCGTAGGTACATATCATCTAATGTGCATGTATGTGTACAAATGTACGAGTACACATGAACATATATACATATACATATATATATGAATATATGTACATATGTATGTAGAAGTTTTTTTACAAATTGGCAAAACACAAACTAAAAATTCACCAAATTCTGGTTACGACAAATTCATGGTCAAATTGACTGCCAGTAGTACGAAATTGACTTTGACTTAAGAATTTGACGGAATTTTGAGAAAAAGTATCTTGTATCTTGACAAAACTATCTTAAGATACTTTTCTGCCAGGCATATCTAGATAAGATACTTACACAATATACTATGCGACTTTCTAAAAGATACAAGATACTTCTCTGATCAGGCGACCAAGATACAAGATAAAGATACTATCTTGTATCTTTTATCTTGTATCTTGACCAAGTATCTTGCCCACCCCTGGTTGGTATGATGATAAGAAATTATATCCACTTTATAATTACTGCAAAAGTAGTGTACAATGATTATATTTTATTAGGTCACGAAATATGCGGTAAATTGACCCTAAAGCACATTTATGAAATTGCCAAAATTAAACAACAAGATCCGACATTGAGGTTTTTGCCTTTGGAAAGGATTTGTAATAATGTAATTTCAACTGCCCACACTTGTGGAATACAGGTATGCAGGATTATACCCCTTCCGATTAGGATGAAAAACTAATTTGAAGTTATTTATAGTGATTTTATTTATTGTGAAGGTCGTTCGATCCCTCGATCCAAAGGAGTATGCAGAATTTCTTGAAGAAAGGAAGCTAGTCGTAATACAACAATTACAGGAGATTAAAGAAAAGCGTGAAGCAAAATTGCTTCGTTAATATGCTTGTCACTTTTGTTAAACGTTTGATTAGTATCCAATAATATTAATATATTATCAATGGTAGTCGTAAATTAATTTGTATGTATAGATTTTTCAATAATGGACATGCTATATGGGATTATCTGATGAGTCAATAAACATCAATAAGCTATGAATCGTCTACATTACAGAAATTACTCTACATCGTTACATGGCATTCCAAATGTGTTTATGAAATTCTGCAAAATATCTTGTGAAATGTCACTCCCTCCGCAGATCACCAATACCAGTGGACCAGAACTTGAGTCGTAACCATACTTATTCAAGACGCTCGGAAGTAGTTTCGAATAAACTGCAGCCATTGTCACGCCGCACGATGGTTCCACTAACATTTGATGGTCATCTAAAATGTACATGTAATGATGTCATTTTAAGAATTGATCGTTCATAAATACAATGAGAACTTGTATTACTTTGACAAATATTATACCTGCAAATCGAACGCATCCATGAACTGCATCTTTGTCTGGAAGGACTTCAGAGATTACATTGAAGTCTTTGTACTTTTCTAGCAACTGAGGCGTAACGGATCGAGCTCCTAGTGTTTTAGCAATGCTGGTTAATGTGATTTCCACTAATTTATTCGCCTTGACCGACAAATTAAAACATTCTGCTCCAACAGTTTCTAACGCTAGAACTGGAACATCTTTCCATCCTATAATTGACGAAAACATGGGACAGTAATAATTGACCTCATATAACCGAGTTGTACCAATCACAACTGGTGATTTCTCACTGCTTAGCGTTAGTAAGTGTACGTATGTACCTTCTCTTTCTAGTCCAGTCAAAACGCCCATTAGCAAGCCCCCGCCTGTCGAGTGTTTTGACACATCAGTAATTTATGTCGCATATTCAAGTACATATAAACATATTAATTTAGTTCTAACACTAACCACCGACAGACACTGCAACACATCCAGGCCGACGTCCTTTCAGATCTTCTTTGATTTCACTTATCATTGTTGAATTTCCTTCCCTGATTATCATGAAATATTTCATTTCAATACATTCTTTACTGACCAATGTGTAAGCTCAAGTAAGCTGTAATATTTTTGCTTATGAAATTACCAAATGCTGGGATGGTCAAACGGCGGAATAATTGCGAAATTGGGATCTTTCTTCAGCTCAGCCATAGCTTGGTCATTTGCTTCTTGCCAGTCAATTCCTCCGATCTTAGTACAAAACATTAAGGTGATATTTTCATACATCATAGAGTTATAATATACATGCACATAAATTAATACGCCACAGCAGGCTATCTCAAACTGATTAAATTTTATAGAATACCGTAACTTCTGCACCATAAGCTTGAATTTTTTTGAGCATTCTTGGAACCACATACGTGGGGACAAAAATTTGACAAGGGACTCCCAACTTGTTAGCAGCATACGCCAGAGCTAGACCCGCATTACCTCCAGACGAACCAATCAGTTTTGTACATCCTTCAGCGTATTTCTGAAAAAGAAGCAGGATTAATTACCACATTTAGTTGGAGACAATGATTAGATAACTGCAAATTTACAGCTACTTATTATGCACCTCTTTGCAAAGATGAGATAATCCTCTCAGCTTAAAAGAACCAGAGGGCTGCGTATTTTCGAGCTTTAGATACACGTCTCGGCCAGCGATATCGGACAACGGTTGGCTGTATATCAGTGGAGTCCGGACGCTAATTTTTTCTCCTGTCACCATTTTTGAGAATAATTGGACTATGAATTAGTATTACTTAAGTAAAATTTTATTTTTGTTTTCTAATAACTGAACTTTTGCTGGTTCGACTCGCTTGTGACTTCCTCTGAAGAAAATGATATCTCATTTATACGAAACGAAACGTTTAAATGAACCCAGACAAGGTCAAATTATTCATAGTTGAAGAAATAATAATATACCATCATTATTATTATGTCATAGTCAATGGTTAGCAGTATTATATAAATACGTCGTCCTCATTGATAATCTTATTGCTTCAGCATCCAGAAAGTTGACAAGGTCAACTTTACTTGTAAGATTGGCTTGTCCTATCTATTGAATTTAGTCCAGTGCAATCATGTAAGTAAATATATATACGTACTGTGAGTAACACTGCATACTAAGTAACACCCTAACTTCCTTGAACTGGACATTGACGTTGGACATGCATCTACTGAATCAAACCCCAAAAACGATATCATGATGATTACGTAAGATGACAGTATTAATCGAATATCGGCATGGTGCAATATCTGCCCGTTATTTTTTACAATTCATCAAGATAAATGTGAACATGATTGACAGAAATGGCAAGACACTTTTACACATGTACATATGACCAGTTGCTTTCTCAATTTCTCAAAATGCCCCAACGACTCTATATTGGATGTCATCTCACAATATAGATATGCAGTTGAGTTGAGACTGATCCTGAGGGAAAACTCACCTCGTTCGTCAAGTCCTCTTTACTCACCGAAGTGTTAGTGCAGCGTGCGGGGAAATTGAGAATTCGAGATTTCCTCCAGGTCTAAAAAATTATTGCACCCGGATTAACAATAGGACTTCTGTTGATAAAGTGATAAACGCAGAATGAGTAGACACACATGAATGCGATAATCACTGCTTGAGCAAATTTATTCTCCATTTTTTTTAGAAAATTATAGACTAATTCCAAAACAGAACCTGGTCAGAAATGCGATTCTACTGAATGCCAATCTCTTAATATTGTTTTACGTCGTCAAACAGCTTGCTATCGATTCGAGGCAGCATTTCTTCATGGTTTTAAAAATTCATATTCCGCTGCTGGAGCTCTGCATATAAATATACAGCTAAACCAGGCAATAATGTCATCAAGGATTTGATATTCTAGCAAACATAATTTCATGGTATGGAGTCATACATTTTGCTCAATCAATACTATTGATGGGCAATAATTGGAAACCGAATTGACCTCTCTCTCATTTTAAGCGCCGCAGTATAATGCCTGCAGTATGGATGGAATACACCTTTTCCATGTCTGCCTTGGCTCTGTTTGCATGAAATTTTGATCCGGTCATGGAAAACAACGGTGACATTTGGCAGGCAAGCTCAAATATCAATGTTGGCGACTTTGATTGGTTGTTGCTGAAATATTTTATATTGCCAGTTAAAATACCATTGCAGAAAAGTCTACCTCATTTATTATACTTCTTCACGCAACAATTTGAAAGTTGGAAAGTTGGAATGTAAACTGTATACCTTTCAGAACATACATATTTACATTGATATTTAGTTAATGGATTTCAAATAGCACTCGTAAATATGCTTCAGCCTTATTTTCTCCTGGAGTTCTTAAATCTGCATAACAATCAACATTAAAATCACTAGAGTACCTGGATTACATATAATCACAACCGTTTATAATTTTCGTATGAACGTTTTTCGTTTTACTTGTTGATTGAATTAAGGATGAGTGGAGAATGAGATGCAGGACCACCAAGGAATTGCATAAAATTGGTATGATTCTATCACTCACTCTAATCCAACTCACTTGCAAATGTAATTATCCCAGTAGTGGCGATCTGGAATGGACTTAAAAAATTCGAAGCTAAACTTGTTTACAGCTCAACAGAGGTAAATTAGCTTATTATTGACTGGACAGGCTGCATGATAATGAAAACAACAATCCACATGTAGGACAGAAGCTGCAAAATATTAGCAGGAGTTCTATAATTTTTACCAATCTGTACATATCATATAGAGAAAACATATTTAGTTTATCCTGTAACAGAGTGGATCGTGATTAATACGATTTATATGTAAATACATGTACATATTTCGTGTATGCATTTTTATGGAGCGTAGCAGGCAGTAGTACCAGTAAAAATATCTCGTGTTGCCTCAATAATTCGTGCAGGTGAGTCTTTCGTGTTGTCTGAATAAAAATTCGATACAAGTCTTCATTCCAAACCCACCCAACAATGATCTCATTGAGCATTAATTAATTTCTTAAAAATAGTTTGAATTCAGTTACCACACCCGTTACGCCAGAACCAATAAATATGGCTCGAGGAAATGACTTTTCCATCCGGAATTCTCAATTTATTACCGATTCGGCTTAAATCATTTTTACTTTATAACCCTACCAAACGAACCCCCGAGTACAGAAAAAAACTGACAGAAAGCTGAAGCTGTCAGCAAGCTCATCTAGTCAATTTAATTATTGAAAGCAAATATCCGCTTGTTTATCCATTTGGTTTTTCAATTATTACAAAAAGCTACTTATCGCAATCGTTTTGTCTGTCTGTCCGTTCATCAGTAAAATAAGTCTCGGAAGACTAATCTGTTTTCAATTCTGTTTCGCATTTCGAATGATTCGACAACTCATTCTTAAGTTAAGCAGAGTGACCAGGTCAAATGGGCGTCAGGGGCAGGCGTATAATTTTCGAGTGTTTTTTAACCGATGGCATCTGATTTATTAATAAGTACCCCCACTTGACCTTGCATGGTGATACTCCAAAAACCCACAAAACAGTCACAGCGTCGAAATTTTCGTGTATATGCATCCCGACAAAAACACTCACAAAATATGCTTCACCTGTCAATGTTGTAGGATATTCATTGCAAAATTGTCACCATTTCGCTTCTGTTACTTAATTATATCTGCTTAGGACTGCATTTAACGATCGGTATATAATCCTTCATCCATTATTTTACGAAAGGGTGCTTCTACCACCAACTTAATTACGTTGGAAGAGTGAACTGGGATGAATTAATTGAACTGCAGGAGGCAATTTCTACACACAATCAAGGGTCCAGCTATGGATGCATGTTGCACCTCATCTCTGAGGGACCCTGAATTAAAAGATGAGTTATACGGCCACCTACATCAACTACATTGTTTGTACGTGTTGACTACAATTATTAGAGCATCAAAGACCCCACAGTGAGGAGGCATTTATAATCCCTTCGTCGTTTCATTTGTTTCCACTTAATTTTTAAACTTCAGCCGATATGTGGTTATGTGTGTGTACGCATGGATGTAAAAATGCTCTAGAGATATGTACAGAGCAGAGTAAACATACTTCAGATTCGTAAAAATTCAGTGAGTAACAGGATTCCAACTTGAAATCCTGTTACAAGTATTTCCCACTTTTTAAGGGACCAACAATTATTGATTATCTATTACTGTTGACAATATGTTATGATTATCTTGGACGAGGTGTACCATAAATGGAAAAGGTACGAAAATGTCAAAGTGCGCTAATTTTCTAAGCACTTTCTTTCTTTTACGTATTAGATGTCTAAAAATGATGAGGATCATACGCCCATGGTGAACTCATTGTTACATTTTCTTTTTATTATGCAATACCTGGGGCAAAATTTATACCAAGTCGTTCGAAGCCAAAAAATGCAACTCGTCGTTTGACTGACTGCTGCACGAAATGAATTAATACAAAATTATGTACTTTTATATTCAACCAGTCTCGTGGTGTTGAAAGTGCGTGAAAATGCAGCTCATGCCCATCCACGATCCATTCAGATAATCTCGTGGCGAGGGCTCGTTCGTGTGGTAGTATGACTACTGAAAGTCATGAAAACCTAAAAATTGCAGTTCGCAGGTTTTAATTTCACTAAAGAGAAAAGACTGTCCTTTTGTTTCCAGGCCATATGGGACTAAAACTCAAAATGTCCAAAATGTAGATCTTTGCAATGGTAGCAGAGTAAGTAGGCAAGTCTAAATTGCGAGCAGACTGACTCAACTACTTATTGATTTATAATGAAAAAAAATCAACCCGTGCTTTCTGGTTTGAACTTTGCAAGAATGCCTATAATTTGCGACATGATAAACTCTGTGCGGCGACCGTTTGTCATTTTCAGTCCCAATTAATTTAATAAGAGCAGCTTTATATGTAGTACTGACCATTCGTAGGATGAATATACGGATGGTTTATGTATAATAATTTTTACTTTTCTGCAAAATGGTGTACTTATTATGACCCTTATCACTTGCAGATATGGTACGTAAAACTGTGAAAGGATGGGTTAATTAGTGAAATTGGTCTGATTAAGTAATTAACAGATGATTGGCAATTAAAAGTGTGAAGTAGCACGTTGAAAAATTTTCATGAAAAGTGCATGCATGTACTGGTACATATGTATGTATGCATATACTGCTATTTCTTTAATTGCAGCAAGATGCAAATAGCGAATTTAGATTTTATGTGAAAAACGGTTCATCGTCCGATACACTATGTGCTTTATCATTCCCTATTTACCAGAATTGCTCATGCATTGCAAAGAAAACATTAAGTACACACCAGAAATTCCGCGAGTTATTCAATCAGAGTCAAGATCTGTTACTCTCTTCTTCTTCCACACAGTTCTTTTTCAAATCCTTAGGATAATTTTAGATTGCTTCAGTTTAATTGGACCACTTGCAAATAAGTTTCCTTGTTACAAATAAAAAGAACAAATCCTTCGAGAAGGAACTGCATAAGTTCCTTTCCAAATGATTTGTCATTGCAAATCTGATCCGCCCATTTTGAAGTACTTATTTTATTTCGTGGTACACTTGATTTTTAACCTGGCTTATGGAACCGTCATGTCCGTCTGTCATGTCTCCCTACCCGATGTAAATAGTATAATTTATAACATTGGTATAACATCATGCACATCTTTAGGAATTATGTAAGTTCGAAAATGGCCACCGTGGAGGTGATGCAGGTCGGGTGGCTAATACTCACATTTTCGTACCAGAGAGAAAGTGTAGTCTCATAGTGACCAAATCGCTATTGCGAGACCCAAAAGGACCGACTGGGAAAAACCGGTGGATACTTACACCCATATTTGGGGTAATGTAATTAACAATAAAAAGTATCAATTTTATTTCTTATTTGTATTGGTCAGGGGTCCTAAAAATACTACATGAGATTAGGAAGAGTTGAAGTGACGGCTCGGGCATAGGCTGAATTGCATTT